AAAGAACTCCGGTATAAGTATTTCACTATGGGCCAAGTCTCCCTTATGCAGACATTAGACGAATGAAGATAAGCATTTCTCCCGGGAGTTTCCTGGCTGCAAGTAAGGTTGCTTGTGAGCGGTATTCTTCAGAAATCTATGCCGCTCACCGGATGCTGAGTGGGTTGAGAGGCCCAGGCATTCGATCGGCGCTCATTCTGGCGCCTGCCGATTTGGTGCGTCTTCGAATTATTGCCAAACACATGTTTTCTCACGAAGTTCGACTGCAGCCACTTCATACTGTCGGTGGACAGATAGGCTAGAAGTTACAGCGCACTAAACTGCTGAAAACATTGACCAAAGTATATCCCCTTTTGTACTCGCCGCTGAGCGCTCCTCTGCCTGCGCGCCGCGGTCCTAGAGGTGCGATTTCTTTTTCAAAGGGGCCTTTGAGCATGTCTGACCTATTTCCGCTTCGTATATCGCAGCTTGTTTCTCACTTCGGAGTCATTCTCCTGCAAACTTTCGCGTTGCACAAGACGTCACAAAATTCCGGACTGTATTGGCATCAAATTTCAGTCTCCATCCCTATTTCGAATACAAGTTAACGGCATTGACCCAGCGAAGTATCGTCTCATATGCGGTGATTATTCTCTGCGCAGGACCGAAGCGACAAGCTTCTGCACCATTTTAGAAGTTGGCAGCGCGCCTACAAATAGCCATCCCTGGCGACGTGTGTATGTCATTTGTGAAACATTCGACGACATTCGGACATGAAGCACAGCCGATCGTTGCACACTGTGATGCTCATGCCAACCTGACAGGTTTAATGGTACTTCCTTGCTATTGTTTGTGCCGCGAATTGGCTCTATGAGCGAAAACCTGTTATTGCTGTGGAAAAGAACTCTTCTGTGACGAGGACGAGATGCTGTCGGCAGCCACCGCTGTGTTATATTTTCCGGCAGATGAAACTTTTCAGGGTACTTCGTGTCTTTAATCCAGGGACATGCTCAATGCTCATTGTCGCCGTCTGTTTGCCAAAACTCTGTCCAGCCCTGAGTATTTCATCCGTGGCTGGCGTCTGATGTCGAAGCGGAAATGGAACGAAGCTGCGCCTCGGTTGTATACAGCTATTCTGTATTTAGTATTTAGTATTGGCACGGAATGAGTCTGCTTCTTCGTCGTATACAACCTGAGCTAGTCGATCGGTATTATGTATTGATCCTGTGCTGAACCCAAATATCGATAGATTGTCTTATCTTATCAGATAACTTGCAATATTTAACTTGCAAACGTGGCATTTCCGAAAGTGGTGTTCCGAATGCGTACTGGTAACTTGTACCAGCCTGAGTAAGTAGGCAGCAGCTAAGATTCCTAAGCTACAACCATTCATGAAGCCATGAGTCCTCGAAAAAATGCAAATTCAAGGCGGGCAACGTGGTTAGCCTCTGGCTTGGTGGCACTCGCTGCGTTCTCTGCTTCAGCCCAACCTCAAACTGTGAGCGTCATGACAGTTGCACGGTCATGAATACTAACGTGTTCTTTAGGATAGTATAGAGAATACCCAGTTGGAATTGGAGCCCGGTGTGCAACAAGATGCCCAAGTTCCAAATGACGTATGCAGGCAGATTCAGGATATCCGCGTGTTTGAACAGTGCTCATTCTTGTATAGGCTATCGTATATTCGGAACCGGAGTTCGACCAGGGTGCAGAGGGTGAGTAGAGTCTTCTTCAGTGCTTCAGGAATCTAACACGTATCACACAGCGACAAGAGCATACAAGTCTGCTTTATTCACACTTTCTAACCTCACCGCACATCCGCCGTCGCATACTCACAACGTATTCTCCCAACCAACTACTACAACACCTTCTCTTCTCTCTGCGCTCCTTCCCAATCCACAAGGCCAAGGCCCTCTGGGAAGTGCAATCCGTATAGTACTGAAACTTCGTCAACAATTCTTCCTTTTCCGTTTGTTCAGTGGACCTAGTGGAAGTGCTGCGAGGCGAAGGGACGAGGAGATGCGCGGAAAGGCAATAAAGGTGGCGGATCTCCTGCAACATTCTGCTGAGCTAGGGAATCTGGACGCACTTTTTACAATTGGGTATATATCTCTGGTAGGCCTCGCTTCCACGTGTTCCAAGACTTAACGTGCTAACTCATGTGTTTAGTTCCCTCCAAGCTCCCATTTTCCGTCCGACCCTAAACTTGCATATGATTCACTCTCGCACCACGCCGCACTGACAGGCAATGCTTCCTCGCAAGCTCTTCTCGCCTTCTTCCATGCAACAGGTTACGCAGATGTCGTTCCCATTGACCAAGCCCAAGCCTTATTGTATTACACATTTGCTGCTCAGGGCGGTCACAAAGGTGCACAGATGGCCCTGGGATATCGGTACTGGAGCGGTATCGGCACAGTTGAAGACTGCGGACGTGCAGTCGAATGGTACGAGGCTGCTGCAGATGAAGGTGAATGAACGATAGTTTCTGAGTTTCCGAAGTTCTTACAAAACATCATAGCAATGTCAATGTTCCTGTCTGGACCCCCTGGTGGTCAGACCCTGCCGCAGACCGCAACGCGGCTGTCTGATCTAGATGGGGGCGTGTTCGGGCCGGGCGCCAGTGTTGCATCCACCGGAACGAACGTTGTTAGGCCCGCTGTTAAGGCTGGCCTAGCACAGACTGCTGGAGAAACGTGGGACGACGTTCTCGAGTACTACATCGTGCGCTTTTTTCATCTACGATGTCATTCTTTCTGCTTATATAAGTCTAGTTCAACGCCGACAGAGGAGAGACAGACTTTGCGTACAAGTTGGGAAAGATCTACTACCAGGGTAGCATCTACTCTTCTGCGGGTGGTATCGGTTCTGGCTCGGAGGGGGTTGGACGCGTCCCTCAGGATTTCCATCAAGCTCAGTCTTACTTCCTCCAGATCGCACGGCAGGTCTGGCCTCGTGACCCTCTGAATCCTTTACAGCATAATGCATCTGGTTACAAGGCCGAAAACATCAAGCAGGCTGGATACGCACCAAGGAGCGCGGCATATCTCGGGCGGATGTATCTCCGGGGCGAGGGCGTGAAGCAAGACTACGCGATGGCGATGATGTGGTTTGAACGAGGGGCCGAGTTTGATGAGAGGGAATGCCACAATCAATTGGGTGTGATGTGGAGAGACGGACTAGTGCCTGGACGCCAGGATATGAAGACAGCCCTCCTACACATCACTAAGGCCGCAGGTCAGGAACTCGCAGAGGCTCACGTTAATCTTGGAAAGTACAACTATGGTGAGCCTGCATTTCCTTCAAACGAACGCTCGTATTTGCTCAGCAACAAACAGACCGCGGCGAATTCAAACCCGCTGTCATGCACTTCGAAGTTGCAGTGCGCTTGGGCTCAACGTTTGAAGCCCATTTTTACCTTGCGAAGATTCACACCCTAAACATGCGTATTGCAAATGAAGGTTTCGCAGCAGGATTCTGCGCTTCTGCGGTTTCGTTCTTCAAACTTGTTGCTGAGCGGGGAGTTTGGGATGATGACCTCCTGGCAGACGCCGAAGCTGCCTGGTATAGCGGCACCGAGCGTGGCAAAGAAATTGCGATCCTTAAATGGTGGGTTGCGGCGGAGAGAGGGTCTGAGATGGCACAAAATAATCTGGCTTACGTTCTAGACCAAGGTAAGCCCAAGTGAAAGTTGAGGCCCTCGCAATCTGATCTATTTATAGACCGAAGCATGCTTCGTCTCACGCGGTTTGCCCCTATTGAAGCATCCAATGATACCGCTCTCCTCGCCCTCACTCAGTGGACACGTTCCGCTGCTCAGCGAAATACTGATGCACTAGTCAAAGTCGGTGACTACTATTATCACGGTCTTGGTGTCCCCGATGAACCCGAGGCGCTTAGATGGGCAAAAGCGGCCAAGTATTATCAGAGCGCTGCCGATACGCAGCTCAGTGCGCTGGCGATGTGGAATCTAGGCTGGATGTATGAGAATGGTATTGGCGTACCCCAGGTGAGAACTTTGACCCTCTAATTACTTGTGGTTCTTGAACACTCTTGACAGGATTTCCATCTTGCGAAGAGGCATTATGATATGGCGGTTGAGACGAATAGCGAGGCATACCTGCCTGTGCTACTCTCACTCGTGAAGTTGTATGCTCGGAGTTTCTGGTACACTCTTCAGGGTGGCAAGGATGGGCTTAATTTGTGGAAGTACGATGCAGACAAAAGTGCGGCACATCTCGCCATAATCCACAATCCCGGCTAATATATTTCCAGTGTCTGTAGCAGAAAGGGCTCGCTTGAAACCGGAAATAGATAGTGTTTCCAAAGACACTTCTCAAAAAGATGGCGATCCTCAAACTGCTCCCAACAAGGAGAAGACCGTCGAAGAGGTTGAGGATGATGGAAAGTGGTATATAGGCAAAGCCAGCGAAGATTTCCGCAGACGAAGGCAGGGCGAAGCCGCCCGTACAGCTGCTGCTGCTGAGGAGGAAGATGATCTATTCCAAGTGGGTATTTCCTCCATCATTTCATTACGCGCTTTCTTATCCTCAAACACAGTGGGCACAAGAGAGAAGGAACGCGGAAAACGAACGGAACACCGATTTTGGTCCTGAGGACTATTTCGAAGCTGCTATTCGCGGTGGACACCAAAGGGAGGAAGAAGTAGACGAGTTGATGGAGACGATGTTATTGGTGGCTCTCTGTGCTCTCGTTGCGGTCCTGATCTACGTCCGCACACGTATCGTGCGTAGAACTAGAGGGCAGGAACAGGAACAGCAGCAAGACCAGGGGGGTCAGAGAGATTTGGGGGTGTTCCCGCCACCAGACGATCCAGCCCGGCAGGAATGGAACATCGTGCATTAGCACATCACACGTTCTCTATGGTATATAGCCATGACAGCACATCAAAACGTAGCTCTGGGTCATTAGATCCGATTTGAACCCTAAGTCTTGCCGCCACCTATTTATGGATATTTGGCCAGTCAGCCCCTTGTTGTGCGAGCACCGCGGGTTGTTGAAGTGTCGAGATTCGAGATAAACGTCAGCCTGGGAATCAGGGCATAACTCAAGCACAACTACAAGTTTATGCTTCTCGGTCTCCTGATTAGACCCCCTTTCAAACCTCGAGCAGTGATTCACCCTTACGACGCCTGAGCTGGCACCCAGCACCATTGCCACTATGAACTTCAATCTGGAAGATCTCGAAGGCCCCATTATGCGCATCCTCACTGCTCCAGGTGTTGATTTGAGCACTATCAGTGCGAAAGGAGTTCGACAGAAGTTGCTGGAGGACACCGAGTTAGGCCTGACCGCTCGAGGACTGAAGGAACGGAGGACAGAGGTGGACACTATGATATCGAGTATCTATGAGGGTGTTAGTCGGCAGGTGCAAACAGACGAATCGAAGAGGAAACGCGGGGAGATAGAAGAAGGCACGGAACAAGAAGATCAAGAGGAGGCTACGGAGGAGCGGGACGACCAAGATGATGATGCGGAGGAGCAGGACGCGGAAGCATCGGAAGAGGATGATATCAAACCACCAACGAAGAAAAAGAAGGGCGCTGCGAAAAGCGTCGAGGAGGCCGATGCTGAGTTGGCCAGGAAACTTGCATCAGAACTCAACTCCCGGTCACGGCGTGGCACATCAAACGGCGCATCTGCTACGCCCAAGAAGCGTAAGACGAAGAAGAGTGCAGCCTTGGTTGATTCTGATGCAGAGGACGAGGGTGAAGATGAGAAGCCAAAGAAGAAACGCAGTGGAGGTGCAAGAGGAGGCTTCGCGAAGGAATATATCCTGAGGTGCTTCAAATGCCCCTGTTCTACGTCTCTTATTACCGTGCGATATCCTCATCTTTTCTTCATTTTACAGCGAATCTCTGTCAGTGGTTGTTGGCGTGGACAAGCTCTCGCGCCCCCAAGTCGTGAAGAGACTATGGGAGTACATTCGTGGCCATGAACTTCAAAACCCCTCCAACAGGCGTGAGATCATGTGCGACGATAACATGCGGGCTGTCTTCGGTACTGAAAAGGTCGACATGTTCCGGATGAACAAAGTTCTCGGACGGTATGTCCACTCTGAGTGCTTCAAGATTCATGTTCTTAATGGTTTTGCATTCAGGCATTTACATGCCCAGTGACAACGCTGGGGAGAGGCATACCAAGCCGACGTGTCGTTAGTTCTACTGTTACCAGTATCTCCGGCACGCATAATTTATGATTTGCGGTTAGCCTTGTGTGTTCGCACTATTACACCTAGCCTACGCAACGAATTCGAAACGACAGACTAAACACGTACAAAGAGAAACCAGAATGCCAGAGTCCAAGTAAAGTCGTAAGTATGGTATGGCTCGCCGGTGCAATGTGCACCAATGTTACAGTATCGTGAATGACTCCAGAAAAACACCAGCTAGTTCAGATTTTGCAGCTTCATCCACTCCTTGTCATTTGCATTAAAATCCACACCTTTATTCTTCCACCACTTCCTTGCTTTGTCCCCACCACCAATCGCGTCCTCAAGTGCTTCTTCGATGTCGCACATACGATACTGAATCGGTAACCCACTTTTATCCCACCACTCCAGTACTTCGCTTCGGTTATGCCGTGTTGCACCGGTCAGCACATCCTGGTCAAAAATAATCTGTAGCCCGCTTCCAAGCCACCACTGCAAGACTTCCACCTTCCCCACACAGCTGGCATGGTGCATGACATGACGGTCATACGTATACTCGAGCTGCGACGTCGCCCACCACTTGAGTACATCCACATGCCCCGCCTGACTTGCTAACTCCATGACACGCCCGACCTTCAGGGGCAGACTATTGGCGAGAAGCTGGTACTTCCACCATTCCAGGACATCAATACGATTTTTCGCGCTAGCGCCTTCAAGGGCAGCTTCCGTGTAGTCCAGTGGGAGCCCAGAAGTCACCCACCAGTCCAGAGACTTCACTTGGCCACTACGAGAGGCTCTGTCGATGGCACGAGTAATAGACCCAGGTTTTGGAGGATGCACTAAATCCGGGTGTTGCTCGAAGCCATGTTTCCACCACGACAGCACGTCTGTGCGACCGTGCTTTGATGCGTGGAAAGGGATCAGATCGTCTTTGAAGATAGACAAAAATACGGGGCGATATTGCGTAACGAAAAATTCCAACACATTGACATAACCAAATCGCACGGACGCTATTGCGCCGTGGCTTGAAGGAGGATTAGCTACAGGGTCTGCTGCACGGATGACGGGGATGCAACCTGTGAGCATGGCGAGGTCGATGGGTGAAGGGTTGTTCCACTCGCTAGGAGGAGTCAAGGAAGTAGGAACGCCCAAGGCCCGAGAGAGCTCCCAATCACCAAGATGATCGAAGATATCAGCTAGAACTTCGACGGGTAGATCTACAGGACGTTCTGTGGTCGTCGTGCCTTTCCCTTTGTCCATGAGAGACATTGGCGTATCACTAGAAATCGTCGGAAAATGATAGGTGTGGAAATCATGCTGGGCTAATCTTGATGCGAGCTCTGTGTCCACGCCCGACGTCGGCAGGTTGCGGACTTTGAGGAAAAGCACAAGCTCGTCGTGTGGGAGCCGACAATAGGCATTTAAAACGGCTTTAAATGGACTGTCATGGTTCTGAAGAGAGTCACAAAATCAGTACAAGTGTGAAATGGCCGGATGATGAGAAAGATATTCACCGCCATATGCAGATGCCCAGAAAGATGTGGCTTGGGAATGAGATCTGAGAGGCTGGGAGGAAACGACCACGTGGCTATGCTGAGACACAATGAGCTCCAACAAGTTCAACTTGCTCTGTGTATACGTTTAGTTCTGCGAGTCCTTTATTAAAACTTTCGCAGCCTACTCTGGGACGCTTTGCCCGCTGTCAAGCCGCGAGAATATCGTTAATTCCCGAAACTATCCTCGAATTCAAATCGTTTGGTCCAGACTCCAGCAGGCTTGTTCGAGGCGTCTCAAGGAATGCGCTGCCCCGTCATTGTGATGTAGTACAAAACAACATCGCCCTGATCGAGGTCCAACTATACGGTAGTCCGCCTGGAGGACTTGCACCTGGCCTGTTCGACTCGGATCCGTCGAGTCATGTGGATTTTGGAGAGCCAGAATTCCAGACTCTGTCGAACCACGCTTGGTCACTTCTTGGAGGACATATGCCAACCACTAACCTTCCAGTTGCTCCGGAGCGGGCGCCTCAGGATCGACAAGTGGGAGTATCTATTTTATCCACGCGGGCGCTATTTTACCTAGACCATGATATGGGGAGAGTGACATCCTTGTTCGCCCGAGCCTATCTCTCCGACTTTGGTCAAATGAATTCAGGGCCAGGTTTATCAAAGTAGTCCCTGTGGCATGCGAACAGCAGGTTCTATGCAGAACAACAATTCTGCTGTACGTCTAGTGTCTATTATTTTTGCACTAGCGATGCTCAAGAACCCGACTCCTTATCTCTGCATATAACCAAGTACAGCGATCATACGTACATCCAGGACACCCGAACGAAAACAGCCACGGAAGGCTGATAAGACCATGTGGTATCACAGCTGCTTCAGCACCGCTCGGAGCGATTAGCAGTCTTTCATTGTTCACTCACTGACTACAGCTCTTGATATCTGATGGGATAAACTGCCTGGTGCCTGTGGCATAATTCCCGCGCGATACAGGAATAGTAGGTTTAGTTTCTGGAACACAATACAAAGCAGTAACGTAACCTGTACTTTTGATATCGATTGTGGCTGATTCAGTTCCTTTGTATCGCACAGCAAACTTATAATGCAACTCCGACTGGGTTCAATGACATTGTCAAACATCGTTCTAACTATACGGTATACGTCACGGATCAAGATATTTTGGTCCAAGTTGTTCGAGGAAGGGTCAGCATCCTCTCAAAGCGCGCCCTCTGCGTTCATGGATGTCTTTTCTCTAGGGGCGGTCGAACGATTCACTCAAGGCGACCTCAGCACGCACAACTATACAGGAGGTAAGTTATTGTGCCCACTCGATCACATTACAAGGTTATTCACGCTTAACAGGCCGGATCAAGGGTTAATTGCGCTCCTGTCGTGCTCGTTGCTCATCATATATAGCGAATACTCCAGCGGCTGTCGCTGAATCCGTAACATCGAAGTGTGGGAGGTGTTGGAGCAGAAGACACATGAACTATAGCAATAAGTAGTCAGATACCGGAGACTAACGCAGAGCTGTACACGGTGAGTCTCCGGAGTCTGGAGAGTCACCGGTCACCAACAGCATGTGTATCGACTGGCCGTGCATGTATTAGGTCAGCAACAGAAGTCTGTCACATGAAGGGGAGAAGATTATGAGACAAACCTTGTTGCGATGGAATTAATGAATTCTGAAGAACAACAACCTATCGTGATAACGTGCGATGGTATTAATTAATGGTGAATACAACCGCATGATCTTCGAGATAACCGCAATTGATTTGAGCTGGGGCCCGGAGCGTCAACAGCGCTCGTTCCCATGAGCTGATGTCGGCAGCATATACAGTGCGCACTGCGCAATACCAATACAAGTAGTTGCGTTAATTCAACCTCTGATTCCTCCATTCGAGGAAATGGCAGGCATGCTGCACGCCACGAGACTTGTTATCCTGCTCCGCCATCCCAGTACTTTGTAAGGGAAGCACAAATGATGCGACAAACGCTGTAGCGACATCCCCCTCATCCCAAAATACGCGGAGATATTGCCAAAGCGTTTCATGCTCCGGAAATGCACGTACGAGCGCGAGAGCGTGCCCGATCACGGGAAGTAGATTGTCTGGCAGGAATGCGGTTTCCGCGTCTTCAGTGAGACGCACGAGAGTTTTAAGGTGATGAACAGCACTATAGTCGGAGATGTGAGACTCAATCCACTGCATGACGCTGATGATCTCTTTTGGAAGGATTTCAGTGAACTCGTCTGAGGCGGTAGAATGCACCCCGGGTACGAGTGCAGAACGAATGCATATAGTGCGATGGGTCCAGCCAAAATAGTTGCGGGAATAGAGCTCGCAAGCTCTAGTGACAAGATTAATTTCCACAGAAAGGTCATTCGGGGGAAGGTAGAAATTTGGTGAATCAGGAACTACGTCAGCAAGCAACCCTTGAGGAAAGCTTGGGATAGGGTATATGCGTTGGAGAAGCCATCGCCTGTGATACCATAGCTCGCCCTGTTTGCAACAGTGCTTGCTCGAAAGTAGAGCGGCTGTGAACTTGAGTTCTTGCTCCACATTGATGAGGTTTCGCACAACGAGTTTCTTTCTAGCATTGAGCGCAGTTTGGTGAGCCGGATTCATCAAAATGAGGACAGCAGAAGAATCGATCAAGTCTTGAATCACCGAAGACATGGTATGGTTGGATGGATTCTCGAGTGTATGAAGTCCGGAGGCCTTACGTGCAGCAGAGAAGATAGACACGGCGAAGAGGTATGACCGACGAAGCCCTTTCTCAGGTACACCGAGATTATTCTCCATGAACAGAAATGGGGAACGAGATCGTTCTACCACGTCTGAGATCCAGATGGATGCATCGCCAGGAAGGACCTCGATAGCTGCGCTATAACGCAGGGCACGACGGTGCACATGAGCCGTAACGTCAACAAGGTAACTCTAACATGACTCACGGAGGTTTGAGTAGCAAGGAAGCAAGTGACCTGAAGTGAGTCGAGACTGACATGTTTGCCATATGTATTATGGGCGTTGACGTGAACGTTGTACAAACACGTGAACCTCCGAGTCTAGCAGTAGGCGGTCAACAAACTCACCATTGACTTTCATTGCAATATCGCGCAATCTGCACGCAAGGGACTCGGAAACTAGCAACACTTATATTCTACTACTTGGCGCATGTCAGATTTCAGCCGTGGCCTCAGGTTTATCCGTCTGGCAGCTTCTTTGTATGTTGCGATCGCGGTCTTCTATACAACAAATCACATCCTGTCTCCACTACGGACATTTGCGAGGTCGTACATGGCCTCCTACGATACAGCTGTTGTCCAAGTTCATCAAGATGCCGAGGTCACTGGGAAAACGTCTCAGGAAATATTACTTTGGCCTGCATCCTCGTTACCCGAACATACAACTGTCAGGACAACAGACGGGATTCCAATGAGCGAAGATCTTTTTCTGTCCAAGGCATTCTCACAGTCTATGCACCCTCTCAAAGTGGTCCCCTACTACTACAGGGCTTCAGGGACATTCGAACAGAACGATATTACCGTCACCACTCTCGTCACATTCAATCGATTCAAGGTCTTTTCCGAGCTTGTGACACACTACCAAGGTCTGCTCCGGTTTGTCATCGTTTGTGTTTTCAATATTTCCTCATATTTTTTTTCTTGTCAAAGGTCCGATTTCTGCAACCGTCCATGTCAAACCTAGCGCGATACACGCCCTTCTGGATGCTTTGCATGACCTGTATGCGTCAACACCCGCAATGTCAACTTACGTCGACATACACCTCGTTATCACGCCCTTCGACCGTCAATTGAATACTTGGCGGAATGCCGCGCGCCTCTTTGCCCGTACCGAATTTGTCATGATGCTTGACGTTGATTTTGCAATTTGCACCAACTTCCGTTCTGCTATCAGGGCTAGTCTAGATGCTAAGATTGGTCGAATTCTCAAGGAAGGACATGCTGCTCTTGTGGTGCCTGCGTTCGAATATGTCAAACAGCAAGATGGCCTGCACCAAAAAGATTTTCCTCGCGACAAACAGGTCTAGATGACGAGCAACATATCCCAGGAAGTCACTGAATGGCACTATCTTAGACATTGCTTTCGCTGGTCAAGGCGAAGAAGATCGATATGTTTCATCGCACTTGGGCTCCTGGCCATAACAGCACCGATTATCCGCGATTCTATTCCGCCGCCCCTGGCGAAGTTTACAAGGTTACGCAGTACCACCCCGCATACGAGCCTTACGTGATCTTTAGGAAGGAAGGGCCACCATGGTGCCAACCAAATCCAAGTCAAAAATATGTCTTGCTTTGTCTAATGTCATCTTTCCAGGTGCGATGAACGCTTTGTTGGATACGGAGGGAATAAGGCCGCTTGTCTCTATGAGATGTACCTCTCCGGCATATCGTTTTATGTCCTTGCGGATCACTTCCTCGTGCACCAGAGTCACCCATACGAGGAGGAAGCGCGAAAACTTGAGGTATCTATTCTTCTCTTGTGGTCGACAACTCTTGATATTGGGACTTGTATCAGCGCAAGAGTAACCGTAAGATATACCAGGACTTTAAGGAGGAAGTTTGCCTCCGGTTCGTTCTCAGGCTTATCTCAACCACTCACGGACGATGATATCCGAGCGCACTGTTATCTTTTGTTTCTTAGGTACTTGAAGCGCCACTACGATTCTGGGACGCTTAACACTAGCAACGGATACAATGTTCAAGAGGAGTGCAAGAAAATCAGAGGCGTGTCGAAAATTGCTGCTCTGGCGAGTTTCATGCTGGTGTTTGTGTCCCTTCGATGCATGTGTCTGACGTCGTTTTAATAGATGATGGAGGGTAGATTTTAGTAGGCATGTCAGTAACGGGCGGGCTTGTGCTTGTACCAAACGAGGTTGAAACCTTACTGACGGAAATGGCGTTAAAAGCGATAGTCTGATATGTCTCTGATGGTTGTGCCCAAATTTATTTGCCTTCAAGCTTTTTATAATGCGAGTGGGATGTGAGCAACCTCGTGGTATGTCGATTGGTTATTTTTGTCCCATGTCCTTAACACGTGTTAGATTGATGAAAGATAACAACTTCCTGAGTCTTGCCCTCCGCCACAAGGCTTGTGATAAACAGCATACATTGAAATGCTCCCCCGCGTGTTATTGTGTGGTCGGTTTCTAGGTTTATCCGATGATGATTTGGACTCTGATGTGTTTCAGGTGAGATTGAGTATGTCAAGGACGAGGTCAAGGAGATATTTCATGGGATCGCCGAAATCGTAGTAAGTAGGCTTCCCTTTCGATGCACCTCTAGCTTTATGCGTCATCATCGCTTTTCCTCTTCAGCATCTAGTCTCAGAATCTCGTTCTCATTTCCTCTCCTCATTTGGGCCTGATGGGCCGTATGAAGGGACTGTCGCCTTGTATAGGCGCAACACATCTTCTGAAGTCATAGGAAAATTTGACGCACCATTAATCCACGCTCTAGCCGATATCAGCATGGTCCGTTGGATCGCCCAGAGTGGCGGTGGTTACGATGAAATCGATGTGCAAGCCTGCAAAGAACGAGGTGATGTCCGCTCTCGGTCAGAATCAACTGTTGCTGACGTGTGTGTTTACCCCAGGAATAATGGTGTCGAATACTCCAGGAGCGAACGAGGATGCTACTGCCACCGCTACTTTATACCTGATGCTATCGTGCCTGCGGCACTTCTCGATGGCAGAACGTTCCCTTCGCTCTGGTACATGGAAGACACCCTATAATGCGGCACAAACTCATGACGTTACCGGGCGTACGCTTGGTATCTTGGGCTTAGGTGGCATCGGTCTGAGATTCGCTCACCTTGCGCGTGCCTTTCCAATGCGCATCATATACTTCTCACGAAAGAAGGCAGAGTCTGCACCAAACTGGTGCGAATATGTCTCAAGCGTGGAGGAGCTGCTGCAAGCAGGCTGACATACTGAGCCTACATGTCCCTCTCAACCAATCCACAACTGGTATGATTGGAGACAAGGAGATCAGGACCCTGCAACGGGGGTAGTGTTCTTCTCAACACGTCACGAGGACGAATAGTGGACCAAGAGGCGATAATACGAGCACTGGAGGACGGTCATGTAATAACACTTCTTCTATCGTCTTGTTGTCTTTTCTCACAACTTTCAGCTTTCATCAGTCGGCTTGGATGTATACCCCGATGAACCGCGCGTAGATCCGCGTTTATTGACCTTCCCACGATGTACACTTCTGCCGCATGTTGGGGGAGAGTCAGCAGAGTCATGGAGGACAAGAGAACTGCAAGCATTGGGAAACTTGAAAGCTTTTGTACTAGGTGGTGTTGGGGAAGATATTGTCCCTGAGCTGAAGACGGAAATCGGCAACTCGACTACCATATAATCGCTAGCAGCAGGCTGAACAAGATTGTCACTTAGACGGAGCAATTGCTTTGATGATAGAATGTGGCTCGTATAATGGAGGAGAAGACCGATCACTGTTGAAGCCAGATCATTCACTGCTCTACTTATGGAAAGTCGGACAGCCGCGCTCTGGCACCACCCGTGACATGGGCTAAAAATGGTAGTCACAAGTTGAGGACTCCGTACACCTCTAAAGAAATTAATGCGATCGACAACCTGTAGGTTCTTAGGTATAGTGCGGCTGTCCGGCTTTTTGTCTTGCAGTTACAGTGTCATATCGTGACGGCGCCGGCGCCAGCCCCCGACTCGCTTATTCCTGGCATGTTTTGTCAATGTTTTGTGTCCATCGAATTAAACATTTCATTTTTGGTAAATGACTGCTAATCCCATGTGATTCTGCTGTCAATGCATTGACTCGTAACCGAATGAGTCTATCTTGACCAGTCTTGCTAAGCTAAGTCAAACGTGACAGGAACAAACAAACTTTTCCTTTTACCACGCCTTGAACATTCACTCATGGATGGATTTTTCAAGGCCTATCTTGAGTAGCATAGCTAACCGTTTGACACCAGAACAGATTAGAAATCTGCTCTCTTGTGGTGCGGATTCGAAACCTGTCGACATGGACAATTCTTCGGAGGTTATTCTAAACTTGGCCAGGAAGCGTCCTGGCCCAAGTGGTTAACACAACAGAATCAAAATCTGTATATCTTGTACTTCGCAGGTTCGAAACCTGCCTAACAACAGGGTTTTTTTCTATCGGAACACGCCTTGAAGATTCACTCATGGACAGTTCCTCGGATGTTCATCTCAACTTCGTCCTCGCCAAAGTGGTTACTACAACGGAATTAAAATCCGTTTCTCTTGGACTACGCAGGTTCGAAACCTGCCGAACAACAGGGTTTTTTTTCCTATCGGAACACGCCCGATTCCTCGGAGCAACTTCGCCCTGACTGAACTGGTTACTGCAACATAATCAAAATCTGTCTCTTGGACTGTACCAGTGCAGGCTCAAAACCTGCCAATGAGTTTTTTTCCCATTCGAACACGCCTTGAAGATTCACTGGTGGACAGTTCCTCAGAGGCTCATCTCAACTTCGCCCTGGCCAAAGTGGTTACTGCAACGGAATCGAAATCTATCTCTTGGACTGACACTACCAGTGCAGGTTCAAAACCTGCCGACGAGGTTTTTTTTTATCCGAACACGCCTTGAAGATTTGATGGACAGTTCCTCAGAGGTTCATCTTAACTTCGCCTTGACCAAAGTAGTTACTAATAATACTATCACAGAATCGAAATCTGTCTCTTGGACTGTACCAGTGCAGGTTCAAAACCTGCCGACCAGGTTTTTTCTCTCAGAACGCGCCTTGAAGATTCACTGATGGATATTTCCTCGGAGGTTCATTTCAACTTCGCCTGGCCAAAGTGGTTCCTACAACAGAACCGAAATATGTTTCTGTCGGACTTGCGCTTTTTTTTCTATTGGAACACACTTTGATTCACTCATGGATGAATTCCTCGGAGGCTCATCTTAACTGGTCTTAACCAAGTGGTTACCGCAACAGAATCCAAATCTGTGTCTCTTGCAGTCGGTTCGAAACCTGCTGATAACATTTTTGCAGTGTATAGATCCTCAGAGCTCCGTCTTACCTAGGCCCAGTCATTGCGCCGAAACCTCCTTTTTATGTGATAGTCTGTCCATGAAATAGAATTCACCTTCACGCCTCGTGCGGATCGTCTCAGAAACATAAGGTATACCCCTGAGATGTGCACGTGCCAACCTAGATTCTCGACGGACTAACCAAAACTGTCGGGATTCACCACCAAATGAAACATTGATGGGGCTGGAGGCCAGAAAGCTAAGGACAGAGTGAGTCTGACGGTCAGGCAGATGATGTAACCTCCCCAGCCTCGCTGAAGTCTCATCGATGAACACTCCAAGTGCTGTCGAAGAAACCTGCGATGCTTACAGGTTGACTTTAGAAATGCATCCAATACAACATATGATATCTGGATTCTGAACGGACCCCACTTAGTTATAACGGAAACTCGATTATTTGCAGGAGGATTTTGCTCTATTTTGCTGCATGTTGGGGTAATTACTGGCAGTATAGGGATATATACCAGGTGTTATAGCACATAGTACATACAGAATATGTTGGTCAGGACTCAAAAACTATAAACCAATATCAAGAACATGACGTCTAACATTGGTTCGACGCAGCCTCGCAATCCTTTTTAACGACATAAATTCTACAATTCTATACATCCTATTTCCCCCGCACAGCCATAGAGGAGGGTTTAGCAACATTGATTACAAATTCGTTTTCATCCTGCTCCGAGCTCTGTGTGGTGTCTCAGCGTCGCACACTCAAACAGATGAGATTTACAAGCCTTAATGATCAAGATGTTCTCGTCATCGAAAGTGACATCTATCATGTTCGAAGTCGTCTCGATGCGTTCCTCGTCCACAACGACCATGTAAGGAAGGTTTGTTACAATTTCTTCATCGAGTTGTTGGTGTTTGAATGTCGACGGTTCTGTAATAATGCGGCCACGAAAATCCTTGGAAGCTGCGGCACGCGACATGCGATACTTGTTGAAGTCGTACGTGCGCAAGCTATAAGATGTGCAATTGACATCATTTGGGGTAGCATGGACTGCTCTACCGCCGGCGACTTCTAATCGCAGGACGAAAAGGCTGTTAGGTACAGGGTCTAAAATGCATCGCGAACAGTTTGGACCCCATTCCTTCCAGGGCAAAACAGGGCTCTGACCCTCAGTATGTATGCCGCTTTGGCAGGCGGTGAGGAGTTTATCGGTGTCAATGATAAGGACGAGGCTGGGTGGACCGTCAACATTGAGAGCGATGAGCTGATTTTTAGCGTTTGGATAGAAGCGTACGTCCTGAGGGGCCATAGAACGACGGATGTCTGGGCTGATAGTTACAAATGGAGAATGCCGCAGGAATGTTCCCTCTGGTTGAAAGGGTAGGACACATTCTGCAACTCGGACTGGGGGTTTCCCAAGGTCAGAAAATGAAAAGATGCTCAGTTTGCATGGTAGAGGCGGCCGGTCATTCTGCATGATACGATCAAGTGATCTCGGTTCACGATACAGCAGTCATCCATCTTGCCGTATGGTTCCTGTTCTCGATAGACACACTATAATCAAATGGTAAGTGCAATCGCTCAAACAAACGCGTACTAGTCGTACCTTGAAGTCCTGTTTCTCTTGCCAGTTCCAAATCTGCATTCTTGCAGGACAAGCAGAATATTCATCGCAGATGCTCAAGAGCACTATGCGGTCCCCCCAGATTTTGAGCTTTATCTTTGTCTGGTCAAAGTGGCAGTTTGCTGAGATGTGTGGCTTGAAGGAGGTCAGGATCTCACTGGCAGCCAAAGGGTGCGGCTCGCTCGTGCTAAGGGTCTCCAAGTAAATTCGGCAAGAAATTTCTGCCATGTGGTTCGGCTCGAGTACCACAAAAGCAAACAAATCTTGTGATGGGTCCATGCAGACGCTGTGGACTCGGAAAGGAGTGTCTTTTGGCATCGGATAACTCTTTGCATCCCAGCGCCTATATAACTGGGACTCCGAAGTGCCTGAGTCCAGCATGCGAATTTGCGCGATCTGGGGACGATCATCCCAGGTATACAAATGCCCGAATGACATGGATACCTCGCCACCTGGCTGCAGAAAATGATCTACGATGGTGGGTTTAAACGCTCGCCAGGAACACATTTGATTTCTCAGTATCTCTAAGCGTTCTGCGGGAGATGTCATTGCGTCTGGCGCAGTAACCTCCACCATCTTTTGTCCTTCGAGTTCAATCGCATACTGCAGTGCAGAGGAGTCATCAAGGACTTTGCGAAGGTAGCGACACGTCTGAGATCAAGTACGATCAGTGAATCGATCCTTGACATGGATCGATATGACATACCGATGTACAACTCAAGATTGATGAGGCATGAAGGAAGGAGAACAAGTAGCACAATATCTCCACTGGGAGCGTGTGCAGACTCGGTGCTGATTTTGTGAAATCCATGTTTTATGAGAGTTGTCGTCCTGCTGGTTGGTCCTAGACAAGGATAGGGTATCAATCAATTGAATCATTAAATATTGCCCTGTTCGAACATAGACCAAGTCCCACGGGTTCGTGTTTCAGCTGTAGCACAAAGTTCTGCATGGAACCGTTCCGTATACAACTCTAGTGCTCTAGAAGACGCACACAGTATCATGCATTGAAATTCAATCATCTTCTTGCGTCAAATAGAACATGGTTCAGAAGCACATAATAAGTTTTTTTGTTAAGTTGGCGAAGTGGATTTTTGTGTAAATAGAGACAAACTTACATATCACTTGAACACTTTGCCTCCCACGGTTTTGTCCTTTCACCCAAACCCCACCCCTCCTCCACAAATAATGTCTCAACCAGGAGGCGACATACAAGAGCGGATCGCCGCCGCACGGCGCGAGGCGGAAGTTTTGAAGGAGAAAATTCGGGCGAGTAGGGAGGCCTCAGCCGACACAAGCTGTATGTTATTTTGTCGTTCTTGCCAATTCATTCTTGTTGGACCGGTCGGTAACATACTCTACAGTGCGCGCTATGGCTGCCGAGGTTGACACTCTACCTCGAATCGTTATGCGACCTCGGCGTTCACTCAAGGGTCATCTCGCAAAAATCTATGCTATGCATTGGGCCGCTGATCGTCGACATCTCGTCTCCGCCTCACAGGATGGAAAGCTTATTGTATGGGACGCCTATACGACCAACAAAGTCCATGCCATCCCTCTTCGCTCAAGTTGGGTCATGACCTGCGCTTATTCACCATCAGGAAACTTTGTCGCATGCGGTGGTCTTGATAATATCTGTTCTATCTATAACCTCAACAGTAGAGAAGCCAATGGCGTCAGAGGTGGGCGCGAATTGAGCGCTCACTCTGGTTATCTTAGTTGCTGTCGTTTCATCAACGACAGACAAATCGTCACTAGTTCTGGTGATATGACTTGTATGCTTTGGGATATTGAAGCTGGTGTGAGAGTGGTCGAGTTCAGTGATCATACTGGGGACGTCATGAGGTATGGTTCTTGCTATCTTGCTATACAATCACTTTATTGCTAACTCATGTCACATAGCTTGTCACTCGGTCCTAATCAGAATGTTTTCGTCTCTGGTGCTTGCGATGCAACCGCCAAGCTGTGGGATATCCGGAGTGGTCGGGCAACCCAGACTTTCACAGGTCATGAGTCAGACATCAACGCTGTTCAGTAAGTTGATGGTTTCCATGTGGCAATGCAGGGTGCTCATTGTTGTTTAGATTCTTCCCAAATGGCGATGCATTCGCCACAGGATCGGACGATGCTTCATGCCGGCTTTTCGATATACGCGCGGATCGTGAATTAAACAGCTTTACGCACGACAATATTCTTTGTGGTATCACTTCTGTCGCATTCTCCATCTCTGGCCGCATTCTCTTCGGTGGCTATGATGATTGGACATGCAATGTGTGGGACACTCTACGGGGCGAGCGAGTGGGTGTTTTGACCGGACATGAAAACAGAGTCAGCTGTTTGGGTGTAAGTGTGGATGGGATGGCTCTCTGCACTGGTAGTTGGGATAGCACACTCAGGGTATGTTTCATCGATTTTTATGGGCGATGAGGATTTGACGAATTACTGCAGGTTTGGGCATAATGGAAACTGTGGACTATCTCTTTCGTCATCTTGCTATATCCTCTATGCTCACCTGCGTGCGACGCTTGCGGCGTGCGCCTTCGAGTCGGTCCTTACTCATCATTAGTTTCGTGCTCGCTGGTATACATATATTGTCTCGTATCAGGTCATCTGCTGCTACCCAGATATTATTCCTTGATGTTCTTTTCTCCCGAACCGTATTTAGTCATGAATTCAAATCGTCATTCAAATTGGTGTTGAGTCAAACGACGCACAGGCGCCCGGGCAACCTTATGGACCTTGGTTTGCATCCTCGGATCTCCAGTTATTCCACAGACTCACATATTGTCTCTGCAGCTCAGCGGAGTGATGCGGTGATAGCTGACCGCGTTGAACATCGATGGCTTCTGAAGATCTGATGCCCTACCAACTGATCCCAGGCCACCTCGAACAACAGGTCTTTCTTGGCAGGGAGCCGCAGTCCCAGGGTATGTTATGTTCCCACAAAGGGCACTCACTTCTATTCAAGACCGCAACAGCAGCTTACTGAGTTTGTTAGTTCCCCAAGTTGCCTACTAAGAAGGATTTTAAACAGGCATTCCAATCCATTTTTATGCTGGCTGAGTCTCGTCGACTGTCACAGGCGGTATGGCTCGGCTAAAGAAGTTTATGCAGAATGGAGCACACTGCAACATCTGCTCCGAGTCTCCGTACTCACTTAGATGTAGCCGTCCAATCGAATTGGAGCAGTCATGGAGGACAAGACAAACGACGATTCCGCAATTGAGGTCGCAGTACGATGAGCACCGGTTGCACCAGATTCATGCAAGGTTCAGGGTGAGAATGTGCAGTGTCGAGTCTGATGACTGCCTCATCGAACAGCCTGAAGTATACATAGCAACACAGTCAATCGAATGAACTCGACCATCACCGCCGCGAAGGCTAAGAAGCTTTCAGACCAGCACAATTTGCACAACACGCACTAAATACAGAACCTCCAGAAGATTCTTGCCTCCTTATTTTACACAAGACATCAAACTTAGCTTTTTATAATTGCTCATCTCGAGGAGCTCGATTGAATCGGTGTGTTGACAATCCCGACTCTAACGGCATTGTCCAATTGATGGTTTATATCTAAAGATCTCCAAGAGATGTTGAATAGCTCCAGACCGCACACGACAAATCACAGTCGTTTGACAAATTTGTTCAAGATCTGGAGGGCAACCCTTTCAAAGCTCGAAATTCGGTCTCTGGAGGAAGTGAGGTCTGTGATCTGCATCTGAACAACGTACGTCGGATGTTGGCGTTCGCAAACTTGAGGAACAAGACAAAAGTGATCGTACTCAAGGGCAGCTAGGAGCACTCAGGATTGTGCCGAAAGGCTCGAGTTTAAGCGCTCTAACTTGAGCATTTAGTTGTTTACCTGGCCATCCTCTTGCGCTCAGGCGCTCGGAGTCCAACGTGCTATGGATCCTGACGTCCACTCGTCGTCTTCGAAGCTCACCAAACTTGAAGTTCAGGCAAGTTAGCATTTTGGAAGACCAGCTCGAGCCTCGCACAACAGCACCCCACATCAAGATCAACCTCACAACCGTTTCACGACGTGGGTCTTTCACAAGTCAAGTGATCTTGCCTCATCACTCGCACTGTTCTGACGGTTGGACTCTAATGCAAAACTCGACGCAAGCGCCAAACGGCCGGTATTATTAGTACCGATAGCTGTGTGGGTGCTAAGCGCCATCCGAGGTCGGAATGATCCTTCTAGGTGAAGTGGCAGCTCGGCTATTCGGCCCTGTCTCGTGCGACTTTGGTTTGTATTGAATGTGAAGGACGAATAAAAAAGAAACGTTGGTAAAGAACTCGACAACAAAAAGCTCCTCATGACCTTGCCAGTGGGGAATCGGAATATATATAATTCGGTGAGCTTATCCGGTTATTAATGACCCATATTAATGCGGGGAAATGGAACATTACGTGAGCTTGCCAGTGCGGCTTTATCTGGTTGTTACTAACGGTCTATTCATGATGGACCACCACTTGTTTGCACGCTTTTCGCAGATGTGACATACCATTATTATTTGGGACAAATCATTATATTTCAAAAATTGTGAGGTGGGCCGTCATAAATCGTCCGCTGCTAAACCCTAGGGAATAGTGCTACCCCCGTCATGCTCTCTTTATTATGGCAACAGTTTGGTGGCAATTCAGTCTTCTCCGTCATGCTGTGCGCAGTTTTACGGGTTTTTCCAGGCATGATAGTATGGCGCAGTATGGCGCTCGCCCACGTTTTCCCTAAACTCGTGACACCTTGTGATTGGGTCGAGAAACACTTGAGCTCGACTTTGCTGTGGTTTGTATAAAAGTGCTCTCATTCTATCTTAACATATCCTTCTGCTCGTGATACCCGTTAGGCCCAGCCAGACATGTCATTTCCTCCTCCTAGTCCACGTTCGACACTACTCCGGTTTGTTAGGCTTACTAGTTCGCAGACTGTAAATTGCTCGTCATGCTGTGCTGGTGCCATTGGGAACCGGTACATGTCCCAGGGTATCACTCGGAACTCCATGACAGGACAACCTACCACTCCGCTTGATATTGAGGTATGGAGAGTGATTTAAAAATTCCATTTTCATTACAACTATTCATGAAGCCCTCCCTACTCACTGTCACTAAAACAACGAGCCCGAAGGAGCTGCCTCCCTCTAAGAGCCTTATCTTCGGACAAACATTCGTGGGTCATTTTCTCGTGTTGTTTGTGTGTTGTGCTTCATCGTGATCCCAGTCAGACCATATGTTGAGAATCCCCTGGACTGACGCTACTGGCTGGGGGGCACCCAGCATTGTACCTTGTGAGATCCTTGGCTTTCGCAATAATTTTACTAATATGATCCATTGCGTGTATTCTAGTCAGCACTATCAATTTGTCCCCTAGCTCTACCGTCCTTCATTATGCTCAATCTTTATTTGAGGGTATGAAAGCCTACAGGCACGCGGGTGGCACCGTGACCTTATTCAGGCCTGAAATGAACATGAAACGTATGAATACCAGCGCACAGCGGCTAGTGCTTCCCGTACGCCCTATTTTTCCCTTCTAGAAAGATCATGATTCAATGCTTCTCGCAATAGGCATTCAACGGCAACGCGCTTATTGAATGCATAAAGGCGTTGGTCACCATTGACCGTAAATGGATACCTAATGAGCCCGGGCACAAGTCTTTACATTAGACCCACGTTAAGTGAGTGTCATAACCTTTTCTGAGGACACAAAAACTAAGGACAATGACGCTGCAGTTGCCACGAATAGCACATTAGTTATTGCTCCCCCAAAGGAAGCACTCCTTTTTGTGATTACCTGCCCTGTAGGGCCATACTACCCTCAAGGATTCAAGCCTGTGCCGTTATATGGCACTACGGAGTATATTCGCGCAGCGCCCGGAGGTTTGCATTACTGCTCGCTCCACCACCTAATAACGCAATCTCGGGCCTACAGGCATCGGTGCATATAAACTTGCTGCGAACTACGGCCCCTGTGTCATCGCACAAAAAATGCAGCCAATCAGGGCTACGCACAAAACTTGTGGTTACAAGGCCCCGGGCACTGGCTCACGGAGGCGGGCACTATGAACTTGTTTGTTGTTATTAAGGACAGGGGTGGTGGTAAGCATTTACCTCAGCGGTGTTTCTATCGCATTGAATCCGTCGCCCTCGCAGTGAGCGAACTCATCACGCCTCCTCTTGACGGAATGATTCTCCCGGGTGTCACCCGCGATTCTGTGTTAACACTCGCGCGTAACCATGTTTCCGGCGTTAAGCGCCTCCAAGGTCTTCCTGATACCATCAAGGTCTCGGAGCGTCCCATCAACATGGCCGAGATCGTCCAATCCTCGAAGGAGGGACGACTTGTCGAGTTATTTGGAACTGGCACGGCGGCTGTTATCAGCCCTGTCGAGAGAATTGGATACAACGGAGGTGAAGTCATGATACCAACTGGTGAAGACGGTATGGGTCCCGTCTCGAGGCCACTTTGGACAGAGCTGGTGGGTATCCAGACGGGAGCTATCAACAGCGACTGGAACTACGTGGTAGCAACGAAGTAGTGCGGAGGCTGTTCATACCGGGTATCTACGTGTGCTTTCTTAGCTAGAACCTATATTCCTTTGTACAAGATCATGTATTGGCGCTCGCTGGCGTAGGATACGGGATATCAATTACGAAGGCGCACACATGCATACAGAAAGCCACATCTAGGGTGGGCCCGGCATATGAATATTTGAATGACCATTGCTGACAGTGGACGACTTTCCGTAGGCTTGATTAAAATATCATATCATAAGGGAGGCGAGCCGCAATTCCGCTGCTCATTTCCAATGAATTTACAATCATGTTTCGTTTGCCCCCCTCCTTAGGCTATTGAGGGGGAAGCAGTTGGTGTCAGCAAAGATAAAACGATGAAGGTGCCGAACGCAAAGTGTACGCACATTTACTCATCAACATGACTTCCTAGACGGTTGAACAAAGATGTTTTGGCGGTACCATGATAATTCTATGAGAATGAGATTATTCTTCAAGTCTATCGACGATTCAATATCACTACCTACCTTGAATGGAATCCATGATGTCATCCAAAGCTCTTGTACATTGTTCAGTTACTGCACCAACGGCGATGCTAAGTCTCCAGCACTTGCCTATGTTTTCCGGCTAATGCGTCCTTCGGAACTTGATTGTCTGGAAACCATCTACGACATAACTCCTGCAGGACATAAATAAGCTGTCAATTGCCGTTATTTGGTTATATCTCACTTTTATTGATGACACATCTTCGGAAACATGCATTGGCCGCTGTCGTCATGATCACAGAGATATCTTACTCACCAACAATCCTAGCATGATGTCTAATCAAGTTGTGCATGCGTGAGCAGGATAGACTGTTTACCGGTAATGAAGCCAAGTCTATAACTTCAGGCATCTCCTCCACCAAGAATGATCGGTCTGCATGAACTGAGTTGCCAGCTAGAACCGCAGTCCGTTTTTGCGGCACCCATTTCTTGATGTACTCCAAAACAACTTTTGCAACATACTCTCTCGTGTGAGGCGATGTCATGCAGGCTTGCGTTAGACCAGACTGAATGTTTATTTCACTGACTGTCAAGTAAGCACGCTGGGTAATGCATTGAAGACGAGCCTTTCCATGTTGCGTTATGCACCACTCATCCATACTGACCGTTCTCAGTATTCAAGATTGTTATATCAATATAGAAGGCTCACGAATTTAAAACTGCCTTGTCAGTCCTGATAACGAACTGGATGCCTTGTTCATCGACAAGCTCCAGGTCACCATTTGTGATCAATACCTGGACGTGAAGATGGATTCCAATCACTGCTAGTTGACCGATTTGAAGCACTCACTGCAATTTCCAAGATTTTGTCCTTTCTAGGATCGAGTCCAGTCATTTCGCAGTCAATCCAAACCATGGGACCTGAGTTGAAATCAAGTGGCGTTTGGGGCGACATTCCAAGAGAGTGGAACTGAGGGTTTTGAAGATAACTTTGTGGGAGACAGCCTGAGAGACGCCGAAGTTGAGACAATCGATGCGTTTGTGTTATTTGTCGATTCCCGAAGCGTACAACTTGATACAAGACTCGGGTAAAAATCATCATGAACAAGTCCTACCAAAAAAGGTCCGAATCTCCTTTTACTCCAATTACAAGATGTGACGTCGACTCGAAGTTGACTAAGTGACTTGTGACTTATGGGTATGTTTTCTCTTGGTGCACAAGTTGAATGCTAATGGTGACCAGTCGAATACAAATACATGATGAACAATGGCAAACCATATATGAAGCTAGCGTCTGTCATAGCAGTGACAGCTTGCAACTTGGAGTACAAAGGATTATCTTGCGTCTGCCAGTGTGTCTTCATGATTCGTTTCGAACAGCCGGTTATATGATCATTGTGTTGGCAGAATCATTGGTCAAACAAGGTCAGACATAACATCACATCAGTGCCTATCTCCATCCTTCCTGATTGGTACTCTCTCAGTGCCCACTGAGTACAACAAAGGTACATAAGGAAGCTTATATATAGGCGCCGTGCGGCTTGCTGTGGTCTCCATCACCTTATCGTTTCCCCGCGCCCCATCCCACTGTACAATGCCCTTCAATTTCGCAGACATCACTATAAATGACCTTACAGGAAGGGTTATCAAGACGGAGCAAATCGCCAACGGACTCTGCGGAGAGGTATGGAAGGGCACCTATACAATAGGAGGTCGACCAGTCATTGTACGATTCGGTGATGGTATTCAATTCATGATATATCTCACACATACTCGCTGCAGGTAGCTGTGAAGGTCATGAGATCGACGTTGTTTCTCAACAGTCAAACTGCAGAACAAACAATGCGGGTAAAATATCCTATTTCACAAGTGAAAATTTGTTATTCAGTCAAATGTTTCCAGAGGCTCCTGCGAGAAACAGGAGTATGGAGTACATGTATTCATCCTCACTTAGCCCCGTTTATTGGTGTATGTTATGAGGTTACACGAGGATATCAAGTCCCCTGTTTGTTATCTCCATTCTATAAGAACGGAACCATCATGCAGTACCTAAAACACAATTCAAATGCTGTGCGGATGGACTTGGTACACATTTCACTCTACTGATTTTTACCGCGTTTACGAATGACTGGACAGCTTCGCCAATTTATTTCTGGATTGGCTTATTTACATGGTCGTGCTATTGTTCACGGGGACCTCAAACCTGTCTGGCACCCATTTCCTTCATATTTTGCGATGCCGGAGCTGATGTGATTATCTTCGCAGACAAATATTCTCATCGACGACGCAGGCAATGCGGTGTTAGCCGACTTCGGACACTCTCGAATCCTTGGGGCTTCTGGGTTCACGACAAGCACAATAACCATAGCTGGCACGTTCCGCTACATGGCGCCAGAGTTGATGGTACCTGAAAATCCAGATATAACACCAACACCAACGATAGCATCAGATATTTGGGCGGCAGGGATGACGGGCCTGGAGGTGCGTTTGCAAATAATCGTAGCCTAGGCGCTGGATTTTGATTTTGATTCTTAGATTCTCTCCAGTAAGGTCCCGTATGCGGAATTCACGGAGAGCCAATTAGTCGCAGCTATGGTGGCTAATAAATTACCCAACAAGGCACACTACCCTCTCGTTCGACACGGTGCATGGTCTGCGTTTGAACATTGTTGGAAAAAGAACCCGAGTGAACGACCAGATGTGCAGCGATTGAGCAATTACTTAGATGAAAAATATGGGTCTGACTCGAGTCGGTCAGCCAGACCTACTAGAACTCGAGGTTGAACAGATGTAGACATAACTACTTTTTCCCTGCGTTTTGTTGTATTTTCTGCACCTTATACCACATAATAAATTACTTGTTGGTGTTGGGGCGTCCCCCCTCTCTTATGCGCATACGGAACTTGAACGTAGCCCGTCATGAAGGAGCAGGCGAATATGCCAATTGGGCAATGAGCCTGACAAAGGCCGTCCGGGGCAGGCCTCAGCAGCTCTCTTTTTTTCTCTTTTTCTTCTTCTTTTTTCTAAGGAAAGAGAAGAAGAAAAGAAGAAGAAAAAAACAGTCGAAAGTAATGAGTCGAGTAATGCGTCGAGAGTAAATCGTTCGTCTGTGCAATTTAACATCCATTCATTCCTATTATGCTGTTTTGAGAACGTTTTGAGTACATTATCTGCTATAAGGGAGAGGGGGGCGGGTGCGACGAAACGAGAGTGTAGTCTAGCAGTAGAGGACTGCAATGCAAGTACTACGTGGTAGTACGAAGCAACAAGGGTGAGAAACTCGCCGCCGAGTAGACCTCATTCTATGTACGTTCTCGTGCCTCGACTCGACTTACTTAGAAAATTACACTGCAGCGGAAGCAACCTTTTTGAACACAGAAAAGGCGTGACAAAGGCATGAAAAATGGACAAATTTGGAATACCTTTCTGGACGACGAATATGAACCTTGATTTTAACAAATTTGAGAGCTTTTTGCACGGATGAAAAGTTTAACTTATGAGGCATCACAAGCTCCTACACATGTTTTATATTCTTAGACTTAACTACGACAGTTAATAATCGAGAATGAACTGGATGATTCTATGTGAGAATAGAAAACACTCAGAGGAGCTTGTGATGCCACATAAGTTAAACTGTTCATCCATGCAAAAGCTCTCGAATTTTTTAAATCAAGGTTCATATTCGTCGTCCAGAAAGGTATTCCAAATTTGTCCATTTTTCATGCCTTTGTCACGCCTTTTCTGTGTTCAAAAAGGTTGCTGCCGCTGCAGTGTTAGAATATAAACTACTCCTTTTTTAACAGTGACACGTGACCGTGTTGCGTCGCGCTCCTAACGGAGTTTTGAGTCCCTGACTTTTCTTCTATACTTCAACAGGTTCAACCAAAATCGTTGTTGCGTTAATCCTTCAAGCTCGCGTTCCTCAGTTTCAACATGGGTAAAGAGTCGGATGATGCAGCCCCTCGAGAATACCCGTACTTCTGGTCCAAGGGGTCGAGTATAGCTTTACCAGACTTTCTGATGAAGGTATCGGATTACAGCAATCGCCAGGCTCTTGTTCTCTTCTGACGCGTCCATGTATTATGTCAGTATAAACCGTCGATGGTCCAGAATGACGGCACAAAACCAGTGAGCCTATTTACTGTAATCCCGTACTTACTGTATATAACCTAGCATCCATGAAGTGGATATGGGTCGAAGGAAGTAACCGAAACCAGGATACAACTGAATCTGATGCAACTGCTGCTATCAGTGAGGCTTCAGCATTGCGTATGTTACGTCATTAATGTGCTCCGGCTCACTGACAATCTACCTTAGTGAAGCAAGTGTCGCAGAGAGTGGAAGAGATCAAGGCAGGTATTCAGTGTTATTCGGTGCTCCTTCCCTAAACGTATAGCAGAACGATGATTCTATTCCTATGCGCTCTAGCAAAAAGACAGGAGCAAAGAGCAAAAAGGATGTTCGTGAGAAGGTGATTCGTTTTCACACTTGAAACCTGTATACTCAAGGGTTCGATAGGTACAAGCAGACGCTGCCGAGAAACTGAAGGATATATCCATTAAGCACAACTACGTTTGTGGAAAATGGTTAGCGTTCCTGATAAACACCATCAGCAACTGCGAATAATTTTTGAACAGGTTGATATTCGCTCCCGCAGACAAAGTAGACGTAATATGGTCCAAGATCGCCAGTAAGTTAGACTTCTATCATAATCAGTGCATCTGTCACTGAAATCTCCAAGCATCGCTCGTTTCTGGCGCCCTTGCTTCAACTTGCGCATATCTGACGAAAGTAGCAACATCACCGTCGAATGAGACTCCGCACTATCAACACGTCATCTGTCTCTATATCCCAGATGTCTACGACAAAGATGCCGTCACAGATGTTGGCATCACTGCCATTTTCTCTATTTTCGAGTGTTGATTCTCCAAGCAGGTCATGAAGGTGCTCTTGAGAAACCACGGTGTCAATCTCAGTGGCGTAAAATCGGATCTATACACAGGAGCAGGCAAGTATCAAACTGACTTGTTGAAATTACATGACGATGACTTCGGTTTCCGAATTCAGGACTCGATAGCAAACACTCGAGCGGAATCCCACCAACAGTAAGTCTCGTCAAACTTGAAGATGATACACGATTAAGGATGTGATCAGGTGTGGAAAAACACTTCTCTACTCGCAGATTCCGAGATCAAGGCAAGTGTATAGCTACGATGAGGGCATACAAACGTTATTCATACTCCTATGCAGGCCCTCAAAGATGCCTATTTCTCGGAGCTGAATACTGCTTCAACATCTACGGAAAAACCTGACGAACAGAAGGACCAGCCTTCCATCGCTGCAAAGAAAAAGCCCATTCTCAAGAAGAAAACCAAAGAAGATGATCCTTTTGCATCTGAGGACGAGGCTGATGCTCAAGAAGCGGAACGGAAACAAAAGGTGCAAGCAAGGGGGAAACCAGGAAAGAGATCCCAATCAAGCGATATGGATGCGGACGCAGACGAGAGTGACAAACCAAAAACAAAGAAGAAGAAGAGTACATGGTGACTACCCCACTCATTACATTGTCGTTGTTGTTTTTTGTGATCCTATGTTGACTCGCCTTGTGTATATTATTTCTGCTTCCTTTGTTTTTCGAACCAGTTCGAACCACGGACTATCATCGCATGTGTCATGTGTCAGCCCACGAGTATTTCCGTCGCGGTCTCCCGTGACGACAATCAGGGTGCGCCCTCGAAACTGTGATGTACCTTTCCCGTGTTAACTCTGCACGTGTACGGAGTAGATACGGCGCTATCCACCATGCAGCGAGCTTTATATGAACATCAGTTACGGCATGATTAATCTGCACGGCTAGGCCTACAGCAAACATACCACGATCAAGCCTTCAAACTTTGTTCCAACGAGTGTCGTGACAGACGGACTCCCCTTGGTAGCGCTTGTCGCTAAGAAGTTTATCATCATGCGGGTAGCTGCCGGATCCTGAGTGAGAATTTCCGAAGCCAGATCCACGAATGCCGTCGATGATCTCGAGGCATTCAGAGCTTCCATGCCCATCAATCATGATGGATATCTAGAAGACTTCATATCCGTTTCATGGCGACTGACTAGGCGTCAACAAACTATAAGCGCTGATTTCAGCAATCTGAGCTCCCACTCCTCCGAAGGTTTTCTCTGTTCATCCCGCTCTGATATCAACCTTTGCGTCACTTCATCCCTGCCCCCACACACGCCGAGAGCATATATGCTGCCCGATTTTAATACTTCTTCCGTACTGGCGACAATCCACTTTACTCTTGACCTAACAGCTACGACTACATGTGGAACTCTTGGAGCTCTCGGCACGATTCCAGGCTTGAACAAAGAAGAATTTGCGGCCTGCTCAACAAACTGAACGTGACAAACTTCGATTCCGTTGCTACCAAGTTGATCGAGCGTCTTACAAATTGTAGACGGCGCGGTGGCGTAGAGACCATCGAAGCCTTTGCTGATTCGATTGCACTCCGTGCAGTCGAGGACACCCGACGCTCCTCCCTCTACGCTTATCTTTGCCGAAGAGTTGACAGAGAGCTTGAGATGGAGGACAGGCGGTGGACATGGCTTAACGATGGCACACGACAATCATCACACCCATCATTCGCCAGTATCCTTGTCGACGCTTGTGAAAGCAGATTCACGCAAGCTCTTGATGAGCGGGCAGCACATCTGTTCCCCTTGGTCGAATTCATAGGGGATTTATTGTTGGATGGTGTTTTGCCCATCGCCGACGTTCAAGACCTGGTGCACCAGCTCTTCACTCTGGCGGAACAAGGCCAGGAGGGCAGTGCCATTGCGCTGAGCAGGCTGTGCCGCAGAGTTGCTGGAGAACAAGAAGGAGTGTACATTCTAGAGCAATTAGGTGCTTCGGGTAGCATCGAGAGAGTGCTGGAGGAAGATATCATCACGCCAAAAGCTCGTTACCTTCTGATGGTGAGTCATCGGATTATATTGTTGATTCGCTTGCTCAACTTTTCTTTTCAAGGCTGTAGTGGACTTGTTCCACCGGGAGCTTGTGGATGTCTTTGACTCAGCAGGGCTTAGAAACGAGATTTACAATCTTGATGACGACGAGGAGGAGGTCTCATCGGAACTCGATTCGACTGCCTCAACAGATGTTGGTGATTCACTTCCTTTGAAGACAACAACCTGTGAGTCGGAGGACCAAGCGGAGGTTTCTAAGCTGGACGTAGAGTGAGCAGAGGCCGACATCTATCCCGCATTTGTTCCACCCTGAAGGTCATTGAACGGCTCTGAACATGCGATTGAAGGGAGATACCAACAAAGTGTACTATAGATACAAATGAAGATGGATGCGTGCCGAGGACAAAATATGAACATAAAAATACCGAAATGATTTCATTCAGTGGGGACCTGCTTCTGTCTCTTTGCTTGCGAGTCTTGTTCTTCATCTGCTACATGAGACCGCTTTTTCGCTCTGATCTTTTTCGTCTTGCGACGATCCTTGCCTAATGCGTCTGCTCCGCTATCAGAGCCCTCCACATCTTCCGTATGAGGCTTGTATGCAGCTGAGTCTACAATTTGTCGTTTGCTCCGTCTCCGTTTCAGGATGTGGGTCAATCGCTGCGGACCTTTCGATAGTGGATCTTGAGGGACATTGTCCGCTTCTACGTCAGCACGAGTTTCTTTATCAGAAACAGATTCCTTTCGTCGACGTTTGAGTTTGGGAGAACTGCCTTCTTCATCCGACAGCTCTTCACCTGACGCTGAGAATAATGAAGACGTGTGCTTGTATAGCTGCGCCTCAGACAAGGACGAGCCAAATGATGTTGCAATTGATCCTGCGGTGGAAACGGGTGGCCGCGAGATCGATGTCACCGGTGAACGCCGCGACGCCACTGAAAATTGTGGCGAGGTGGTAGCACTCTGCGACAGGGATGCGACAAGCTTTGATACTGTGGTTGATTTTCGGCCCTTCTTCTTGTATTGTACTTCCTCCCCAGGTTGGAGCAGGAAGAACACCTCATTTTCCCGAATCAGGTCCACTCCGACTAGTTGCCGCAAGATGCCGACCAGATAGGGATTGAAGTCCAAGGCCTCGATATTGCCAATCAAGCGGGGATAGTCCTCATAAGTTGCTGGACCATGGTCCTGTATCTCCTCTTCGTCCATCAGCTCCTTGTCACCAAGAGAGCAACCGGGTACTACGAAGCATACTCTTGGCCCACCTTCCTCTTTAGGTAGACTGACTTTATGGAATCGACAGTTAGAGCGAGTGACAGGTGAACTTGTCGACGCAGCGGAACACTGAACGTTGGAAGAGGGAGCACGTGGCGGGGCTGAAACCGAAGAGTAATCCTTTTGGCGCTCAGGGTTGTGGGAAGGCTCTGGAGATACCATCTTAGTGTTGTGAGTCTGAAGTGGCACAGAAGGTAGAAGTGGCGGTCGATGGCGGTGATGCATGGCACCATGTGTATGGAAGAGCGGCGGGGGAACGGGGGGATGTTGGATTGAAGAGGAATCACTTGGAGCAGAGGACACGATAGAAGAAGCCCGTGACCCATTAGCGCTAGTGAATTGAAGAAGCTTGGCGGCGGTACTAGCGCCAGAGCTTGCTGATCCATGATCACTATCACCATCCTTAAGGTCGAAGAGCTTCCGCTTCCGGCGGCGACCTGGCGCAGCCCGCTCTGCTTTGTGATCTCCTTGAGATTTCTTGTGTCCGCTTGACATCGAACGAGTGAGACGACTCGAATTTTGTACTGGTGATGTCCTCTTCCGCTTGGAAGGCTTCATTTGAGATTCTTGGTCTTCAGCATCTCCAGATCCCCTGGGTTCACGGACGTCAGGAAACTCGTGTGGTGTGCCCGGGACATTAGTGAAGTGTTCCCTGTGAACCCGTTGAGTATAAATCAAATGTTCGTATTCAATGACGCACAATCCATATTTGGAAACAGAATCCTCCTGGTTGTCGTCTTGCCCAGGTTCGCGAACGGATTCTGGTAGTATCTCACTGTCGGGTGCCAGCGATTGCAATGGTTCTTGTTCTGATAGAGGACTGAGTAAGGGGGAGTCCACGGGTCCAAGGACCTCTACGGGGAGAGCTTCAGCTGATGCTAGAACCTCTTCGGGGCGATCATGGTCTGATGGAGGCGTTTGGTCTGATACTGTCGGCAGAGCACTTCTGGCTGCCTGCTGAACTTCCTCAGATTTCAGCGAAGCTACGGTGGTGTTTTCCGCTACTGAGCGGTGTTCGGCGGCAGGCTTCGTTGATGGTTGATCGGTTTCATTCTCTGCATCAGCATCGACAGACGAAGGATGGGATACGCCAAGCTGCGTAGCTTCCACGAATTCAGATCTACCACCGTCTTGGTTACTAGTGAATGTTCTGGCTGGACTTGGTTCAGTGACTGCAACGTTGTCGGAAACATCAATCGTCGTTGTATCAATTTCAGATCGCGACGCTAGAGCACTCGTAACGGAGGCCATAACATCGTCAGAAGACGGGAGCGGTAGATATGCATGAGAGGGAGAAGGCATGCCAAAGACATCACCTATATCCACACTAGTCGGCTCGCCCTCTCGAGGCGTGAAAAGACCACTTGGACTGTTGCTGCCTTCGGATGGCGATTCCCGACGAGAGAAAGTATGCAACATTGATGTGGAGACGGGTACTGAAACTGGAGTGGGTTGGCCTGGTGTAGAGTGCGGGCTGATGATGATGTGAGGGGTGCCTGGGAGTTTGACCAAACGTGGAGTCTGTTGTAGATGATTGGTCCCAGAAGAGATAATAGGGTCTGACACGGAAGGATCACAGAATATGGGCATTGGGAAGACCGAGACATTGTGATTATCAAATGAGGATGGTTCCGCAGAAGTAGGCTTCGGTGTGACAGGAACAGTCTCCGCCAGTGTGTTGACTGGACCAGCGGCCTGAATCTCCGGCTCCTGTGAAGCATGAAGTTAAATAATAAGACATTTAAAGGTTAGACTCACCACCGAGGCTTCTGTAGTAGGAGGCTCCTCAACTACATATTCGCCATCGAGATCAGACACATCCCCGGCAAAAGATGTTACTTCAATCCCTTCGCTCACCCCACGAGGAATAGGAGCAGTAGATTCCATCTCTACAACAATAAAAATGGGCTCGTCGTTAGGTTCGCCAAGTTGTTTCTCGAAAGAGCCACCGAGTGTGGAAGTAGGAACATCAGAAGGAAGAGAGTGATGTTCGACATTCTCCAAAGTTACGTTCTCAAAACCATTTTGGATCTCCGTGGTTGGAGTCGGTTTGATTGAGATGGATGATTCCACCATAGCATCTAGATGCTGCGACTGAAGTTCCCCATCCCCAGACTCCGATGCCTCCGTTGGTCCCATAATGTCACCTGTTCTAGCAGCATTTAGTGATACAATTTGTGACTGAACCGTGAAGTCACCGACCGGCTTGCTCGATGCCTGGAGGAGACGTCACATCTTCGCCAAGAAACTCAGCGGCGATCATGCCGCTAATGTCGACCAGCGTGGTCTCAACTTTTTCGGTCACGTTTGCTGAAGGTAACACTTCACAATTGAGAAGATCAAAGAAACTCTCCACTACGACGCATTCATCAGCATTCAGCCGGGAGTCCAAAGGAAGCGGAAACTGGTCGGCTTCTGGAGCCTGAATATCGTCTTCCTCGACAACCTCCACGCCTAGTCCGTTCCGGTCGTCGCTCTGTTCGTCCGGTTCCTGACGAATCCCGTCATCATACCCAAGGTCACTGGTTCCTAGTGGAATAGGACCTTCTGGGGCTTCTTCGCTCCCATCCTCTTCCTCATTATGTTCCGCATCGACATCAATGACATTATCCTGGGCTTCTTCAATGTCGTCAACCCCCGCTCTTGGAGAAGAAGTTTCGAGGTGTCCAGCGCGGCTAGCAAACTTTCCCCGCGGGAATGCGGGAGGCCAATTCCAGTCAAGATGTTCAGTAGATTTGGAGTAAGGCCTGGGGGACAGACATTGATCCGCTATGAAATTCATCAAATGACGAGGTAAAGATCACTGAATGAGAAAGATTTTAGTGAAACCATGACACGAAAAGTGGTGCATGGACAAACTTTGCTGCTCGTCTTGAGACAGGTTGTCCGCGTCTCGATATAAATGGTCAAGGATATTATCGGGTTCTTCGTGCTCCCCGTGGATCCCTCGCACATTCGAGAGCTGGTAATCATCCACATGACTACGACTGGATCGCGCCTCGACAGGAGATGACGGAGGGGGGCTCGAATCAGGGAGTGCTTCGTCGGTCACGTCTACATTGACTACAGCAGGTTCTGTCTTGGGCACCCCAGAAGGAGGCCCGTCATCCTGCATTATGTTGGAAAAAAGTGTATCTACGTGTGCGTCATGCACGGGAGTAAGACTAGAAGGAGAAACGCCGTTCAGCTGATCTTGCGCATTAAAATCGCCACCAGTGTAGAAATCTTCTGCGTATGTTCGTGGACCTTGCCATGGATCAGGCAGTTCCAGAGGTAGAGACGGTTGATGCTGCATAATAGACGGAGGGAAATCTTGATTAAAAGGCCAATTAGCGCATGGTTGATGTTTTGTTTGTCAGAACATTACTACCTTCGACTTCTTCTGCATCGAGTTGGCCTTCTTGTTCATACAGGACGGTACCATTGGGGCCTAACTCGTCCTCTACCTCATCAGGAGGCAGTTGCGAAGACCCATGCTGCCTGCCACTGTATGCAGCTTCGTGTACAGGAGCTCGAGTATCATCTTCCTCGTCCGAGCATATCTCAATGATGTCCGGACTCTCCTCCCTAGAAGATATTTCCTCCACCTCAATTTTCTCGACTTGAGGATCGACAAGGCAGTGGCGGCGATTTACGGTCCAGTTCCCGGCTTGGTGATGACCGTGATAGCCCTCCCCCTCTCCCTCTGTACCAACGACCTCTGTTTCCCTATCAGAATATTCTTCATATTCTTCCTCACTTTCAGCACCTGACTCAGAGTCGGAAAGCAATCCAATAGGATTTTGCTCAGCACCAAGGCCGGGGCCCTCTCGCGGGTCTTTGGCCTTTCCTTTCGCGCGTCTGCTCCGGATATCAGCAAACGAATCTTCGAACGACTGATCCGAGAATGTTTCCTCGGCAGCTGCGTCAACATCCTGTGACCGGTGTTCGTCAAGGGCAGTATCTTCTTGAGTCTCCTCGCCGAGTGCTCTGCGCAGAGCACTCGTAATACCATCAATCCATTCGTCGAACTCTGATTTGGTGAATTTATCATACGGGTTGTGAATGGGCCGTCTCAGCGACTTGGGAATTGTGGAGACGGGTGTAGTTTGTGGTGCAGGAAGGATAGGAAATGGCGAGCGCCAGCTGGTCGACATTCTTGTTGGTCGCTGTGGCAGCGACAGACTCGCAAGAGTAAAGTCGATATCTGATGATTTTGTGAAATGAAAAGATGAAGAGAAACGCGTCTTGTCAGTGGTCACGAGCAACAAGTTAGGATGAATGAAACAATACGAGACAACGCATTTTGAACTCAGCGACAGCTAGATCTTATGTTATTACCTTATTCAAGTTATTCTGACAGTGGACTCCAAGTGGGCTCTTCCGAAATTTGGTTGTTGACGATGACATGAAATAGATCGACGAGTCTGCTGCTTAACGGGTAGACCTTTGCAGTAAGTTTGAAGCCTCTGTCTTTGGATCTGAGACAGAACGACTTGCACATCCCTCGTGCGTAATTAATCATTTCGACATGTCTTTCTCCTTGAATCGAGCAGACTGCAACGCATTGAGCAGTGGTCTCCCATAGACAGCCCTTTATAGACGAAGGAAGATAGTCGCTCCTACTAATGATTGAGCAGCGACAGAGAGCTGTGCGAGATATGGTGAGCGTTATGATATGTTCGATGCCTAGCATGACAGTCCCAGTAATTTATTCACGGGTGCCGAGCAATCAAAGGGATCAGTCCGTTACTCCATTGCACATTTAATACGTGGACGTCATTGACAATAGGGTAGCAGTTCAAGTTCGCTCGCAGTATTCCCACTTGAACACATGTACTGGCACGATGCAACCACGGAGATTGTGCATCTTTGGCTCTTCCATTATCACGCCACATAAAAAAATATGACTGGCTGCTCACGCGCACGTCCGAGGATGTGGATGAGCATCAGCTCCGCGGGCGATCTGTTAAATGAAAGCACACAAGGTTCTACAAGCCGGTAGCTTGGCCGCGGCCCCAGCCACTGTTTCAAGCTACTGTACCGACGAAGAGTCCCCCATGGGAATTTAATCAATCGAGGATCCGGCACATATAGCAGCGTGTACCGTGTCACAGGGGAAATACAATAATCAATCAGATCAGTCTGTGTCCTCGTATTTCGAAGTGGCACAGTGGAATTTGGAGCTCGGCAAAGGCCATGACCCACACAACACCAACGAAGCACAAGTCGGGGCTCAACAGGTAGACACCTAGCAACTGGCCATTATCATTAAAACAAATCCTCAGAGTTCGCATGCTTGACACAACGCGAGAATAGCCCAAAGTTCATATCAGATTGTTGATCTCCCGGGACTCGATCTCGAATTGAAGCTGAGCACTGATCGATGATCGTCCGACAAGATCGAATTGCTAGAATCACATGGGCCTACGGGACCAGTGGTTAGTTAAGAAGACTTTTGGGTTGTAACTTAGTGATCAAATACCCGTTGAGAATCTAGTGTTCTCAGGCACAGAGGAAGCTGAGCCTAAACTCACGCGCGCCGCACACACAAATACTTATCCCTGTAGCGCTCAAGAGCTCAATTGATGTTCAAATGACCTAGAAGTCTTCGCCTGTAATGAGATTTAAGTTCACTCGGCGGGATGTGCATGCCAACATCGAAATTGAGTGTAAGGAGGGAGTGCACAATGATGAATTTCGGAAAGTTGCACGAGGGGTGATGGGTAAAATAGCAAAGTCGCACGAGGAGGACGAGAAATCTGGAGTAAAATGACCTGACGCGACGGAAATCTGATAAGAAAGAGTTGAACTTGGCGCCCGGACGTGCTCCGAGACAACTCAAGCATAGCTCCGTGAACTTGGCATCGCATATCTCCAGGAGGAGAACCGGGACGTTGGGCTCGTGGTTAGGAATTACTAGGTTGGCATTAAATATAATAACGAACAAGACATCATGGCACCTTAGCACTCCCATTATCATAAGCACATATGTACCCTTTTCGCCCAATTCCACATTGATGCAGATAAGGGCCGCAGAGCTGGCGTACCCCAAAATCAGATGCAATCAAAACTTCCTGTGTTATAGACAGCACTATCTCAAAATATCGTTGGAAGTGCTGAATATGTGATACGGGTATCTGTGTGCAGAGTATACAGCTGATCGATGGTACACAGTTCTAACCAAAGGGTACATACTAAATCAACAACTTGCAGCAGCTTGCACTGAGTATCATCAAAAAGTAATGTGGGTGTATTTTTTAGTCTTCGACGTATCATGAACCAGGGGCGCCTTGATCAGGAAGCCGTTCGATGGCATAGCGTCTGCTGACGATATACATTAGCGGCACGCCAGGAATCTGTCGTATACGCCTCCGGAGTTCTCTATCGCAAGTAGCGACAATATAGCACTTGTGAGCAGTGACACGCTGCACCAAGCAGTCATCTGCGTATGTTCCAGTGTGGCTGCAATTCAATCGCTCGAATCGTGGATCTCGAGCAACACTGATGGAGAAAAAGTAAACGCATGCGCCGACAGCATGATAAATATTGTCTTACCGAAGTGCTACACGATACCGGTGGCCAAGCTTCTCTAATTCAGCCATAACACAGTCCGTGACACAAGGTATACCTGTCAATATTACTGTCAACAGATACCCGGCAATTGCAACAAGACCACAAACATTTGGCAAATAAACAGTCCATCATACCACTGACTAGTTCAAGTTTATTTTGTAGACTGAAATTTATGAAGTTCGTATCAATCAAGACTCGGTAAGGTGGCACAAGTTCAGTATTGTGCGCAAGGAACATAGACGATGCGACCTGTGGTCTGAAATGCATGAGTTACTTACAGTTGCGTGCCCAATAGGTTACTGAAAACTCACATCCGGCGGACCGCCTTGGCTTTTTCTTCCTCTTCTTTTTTCTTCTGCTTCAATTGGTTCTCTTTTCTGCATCGAAGGATTCAGCGACAAAGGGGAGCGGGTGATCAGGCAACGCACAATCTAGCATCATTGGGGTTCAAGAGGCGTTTAACGGCGGCAAACTTTCTAGTCTTCTTTGCCTTGCCCTGATAATGATGGTCATTAAAGACGATTGCAAGTTACGAAGTGCACTTGCCATGCTTTGAATGTCTCAGATCCGATATCAAGTTTTCAGCGACGGTAGACAATATTTGTTGAGTCAGCAACAACCCTGAAGTCTTTATTCTCACGGCACGAGTCTACTCAACTCTACCATCTTCAAGACTTCAACAGCTCCTGGAGGAGGCTGTATTCCAGAACGTAATATCTTCTGTCTCTGAGGTACAAAGAGATGATCGTTGGCAGTTCATGTGGCGCCAATAAGTTAACTCGGGTGTAATTGCTTTCAATCCTGCATTTCAGGCCTGCATATAGGTCTGTTTCTTTCATTGACAGAGTCACCTCCCTAGGCCAGCATTCATGCGCACAGCCCGCTGAACATCTGTCTGGGTATGTTTGACCTCTGCTGATATATATTTTATAGAAATTATTGGAAGTCCTGAATGAGGACTCGTGATCACCTTCGTGATGACGATCAACAGACTGTGGCTTTTTTAAATATAAAAAACCCCCATATACGTGCGACTGCGACCGCGACCCTTGTCGAATTCCCAGTTCCGAGGAGCAGGACTTACGTCCGCAGTTTAACTGCCTAAACGCCTAAAATATCGATTACAGGTTCTACACGATTGACTGCAACGGTACCTATCGTCATCACTGGCCAGATAAGATAGTTGCTCAAACCTTCGATTCTATGAGTATGTGAACCGCCCACTTGGTAATTCTTAGTTGTGCTTAATCCATGTGCGTGCGAGCATAGATATCGGGCGGAACATCCTTTAATTTTTCTCAGTCGCCCCTGTTGTCTAATGTTAAATATCCAGAAAATTCAGCTTTCTTTTCCCCTCAAGAACTTCAACAGTTCGTCCGACAACCCTTCTTAGTTTGCAGTCAAGCATGTTGGCCGATGATTCATATAGCACTACATCTACCAACGTTGAGGTGTGTTTAATCTCGCTCTCCGTTCAGGCTATCGCAAGCTGACAACATCAAAAGTTGGCATGTATTCCAGATGATACTACTGGCTTGGAGCGCATAATGCTTGCGGCACAGGGAGATTTACAGAGGTTACTGAGGTAATGATCCATTCCCTCCCGTGCTAAGCCAGGCATTGATATTTATCCTCTCCAGCTCATATTTTGGCCACCCTATCTTTATCGAACTTATCTACGCGCACTGCTCTTCCCGTCTTACGCCAGCAAGTTTAGAGAACCCCATCACACAATCACGACAGGTGCATCTTGTGTGTTCATCGTGCACTGTCTGCATTGCGACATCTACTGTTACCATCACCTCTCCCCAATGCGAACGTCTATTTCTTGACGAAAAATTCCCAATCGGGCAAACTTTTCGACGACTTAATCGTACTCCGAAATTCAGTCTCCTCAACGTAGAGACAAAAGCAATCAATGGAAAACGTGAACTTCGGAGAACGTATAAGCTGGAAACCGAGGGCTTCGTTGCAGAAATCTTGGAAGTATTTCCGGACAGAGACATGTTCGTCCGCGGCGAGGCATGGCTGATGGAGCGGAGGACTAATTTAGATATCACTTGCACCGTCGCAACAGACACAAAACCCGAGTGGCTGTCCGTACGCAAAGGAAATGTTGTTCATTAGAATTTAGGGCTTTCTACATACATTATGTAATATGTCGCCTCATCGTTTACGCTGAGGTATATATAGGGGCCTGTGGAAGCATCAGTAGCCAATGAAAATTCATCATACGTGAGACTGAAGGTTATTCGCGTCTCTGCGATCTTTTGGTCGCTCAGCCTGCCGTGACCCGTTTTAATTAGCATTCGACTCTCTCCCGCGTCCATTGGCATGCTTGGCACCTGGCTACAATATCTCAATCCTAGTTCTTTGTCCAATATGATAAGCTGTTAGGCATCATTGTGCTGAGTTAGCTCTAGTCTGTGCTGTTTGGCAGGGCAAATCTAGGGAACTTAGGCGTATCGTCAATTCAACGGCCGGCAAAGCTCAGCGCACCTTTGATTTACCTGCGCATCTACAACATCTCCATTCACCTTCTTGATTTTTTGTGTTTCGTACCTTTCATATGTTCAATGAGCTGACGAGGCACTTAGACTCGAGCTACACCAGTAGCATAATCAGCCGATTATGAAATTCGTTTATCAGTTATTTCGAGATCTGTTGTCAGATGGGCCTACTGAATCTACGAAATGAATTTGATTCCTTCGCTTGTCTCTGTCTTTCTTACGAAGCGCGTTTATGACTTCGACGACTTCGTCATACAAACTTCGGCGGGTCGCTTCTGCAATTCATAAGAGTGATTGTCTTCTACCGCCGGCACACCCATGTCAAATAATGACACTGGTTGCCTCACCCCCCGCTCAGTTGAGTATATAACTACCCGCGTTTTCGATGGCACATATTATTGTGTGACATCGAAGTCTTTCGTACTTAGCTATGGTACGTACGGCCCGGGTTCTCAGTTTCTCAAACACGTTCCCAGAAGTTTCTTAAACACGTTCTCCGACGTTAGCAGACGTCCGGCCCGAATATTCTATGCGAAGAAAATTGCGTTGCAGAATGGGTGGGGTTTATTGTGTCCTCAACAGGACGCACTTGATCACAATAATCCTTAAGCAATCCGCGAGGACAATACCTGTACGATTCCTCTGCTTCGTACACTTTTCACCCATGTGACCCCTGAACGCATCAGTATGTTAAGATATATAGAACCACTGTCTTCATTCTATATTGCCTGACAAGAATCAAAAAAATCAAGGTGCTGTAGGCGCCTCCCAAAGGAACGTGAAACGCTCCTATGCTGAAGGCACAACGGGTGGGGGCTCGTTGTCTGACTATGGGAGACTAACAGTGTTGAGTGGTCTCCCCAAGGCGAACCTTTATAGACAAAAGACAGTCAGTGGTTCCTTCTGATTAAAAATATTGAGACGACTCGGTGTATAAACAGTAATGTCTGGCATCCAGAATTCGGACACGGCCAGATTCAAAGAGACCCACCTAGTGACTCAAGCTTGCTCTCGAAGCTGCTACCAGCATGATGACCGAAATCACTGAGGAAACGATGAATTGTAACAATCACCACTTTCGCTGACACGATCGATATGATTCGCGAACTATGCGTTGCTGTTAGATGTCGTGACACGAAAGAAATCAGATAAATTGCTAGCCAATGGTATCTGATTTGTACAAATAGTAGATCAGGAGTGATGACACTATTTGGGCTGAAAACCCCAGAGGGTTTTTCGAACCGGTGCGAAACAATCCAGGGTGAAGCCATGAGAGCGGGTAGGTCACAGCAGCTCACAGATCAGAATTTTGTGGAAAATTCTGCCGTCTGAAGTGATGCGTCGAGTGTACTTTAGACGAAAGAAAACATTAAAACGTGATCTGGAACGAGACGCTTGCTGCTGAGAGGGATTGGGGGATGGTGGTACGAAGCAAGATATAAACAGTCGTGTTGCCGCGTAGACCTCATTCTACGTGCCTCGAACTTACGTAGAATATAATAAAACAAAATGTCCGCCGAGGCAGGCACTGATACGGCACAAGATAAACAGGAGATGAATGGATGAACAGTTGGTTGTGCTGGGCACAGCCAGTAATCAATCGAGATTTGAGGTGGTATGCGGCCCTACCACACCAGGTTGTACAACTTCAGTTGCAGGCCATGAGCCAAATACCTTGTTTGATAGGCTTGTATCTGCGCAACAGATTCGCATCAATTGTTGGCAGTTTATCGGAGAATTGAGTAGTATATCTTGAGATCTGCGGCACTTTTCATGAGATGAAGTTAAAGATAAGAGTCCATCCTACCGAAAAAGGATCCGAAGAGGATGGCACAATGAGAACACCGAGGGGGCGATAAAAGTTCATAAAACACGCCCATGAGAAAAGAGGAATCCTTTAGAATCGCCGTGGAAGGACTGGGGAGGAACAATTTTGGCTGAACTTTGGCTGAAAGCTTACAGCGTCAAGCAACAACTCCAGGCATGCTTAGCGTACCTACTCATAAACACCGACCATATTATATTGCACTGCGGGCCAGGTGTAGCCTAGAGCCTATCTGGGTCCTCGTCCAACATCAGTCACGGTAAATCCATGAGTCCGAGTCCGAGTCCGAGTCCGAGATATTGTAGCCATAAGGAGTCCAGGCGGCTGCCAGCTGCCACAGTGGAACCGAAATCGCCTCCGACTTTGTGGAGTGAGAATGCACTTTCACTAGTAGCTTCCAGTTGGTCGCGATCTTGCCCTTCCTGCCATTGCATTTCTGAGCGTATATGTTGCCAGGTCCGACCAATGGAGTACGGCTCAACGAGAGTCTCAGTCAGTTCAAGAGGCGATTATACCAGCCGCTGGATTTTAATCATGATATTTCTGGATCGGCGCTAATTTAGATCAAGGTTTCGCCACTCACAACTCTCGGACTGACTGTACGTACAGCATCACAGCCCATCTCACTAAGATCTCTTCTCACTTTTCTCAAAAAGTCGCTGTACGGCGTGTGGAACACACGAAACGGGTTGTTTGACGTGAGCGACATATATCACATATGATGCAACGGCCGATATATTAATTGTGTTTAACGTTATAGTAAGCAGCTGATAAGCAGTCATTGGTGTCGTACAAGCTGTATGACGCGCGGCGCGCCGCCCATATTATCATCAAGCACGTAAAAAGGCTCTCATGTTCTCACGTAAGTTACAATAAAACTATGTTGAGTTGATAACAGGTTATTCGCAAATCGCGACCGAGTAATCAAGGCAGGCTTACCCGCCGTTCGCTTCACTTATCACACTGCCTTTTGCTCCGCCCGTTGGAACTGAAGAGAAGAAGCTCATTTCAAATTTCATCACCCTCCGTGTCGTACTGTGGGAGTCCGAGAGCCTTATAAGCCTAGTGCCTCCGTACAGAGCTGCTTGTTCCTCTTTTCATCCACACTCTTTGTACAGCTGGCGCAATAATGATCAGCAAGGACACGTTCAACAGTGCCTCCACGAACGTAGAGGTAACGATACTGTTGTCACGCTTTTGGACGTATCTGAATCATCACCTTTACAGTTGTCATGCATCCCCGAGGATACCACTGGCCTTGAGCGCATCATGCTTGCAGCTCAAGGTGATCTGCAGCGACTGATGAGGTATGCTAGAATTGCTTGAATACAGTGATGCGGGCTAATGAATGTTTGCCTTTTGCAGTTCGTTCTTTGCTCGGCCTATATTTATTGAGCTTGTATATGCCAACGGCTCGCCACGGCTGAAACCAGCCTCGCCTGATCATCCCATAACACAATCGCGGCAGGTACATCTCATATGTGCTTCGCGAATTGTTTGCACTGCTACATCGAACGTCACCATCACACACCCTGACTTCGAACGTCTATTCCTTGACGACAAATATCCAATTGGCCAAACATTTCGCAAAATGCTTCGTCACCCACAATTTACCCTCCTTGATGCTCAGGCACAGGTCGTGGGTGGCAAGCGGGAACTCCGCAGAACGTATACACTTGAGACCGACGGTTTTCTCTGTGAGATCCTCGAAGTGTGGCCTGACAGGGACATGTTTGTTCGTGGAGAAGCATGGCTCACTGAGAACAAGCTCGAACTTGAAAAAAGTGTCACTGTGGAGAGCCAGGATTTGAAGCCCTGGGGGCTTTCTGTCAGCAAGGGCAACACTTTTAACTGGGGATTCGCTTCCTCGTATGGTTTGGAGCCTTCACCATTGGTATACTATCACGATATTTGGTTTGTTTCGTTGTACCTACTCCTTCTGTACCTCATATAGATACATAGATAACTACTACTAACATAGCATTTCATAACATGGACTCATACATACTTTATTCGACTAGATTCGATGTATAAGTAGTTAGACAGTTCTAGGCGGCCTTGGTATTTGGCTTTTTCTTGAAGACATTCGGATCGGTACCGATGAATGGGTTGCGAAGAACGTCACCGCATCATATCGTCCCCCATCATAGTTGACCATTGAACTAACTAAAGAGTTCACACCTTGTAAGTCTTCGAATTACGCTTCTGAACCAACGTCACTGATGATTGTGTGCGAGTGTTACCGGCTGAGACTGAGGAAATAAGATGTACTCGTTTGGACTTGTACCTTGCCATGGCCGCTGTGTCACCATCACACGCCAAGAACGTTAGCGGATAGCCAGAGATATGACTCCACTTCGCTAGATAATGTGCAAGCGTAGGCAGGTACCTGCCCGTCTTGGCGTGCATGATTGATTGATTAATGTTGATTCTGGAGCCCGACGTGTGAAATAAGTCGATAAAGACGAGGGAGAATCTAGGAGAACAGGGGAGAGCGTTATGGTGAGAATGAAACTGCCAAACTCTGCTGTATTTCTATACTGGCTGTCGTAACAGGACGGAGCCGAGGCGCGTTGATGGACTGCCCAGCTATATGGATGATCAAATACGAGGAAATCAACTCCACTGCTTGGCCTTTGCTGATGAAACCTTTTAGTTCCTTTAAAAACCGCAGACACATGCACTGCCTTGTGAAAAGGAAAAGAAATCGTCCGGACAATATTTGAAAGGGGGGTCACTGACAGAAATGTGATTGCCGCCCATGAAACGAGCAACACACGCGACAATGCCTGGTCACAGCAAATGTCATTTTGGGAAGGGCGATGTACACGGCCAGGAACGCAAGCGCGGAACGGGGTGGCGATGTTGACGGAACGGTGTATGTACGGAGTTGAAGAGCATTATCCGTAATAGCGGCTGCCCGTATAGATGACGTCAGGAATGCCCAATCACAATGTAGAGATACATACCTGCAGAAACGAGGAACCTTGGTCTGTATGAAGATGATCTGAGAGCTCACATTGGTAGGATGTACAGGCCTTCCCTCTGTCTTTGGCAGATGGTACTAAAAGGGGAAGATGTTTGAATGTTTTGCTAAAATAGAGATCAGTGACAGGCAGAGCCACCACCTTTGATCTCGGAGATTGGTATTTCGATATCACGCAGAGCTCCTTCTAGCTCAAAAATATGTTTTGAAACGACCGTACGTTGCGAACTCTTGGTTATAATGATCCGACGAGCTCTCAACTGACTCACATAGCGACGCCGGCATTCAAACAAACTGGAGAAGGAACAAGTGGACACTGCTTTCAGTGTACAATTTCAAAGTCGCAGGACTATCCAGCTATTGACGACGTTGCCTTAGGTTTCCAAGTGACTCGCTCTCCCAGATTCGGGGACGACAAAGTAAAGCTGAAAGTTGACCTAGCCCAGCATATCGCGTGTACGCTGAATGAACGCTGTGAGTGCTGCTGCGGTATTGTGGTATACATGGTCATGCTGATCTTGCTATCTATGTTTCTCGTCGCGTTGCTGTGGCTGATGGAGCCTCATTAATGATGGTAGACAAGAAGCATGACACCGAGTCGACATTCAGACTGCTTAAGTTTAACAGCATCACACGACACGTTTTGGTATCTAAGCGAAATGAAGTCGAAAATTGAAGCGTGGGTTCCCTTGCCACGTTGAGCGAGCGCCGTGGATGTTGCTATATGATCACGGTCTGAATCTAGGTTTCTCGTCACGTCCGTATGGCCACTAATTGTGATGGATACATACCAGTTGGTAAGAAGACGCATGAATGTATCCTTGATACGACACTGAGGATGAGGATTGTGCCAGGGATCGGCGGCGATACCGAGCACGCGAATGACGTGAAGATAGGATAGTTCGCGATTGGGGCTGCCATTACAAACTAGTGGAATACCGCGAAAGTGACGTCGAGGGTCCAGCCCATGGCCCAGGAACGTGAGGCGTGTTATCAGATATTAATCAGTCACGTACAATTGCGGCCACAAAAGAAGTCCCTGTATTCATTAATGCAATCGATTACTGAGGTGCTGTAGACAAAGAACAAGTGCTAACCTGATCCTGTGCCGAACTGCGGCAATCATTTTGAGGGTAACAGCGTGCCAGTCTAACCCGCCACAATGACAATTCCGTTGACCAACCTATTTTTAAAGTTTCCTGTGCACCGCACACCTGTGGTAGTGACGACTAGGTAACGTGTTGTCCTTGTAATCTGCCTGTCCTGAAACGTTTGATGTCTGACCGTTAAGCTTTGGTCGCAGGCCTCGAACACGATAATATTATACCAATAGTACGGCTCGTCCGATCGTGACGTGATAAGGGTATTGATCGGCGACCCGTAGCCTAATATTAGCAGATAATGAGAGTTTGTCAGAACGCTTCACACACATCGGGCCCAGCCACTTCCCACGACATCAATTGACATACATTATCGCAATCGGTTGGTGGTGTAGCCGGGTGGGCGCAAGAAGTCTAGAATAATAGGGCCGCTGGATTGTGTGGTAATGACTTTGGCGATGCTGATCAAAAGTGAACCAAGAACCAGGAATCCCGCTGCGCCAGGGCAAGTCCGCGGCAAGTACCGATACAAAGGCGGGGAATGACCACCAACGAATGGCAGAATACGGGGCTCTGGGGATAGTGACAAATTGCTGTTTTCGCCAATGACGAGCTAGTACGGTCACTGTAATGGTATGAAGGGCATCTGATAGTAGTAGTACGTAGCACTACTAGATTAGCACTTAGCCCATCAAGTTAGATTCATGGGGACTTACTAATCGGTTTCTGCCGCCCCGAGCAAGCATGTTCGGGACGCGGCTCGGGCCATAGGAGGCGAATTGAATATCAAGTCGTTCCTCAGCGATCTAACTAAAATTTGAAACCGGCTGGGGTGTTCTGAGAATTCCGCTTCAGAAGACGATGCTATTTGCGCTAGCTGAGACTCGAAACAAGTAATATGTAGTGCCGGCAGGTAGAAGTTTCTGGCAGAACGGATGGAACTTGGTTCAGTCGCTGCTACGCGACGTTGAAGATACTAGAATGCCTGCGAGTGGGAGTAAATGGTCGATAATAATCGGATTACCTAACATAATAGATAGACATGTGCTTTGAATCATTGGGTAGACTGCCGGGGAAACGAAGAATGGGGTTTCCGCTGGGTGAATGGCATTAGGAACCTAGAAACCCAGGCTTTGGTATACTTCAAGTTAGTATGTACTATTCATGGCTAAGATTCGTAGATTTGCTCACAAGTAAGATTCGATGAATAGACGTGCCAACTACATTGGGAGATCGAACAGTACGATGCAATATGAGAGATAAGATAAGGCATATGGTTCACATGCAGACGGCTGCGTAGGCTGACAGCGTCCTCGGGAAAGGATAACTACAAAAATGACCCTGGCCCATCATTGAGATAGGTGGAGATACTTTTTTGATTTTACATGCTTGCCCCAAAAGCTTGTGACACAGGGCGGGGAAGGGCAAACGTGTCAACTGCGGATATCGCAGGAAACAACTCAAACATGAGTGAAACTGAAAACCAGCAAATTTAGCACACGGCTTAGAAGATTTGTTTCAGCGTGGTCGAATCAGATCGAGCGTCCGCACAGCTTGGAAATGAAGAAGGAGATCGGTAATGGCAGTCTGGAATCGGAGGACGTTTGAGAAGCAGGACGGATAGAATGAACTCACCGATACATGATAGTTTCAGAGTCACGATTTCATTAGGGTGACTCGGAAGGTTGGAACCAGAAGAGGATGGCCGCTACATTCAATTGGGTACTGTTAGTATACGGTTCTCCCGCGAAGGATGCTGATACGTAGCTTCTATGATCACGGTTTCAATTGAACTTTGAACTAGTACCACGGTGACAGTAAGTACGTTGCTGGCACGGATCATAAATTGAGTTGACCCCCCTGGGGGGGTCAACTCAGAGGGGGTCGCGGTATTATGGATCTTGGATCTTGCGAGCGTCTACATTTAAGTGCTGTGTCACATACTGTCATGCCAGTTAATCCTGTTCGCAAAACAAAGCGCAACTGCTTCAACGTTTTACGGGCGGATCACGCCGCTCAAAGAGAAATATAAAACCCAGCAAGTATCCGTTGCGAAACTTGCATTCTAACTCGGACCGACACAGCTATATAAACCGCTTAATACCTGCCAGCACTTACAACTCTCATCCTCATTCATCTTAGATATTAACACAATGGCTACTCACGCTCTCGTCTCACAATATGTCCAGGACGTCAAGGAGCTTGACTCCTACCTGTACGTCAATCCTGTTCATTTAAGTGCTTCTAGTACTCATGTCTCCTGCAGCACAGGATGTCCGATCACCATCACTGGGTCTACCTTATCCCTTTCTCAAATTGCTGCTATCGCGCTATACCCACCTTCATCATCTCCCTGCAGCAATCCCATTAAAATTCAACTTACTGATGACCAACATGTTAAAGCAAAAGTAGCTGCCTCCCGTGCTGTCATTGAGAGTAAGGTCGCAGCAGGTATCAGTGTTTATGGTGTCAGCACTGGATTTGGTGGCAGCGCGGACACAAGGACAGATGACCCTATTGCACTCGGTGCTGCTCTCCTCCAGCACCAGCATGCCGGCGTCATTCTCCCTACTTACGCACCGAGTTCTTCTACTGCTATCCCCACCTTCTCTTCTATCAATAGCAACGCTCTTCCTTCACCCGCACCGCTCTCTGATCCATTCACCAGCACTACAATGCCACCCCCTTGGACACGTGCTGCTCTCCTTGTTCGCGCTAACAGTCTCATGCGCGGACACAGCGGTGTCCGCTGGGAACTTGTCGAGAAAATGACAGAACTCCTTAACAAAGGTGTTACCCCAGTCGTTCCTATGAGAGGCAGCGTCAGTGCCAGTGGAGGTGAATAATCTGTTTCTTGTTCCTTACCTTGCTGAGGTCTTAATTAACTCCCTTCCCACAGACCTGTCTTCCCTTTCTTACATTGCTGCAACACTCATTGGAAACCCCGCTATCAGGGCTTGGGTTCCCTTACCCCACCCCTCTTCAGCCATATCCAGTACTTCCTCAACCCCCTTGTCAACCGGAACATCTTCGCCAGATTCCTCACCCGAATTATCTCCCTTCTCTGCGTCCACCCCCCTCCCACCCTCAACCGATACCCTTAACCTACCTACAGATACTCTCAAAGTAGACAACTACGGATCATACGCACTCCTTCCTGCCCCACAGGCCTTGCAGGTCGCCGGCATCACCCCCCTCCCGCTCTCAAGCAAGGAGCACTTGGGCATCCTGAATGGCACGGCATTTAGTGCAGCTGTGAGTGCACTGGTTGTGAGAGGCGCACGGGGAGTGAGCGTGTTGGGTGCCGTGAGTATTTTTATGCTTGACCTTCGTTTCCTGCATCGGACTAACTTGTCTGCGGTTATAGGTCTTAACAGCCATGTCCGTCGAAGCGATGCTCGGCGCAAGGGGCAGCTTTGATCCCTTTGTCAGCGAGGCAAGGCCGCACATTGGACAGGTGCGTTTTTTCGGATTTTTCACGCGGTTAATAGAGCTGATTTTTTTTCTCTCTTTTTACTCACAATTTCCCGGTGGCTGGATTCAGATTCACTCTGCGCGTCTCATGCACACTCTGCTTACCGGATCTTCCTTTGCAAGTGAACATGAAGTAGAAGTCAAGCTTGAGGATGATGCCGGGGTGTTGAGGCAGGATCGGCAAGTTTCAATCTCCTTAGTCAAAACTGAACGCTAACCCACCGCAGTTACTCTCTCCGCACAGCCCCCCAATGGCTCGGTCCTCAATTTGAGGACCTCGCAAATGCAGCACAAGTAGTCACGACCGAGGTTAACTCCAGTAGGTCGCCCTAGCCCTGTAACCACATATCAACTGATCCCTTGCCCCAAAAGCCACCGATAACCCGCTCATCGAGCCACCTTCCGCGTCGAACAACCAGACCGGACAGGTTCACCATGCAGGCAACTTCCAAGCGCTTGCCCTGACGAACGCGATGGACCACGTCCGTCTCAGCCTCGCGCACATCGGGAAGCTGATGTTCGTGCAGCTTACGGAGATTGTCAACCCAGCAATGAACCGGGGCTTGTTCCCAAATTTGGCGGGTGGAGAGGTCGGATTGGATTTCGCGTTCAAGGTGCGTGATTTTAGTCTGGTTGTGGTCAATGGGATGGTGGCTTATTGCAATTACTTGGACAGGGTGTTGATATCGCTGCAGCGTCATATGTGGGCGAGTTAAATGCGCTTGGTGGAATGAACGTGGGCGTAGGCAATGTGAGCGCTGAGATGCACAATCAGAGTGTCAAGTACGTCCTTTCTTTTCTCTCCTTCCTTGACTAACCTTTTCGACCCTGCAGTTCACTCGCACTCATCTCAGCACGGTACACCCTCACTGCACTCGAAGTGTCCACTCTTCTCGCCGCCTCACATCTCATCGTGATATGCCAGGCACTCGATCTCCGTGCACTCGGCGAGGAGCTGCGCGAGGCGCTCCCAGTACTCATCGGCTCATCCCTCCTCAACACCTTCCCTTCGCTCACTGATAACACCATAATTACCTCGCTCGTAGCAGCTATCATCCCAGCACTTACAGAGACGCTTGATCACACGACTACGCTCGAGACGAGCGCACGGATGTACAAGGTTGCAAGCGCTTGTGTAGTACCGCTCGTCACTGCCCTCTCAACCTCTCCAGTGCAAGGGGCAGAGTTAAGCGCACTCCCAGTGTTCATTTCATCCGTTACCGCGGGGCTAGTGAAGAAGCTGACGGAGTTGCGGTGCGCGTATCTGGGCGTACAGCCGTTATCGGTGCGCGGTGCAAGCTCGAGTGCTGAGCAGACAGAGGTGGCGTGGCGCGGGCCTACCCCAGCAAGCAAGTACCTTGCGCCGCGGACGCGTGCACTCTACGAGTTTGTGAGGGTGACACTGGGCGTGCGAATGCACGGGGCTGGAAATCTCAGGGGAGATGTGTTTGGGATGCGGGATGGCCTAGAGGGTGAGGATGGGACGATTGGGAATGGTATTTCGGTCGTTTGTGAGGCGATCAGAGATGGAAGGGTCGGGCGGGTTGTGGTAGGGATGCTTGAGGGCATCGAGGGCTTGTGAGGAGCTTTCGCAATCCTTCCACGAAGGCTGACTTCCAGGCCTTCACGTACTGATAGTCCGAGCAGGGAGAGGCGGTGGATGCCTACAATATTGTCATCCTCCTACTTTTATTTGTTTTATATTCATAAAGACTGTATCTGATCATCGACATCCCTTATTCCCTTGCATACATATATACTAGCCCCCCACACATTTCTTTCCTACAGTGCTCAAAGATTCCCTGTCTAAATCATGTATAACAGGCCACTCGAATAGATTTAGGATACATGTCTAATAGAATTTTTTGACGCGTTAAAGTCTCTTGATTCTTAGTATTGGGAAGGCGCGGAAGCAAGTGCTACAGGCATAGCATAACACTAACCAGAACCGTATGTATCTTTGACATCTTGTGAAACGCCGTGACGGCCGCACAATGTTCAGCAAGACTTGCATCACCACCGTGACATCCTCCGTCACAGTCGCGATTTACATCGTGAGTCAATATTTCAATCGAGTTGTTACATCGAGGCTTTCTCATCTTCCCTGAAAGGCCTGGCAGTGACACATGAGACTCGGGGGTCTGATCTCCTAGAGTCTCACTCCGAGTTAGTCCTATTACTTTCTGCACAATGGGCTATGTTGTCCGAGTGTCCCAGGCTCAGGCTCGGACCAGGACGGCTACAACATGTGCCCTCTCTCTTCATCATGATGAGGCGGTGAGATCTTTTTTCCCCGGCAAGCCATGGGTGAGTCTTGGCAACCGAATTACAATATTAACTTTGGGTGCCAGCGTCTAGTTCACTCCCCTCATCTCTGCTGACTTAGAAGCCATGTGTTCAATAACTGCAAGCGCAACACGACGATCGAGGCACTCAGGCTGATAATCAGCTTCCCACCGCAAAAACTCCGAAGCGAGTTTCATGAGACGTCATGGCTACATTCGAAGCACCGTCCTTATGCGTCTGATCTGGGGCATACGGCCTAGTTCATTCGTGTGTTTCCGCGATGTAACCCCCCCACCCCGCGGGGACTTGATACACGCTCCAAGCGTTCATCTAAGCATAGACGAACAATAATTATATTCGACTTCGACACGCGGACTCTGAATTAAATCATCTGATAACGATTCCGAAAAAATGGATACAAAGCCTTTTTCCGAGTAGCTGAAAAGGGGCTTTCCAATCTAGCTCCTATAGTACCTTCCTCGCCAATCTCACCACGAGTGCTCGCCTTTCCTCATGCAGCACAAGGTTCGCCACATCCTGCGGCGATAACTACGTGTATCGTCACTCGAAGCATGATCACGGCGCACATGCGCCGGCTTGTTGGTCTACCGGACGGATCTCAGAGTTATTCAGTATTTGTTGTTTCAACAACTACGTTTATTTTGGAGGTCTTGCATGTATGCCAGTGGCGACAACATGTTTGATAGAAATCAAAAATATTGTCATAATGTTCCCTTGTCGAGGTCTTGAATGAGGGACCAATCTTCAGGGCGCCTGTGGCACTGTCATGCTGATCATATTACTCACACCCTACATTCTCTAGACCATTCATGCAGAAAGTTATTCCCCCGCTCGGTAATAAGCAAACCGCAGCGCGTGCTACTCCATGATCCATAAAGTTAACCTGCCGGACGGATCTCACCCGTCTCTTTTCCCCTAGGAGATTCGCTCGAAATTCATTCAAACCTGATAATATTTGACATAAAAGTGAGCGATTTCTCAGAGGTTGTTTTCGGACTCTCACAGACGCGGTTGAGTTGGATCAAGCGGCATCACCGAACCTGAGGCCTGACCCACGATGAGTCGGAGTACGGGTTCCCCTGTCGTTATCGTTGCTCCATACATGTGCGTGCATTCTGCATTCTGTGTCACATCGCGTGACATCAACTGTTTGGTCCTTACATGTGGTAGATATTATTGCTCCATATACGTGAGCGCATTCTGCATTCTGTTTTGATTTACTGGCATGCAGCCTGTGTCATCGCGTATCATCGTCATATCGGACCATTACAGCTGTGGCGTGGCTTTCGACTGGACATCGATGCATTCCATCAAGGTTCTGTTACCGCACTCCATTCTCGTGATCGATTCTCGTACCTCTTCGAATGAAGCCCGCCCTCCATATCTCAGGGTTATAAAAGGGTACTTTGGATGATTAGATCTTCAAAGTGTGCCTTCTTAACCTTCTTTTCTTTTCTCAATTGAGTTGAACGACTCTGCGGGGCTAAACTTAGGCGATGTTTGTAACGAATCATTTTTCCGGGCGGAACTACAGTGACCAAGCCAGTAGTGTGTGTAGGCGCCAGCATGGTATAGGATCGAACTCACTGCTACTGACGTTGGCTGTAGTCACCATGTGTTGACATCTTGTGTCATAGTAAGTACGTCCGTAACTGGACCGACAACATTCCAGTGTCAGTGTGTCCCGTGTTGGTCCCATGTCAACTCTATTCGCCGTTATATCGGCCTTCCTTGAGAATAAGCGTCGACAAATACCGTGGAGATCCGATATCATCATGCGTAAGAAATCCGTGTTAGGAACCAAGAATTCTGGTCTTAATGGACTGCCGTAGACAGCGTTGAATCTGGGTATGCTTGGCAATACCTTCGAGTACAATTAACAAAAATGATTCGTCCGAAATTTTGAAGTTGGATATTCGGACAGCTGTCTATGCGGCTCAGCGAAGTTGTGCGGTCTTTTAGTGTCGACAAGAGCCAAGGATGCTTCATAAACTCGTGAGTCTGACGTGCCACGTTTTTGAGAGGTCACGTGGATATAATGACCGTGATTATATAAGTCAGGCTAGTCCCGATGCCCAGTAGCGCAGCCAATTAAAATCGTTCATCGTTCTTATAGTGAATATCAATCATTGGACCAAGACGCACACGTGCTTGGTACCGTTCGAAACTCATCTCATTTCAGAGAACTAACTCGTGCACCAACACATCATCTCATGATCAAACGCGGACCCCTCGTACTATACATCCAACTTATATTAGCTACAATATCGCCCATTACAGCCCATAGGGTACCGCGTCTTAACAGTTTAAATCCTTGTAGCGGTATACAAATACAGAAATCCTCTCTCATCTCATTCAAGAATTTTCACATACAGTGTGGTTAACGTCAAGAAATCACAACTGCCAGCAGCACAAATAGAATGCCAAAGATACTTTCCCCTCGGATTGAACTAGAGCACAGCAAGTCGCAGGTGACTGGGAGGTTGGCTGGTCCCTGTCAACTAATTATAAGATCTGGAATGTGGATATTTGAAGGCTCATTATACTCATACATACCACAAATAACAGTCTTTGGCCGTGGTACAACGGTGTGCCAGCGATAGCATGAGTTTGAAATCCGAGTCGATATTCTTGGTGGATGTCTCGTCGAATAGTTGACGACAGTCATTCCTTCTTGATGTTGCAGAGCCTATGAAAACCCTGCAATGGCCGTAGAGGCAGTCTACCATTGATATTAAGTTGTTGAACTTGTCAATAGCTTGTCACTGCCACCACAGCCACGTACGGTCACTAATGTCACTGGCAAGCTCAACTTGTTCCTCTTCGAAGCCTGTAGTGGTCATCATCGGCGCGGGTGCTTTTGGTCTGTCCACTGCTTACCACCTGCTCGAACGTGGCTACACCGATGTGACAGTACTCGATCGTGCTGAACATCTGCCTGCGATCGATGCAGCGAGCACTGACATGAATAAAGGTACTTTGTTGTTTTCAGTGCTCCTCTGCGACATCGAATAGCTTACCCTCAGTACCAAGTGGTTCGTTCTTGTTACGGCGATCCAGAATACACGCGGCTTGCCCGCCAGGCGATCGAAGAATGGCGCAATGATATGTGGCTAAACTGTTACCATGAGTCTGTCTCATTTTTTTCCAGCTGAGTAGATGATAACCATAGTATCAAATACTACAGGTGCGGTGTCCTCAACTTAGGCGATGCATATACTGAGCAGTCCATTATCAATGATATCAAGCACGGCGCCAAGGTCGAGCGCTTAGATAGTCCTGCATCCATCAGAGCACAGTTTCCTTCGGACCTTCACAATTCTGGTAGACTTGGGACATTCACGTCATTGGACGTCTCTTCTACAAGCTACATTAATCGTGATGGTGGTTGGGCAGAGGCTGAACGTGCAGTCGGCCTCCTCATGGAACATGTGAAGAAACGTGGTGTCAAAGTCCTGCCTGGCAAGGTAGTTCAAGAATTGATCAAAGACGAACGTGGACAAACAAAAGGCGTGCGCTGTGCCGATGACTCTGAATACGAGGCCAATGTAGTGGTCCTTGCTCTTGGTTCGTGGACTGCGAGCGTATTCCCGTCGTTAAACCTGACGGGAAAGTGTCTTGCTACGGGGTAAGTAGGCAGAATTTCCGGCGCTTGGCTCAATTTGATGCGATACTACTTGTACTTTTGCATGTCAACTATTTCAAAAGTCAAAGCATAGCGACGATCCAACTTACACCGGAGGAGGCAGAGGAATATCGCAAGACACCTGTCGTACTTGATTTCAGGACCGGTTTCTATGTTTTCCCAGTGAGTCATCATTCTTCCAAGTTTATTCCAAGAACGCTTTTACTTTCCTCTAAATGGTCAAAATTTTCGAACCTCACTATATCTGTCACACATGTGATTTGACACATGTGGTCTTGCCTTGAACGTTTGGGAACACGCGTGCGCAGAACTCCTTACCACCTAGCTCCGCGTGCTCTCAATGGCGTGGAAATATTTTCTGTCGTGTTCTACACATACCCAACCATGAATCTCAATCAGGCCCAGTGATCACTGATCATCGACCACCATGCCACTGACATTCAGTTAAAGGCTTTGAATATCGCTCTCTAGCACAGTCTGACACTCTTCGACATCAATATGTATCTACATTACGTGCCCGTTCTCTAGTTCATTCCCCCCTTCTGAGTCGATCCGTCAATTTTATTCATTGTCATTGACGTTGACCGAGCTTTTTTTATAGCCAACACATCGTAATGTTGTCAAATTTGCAATTCATGCTGCTGGACACACCCACGCAGTTCCTGGATCCACCATATCAACCCCGCGCACGATCGTCTCTGACCCAGACAATGGCCAGTGGATACCGCGGTCAGTCTTGAAGGAACTAAGGGTCCAGCTGCGGAGTGTATACCCTGCGCTTGCCGAAAAACCCTTCAGTGGGACAAGGATGTGTTGGTAAGTTCGCGTTCTCCTGCGGCTCGTGAAATTCCATGTTTTCGTCATGTCGGATATGAGATGGTCAAAAATTTCCTCGTATTCTTGATAGGGAGAAAACGCTGGATTGGAGTTGGTCTTCTCTTTGTGATTGGGCTCAAGGGCACGCTGGATTTGCGATCGAGTTCAAGGATACGAGGGGGGCATTACATGGGTTTGGACAAATAATGTCGATTGAGGCATGATGATAGTAGAAGAGAAGCAGATGTCCATGCCTTCAGCTCGCCGCACACACGGCGCTATCTTCCGACTATCGTAATGTGGCGAATATTCGCCACTTGGGTGTAGTGCTGATCATCTGAGCAGGTACACCGATTCGCCAGATGGTGATTGGGTCATTGGACACTATCCCGGCGACTCGGGACTGGTTCTGGCAACCAGCGGAAGTGGACATGCGTTCAAGGTATGTTCTACTTTGACTTTTTCTTCCTTCCTGCACCACGCGGTGATGATAGGATGTCTCAGCACATTTCGCTTTGTGGAACAGCGCCCTTAACTAAATCCGAGAACGAGAACTGACGTGACCCTCAACAGTTCCTCCCTACCCTAGGGAAGCTTGTGGTCGACGTTATAGAAAACAAGCTAGACCCCAAACTTGCAGCACGGTTTGCTGTCGATCGACAGGTGAAACCCCCCAACGGCGAGCGAAAGTCAGTTGTTTCTCAAGAGCTCAACATCGACGAATTGTGTGGACCGGAGGATCTGATACCAGCGTTATAATTCTGTATTGCACAATTTGAAAACCCGTATGTATTTGTATATTCGATATCGAGAAAGCAACGGAGAACTCGGATAACATGGCCCACACTTCCATCTGTACATGTTGCTAAATTACAAACCATCTTGAATTTCATGTGTTCATGCCCGCCAGCCAACGAACTCTCGCCATGATCGCACCTCCGGGGGTACCTTACCCTCGGTATACTTCGTCAACCCACCCTGAGCTATCTTTTTTCCAAGTGCTTCCACCCACAGCTGTGCACAACGGGCGTTGTTAAGCAGTGGCAGTCCAAAGTCCACAGCGTTCCTCCGTGCAACATAGTCCTCGTCAGTGAAGCCGGTGCCGCGTGCCTTTGCGAGGTTTATGACACACTGGATCTCATACTCGTCGAACACCTCACGGAGCTTGCGCTTGTCGGTCTTGGGGAAGAAGATGCGCTTCGCGGTGATATAGGGCAGGTTGTTGAGATACGCTTCGACCTCAGGCGAGGAACAGTAGAGCTTGAAACCGAGATGAAGAAGCTCTTTGGCAACAATGGCCATTTCAGGCTTGGTAGTATCTCCACCGATAAGGACGCCAGAGTTGAGGCGGGGAACTTTGAAGCCTGTCGTACTGAGCAACGACGCCCAATATGCCTCATGGATGTCTGTGCCGAAACTAGCGACTTCACCAGTACTGGCCATTTCTAAACCGATAATCAACAAATTGAACCCCGAAGACCGACCGGATGCGACCGATACTCACCAACACCAAGGAAGGGATCTGCACCTCCCAGCCGAGTCCAGGAGAACTGAGCAACCTTGATCGAAGTATAATCACGTTTCTGCTTCATGAGATCAACGGGCTCTGGAACATCGTGGTCCATAATAGCTGCTGCCGCGGTCTCGATGAAATTATAGCCAAGGACCTTCGACACGAAGGGGAACGACCGCGATGCCCGCAGGTTACACTCAATGACTTTGAGCTGAGGCTCGTCATTGGGCCCATCTGCAGGCTTCTTGATGACTTGCATGTTGTATGGACCAGAAATCTCAAATGCAGCAGCAACCTTCTCCGCGATGGTCTTCAAGCGCGCCATGTCCGTCTCCGTCAACGAGAAGGGGGGGAGGACAAGGGTGGCATCACCCGAGTGTACACCGGCGTTTTCAACGTGCTCAGAGACAGCGTGAACGAGAAGCTTGCCCTTGTGTGCAACAGCATCGACATCGATCTCTTGCGCGTTATCGATGAACTTCGTGATGACGACAGGGTGCAAGGGAGAGACGGAAGCAGCAGCGGAAAGATTATATTCCAGAGAAGACTCTTCGTAGACAACATTCATGGCAGCACCGGACAGAACGTATGACGGCCGGATGAGAACCGGGTAGCTAAACAGAGGGATCAGACAAGTAGGCTTAGTCTATAACCGAAACGATGCATACCCAACTTTCTGAGCGAAGGCTTTCGCGGCTCCCAGGTTCGTGACCTCACACCACTCAGGTTGATCAACGCCAATGCTATCCAAAACAGAGGAGAACTTGTGGCGGTCCTCGGCGGTGTCAATCTTTTCTGGGTCAGTACCAAGGACCTTGACACCATCCTTTTTGAGACGAAGCGCAATGTTCTGGGGAAGTTGACCTAGCTCATGACATTAGTATCTTCCTTGGAACGCTTGTCAGTAATTCTAAACTCACCACCGACACTGACGATGACACCCTGAGACTGCTCAAGCTCGTAGATGTCCATAACACGCTCGTAGCCAAGCTCTTCGAAATAAAGCCTATCAGCCTCATCGAAGTCTGTCGATACCGTCTCGGGGTTGTAGTTGATCATGATCGTGCGCTTGCCCATACCCCTCAGTTTACGTGCGCATGTAACTGCACACCAGTCGAATTCAACTGAGCTGCCAATGCGATATACACCGCTTCCGAGAACCATGGTACCATGCTCGTCGAACTCAACGTCGTGCTCAGAGGCATTGTACGTCGTGTAAAGGTAGTTCGTGTGCGCGGGGTATTCAGCAGCAAGAGTATCGATACGTTTGACGAAGGGGGTGATGCCAAGGGACTTGCGGTGAGCGCGGACGATGTCTTCAGTCGAGGCAACGAGGTCAGCAATCTGCCCATCGGAGAAGCCCATGCGTTTAGCTTGCTTCATGAGTTCGTGGTCTATTTCTTCGATGGAGCCAACTGTCTTGATAGCCCTGCTTGTTTGAACGATATTGTCTATTTTGTAGAGGTACCACTAGGGACGGATGTGAATACAGTGACACTCAGGCGCGAACGAAATCCTTACCTTGTCGATCTTGGTCAAGTCATGCAGCTGGTCAACACTGTAATTCTTGTTGTACATCGCGTAAGCAATGGCAAAGAGTCGCATATCCGTGGGTCTCGACAAAGCACGGTCAAGGTCCTCAGGCTGAACATATGCCTCGAAGCCTTTCCACCGCGGGTCAACCTGGCGAATAGCCTTTTGGAGACTCTCTTCAAATGTGCGACCAATAGCCATGACCTCCCCAACACTCTTCATTGAGGATCCAACTTCGCGGTTGACCTGCGATGAAAACTTTGCAAGATCCCACTTAGGTATCTTAGTGACGATGTAATCGAGAGAAGGCTCGAAGCAAGCTGTAGTTGTCTTAGTCACCGCGTTGGGCAGTTCTGGAAGGGTATGTCCGAGGGCAATTTTAGCAGCAGTGTAGGCAAGCGGATAACCAGTAGCTTTAGACGCCAGGGCACTTGAGCGACTTAAACTGAAAGAAATCGTGTTAGGTATAGAAAAATATGAAAAGAACCAGAAACGTACCGAGCATTAACCTCAATGACACAGTATTCCTTGGAATTGGGGTTAAGTGCATACTGAATGTTACACTCGCCGACAACACCGAGATGCCTGATGACCTTGATAGCAGCGCTGCGAAGCATGTGGTATTCGTCGTCCGGAAGAGTTTGAGACGGTGCAACAACAATCGAATCGCCAGTGTGTGTACCGAGAGGATCGAAATTCTCCATATTGCAGCAAATGATCGTGTTCTAAGAGCATACGCACTCGACTTCAGAACGCACAACAAAGCAGAAATGAACCTACATCAGCGCCATCACGAACAACTTCGTATTCGAGTTCCTTCCAGCCCTTCATACTCCGCTCAATCAGAACCTGAGGGGACAGACTCAAACTCTTTGCAGAGAGATCACGAAGCTCATCGGGGTTGTTGGCGAAACCGGAACCGAGACCACCAAGAGTGAATGCAGACCGAAGGATGACGGGATAGCCTATTTGCTCCGCTGCATCTAGAGCGGCATTAACAGTAGATACAGCTGTAGACTGTGCGACTGGAATGTCGATTTCTAAAAAAGGTTGTGTCACATGATGAACCAAAAAAAAACGGTTAGAGGTACCTTTGAGAGCTTGCACAAAAAGTTCACGATCTTCAGAAACTTCGAGAGTGCGGATTGGAGTTCCGAGGACCTTAATGCCCAGGCGCTCGAGGACGCCCATTTTGTCCAGCTCGATACCGACGTTGAGGGCACTTTGACCTCCAAAGGTCAGAAGGATACCATCTGGACGCTCTTTCTCCAATACATATGCAACGTAGTCCGCAGTGATTGGAAGAAAGTAGACTTCGGATGCCAATTCATGAGACGTCTGCCAGGTTGCGATGTTAGGATTGATAAGAACGGCGTCGACACCTTCTTCGCGCAAAGCTTTCAGTGCCTGCGAGCCCGAGTAGTCAAACTCGCCAGCTTGACCAATGCTGAGGCCACCGCTGCCGACGATGACAACTTTTTTAACGTCTGGACGAGGAAGCTTGGGAAGAACCTTGGCAGAAATTCTGCGAGCGATCTCCGATGGCGAGTTAAGAACATGTTCGCCATCCTTGGGTACATATGAGCCGACTGCTGGCGCAGCTACTGCTCGTAAGACATTTGTGGGGGAGAAAAGAGCCCGCTGTGGGGTGGAATGAAAAGAGCGAGCTCTAATGTTTTTACATTGAGAAAATTGACGGAGAACAGATGACCTTATTGGAAGGACCATCATTTTCTATACAGCCTTAGGAAGGTCTTCAAGCTTCTCGGAGGGAAAAAACGAGGTCACTAAGATAGCTGTATGAAGCACAATTTTGAATGACCCCAACGCCGGTGATCAGAGATTGAAGACGTACTCGTCGCGTGTGTTCTGAGTGAAAATCATACACGCTCTCGCGGCTTAACAGGGAATTTGAATCCACACTAGAGGTGAACCGGTGACGATGGGCCAATATTGTGCAATTTGTGATGTGACAGCTAAACGACGGCTTTTATCGTTTTTTTTCTGCACAACGTGACCCAAGTCGGACGTAACATGACTCACAAAGAAGATTCTTAAAGTGGAAAAGTTCATCACGCGCTACGCTCAGGAGTCAGTACCAAGCGTTCGACGAACTTCTGTAACTTAGCTAAGACTATCGTCCCTCCAGATACTGAAAGCTTATGTTTCAGTATCGCAGACAGTATTTATGTAGATTATGGGAACTCTAGTAAGTCAGCGTGCTTACAACTTCAAGTTTAGATTATGATTTCCCAGCGAGTACCATGAGATCACCGATCATGATCTCCAGCAATAGAATTCAACTCTGGTTACAGTTCGACGAGGCAGGTCGCACCTCACTGTCATCGTGGTGAATCTTGTTCTCCCCCGGCCAGGAGAACACCAACATCACTAAATTATTATCATTTTGAAAGAGTACACCAATCAGTGTCGTGGCATGCGTACAGAACAGCACGTGTATTACGCAGTAGTGTTACAACCAGCTAGCAAGTGAGAGATGCCGAGAGCTGCGAAAAGTTTCTATGTCTGAGAGGGAGTAGATGCTCTGGACGAGAGAAAATATTACGAGGGGCTTGGGTCACACTGGCAGAGTCCTCGAGTCCAACAGCGCTCCAGTCAAGAACTTGAATGTGCATCCTAAATGAAGAACGTGCTGTCAGCAAGCTTTGAGCAAATGATGCACCGTGAAGCCGTGCTACCGAACGTGCATTATTGTACGTCGTTTGTTCATGGGTCGTCAAATGTCCAATATTGGCTCTGTGCTAATTAGTATTGTTAGAGTACAGAACATTGAAATTTGGTAGATGCATTCGCGTTGAGACGGATTATAGGTTTCGGCTCTTCCAATACATAGCGAAGTGTGCATACATCACAGGAAGAATGTCATCATGGAATGCAGAGGGTGGAGGAGCCCAGTCAGGCCAACAACGGTGGTTGTGGCCTGTTTGGATGACAAGCTGGGTAAAAAGCTGCCATCTGCATTCGTTCGGCGCAGAAGGAACGAGTGTCTTCGTTCTGTCATGTTTTCCTGTGGAAGCCTAGTTCATTTGAGGAGATTGTGGAAATCCCTGGGAACCCCCTGAGGCCGTCTCAAAGATTGCAAGGACTCCTGAGTCAATGAAGGGCTAATGGAGGCAACTCGGTAATTCTTGAGTTGGAACTTCACCTCGAAGAGTCTCGGTCTGTCCTTGCTCAGTTGCTGCCCAGAACATCGATATCGAAGGCTAAACCTGGCAAATGCAAATGCAGACAATTTGGTAGGCCCGCTTTGCTAGCCTCTGGCGCATAACGGCGTCCAAATCTGACCGACGTGAGCCTCGCCATCTCCTCGGTGACAGCTCGTGACAGCCGTAATTGGTTCCAGGCGCTTTCCTCCCTCAATACTTCCGGAGCAGCCTTCTCGATGTTCATAGAAAGAACTGGATTCGTAGATTAATGAGAGAAGCCATCACAGTTGGACCGCAACCTGTTACGCATTTGTGCGCGAAGCTCTGCGGCCTGGGCCCTGCATCACTCGTGACCTCCGATCAAACCCCAGGTTTACATACATCGCCGAAGGGTCCCTTGAATTTGCATCGTGCCTTTCTTGGATGATTTAACTGCATCAAAGAGTCGCACGATAATCTGTTTCTCTCTTACCTACAGACCAATAAAACGATGAAATTTGAACACGTCGCGGTCCCAGTCAGCTGGAGCTCTTGCTTGAACACTCGTTGTCACTGGTTTTAAATACGATGGAATGTTTACTAGGGTAGTAAGATGAGAGATGTTCTGTGATACAACGTCAGGCATAAAAACTTCGGATTAAGTTGTATCTTTCTTCGCTCTCTTCCTCCGAGTCCTCTCAGGCTCTTCATTTCGCGATCTCTTACGACTTGAGGGCTTCACACTTTCATCTGTGGACCATAATGTCCCCTCGGAATCAGATTTAGTCCTGCGAAGCGGTCAGCACGGAGAAAGGAGACCCTCGTCAACAAAACTTACGAGTATTTTGAATAGTCCGAGTCCGAGAGATCATTGTCTCTATTAGATTGATTTGCCTGCTCCCACTTCGCCACGCGCGCCTTCTTCCTCTCGACTTTCAACCATCTGATCCTATACCTGCGCGGCTCCCTCTCCAGCCGCGCTGTTCCATCCCACAGTTCCTTCTTGACCTTCATTTTCTCCAAATAAGAGAACTCCAGATGCTCGCGCATCAAACACGTTTCGCGTAGATCAGGTAGTACCCCAGTCATAATGGTAGCAGCGCGGTCAAGGAGTCGTTCTGCCTCTAGAACCCGAGCATTAAGGACAGGCATACTGTTGACGAGGCCGGTGAGTGAACGCAAGGAGTCACGGTTCTCCCATTGGCTGATGTGGGAGTGAGGGTTGCCGTTTGGAGTGCAAGAACTTTGTTCACGTTTCGTCATGCTAAATTCTGAGCGTTCGATGTGAGGGATATGAAATAGAAAGCTCTGGAGTCTTGATGTATTTAAGAAGGCCACAGTCAGCCTCCACAAGACACAAATCCGAGCAGTCGGCGCGCTTACCTATTGTTCTCCAGAGTCGGCATGCTTTTTGACCTTCAATGAGTGGCTCAGGTCATATGAATAAGGTAAACCTGTATCACATTTAAGACCCTATATAGGAAGGTGGACATCGTCTTGTAAGACGCAACAAACTGCGACCTGGCGTGATTCGTCCGAATTTAAGATGTCGATCACACCCGGCAATCCGACTCTGGGCGACTCGTCCTCAGACACAGCGGCGTTTAAGACGAACGCAGCATCACTGGATGTTATGTTCGATATGGTGTATACATGCGCGCCTGGGTACCTCGAGCGAGCCTTCGAGATAGTAAGGAATAAGGCTTTCTTAGAAAATCAGAATATGATGAAAGCGTCTGGACTCTGCAGAGTCTGCACTGCGTAGTGCGCATTACTACTGCATCCTATTTTGCCACGCCTCCTGTGTCTGCTCGACTTATTAATCAATCGCTTAACCAGCAACAAGGCAAGATGGCCGAGCGGTCTATGGCGTGTGACTCAAGCGAAAGCTTGCCTGCAAAGCAGGTTTCTCATCCTCGTAAGAGGGCGTGGGTTCAAATCCCACTCTTGTCATTATTTTTCTCTTTAATTTTTTCCCCTAAGTACTTAGCCTCTTCCCGACCTGGGGAATCCGGTCAGTAGAGTTTGACCCGTACTCCCAGGCCTCGTCATCATGTACTCTTGCTCGCACAAGGTCCCGGTGCCACTCACTGTGGATTGCAGCTGGGACGTCGGTGGATTGACCATGAATATGGTTTCTTTCTTGCCACAAGTGACAATACGACAATGCTCCCGGACCCTTGCTTTGACCGCGGACTTCTGTGGCTGAGTTGATCTAATCTATTGTTCTCTAGGTACAAGCGTACATCGTGTATTTAAGTTGTGGATGTTAATCCACAGAAGCCACATTACGCAAACAAATTTTAAGTACCACAGTACCACAGTTCCTCATTATTTAATTCCAATCTTCTTAAACACATCCCCAACTTGATCCAGTACCAGATCTTTCATCAGAGTACCCGTGCCTCCACTACAGCATACAAAATGACCGATGCACTCCTCCCTCACGGTGTTCAGTTATCCAACAGCCCAACCCCAGCTCCAGGTCCTGGGGGACTTGATATGGACGAAGCCACCCTGGCCAAACTCTCCCGTGCACAGCTGCAGAAGGTAGCTAAGGTGTGTCTCGCGTTTGTAGTCCTGAAGGCTAGTCACTGACCTGAAAGTAGGCTCATAAAGTAAGAGCGAACATGAAGAGCGCGGTGATAATTAGAGAGTTAGTAAAACTCTGCAAGTCTGTTACGCCACTGTACGTCACCTGCTTCATGTTATACATGATCTTAACAGTCCTTCAGTGAAGACGAAGAGAACGAAGAGCCCCTGAGAAAGAAGTCCCGAACGACGGGGGAGAGTCCTCCTACTGCTGGTCCCTCAAGACGAACTATAGACTTACCTATGGACACAAGTTGTGAGTGCCATACCTCGCGTCGCAGGGCAAGAAATCTAACACTTGTCCAGTTGATTACCCCATCGTCCAGGAAGATCACCCAACATCCACTCTACTTCTGGCAGCCGTTACTCCGGTAAAAGCAACCGGAAATGCTGCTGACATAGCGCCTCCAAATCTAGCGAAAAAGTCGCCAAGCCTTTCACCGCTACTACTGGAAAGTCCCAATGGGCACCCAGCTGCGGAGGATAACTCCAGTGATTCAGGTGGTTCTTACTTGTCCTACCGAAGTCCCAGTCAGCAGGGATATTATAAATCCCCCGTCAGCTCGCGCGCGGGAACCCCTCCTCTAGAAGAACCCCAAATGCTTAACCGGGCTGTGAATATCATGAAGCAAATCACGACCGACGATCAACATGTTCTTGCCCAGGCTGCTGCTCTCCGCCAGAGAGCGGCAGAGTTAAAAGAACAGGCGAAGAATGTCCGAGACGTCGTGCGCGCCGAGCAGGGGCGCCGCCTGAGATTGGAGGCCTACTTCACGTACTGGAGGGAGATTGCGCCCAAATGGCCGAAAGATTGGATATACGAAGAAGGCGAGGAGGATCAGATCCGGACAGAGCGAGTGTTAAAGGCTATGACACCAACGTATGTGCTCCGCCGTCCTTAACTTGCTCGTGTTTCTGACCATCTGGTTGACAGGCTGCCATCAACAGGCCCAGTAGGCCCGCCCACCTTGTCTTTCGACGGAAGAGACGCACCGTAAGTTTTCGTTTGCAGATCGTTTTTACCAAATCAGCTGACGATGACCATCAGGGACTCGCATCGGGAATTGAGACGTCGTCAGCTGCAGCCACGACAAGAAGCTCGTGTGCAGGAGAATGGGACAGCTCCCCTCCTGCAGAAGATGAGCAGGCAGGAAAGCGTTCCATTCGCCCGCCTTCGCCGCAGTTGACCACCAAAGGAAGGGCGGCAAAACGAAAACATTGCGCTTAAAATGTTCAGGATTCGTACTTCGAGCTTGATCTACAGATGTTACTTTACCCTCAGTCATGATATATCCCGTGACAAGTCGTATTACTCACAAGTTGTGCATTCCCTATACCTCACCATCTGTAATCAATAATAACGCTTGCTCATCCATTTGTCTCTGGACTCAGTCCCAACTTGCGTCCCCTAGTCTGATTCGTGCTATATAATATATTCAGCAGCGGTCAGAAAGAAGATAGAATATGGCACCAAGCGTTTGAGCCTCAATATCACCGGTAAACCAGATCTGATACTCATCTGCCATGCATAGTTCGTCACGGGTGACGCACTGCTCGTGCATGATTTCATCTGGTGGTGAATACGTAGTATATCAGTGTCAAGATGTTAGGAAGACAAGTAGGTTGTGAGAGACTGGTAAAACGAGACTCCTGAGCTATTTGAAACTGATATTCTCATTCGGCTTATATATAAATTTCTGGAGGTACATACTAGAGAAACAAAGGGAGGACGCGTAACAAAGGTAGTCACCCGTAGTTAGGCCTTGATAAAAGGAAGAAGGTCGCTGCAGAATGAAATTTCAGTTGTTCCTTGATGTGACAAAGGAGAGAGCTAAAGACTACAATTGAGACCTTTACATAGACAATCATCTCACGGTCAACTCATTCCATCCTACGTACGGAGCACTCTACAAATTCTCAAGACGAGTACTACGAATGATCTAAGGGTGTATCTTTGATGAAAGTGCGGGCCCGGCTAGTATGGAAAGTTACAGTTATAGGCAAGTAGTACTGTTTTGTGACGCTTCCTATCGTTCAATGGCTCTGCGGCTGTTTGAGTATAGGCAACGGGACTATGTGAGGGCGACTGTAGAAGAGAGGGAAGCGAGCGAAAGTCGGACCTCCAAATGAAGGGGAGTAAGTAGTGACCTGGCCATCTCTTACTATTGCAATGTTGGTCGATATCCTAGAATGCTCGATTCAGCATGTTATCGCGATCAACGTTCCCTTCGACATCTGCACCTTCAAGCTTCAGCGTCGAAATTTGAACTCGTAGCAAAACAATCAAGCGTATTGAGGACCGAGCCTCAGTTGAGCGATGTGCCTTCGAGAACGGCCGTGTGTCCAGGCACATCCTCTGGTTCTGTATTACCTTCTTCGCGGCAATCATAAAAGCAGCGACGTTCTAGTCGACGGAGTCTGGACAATATGTCAATATCTAACAATCCCAACACTTGGAATGACAGTATGATCAGCGTCACTTTGCTGAATTTCACAATATTAGGTGTACCATCGAGACTCGATTCGCTGTGATTGCAGGTTCAGCATTTCTGGTCCAGAGGGCCCGGTGACGCACCGCGCTGTGAGTAAATTATCTATCATCTGACTATGTGGTCATCTGAATTACAGGCAGACCAGGGTAGGTGCGTATGAAGTGACATTATTTGATGACGCACAATGACCGCATCTTGGACCCTAGTGGATGATCTTTATGGATCATGTTCAGATCCGTGTCCAGACACCGCGGAGACTTCTCTTTTCATATCCAAGCGTGTCAAGCAGGCCGAGAGCGACATAGGCACCTTCGAGAACGACAGTGAGTCCGGGTCCCAGCCGCCAGCACAGTTTCACCCTGGCTCCTTACTTCGCAACAATAAAGCAATGGCATATGCCCTGCGTACTAGTACATGCCTGTACGTGTCAGACATCTATGACATCACTGTTGCCTCTATCTAATAGTTGTTGACTATGTGGAATGACTGCAGAATCGCCCTCGGGTTGCTGAATTGACTATATTCGCTTTACCGCCGAGGCGAGCTTCGCCATCATTGCATGTTCATCACTTCTGGCCCAGGGATATGTCATGCGCTGTCCTGTGAGCAATGTGACTGACTATCATCTGACTATGTAGTTATGGTTGTCGGATTTCACGCTGGTCTGATGACTAGCATCTGGGGCCCCAAGTTCTGTGAATGACGGTCAGATCCGTGCCCAGACACCACGGCGACTTCCTCCTATTTCATATGTTTCCGAGCAAGGAATCATGCATATCCGCACTATTCTCCAGATAGGGGTTGCCTAAAGGTTTAAAAGCAAGACTTGTTCACTGCTTAACACTCATCGTACCAACGACCTTCTAACAAAGTGAGTCACAGTTAGCAGCACATCCATGGTTGATCGTATTCATATTCACGGATTGTAGTAACCATGTCCCAGTCAACCATGTCCCAGTCAACAGCCGCCTCAAACGGGTCCGACCTCCTGCCCATCAGCTTCGTTGGGACCACCATGTGCGCGGTGCAGAACAACACTGACGGGAAATTCCGCATCTACTTTCAAAACAAGGACTACCAGATCTATGAAATGTCGATGAACGACCCAAAGAGCACGGAACATACCCTGCTCAAACTCACCAACGACCACATGCCCGCTGCCCGTATCAACACGCCCATCGCAGCCGTGGCGTGTAACAACTTGCAAGAGGTATGAGTTTCGAGGCCAGTCGTGTCGTGCCTCATTATCTCATTCTTATTTTACCATTACAGATCCGCGTCTTTTACATCACTGTGAACAGTCGCGTGCAGGAGATGTGCTACTCCCAGCGCCATGGCTGGCAGAAAGGCTCGACCATTGGCACCGCTGTTGAGAACAGCGCCTGCTTGTATGCGGAAGGCCGAATCGTTCACAATGAGGTCATGCTCAGGGTCGGGTTTCAGTGTGCAGATCGTCCCCAGACTATCACAGAAGCCTACACTATGAAAGACGAGTGGAAGACTCGTGTTCTCTAAATCGGGTAGCATACCTCGAAGAAAGTGATCAGGTTACGGGATTTATCATCGCCAAAGATGTTGTACTATAACAAAATATGATGTGTTGCATGAATCGCTACCCGCTCAGAGTCTGTCACCAGCCATCTCGCCCAAGGGAATTACAACTAGTCTAATCTGCCCAAATACTAATGGCTGAACCAAAATGCACGCAATAGAAGTCGACCCACGGGGCCCCAAGTAAGGAATCCCGCACCAAATCCTATCACATTTGTCTGCCCAATCTGCCATGCAAGACCTAGTATATACCTAGTGATGGGAATGAAAGGGAGAGCAGTAGACACACAGATATAAAAAACAACGCAAATACTACATGAGTGGCGCGATACAATAATAAAAGCGGTCGCAGGCTGTGTCCGAGTTAGAGATTTAATGAAGAGTAGGAAAGGAGTAACTGCTAGAGAACGTTTCGTTCAGCGCCCCCCTCTAAATAAAGGACAGTCGGGTGAAATTGCCCCCGGTCATACGGCGATGGGCACTGCCTTCGTCTCTTCCTTCTTCCCTCCCGCAGCCTTAGCTTCGTCAATTGCCCTTTTCGCAGCCTCTTTCTGCTTCTCGATGTCCTTTAGCTTCTCCTTCACATCCTGCGGCTTGTTAAATGTGACGCTTCTGTGATGACTTTGAGCACCCATGCTCCCCGTCTCTGGAGCCTGCACATTTACGAGGGGTGCAGTCGTGGACAGGCCACGGTGAAACGTAGACGGAAGAACTCGCCCATCTGGGTGTTGGAAAGGGCAAGAGGCGCGCGTGCAACCCGCACCGAAGCGACATTGTTGCGCGAAGTGATTTGTCTTTGGAGGATGCGTGTACGGGCAATTTGGGCGTGTACAAGCACCACCAAAACGACACGCGACGGTGTGCTGAGGAGGCCCAGTGGTGGTGGTGGTGGTGGTGGTGGTGGGTGGGACTGGAGTGTGAGTTGCGCCTGCGACTGTTGTTAGGTGAGCTTGCGTTGCTGTCATTGAAAGACAAAAGACCAACATACCAGGGTTTTTGACAGCAGGGCTGACATGCGACTTGATACAGTCCTTGTCTTTGCAATCATTGCCCTTCTCGCACGCCTCGGTACTAAGTACGACACCGCTCTCAGCAGTAGCGACAGGAGACGGGTGGGAATACCGGCACTGCGAGTTAGTGCACTTGATTCCGAATTTACACAGTGTGGGTGACTGCGGGCGTTGGGGGAGGGAGTACGGCAGTTTTAGAGGTGTATTGGATGACACGGCGCTTGCGGGAAGCGGAATGGGCGCCGCTATTGGTGTAGACTGTGCGGGTTCAGCGATTACCGAAGTGGGAACCGACACAGGTGTAGGCACTTCCTCGATGGATGGTGGAGCAGGTGACGAGCCCATGTGCCCGCCCCGTGAACCTCCTCGCCCTCGACCCCCTCTTGCTCCACCCCGCCCTCTACCATTCACCCCATTCTGCTGGAAGCTTTGTCCATTCACACCTGCGCCACCATTAAACATCGCTGCATCTCCACCCTGCTGCATCGGGTTGAACCCAGGCATACCCATACCGGGGTTAAGCATGCCCATCGAGTTCGCCATCTGCGCCATAAGAGCCATTTGACTTAACATCATTTCTTGTAGCATTAACGGATTTGCCTGCATCCCCATGCCCACAGCCATTTCGGGCATCCCCATACCATTTGGGAAGCTCATCATCGCGCTTGGGTCGGGTGAGGTATTTGTAATGTTGTCAATACGTGCTTGGACTTCATCTCTCCCACCTTGGAAGCGTGGACCGGGTCCTGGACCGCCGACGCGGTCAAGAAGACTACGTTGTGCAGGTGCTGGATTCTGCATAGCCCGGGGACCGGTGGGTAGGTCCGTGCGTCGGGACTTTGCTGGATGAGTAGAAGGTGAGGGTGAGCGGAGACGCTTTTGAGATGTCGAAGCAAGGGTGGAAGAAATGGCTTGTTGATACAGTGGTGCACCTGCTCGAGGACCATTAGGTAGCCGGCGCACAGGCTCGCTCGAGGGTGGATGGGTGATAGGCTTTGATTCATTAGGTATTTCTACAGGTGTTGAAGATGCAACGGATGGTGCTTCAGATTCCGGCGCGCCTTTGGCAGCTTCAGCGAAGAGCCAATCTGTGAAGCTGGGATCTGGTGGTACTGTCAAAAAAACCGCAACGCGCAGAGCACTAAGAAGCATACCAAAGTCTGAGCCAATTACTGGAAGCGTAGTCAGTAAAGAAATTTGGAACGCAAAAACGCCACTCACAATCCATGAGTTCCGAGGTTATTTGTGCTGTGTAACGCGATAAGCCAGTGTTAGCAAAGAAGCTCTTGATTCCACATACCTGCTGTTTTATTGTTTATAATCATAATGGTAATATACTCCGCCATGACAGGATCTGTTCCAGCAGTGAGCGTCGAAGACCTAGCAGTGAATAAGACTGGGCGCTCACCAGCATCGGGACTAAAACTACGAGCTGTGAGTTCATCCTGAATGGATTTCTGCACGAAAAAAATGAGCTGGGCAAAGAAGAAGAGTAGTGTATGACAAAGACATACTTGTAGAGCAGATGCGCGGTCAGTTCCGATGATAAGACCGAAAGGCATGATGGAATGAGTGCGACAGCGACGAAGGCAGCGACTCCAACAAACTCCCGTCTCAAACATGACTAAGACGTCTTGATTAGGCCAACTGCCCGATCTCAAAACATGAACAAACTTTGAATCATGAAAATTAATTACTCGAGTAATCCTACGTGGCTCACTTGCTTCAGCAGATACGCTTTCTTGCCGGCCTTAGTGCTTCCAGGCGCACGCGGACCCGATGCATCCCGTGCGTATTGGGTATTCATAATGTGGCGCTTAGATTGATATGACCTCCACCCCCTCTAAGGCGTAGTAGATATCTTTATCTGTTCCACTACTGCTACTACATGAATTTCAAAGCGAAGCCTCACAGGTCACTGTCTCTGTGGAAGGTCTACTTTGTCCATTGATGGATATTTGTGCTAGGACCTCCAACGACATCTAGAAACACCATCAGGGATCGTTTTAGTTTTGAGCATCTTCCAAGCAGGAATCTCAGCAATACTTATGAAAGTAGGCGTGCATGAACTCCTGATCAAGGTTCGAGGTGACGACAGCCCGTTAAGTCGGGCGAGGGGCCATACAAGATTGACACTGATCTGTGCGAGTCTCAGTGGAGCGCCTGACCGTTTAGCTCGAGTATTTGTATTACATCTGGATATTGTCACCTACTTTATTCGGCGTTGGGGTGTATGCATCGAGTTCGTCGTGCTGCTGACTTTGCGAGGGGATTCTCTGGCAGCGTCTGGATCGTAGGACTCGCCTTGCTCACTGCTTGTCGTACAATCTTCACGGAAATCAGTGCTCGAGGCAAATCCTACGTCACGTAGCAGCACTTGTGGAACAGAGGAATGGGAAGTCCGCGGCTTCTAGCTATCAATGGTGTTTAGGTAACGCGGATGCGACTCCAAAATGAAAGACTGGACAGTGCAATCAGAGAGTAAAGCACTAGAGCGCCAGGAAATAATTTTCTCCCTCAACTTAAGGAAACCCTTCACGCATGAACGTCAAGAAGCCCGTCGAGCGCGTTCCCTTTTTTGAAATGGTGTGCAGCACTGATCGCAGTTGGAACACGCGGTTGGGGGTCACTGGTTTAGACAGCTGTCAATGCGGTCCCCGTCTATGTCGGGCCTAGCAATAAACATGTCAATATTTAGGGCAACTTGAAGTAGGACAAACGGAAGGAGCTCACCATCGGAGTACCGGCACCGTTACTACCGGTCGTACCTATGCGGGGAAAAGAACAAACCCAGCGGAGACTCCTTCGGGATCAACAGAGAACGTTTTCGTTAGCATGCAAGGGTCCAGTCCATTTGGAAATGAACCGATCGTACTGCTACACCGTCTTCTTCTGCGGCTACGCCATCTTCTGAAAGGAGGCTATCCATAGGCATCTGCAACAAGGCCGGCCTCCCCTGCTGTCATCGTGTCATAATTTTTGCGTTTCCACTACCTATTAGTTCGTAGGGAGAGAAAATGACGTCAACAAGTGAGGCCCTAGCGGTTCATGGCACTGACTCCCGCGCACCGTGTCTGCAATTTCTCCATAAGAGTATTGGCATGAGTGCAACTCGCCGGGGCTGTGTTCGTCGACTTTGGCGGCGGCCGTAGATCGTAGGCAGATTGACGGCCACAAATCGTAGGTAAAAATATGATTTAGTGAGTGGTGTGGAAGGTTAGAATAGGAAGATGACGACCAAGACAGTCGCAATGCCTGCATCTGATATAAACGGCGGTCGGAGACTAACCGTGTGCATGTTGAAAGTTGGAGTGTCCCTCCCGCCGCCGGCGTAGTTGGATCACTCGATACTCCGAATGACACAACAAGCAAGGGTTCACGCCTAGGCACAACAAAGCAGCGATTTATCCCTTCCATACAACATAACACGCTCCACGACGTAAATCAACGTCGTGTTGTCGGAGATGTTCGCCGTGCAGGGTCACCTCAGATAATCAATGATGTGTCATCTCAAACATGAAGAGGCAGTGTAGGAGATACCTTCACGGAGATCCTGTCTTTGTAATACGCTCAGAGTCCGTGAACTCTCATTAAACTCCTAAATAATTCATGGCGTGTCCGAGGTGCAAACGAAAAAAATTAAGGTCCGCTGGGCGCATCAGAAAAGACCACGCCTGTCGTAGAGATTAACACATAGCATTGAATACCGTCCTCACTACGATGATACATTAAGCGAGTATGAGAACATCAGCAAAGCTGTACCCGCAGCATGATCATGAGGGTACACTTACTTTTGCGTTATCGTGGAAAATGAAACAAGCATCTGTTTGACATTGATGATGTCGGGCATGTATCCAGTCCATTACGTTGCCTTCAGTTCAGGGTTTCGTTGCCGCCATCGTTATCAAGGGTATCATGGGTGTCCTCTTGCCTCATTCTCGCGTATTCACTAAGAACTTCAGCAAGTTTGACGCAAGCAGGGATTCCAAAGGGACATGAGTCGACCACGATTCAGATTGGCAGTACTCACGTTTTTAGAATACTCCTTCGAACCAACGTGCCAAACCGCTAAGAAAGTGTTAGCACATGATAGGCCTAAATGAAGGGATATACCTGGAATATCTATCATCCGCAGTCCAAGATCAGTAGTACTTTATGAAAGTGCGGGCGTTGCGCTGTCACACATGGCTGTAACGATTGCGAACCATATTCCCGAAATCTCGCCGCAAACACTCATGTGGAAGGGGCCAATTACAAACGACAAATTGTTGCCCATAGCAGCAGGATCTTCCACCGATGTATTTGAATTCGGTCCGCAGTGACTCCGCACCGTGGACGGAAGGCTCTGCAAACCCATTAGACGGAAAACACTAGTCCTGAGTATGCTACGCCGAGAATGGAGAACATATGATTTGGTATAGCACTGCCTCTTGCGCCGGTCTAGACGAACCAGGAAAGACGGAAGGGAGATCGTCATCTGTGGTGCTTGTGAAATACCTAAACTCACAGGACTCGGGGAGGCTCGGCACGCGCCCCCAGTCTTTTTCTGTGTTGAAGCTCCAGTCTAAGCGTACGTGAATCAGCAGCATAGGTTGAACCGGCAGACTTTCCGACTTTCCGAAGTTTTGCACGAGATAGATCTGAAATTCGGGAGAAGGTGGCTGGGACACGGGGGAAAACGGGCAATGATCGAATAAGCGCGAATGAAGCTTATATTGAAGCTGATGAAAAACACGGCTAAAGCGCTAACGTTTGGCGACCGACGTACTTCGCGTATAGTAAATACACCCGCTCACAAGGCGTCCACGTGTTTGCGCATACCGACTCCAGCCTCGAAAGTCGATTTTGGCAAAGCTCTGCATGATCAGATGCGATCAGTCTCGCCTGTAGCCCTGTAAAGAAGTTTTAACAGTTCTGATCGAGGTAGCTCTGTGAAGAAGTTATGACCGTTCTACTAATCTGATCATCAGGGTTCATCCACCTTCGTGGCGCGCCTCAGTTTGCCATTGGATGATGTCGATCCGCGGATAACGTGAAAAAATCCGATTAGGAATTGAATGCAAGATACAGCTAGCTTGTTCAATCCCATGTAGGTTATGCTACTCCGGCGGCCCGAACCTCGCACAAAGGCTTGCAAGAGTGTTATCATGAGACACTCCTCGGCTCGAAGCCTCATGATCAGCAGAAAGTCGAGGTACGTAGCAAATCTAGTTCTTCAAGGGTAAATTGCTCTATCAACATCCCTCTTTCGGCTAGCCAGGCTCGCATGAGTATGACGGATCAGATGCTGGTTTTCATTCGGCCGATCAAAAGAAGGTCTGAAATTGTGCATCATGGGATCTTCGGAGCCGCCAACCCTCGTACCCTAGAACGTGGTCAACGTTGTAACGTTAGCCAGCGTCTCGTTTCGCGACACCTCGTGATTCCCAGTTGTTTGGAAGGGCAATTCGGTGAGTAATACTTGATGCAGTTCTGTTTCGATTGCGTAGTAACTAGTAAAGACACATCAAACTTTCGGGCTACGAGTGATTGGGATCCCTGAGGTCGTGTCCATCCCAGCAGGCAAGCTATAACTTGTCTCTAACGCTATCCTAGACACGTGGACAATAAGGGTTTGATGCATCTTAGGGATATCAGGAATTAATTTCCCTTCTCTACCACCATGTAATCTTTGTAGAACGAGAGGCAATTGAGTTGAATTAACTAACGAGTTTGGAGCAGCTAAGCCAGTTCGTAAAAGATCGTGGAGAATCGCCCGCAGCTGTACTTCGGGCAGGATAAGATGTCGACGCCGATGCGATCAGGGATAGATTTGAAACTCTTCTTCTGCCACCACGGAATGCGCCCATCAGCGCTTTCAGCAGATTATGGCAATCCTTGTGAATGGAAGCGGAGGTGACTCGTTAAGAAGGCGAAGTAAACATATTCCGGTTCACGAGATGATACACTGCTTACTAGGCTTCTAGTTGACGTCAGCACCGACTTCTGAGGAAACAAGCATAAAATAAACCTTTGAGAAGATAGTCATGGGAGACTTTTACAAGTATCTTGATTAATGACGTGCTTTCCACCGATGACTCGCAAAGATCTTAAGGTCAACATCAGAGGCTTGCACTCTATTCGCCGAGCTTGCTTTTCGATCAGAAAATTGACTTTTTATAAAGTGACCATCAATACTGCGGTCGATAACTCGATAAGCTATCACGGTGGAGAATGTAGGCGCGTTATGGGCGCTGCCAACATCCTAATACGACGTTCCCGAGGGAACCGCGAGCTGGTTTGGATTCGTACTCGACACAGTGGCGCAGCGGCGTGATACCAAGTCGGACGGCGGTCCGAAACAATTTGACAAGTGTTGTCAATTAATTTCATTGAATGGTTTGAAATTGCGATATTCGCGGCGCGCAAGGCGCGTTTAAGGCTAGCGGAATGTTGAATCGAGGCGGTGGGCGCCGATGCGGCAGCCACTAGGGTTGTATGAAACGACTCGAAAAAACAAAGGCTACAAGGATTCTTGTGGTATTGTTCGAGTCGTTACACAAGGCTCGAACAAGTAGTACATTGATTCTGGGTTTGCGATGCACACTAGTCGAACAACTTATGAAAAAGTGTTAAAGCCGCTAACAACGGAATGAATATGATGATGTTGATATAGTACTCACTGCCGTGTCGTCGAGGCTAGTCTCGGTCATCGAAATAGGCAGAACTGCACGATGCGAAGCTTGTGAGCTATGTGCTTCATGTCACTCATGAGATGAAGGAGGCACGGTGGTCCAAAATAGAGGGTAAATTTCGTTTTGAAATGGAGTACGTTGTCCGCTCTCGTTGGGGTATTCAATCGGTTCCATTGCTATTCGCGTTTCGTAGTCGTATCGTCCTCGCGTTCTTCAGTTGATGAACGTTCTGAGTCAGCATTACCTCGTAATCGACTTCCGCCCGTCCACGTCACGCCCACTCAATCCCCACGATGCATCATCCCTTGGACCCTTCAATTACAATACATGACGGTTCCGAATGATGAACAAACCACAACAAAGCTGCACCAGTAATCTCCCACTAACCAAGACAGGTGACTCACAGGAACGGCGAAACTTTATCAGCGCTGTTTTAGACACACAGGAGAGAAGTCTAAGGTCCCGGCTAGTAGCGCACGAGATCAACACGTGAACGGGCCATCTTACAACGGGCGTATCATTGGCAAGTTTGTGTTACAAGTACGCGCGCGCTCAGTTGGACAACGGGGCAAGTGAGATAAAGGATCTGTCACTAGGGATCAAAAGCGCCTACCAACTCACCCCAAAACGGCATGAACTCGAACTTCTGATTGAACATAATTTACTACGTGCGCCGCAATTAATCGCAGGCGCTAGGGACGACATACGATTGTATTAGTATATGCGAACCTTCAAGACGCTTACTTGGAGATGTTGCTGTACATGTTGCGTGGCAAGTTCTATACCCATCAGATCTATCAAGTTGAAACTGGCACAGGAAGACTTCAGATGATGTCTATGCACTCACGTTGAGTCAAGGGATTTAAGGATATATTGTGTTTGGGCGCCAGTCAGGATGAGTACTGGTATCAATATGAAGTGTTCAGTTTTGAGCGCTACCATCACGATCAGTTTGGCGGTGGTTTGTCACTGTTCGCGAGCGGCCATAATTGATGGTATCCTAGGGTATACGGGTCGGTTCGCAATCCTATATTAGGAGGACTGCCGCATCAGAACGTTGGGCGACACTTTATGTTTGAACTTACATACTTGGGACCTCGCAACATATAATTCCAAGACTGTTGGGCCCACAAAACGTACTCCGGTGATCGCTGGCTTGACATAAGCTCGTATATTGTATACTACAAATCAAGTGGCTCAGGAGCAACACTACAGAAAGTTATTACAGGGTCGTGTAGGGGTCAGATGATAACGCACTTGAAGCCTGAATAATACATATCGATCGTGATCATGATGGACTTCCAGAACACCGTGGGTGTCCCGAATGGATAATGAGGCACACACGGCCAATCTTGAGCGTGCCCGACCTGCCAATATCGCGGCGCTGATAATGACATCTTACGTCAAAAAATTTAATTTTTTTTGAGTCGAGAATGAAGAAAATAACACGAGTAGCATACTTGCGTTCTTGTGAGAGCAGAACGGAGATAGGAAGATAACCTGCATCAAACGTTGATCAAATGTTAGCGTACACCAACTCGTACTAGTACTTGAAGTTAAATCCATACCGAATCTGCACGCCTCATTGTATTAACGAGTTCGATTTCTGAGTCAGGGATGGAGGAGTCGAGGCTAGTGCCGGAGCAAGCAATATGTTTATCGGCAGCCACCCTTTGTGGGGCGACTGGGGGAAATATACTCAGAAATTAGAATGAAATACACGTGCAGTGTCCAGGCCCGCTCGAGGCACCAGGCTGCCGCAATAATCTCCACTAGCAAGTCTAGATCGCAGATATCGGTGAAGAAAGAGGAGCAAGGATGAACAGCAACTGCGGAACAAGAAAATACTCCACCTGAATTAAACATGCACCATCCTGCTCGATGCTCAGCCTCAGGGTAAACGGCCTCCTATACTCCAGTTATACTTATCACACACCAAGAATAACAATAAGCGAATTCCCATCAAGCACAGAGAAGCCTATGCGGGTTGGTTCTGTAGATCACCACGCTCGTGCACACAAGATGAGGATATGTAGGCACCATAGCTAGTAGGGGGACTCATAAGAACACGCTGAGAATGGTATTTCCAGATTACATTTTCTCAGGTCTGCCCAATTTTGACTCGATAAGCAATTCGCGTGCGTCAGATGAAATAATAGGTTACATACCTCCTTTAGCAGAAATTTGACGGGTGCCCGACAGCCATCGATTCGTTCAACTCCCAAAAGCACTGCAGTTCTTTTTATCTTATCCCGGACCGTCCAAGACCGTCCATCATATGACTCTGCAAATATTGTAGTGGGTAATAGCCTATTATGCTACGTCATGATCGGGAAGTGATCATCCATTTACGCTGGAGCAGGAGGAATTCCTAGCCTAGTATGTGCGGAGAGTCACATTGTCTTCCATTCGTGATTCATACTGACTTCCAGGCCATATTACTGAAGGCCTGGTGCTGTGGCACAGATAGGGCTCAACTAAGGCACAGAGCAACCGTGACACGATCATTGAATTGGAATGGCAGACACTGCAATCAAGGTAGCATGTGCCAGGATGGTCGCTCTGTGATTTAAGTTACGTGTTTCTAGTTTAGGGCTGTTTAGGGATGGTGATGAGCCTGATGGCGCAATGCGCATCACATGACGCCGACGGTTTAGTTATGCAACGCCCGAGAGATGTACTGCAATAGCATTTTATCACCGCTACGACCGAAGGGAGATGACAGGGTATGGCGTGATGCTCACACGAAACGCTATGTATAACGCCATGGGGTTAGTCACAAGTGAACCAACACGCGCCATCTATCTAGTGTACTGAGTTTTAAAACTGCACACCCCACGGGTGTGTTCGAAGATAACCAAAAAGCTTCGTTGACGTGAAATCTGTGGCAGCGATTGAATCGTTTACCATGTGAGTTGCAAAGGTATCTATTGAGTTACGTACTCACAACATGTGTATAAGTTCGGAAGGTAGGTATCGGAAAGGCTTCTACGAATTGCAGACGAGCCAGTACTCGTGAAGAGGCATGGTAATTGCCTTCCGCGGATCAAGAGTCCGTTAGGGGGCTTAGCTGTTGCCTCTCGACAAATGCAAAACGCTATGATGCGCTTCTCTCAGCCGGATCATGTACATGAGAAAGCAGAGCTGCATTGTCAACGTTTCTTGATAAGCAAGTCGGGATGAGGACTGTGCATTAACCGGAAGGACAGCGAAAATTTATTGAGGCTGATCGGATATCCCTGAAGCCGTGCGGTATGGTACCTAATGTTTGACAGTGAGCGTCGGAAGTGAGCCGTGTGTGTCGCAAACCAAGCATATAGTCTAGAGGAACTGGAACTTTGTATTGTGCTGTGATGTCGGAACAAACGAGGGGCAGGCCGCAGGAAGCATCGCCACAACAAGGCCTAGAAGGGTTTGGCAAACCAGTTTCAAAAGGGCGGCAGGGTGAACCGATGAGGTTTGCTCCAAAAAGGAATCCAAGGGCCGCTGTGGGCCATTCAGGTGTCATCAGATCATTCGTTAAAAAACGCCCACACATTGACACAGTTTTGCATATATATACGGGTCCGGCTTTTGCGAATGGTTGAAATTTCCACAACCTCCGAATCTCTCCTACTGTGCTAGCTATACTCTAGTCGCTTTTGCGCAGATTTCATAAAGCGGCAACCTCTCTGATCGTAAATAGGGCTTCTATTGCTCCTCGAGGCGATTTAGCGAAACATAAAGATTGGGTACTTGAGCACGCAGACTGTCCCATTGTTCCTGGGTGAGTGGGTTAAATAATATTTTTTAATTTTTAAAATATATAAATATATATTTTTGCCTCGTTGCAACGGAGTCTATGAGCTTGCCGTTGCCCAACTTCGTATCCCAGGCTCATGGTTTTGGTTCCATTCATTTTCCTTCTTTGCTTTCACACTGCCCTAATTCTTATATACCCCGTCATTCTTTCTATCCCGTTCTAACTAAACTCCCAAACGTTGACACTTGCACTTTTAGATCACTCTCGCGACACCACACCGTCCGTTCCACTCACCATCACCCATCATTATTATGGCTGCTGTACATGGTCCTCTAGTACCTACCCATCCTTCCCCGTTTCGGAATGCCCAGAGTGTTCCCCATTCGAGAATGGGCTATCATCCCGCACCCTCGGTCAGTTTTTAGTAGCCGCTCGCTATATTCATATCCTTAACTATACATACATAGGCACCACCTAAACCTCAGTCCACTCAGCCTACGACGAGACACTCTGACCCTTTTTACGGCCACGAGCAGGTTGCCCGTTTATGCGCTCGGTTCATCACCCATCTCTTTGCTTGTCCAGAGTACCCACCGTCCTCTTCTAATTCACAAGTAAAGCTTCCCCATTTCATCGCGTATGCACTTCATCGTACCAAGCTTCACTCCTCCGTAACCTTCGCTGCTCTCGTATTACTCCAGCGGCTCAAGGCGCGTTTTCCCACTGCTCGGGGTTCTTCCGGTCACCGTCTTTTCGTGTCTGCTTTCATGCTCGCATCAAAGGTCATCTGTGACGACACTTACTCCAACAAATCCTGGAGTATTGTAGCGCAGGGCATGTTTCAATTGCGAGAAATTAACCAGATGGAGCGCGAGATGTGTCAGTATCTGGAGTGGGAACTTAATGTGGATCCGGTAACGCTGAGGGAGTTTGAGGACATGGTCAAGAAGGACTTTGTAGGTCAAGGTCCCTATCCGACTTACATTCTCCCTTCCTCCTCAAAGACAACCCCTCCTCCTACCACAAATCCCTTTCCACCTCCTCCAGCTGCTTTGGCGCCCACGCCTTCGTATGGCCATCGTTATCCTTCGCCGCCAAAGCCCGCTTTCCCCCAATCAAATCCCTCCTACATTACCCCGCCCACAACACCAGACACGCCGTCACCGTGTTATTCAACATCGACGTCTCCAGCGTCGACGGCGTCGCCCCCAACACCCCCGGGTATGGAGGACTGTACCGCTCGTATCGTATCAGCTTCGTCATCCCCAGGAATCCCAAAACACGAGCCTGTTCCGGTACCACCACCATCGAAGCACAAGATGTTTGCGTTCGCTTCGCCGGCTGTCTGGTGAAGGGAGCTCATTGAGTGCATCGTGGTTTTTGTTGCATTTTTTACTGCCACTACACTCACTTTTGCTCGTCTTGATGACGCCGCTAACATATACACTTTCATCGCTGTCGGTCACCATCGGTCGCTCGCGGTGTTTTATTTACCAGGACTATCTATACCCCGCAGCATCATTACTTGGCCCAGGGTTGTTCTGGGACCGTGCTTCACTTACTGCATTATCATCATATGTTGTGTCAATAGCGCATTACAGTATTTCAATTGGCATATGTACAACTATACTAAAGAATCAAAAATGCCACAATCAGTCTGCAATATCGGAATGAATGCGAGACATTAATTGATGAGAATTGAGAGCATTTGATGCCCTGCCTCGAGGCACGTGCGACAACCGGCGGATCGCTTCCACTCGGACCTTCACACACCAAGTCGTACGACAGTGCCAGCTGACTTCTTACGATGTATTGATTATGATCACTTTCGTTACTGCCAGCAGCCATAGTACGAAAGACAACGTTTACAAAAACTCCGCCGGAACCGATACCAGTTCAGGACGCTACAGCTGGACAAGCACCAGTGATCTGCATGCTTCTACATGATGCCGTCCCTTGTTCAACGTTAGCTATAAGTGTGGCACAAAGAGCCTTTGTGAATTCAAAGCGCCACATTCTCATCGCTCCAATCCGCGTTTGGTCTGCACAAACCGACTACCTTATCCGAGCGCTGAATGCAAAGTTCTATCAGACCTTTCCGATGGAAAAACCTTCATATGTCCAGGGGGCTGTACACGTTTTTTTTAGGGATGGCGTTTAACTGGTACCTTCTCATTCTCCCGCACGCCGCCGCCCTTTATGGTAAGCAACTTATTCGTAATCAATTTCACTGGCTTGGGGTGCTATCTCCGGCTGCAAGGCCTTGCAAAATTTTTAGCTGCGTTGCTGCGGTCTGGAATTTTCACTGGATCTTGGAAATCGTGGTGAATGATCTCCCTCCATTACGCCGAGACATTGCAATTTTTGAAGTGGCGTATCCTAACAGCGCTCACTTGAAGTACTTATATACAGCGACTTGGGGACAACTGCCCAGCGATCGTGGTTATCTCACAATTGTCAACAGGGTGCCGCGCGTGTGCCCCATCAAATTATCCATGCGAGATGGACGCTGACATGGGCACTGATACATCATGCAGCTCTGCTAATCGGCCCATAAGAAGTTCATTCTTGCTTCTTGTCTAGCCGAGATAAGTGGCAGAAGCAGCTGCTTACGGCTTGCAAACGTATATTTGGCTTGTGACGAGCTCTGACTCGGAGATCTGAGTCTGTGCCTCCATAACTGTAAGTCATGGCAGGCGCACTATTGTCCAGTCCAAGTTGACGTGGCCGCGCTTTGACCTGGCGGGATCTTGCAGATCGCAAGGCTAATCTTCACACACAAAAGAAAGAACAATCGAGCGCATTGTATTGTAATCTTAGTCCTCAAAGACCAGGGGCCAGAACATGCTGTAGCCTCATGTCGTTATGTTTTGCTGATTTGGTAACCCTTGGTGCGGCCTTCTCCACAGGGTGGCATGCATGCCGACAATGTGAGTTCATTATTACCTGAGTCACTTGTCGAGTGGTAAAGTTAAGTTTTGGGCTTATAGATCATAGTGCTGTCGAAGGTGCACATTACACGAGTATCCCGTCCTATAGCTATGCTATGCGATCTTCTGCAACCTGTTACAGTCTCATGCCTAACACACATGAGGTCTCGGTGCGCAGAGTACGACACGGCGTTCATCGGTTTGCCTGGAGTGTTGCAAAGCACAGACTTGTTTTGGGTGTCGTCTTAGCAGCTCCCCAAACTGCAGCCACCTTGACAATCAAGATAGTCGATGCATTTGCTATTAGGAGGGTCCAGTTGCGGTCTGGAATGTGAGCATCTTACCATTTCTCCGCGGCCTTCCTTTTGTTTTTGGGCATTTTCACATTTTAAGCCGAGCATGATGGCGCTAGATCGAAGTATCACCTATTTGAAGTTCCTCGTCATGCCGTGACTTGCATACCAATCAGGATTCAAGATTCTGTGCACACCGGAGTGCTATGCTCACCGGAGCTTGACAATAACCCACTGGATCGTAACGCGTTGGTCGAATCTCACTGTGGAGGGTGTTACTAGCCATCTGCCAGAAATTTGATATATCGATATCGCGCACTGCTACGTATTGGCATAATGTACTGGCCAAGGACACTGTAATCTCACTCACTGCGGAAGGTGTACCAACCATCTGCCATGGAATTGATGATTAAGCACTGCCGGGAGTGATACGCCCAATAGCATCGGTGTTCACAGAATCGTGTTTTCAAGCCGCTGACTGACGGGCACTATTTTCGACCCTCGACTCTCGTTTTCTGGCACCTGATGAAATGCTGCATTGATGGTGTGGTGTGGGGAAATTGCTCCATGATGTTCTGTGAACGAGCATAGGTATGTACAGGTTTAGCTATGTACAGGTTTCGGCCATAAACTTTCTGTGTGTTTTTTGTTTCACTTGCAGGGTCTATTCGATATTCTTTGACATGTTCTTGCTCTTCACTTTCATACGCACACGGGTCGCTGCTGGTGAGAACAGAGGCTTTTTGGCTGAGTTCTATACACTATCTTTCATTCTAACCTGCAAGTCCAGTACGCCACCGGATAACACACAGGTCTCCTATCTCGCGAATGCAGAAGCGTTCGAGAGTCGAGACAGCATTGATATCGGACCTTTGGCACCGGATAACCCTAGACTAGATGTCCCTCTTTTTAAAATTATCAGATCTGTCTACCCTTCCAATCTTCACCCTTTATTATCACACGTTTGCATCGCGTTGGGAATCACCGCTCAAATCACCAGTACCGTGAATTATCTTCATAGTGATTGGTTGAGACGCATATGCGTCACGCAGGCCCGGCGGCCCCTCCTTTGATGTCGTCACTGACACCACTGACACCAGCTGATACCTCTAATGACATTGAATCTTCCCCACATTCCTCGTCAGAGGCTTTTGGAATTTCTTATCAGGGATCGATAATCAATATTAACGCCTGTCTGTCGGTGCCACGTTCCACGAAGAACCTTCGAGATGTGATATAGGCGCTCATGATCACGCTAGTACTCGACTTGGCAGGCTTGGAGAGCGCAAACGGTACTCGTAGGTCATATACTCGTTATATGCTGTGCTTGATCATCCTAGGCGTAAATGTCCCTATATACCTCGATCGGCTGGAACTGGGATTTAGTTGTCGCGGTGCCTTATGATCACCGTTTCAGGTGTCTTCATATGTTCAAGCTTCTGCGCATTAATCTGTTGGAGCTCTGTGGGTGTCATTTAGACTTTGGTTCACGACTACGTGACGTATTTGTCGTAGGACTGTTATCTGATCACTGATCGTCTGCGTTCGGTCCTGTTTCTTCGAAACTCTTATAGAAGATGATTGCATCGACATATTCCTCGCCCTCTCCGTCCTTCCGTCTCATACGACCAGCCTTGGGTATAAGTCCAGCTTTCGTAAAGTTTAGTGCTTCCCACAACCTGCAATCGAAGTGATCAGCAAAGCACAGATGCAACGAAGGTTGTCAAAACGCACTTAACGCTGGCGGTGTTATTATTATACACTAGGTTAAACACGCTAGCCTTGTATCCCAACGCTGGGGCATAGTGCAGATATGATTTAGCGAGAATATGCCCATAACCACTACCACGTTGGGAAGGGGGAACTATAAATCCTGCATTACAGATCTACATTGGAAATCATATGTCAGCGAACGAGCTTGGTTCGTCTCAATTCACATGAAAGCCACAGCCTTGAGAGCCGGTGAATCCCTTGCCCAACTGAAGCACACTTACATGGGAAGATCGCCCAGGGTAGTTGGGCTTTACCTGTATCACCGAATTCGACATATGTGAGATTGGGGTGACACGATAGGGCTAGGATCGCGACTCACGTAGTAAAACCCTGCGACGCACTCCTCCCATGTCCGCCCGTTTCTCGCAGCGTCTAGATTTTGCTCGATTTCCCGTACCCCGCGCTCATCGCTCGCAATCACGGGCGGATCTCCTTTTCCAGCGATTGCGACGAGTACGTCTCCGCCGAAGAAGTATGCTCCGAAGGCTGCGGAATCGCTAATGTCTTCTTGTGGATACGTTAAGCCTTTGTCTACTTCATTCGCAAAAATGCAGTGGAGGTAGTTGAATAGACCTGTCTGGATGCGCTCCACTGCGGCCCGATCGATGTGATGTATGGTCACGAAAGATGGGGTCCCGAGATCTGGCTCTACCCGGGGGCTATCGTGATCCCATAGCGTAGTGGGTAAATACGATGTCCTTTGCGGTCTGTTGATGACCCCGTAAGCAGACATGGTACAGGTATACAAGTAGTGTGCGGACGAAAGCAACCAGGAACTGGAATGACCCTCGTCTGTGACAGTTAGACTAGCGACTGACTTCTAAAAGAGGTGTCGCACCTTCTTGCAGGTCAGATACATACTCCTAAAAATCAAGAGTCCTAGCTCACTATGCCTGAAGGAGATAGTACACTCATCCTTGCAGATGAGATAGACTCGAAGCGCAGTCCATGCGCAGTCCTCTGTAAACTTCATGCGTTCTAGCGTTATTTCTAAAAATTACTGGCATGCAGGAACTCTCTGTCACCACCAATCGTAATTGATAGTCCCTTGCCTATCCACGACGGTGGTCGCTCTGTTTCCGCTCCATCACCGCCTGATAATCCTTTCGTCACTCCGTCACCAAAAAAGACGTATCCGGGAATATAGCGGTCTACGAAGCTGCTCATAATGTTATCAACAATACAAGAGAGGAAAAGAAGCACTGACGTCTTGACTTGATTATCGGTCATGCCTTTTCCGCCATTCTTAGCTTTCATATTGTGTTCCTGTTGTAATCTCCATTTATATATGATAGACAGCTGTGCAGACGAAGGCCCCTTTATCTTCAAAGAGTGAGTCGCATGCCAAGGGTGCGTCGAGAGCGAGGTATCTACCTGTATGAAAGCATCAAGTGCATTCCACCAGTCCACGTATTGCTTTAATCGCTCATTGACAGCCAGTACGTCATCCACGGACACGAAGGTTTTCATGTCAAAGATACCAGGCTCGAGAGTCGGAACAGGCTCTTTCCACCTTTCTTCGACGAGCTCTTTACTTGTAGGGAAAAATCCCACACACCATCCCTCCAGCACAACTATGTCCACGGGGCCTTTCACCGTCTCACCATGAGATACGCGATCCCCCTTTCCATGAAATAGACTCTTATCGAAGAAAGGGATGTCAACGGTCCCTGCATCAACTTCATTGATCTTTTTGAGGTTCTTGAGGACAGAAGTACCAAGAGGCACATCATGTGTTCCTGGCTGGCCCCTTCCCTGAAAGAGGATATTGTGGGGATGGCTTTCCGCAAGACTTTGGAGCCCAGAGTGCGGAAGATAGAGGTCATCAATAGAAAGCACGGTAACGGCGAGGGCATGTGGTAGACTGGAGAGGTGGGCATGGAGGCGGGAAGTTAAAAAAGTCTTTCCGCTGCCCTGTGGACCTTGAACGCCAACAAATAGGGGGGCTGGTCGCAAACTCGGTGGACATCGCGATCGATGTCCTTCCAATTGGTTGAGAACGTGTTGGGCCATGTGCTGCACGGCAGGTGGATGAGTTTCTTCGCTCATGATGTGCAATGCTCGACGCGTAGGTAATAGCGCTGCGCGAGTAAACGTAGCGGTTGCAGCCTTGCAGAATGCGGTAGACCGCGAAAGCGCTCAGGCCATGAGACCAGTCACATGGACACGCTAGGGATTAGTATGGATTAGTATCTCACTATCTATTCTGAAAAATCGTCAAACCTCTCGTGGGCTACAGACGTTCGCACAGTGACAACGTTCGCATCCAAGTCCTCGTCACAACCGTGGGAATCAGTTCATCCGCGTGCGTTGCTTGCACTCTGAACGAATTTCAGTCGAGGGTCATCAACTACATAGCTCACTAGTTATATATTTCAACTGCCAAGTAACAGTACCAGGAACACCAAGCAGTGAAAGATTATCAGCGCTGTAAATCCATACCGTATCCTAACGACGCCTCGGCGAACTTTGCGGACATCAAAATGGTACAGCAATAAACATAGTCCTGCATTACGATGTAAAATCTATAGGTGGAGAGAATATTCCGCATGATATGAGGCAGTAAATAGTTTCTACTTGCTCCCGCCGTAACGTGCCTTGCGCCCTATGTCGAACGGAATGTACTTGTACTTGATCATGTGCCTGGCAAAAATATTTCAATTATGATCACAAGTCTAGGATATGGGAACGCACTGAATTTGCCGACGCATTGTCAATGCGAAGAGAACACAGAAGTAGACCACGAGGATCGGCCAGTAGACGGGTACATCAAAGACCTCTGACACGGTACAGAAGAGTGATACGAGAGTGGCCCTTGTTGCACTTAGCCTGTGGAAATCGCAAATGGTCAGTGACAATAAGAGGAACAATACAACTATTGGTCGCACCAAAATTGCCATTCAGGGAGTCTTCTCACAAAAGGCCTAAACTCATCATCCCGCTGAGAAGGAAGCACAGGCACATTTTGGTCGCCGCCCTCTTCAATCTCGTCGGCAAGAAGATCATCCTCAAGTGAAGGGTCGAACTTGGGCTGCAGGAATGCAAGAAGCAAGTTCAAAAGGTAAATGGCCAAGCCGTCTGTTATAAAGCTCCGTCAGGTACACTCCAAGCCAAAAGGACGAGTAGACGCACAGCAGACTGCCCATGCATCCAAGTACCACAGGCATAACTGGTGAGTCAGAGATTATACATGCAAAGTAAATACAGACCAATGTACCACTGTTGACACGTAGCTGGTCAGTCTCATCCTCAGTAAGCATAGAATAAGTTGGTATTCACCCCCTGGGACAGCACAATCCTAAGCATGAAGAGCGCCAGCAGAAACAAAGTCGCCAACCATCGCTGAAAAACGTGAGGAGTCCATCGGTCAAGTGTTTGTTGGTATTGGCGCTGGAACTTCGAGAACGATGCTTGTACGGAGTGAAAAGGGGTTGCACCAGGCTCATCCGAAGACATCATTTTAGCAGGAATCGTGACAAAGATAAAAACCGAGGACCGAGAAGATTAATGACTATGTATGAATTTTGTTGGTTTGTCGGTACAAGCGACGACGTCAAACCTGCCGCAGTAGGCATTTCAAGCGGCGAACGAATTCCATATCGGGCATTCGCATCCACTTCATAATATTTATTTCGTTCAGTCTGTTATTTTGCGATTCCATGATTGGAACGATTAAATAATAGGTTGTACACTCATAATAGCATCACAGAAAGTTTGTAGTGAGACAAGCTGATCGTGATTTAAGAACTTGGAACATTAGGCGTCCTTTTTAGAAGTCGGAGCCCCTGTGCTACACCCAGGAGCCTAAAAGATGAACGGCACGACAGCTTTCCTCTCCTTGGGATACTCGGGAAAATTCTTGTGGTACCATTGATGACCCCTATATGCCCGAGATATCATAAACAAAACTTCTGCCCAGAGGAATAGCCAAGGGGGCTGAACGGTTCTCATTGTTTCTGTGAGCGGCATGAGAGCAGGTAATGGTGCAGCGGCCAATGCATAGCCAAACCATTCTGACCACTCGCAGAAGTAGTTTGGATAAGAGATATATCGGTAGAGGTATCCATGGGGGATGGCATAGTGCTCCTTTCCGAGTTTGTTCTCGTTGCGTTTGCCTTTCGCTTTAGATTTACGGCGGATATCGAGAAGCACTTCATCGTGCAAAATGTTTCCCGCGAATCCACACGCCCAGAGTATTATCCCAGCCCAAAAAGATGGACGAGAGAAGGCCCCCGCCAGAAACGCAGATGCAGTGGGAGATGAGAGGTAGATACCCATCAGTGTACCATTAACAAGGTTGAATACAACAGCGAAGAGGGCCACAGCGATGTGTGACTTCGAGCGAGATGGTGTTCGCAGAGGGGAAATTATTGCACGGTTAAGATAATGGACAATGAACAGGCTAGTGAGGATGACCTGGGGGGTGAATATCGCAGACGACGATGCCGCCCAGGGCCCGCGGTACAGTGCGGCGATGAAGCTGATTGGAGAGACTAACTCCATAATAATCCAGGACTTGATTCCATCCACAACGAAGATGCTGTCATTGGATGGAGCAAATCTTCCGAAGGGGGCATCGATGAAAAATTGAAACGGACCAAAGATGGGCGGTATGAGGAAACACCACTTTCTTGTGGCTGAATTCGAGTTAGTATGTTCAATATACAAGTGTTGAGACTGAGCTTACCATCATACAAGGATTCGGACTGCATGTCGTCGTAATGGAAGCCTTGAACCAAAACGTCCAATTCGCGATACATGCTGAGTCAGCATTGCTGAGCACATACTACTTTGTCCCTGGACCTAACCCAAGTACTGATAGGTTCATTGGCTATTGTCTCGCCAAGGCAATGTCAACTAATGGCTAAGTTGCACCTTAAACGCACTCCAGCTGAAGAAACCGAACGGGCTCTCCGCAAGGCTCGAAAAGCCGCAAAGGCGGCAAGGAAGCGGTCACATCTGTCGGAGGAAGCAGGCGAGCACGGAGAGTCTAGCTCCAAAAGGAGACGCAGGGTGGAAGTCATTGATTCTGATCTTGACGAAGAAGTCTATGGCCCTCCGCCTCCCCCATCACTGTCATCCGCACACAAATCTGATTATGACTCCATTCTTTCTGAGCTGGAGGAGGCTCGCTTCAAGGAGAAAATGTGGGATGCTTTACGGGATGATGAACGGCTGGATGGTATAGACGCTAGATTTAACGATTACGCCCATGTTCCAGATAGATGGCGGGCGAATACAGCCAGAGGTGGAAGCCCTGAGGACCAAACGGATATGGATCCGCGGTTCATGGACGATGACACTTACGCCGAATGGATTCGAGCAGGGATGTGGAGGTTTGTCTCTCAGCTGCAAGTAGTTCCCTGCAGTTGTATTGAGTGTCCCCATAATAGGCGAAAGCATGCGCGCCAATACGAAGAAGAAGCACGCATGAAGGCGGAAAAGGCAGCTCGTAGCGCTAGGAAGAAGGAAATGAAAGCAGAGACGGCCAGACTCGAAAAGGCTGTGGAAGAGCGAAGAAAGCAGAAGAAAAGAGAAAGGGAGAGCCAACGAGAAGAGAATGCTCGAGCAGAGTACGACAGAAAGTGGAAGGTTCTCTTGGATCCCAACACTCAGCATGCCTCTTCGCTTTCCTTTGGAGACATACCATGGCCACTATTTGTGCCCATGACGCAGTCAGATACCGCTCATTCGGACGCATCCTCAATCACATTAGAACACTTCACTGCGACAGCGATATCTGCATTCCTGATACCAATTTCTACAACTTCTGCGCTCGCTCAGGAGGTTGGTGTTTCTCTCCCCATTCACGATCGTGACAAGAAGGAGAAGAAAGAGAAACTACGGGAGGCAATGCTACGGTTTCATCCGGACAAGTTTGAAGGACGGGTCATGCGGAAGATCATCGAGACGGATAAAGACAGAGTAAGGGAGGCTGTGGGTCAGGTGGTTCGAGTTCTCAACACTCTCATGGAGGAATAGATTGATGGTATAATGGTTCGGTTGGTATCCGTGGTGTAGGGGACTCACGATCGTCTGTCTTCTAGTCTATACAGAGGCTCGGCCTCAGAAGCTGGTCATCGCAATTTATCATACCATGAGGCATGATGCATGAGATGTCACTTCGAGAGTTCACATGTCGAGTAGGTCCCCGTTGTACTATCAGCATTTGTAGGAGTGAATGTCGGCATGATTGCCGGTTTGTGCATTTGACCTCCGTCTGGCTCCAGGTTCTCGCGTTTTTTTCTTCTTTTTTCAGACTAGAGCAATCCCACATGCTAAGTCGCATTTTTTTTCGCACACAGGCGTCTTGGATCTCTCTCAAACGCACCTCGACTTCTGTGACATACCGAATATTGAAGTCAATATCATACCGATAGGTATGCTCACAAGAATTGGAAAACTTATATTTGGTAAGTCACCCGCGACACAGAACGTGGGTCGGGCAGGGCTCGATAAAAAGTCTTTCGCCCGTTCGCGTGATTGGGCTAACCTTAGAGTTGCTGGCAGCCTGGCATGCATATGAGTATGAGCTATATCCGTCGCGTCGTCAGGAGATCGTGATACGCATCGATGCATCGATGATGTTTGGTCAGACACATACTCAACACGGCCTTTCCCATTATTTAAGCCGTTTTCTCGGATCATGTGGCTGTTGTACGCACTATGCTCTTCATTATCCTGCACTGGTGGGACTGTCCTATTTTTCGCCTCTCAACACGATGTTGTGAATATTAATAGCACCCCCGATGACCAGGCCAATCATGTCAAGCGCTCGTTCAGGATTCGGTCCCTCACTTTAGTCTTTCATTTCGAAGATAATAACGAATCGTAAGTTGATCTTTCAGGTTTTGACTTGACAAACATAGGTCTTTCGGCATTTTTTGAGTAAGTGTCGCATTTGGTTTCTACTCGATGTGAATTCACTAAACACGTGGAACGACAACGAGGGCCATCCTGATTCAAATGCTGAACTATGCCACTAGGTACACGTGTTACTTGACGCTCATGGATATCGTCTCAGTGCAATGTGGTACGCTGCCCTTATCAAATACAGCTGTGTTCCTGTCTGAAACTAGAAAAATACCAGTCATCTACTTCCGCCGATTCCCAAAAGACCGAATGTGGACTAAAGTTATAGGTAACGTGCCTATATATTGTTGCGCGTTGAAATCGTGCTTACTTAGAGAAGTGTCTGTGATCTTGCTGCTGGAAACGATCATCACAGTCTTCTTGTTCCATGGTTTTTGGACTGGTGCTGCTCAGCACAGATCTAATCTATCTTTGGTTGTCGCGGTCGGCTTTGGTGGGTGGCAGTTAGTTCCTGACCTTCTATGGTCGCATATAGCCTTAGCGCCACTTACTGAACTTAGTGAGTGACACAAATGGTTTAGTAGAGGTGGAACATTGATTATGGGTCTCGTCACTAACCCACTGTTTCTTCTGCTGGAGAATTTGGAGTGTGAGGAAATCAATGATCATCCCTGCATTGGTTATGATGGTGAATGCGTTGAGTGTTAACCATTATCTGATGCTGACACGAAGTCCACTCGTAGCTTTCGTTGGTGCAATTTGCAATGGTGACTTACGGGGGCATAGTGGTAAAGTTCCATCTGTCCTATGTGTTCGTCCTCCTGAAACAACACTCCAGTATGGGTTAGTTCCTGACATAAATGTCGACCACCCTATGCCATTTTATGTCCTAGTGAGTTGTCTTGCATGCGGCATAGGCATATTGCTTCAACGCACACCCACTAGGTCTGGTAGCCAGTCGGCAACCTTGTGTGCGACTCAGTCATCACCGTGTACATGACGCGCAGTGTAAGATACATCGACTTTTACTATAGGTCATGCTCATTCCAATCATAGCTTGTGCAATGCAATGAGAAATCGGGTTTCGAACACATAAATTCATTGTTCGTGAAGCTTATTAAATTGACCATCGAGACTGGACTGGTAACCACGACCACTGGGCTCATAGAGCTTGTGCTATTGCATTTCGAGTCACAATGCACCACATCGCATTGTAAGTTGCGATCCTGCTTCGAGTCACCTCTAGCTTACCAATAGCTCAAATTTTATATCATCTCAAAGTTGCAAGGACCTGGTCTTACCTGCGGTCTGCTGCTGAATTTAGTGTCAACATGATTATTTTTGTAGGTATGTTACTTGTATGCTGGCAACCTTGAATTCGTGGATATTGTTGAACAGGACGGTTGATCAGCATGAGGCTGCTGCCATCTACGACGACTAGCATTTGAGTGCTTGTTTAGGAGGAACGCCCTCCAGAAATCCTGCCAATGTGATACAAATACATCCCAAGGTTGAGACCACCAGAGATGGATCCGTACCACCCGGTAAGTTACCTCCCTTACCACGGAATGACCGACTTGCTATCCAGGTACAAGGATCAAAAGAACTTCTTGGAGGTATAAGCTATCTGTACTGATATATTCGTACAAACATAGAATACTAGAGAAAGTTATAGCGTAAACAAGCGTAAAGAATAACGTGAAATACCAGCCTCCCTGTAGCGTCGCGAGACCCTGTCCAACCTTTACCTGCCTACGGGGAAGCTTCGCTGCTTTAGACAGTCAAGGGAATGCATGCCGCAGCAATGGCGGGAATTTAATTGGAGTTAGATCGTTGAAAGTATAACCGTGAAGCAGAAGTTCCCGAGAAGATAACGAAAAAAGGCAGTACTGCTGAAGGGCATCGGTCAGTTACAGCATGAACGATCGCTGCTGCGTCGGGAATAGAGCGGAAGTGCTGCAAAGGCATTGGCCCTGGCAGAATTCCAACAGTAACATCAACAAACAGCACGGTCGTGGAACTCGGATTGAAAGTATTTATCAATTCGAGTCGCACAACCTTGCTTGTCGTTGAAGAATTGAAACACATGCCACAATAGGACTGCTGCAAAAATTGTATCATATCTGCCTGGGGCGATGTATTCACAGCACAGCTAGAGGGAAGTGTTCGCCGACTTGCAAGCTTGACGGCCATCACACACCGAATTGCAAGGTAGCATTGCATATCGCAATCGACCCCGACATAAAAAAGTTACTCACCGTCGCACCGATGTCCGGACGTTCAACTCGGTTTGGACCCCAAACCAGACGTAACCAGGGAAACATGGTCATTTGGGTCGATTTCTGCCCGGATCGCAGACTGGGTCCCATAGCTTGGGACTTTTTCCGAGTCGTCGAGCACGGACCTGGCGCCCGGTAGGTCGTCGTAGTTGACTTGGTCCCGTCAGCTTACACTGGCAGTAATCCGTGGAGACAGCTTTAAGGAGTGATTGATGTGAGGATATGATAAAAATGGACATACCTGCTGTGATGAAGGGTCCATAAGCCTGATGCCGCATCTATTCCTCAAGAATTTAAGTACCTCAGATATAGAACAGCTGGTCAAGGCCTGTGAATGTGACAGACGGCGGTCAAGCGTTATTTTTGCTGAATCCCAAAGGGGAATGTGGTCTGCCGTAACTTTGACCAGACCAAACGTTGCAAGGAGGTACAAGGAACCGTTGTTTTTACAAGTCACGTCTGCTTCAAACTCGTTACACGATACCACCACGAGCCACAGGCGTTTGCAGCAAAAACAACAAGCGGAGCAACCAATCCTTGTGTTTTGTCTCAAAAAAGGTTCATCCGGAACAATAGCATCCACACCGGCATCTATCTAGCGTTACTACCTAGTCTCCACTCCTGAACTGACCGACCCTTGACGTTCTTTCTCGATAGCTGAGTTGCTAAACTCTTTCCACTCTCTCTACCATGGCCGACATCGGCGAAATTATCAACCAAAATGCCTCCAGGACGATCACGCCGGCTGCAGTAGGCTCTCAGGTAGCTCTGATGTCAATAATTTCCGTAAGTTGTATATATAGGCTTTCTCTTAGAATCCTGCTCACTCCTTCCAGGTCGTTACGATTGTGGCATTCAACGTATTGCGACCTAAGAACAAGGTATGCCTCTTCACCACACCACATAACTATAGCCTACGTACATGTCGTACAGGTCATCTACGAACCCAAGGTCAAGTATCACGTCGGTGACAAGGAGCCGCCGCGGATATCTGACTCCCTTTTGGGATGGCTACCACCTCTCATACACACGAAGGAACCCGAGCTTGTTGACAAGCTTGGATTGGATGCCGTCACCTTTCTCAGATTCACTCGCATGACCCGATCACTTTACTCGGCTATCGCTTTTATATGCTGCGCCATTCTTATCCCTATCAATGTATCCTACAACCTCAAGAACGTCTCTTCGGCGGACCGGAATGTCCTTTCCATGTTGACTATTCGGGATGTGAAGGGTTCTTTCCTCTTTGCACATGTCGTGGTCTCGTACGTGATCTCAGCGCTCGTCATGTTTTTCGTATGGCGGCACTGGAAAGAGATGCTTCGTCTCCGGCAGCAATGGTTTCGCTCTCCTGAATATATGCAATCCTTCTATGCGCGGACACTTGCGGTCATGCGTGTACCCAAGAAATACCAATCTGACGAGGGCATCCGCGCCATCTTCGAAAGCGTCCAAGTTCCATACCCTACTACCTCGGTGCACATTGGTCGTAAAGTCGGACGGCTACCCGAGCTTATTGAATATCATAACACTGCCGTTCGCGAACTCGAGCAGGTTCTCGTGACATACCTCAAGGGCGGCAAAATAGCGAAAGAGCGGCCCACAATCCGGATAGGTGGATTCATGGGCATGGGTGGAACTAAAAAGGATGCCATAGACTTCTATACGTATGTACCCGTGCTTTATTTGTTGCGATATTGCTAACGATAACTAGCGCAAAGCTGAAACGCACGGAACAAGCAATCGAGGATTATCGTCAGCAGATTGATACCCGCAAAGCAGAAAACTACGGTTTTGCATCTATGGCGGCGGTTCCGTATGCTCACATTGTCGCTACCTTGCTTCGAAAGAAGCACCCGAAAGGTACCGACATCGCTCTTGCGCCGAACCCTAAAGACATTGTACGATATTTAAACACTGATCCCTAAATATTTACTGAATATTCCGCAGATATGGGTGAATTTCAACAAGTCAACTTCCGAGCTCATCGGCAATAAAGTCATCGGTTCTTTGTTCTTGGTGCTAGTTTGTTTCTTCAACACAATCCCCTTGTTTATCATCTCCATTCTGGCAAACTTGAGCTCGGTACGATTCTTGCGTTTTGTTTAGTATTCGGTCAATTGAAATATTTCTCTACAGATATCTGCCTACGTGGGTTTCCTCTCGCAGTGGGCGATTGCATCTCCAGGATCATTTGCTTTTGTTTCTGGTGTCGCGCCCCCCACCATTTCGGCGCTTTTCGGTTTTTTCCTCCCCATCGTCATGCGTTGGTTAAGTAAATTTCAAGGTGCCCTTACTCAAAGCCGGTAAGCTCATTTTGTCGCTGGTTGTTTATCGTCACCTGGTTCTGAAAGATTTATGGCAGACTTGACCGTGCTGTCGTTGCACGCTACTTTGCTTTCCTTGTTATCTCCCAGCTGATTATCTTCACTCTCATTGGCGTTGGATTCAGTCAGAAATTATTCTTGCTATCATTCGTTCTAGAATGCTGATACTCATCTTGTAGTTGCTGCCGAACAGGTTGTAACGGAGATCGGCCAACACACCAGTTTCCAGGACATTATCAACAACCTGTATAGTAGGTCACCCCGTTATACATTACGAGTTATATTCAATTTTTATAGCCTTGCCGAGTACGATCAACCAAACGTATATCAATCAGTCGTCGTACTGGTTGACATACTTTCCGTAAGCTTGTGCATATGTGCTTCACATGCAGATATACTTACGCATGTCATCATGATTTCAGACTCCGTGGCTTCTTGTTTATCTTCGATCTGGCACAGATCCTGAATCTTCTCTGGACGTCGTTCAAGACCCGGTTTGTTTATCGTTATTATTATCCGTCTCACATGCGCTGACACCAGATCTCAGTGTCTTTGGTCGCACACCCCGTGATATCAGAGAGTGGACACAACCGCCAGAGTTCGAGTATGCTATTTACTAGTACGTACCTCATTCCGACATCTCCTTCTTGATGCCGATACCTTCACCAATAGCGCGAATATCGTGAGTTAAGTTCGATGATCTGATCTGACGCCCATTCACGTTTCGCAGCTCTTCATGGCCACCGTTGCCCTAGTCTTTGCTCCTCTAGCGCCCTTGGTCGCACTTGCTGGTGCTATTGTGTTTTGGATAGGTTCATGGGTGTACAAGTATCAACTTATGTTCGTCTTCGTAACGAAGGTTGAGTCGGGAGGAGTGAGTTATTCGTTTTCAACTTGTTATTCCAGTTGCTAACCCTGGTGCAGCGACTCTGGAACATGATTGTTAACCGGTTGCTCATCTCTGTGATTCTCATGCAACTGTTGATGGCCCTGAGTAAGTCATTTTCACCATCAGAGTCCGCGGCTGCCGACTTACTCTATTGCAGCCATCGGCCTCCAATACGGCTTCAAGTCCTTCATGTGGCTCACTACCGTCCCCCCAATCTTATTCATCATCATGTTCAAGTTTCAGCTTGACCGAACTTTCTACAAGAATTTCGTGTACTACATGCCTTCGGAGACTGAGCTTCGTGAAGCAAAGGTGCACTCCTCGAGGTCAGATATTTCTGGCAAAGGGTTGGAGAAGCGCTTCGGTCACCCTGCGCTTCACGCAGATTTGTTTACTCCGATGCTTCATGCACGGATGATGCCATTCCTTCGGGACATCTATAAGGGGAAGATTGGCAGTGACAAGGCCAAGCTGGATGAATATGGTGGTCAGAAATTGGACGCTCAAGTCATCGAGGGTGGCTTGACGATTGCCGCTATCGAACAGGTAAATATGTGTTGTCTTTCTCTCAAAACGAAATACTAAATATTCTAATTTAGCGCGATTTGGAGTATGACCCTGCTTTTTACCGGCGCGATCGAGGCGAACTGGACTGGGATCAACGGTCCATCACATCGACTGCGATCTTGGGCAATACTGGAAGCGGCGACAATGCTTCGCTTTACCATCAGAAGACACATCAATATGCGGGTTCAATCAGTGGAGGTCGTGCATCACCCGCGCCTCCCCCTTTCGACCGTTACCTTGCTCAGGGTCCATCGCAATCTCTGAACGATATAGAGCTAGCACGCATGAACCAGAGCGTGGATCAGTTACCGCTTCTGACAGATCATCAATCATATGGATACTTCGATGCCCGGCAGCAACCGCCGCCGTCTCCACTCCATGGGTACGACTCTCCAGATCGGATGACCCCGCCATCTAGATATGGGTCGCCTGCACCAATGGCAACGCCGCCTCAAATGCAATATCCTCCTCATCCCGGGATGTACCGGAGTCCCACAGAAGGTTACAGGGAAGCACCGCTACATCGCCCATATCCCCATCGTCCAACCTCGACCTACTCAGTCGACCCATCACAAAATATGTCTGGACGAGGTGCCTACCGAGGGTGATCTACCAAAGCTTTCAGGAATTATCTCACGCCAGTACCATCATTCCTTCAATATAATGTGCGCTACGACTAGGCTTACTCTGCCTTTTTTTCAATCTTTCACGTCGTCGTTATCTGTCACCTCACTTTTATCTTGATTACGCATATATCATTCGGACTCGGACTAGGATAACACAAGTACCAAGGTTGCTTGGGCAGACAGCCTTACTGCATATATACATGAGGGTGGGAGGAGCCCGCCGAATAGTGACTGGCATTTTATTTGCTGTACTTGTTGCATTATCTTACATACAGCTTGTGTACGCGAACTTTCTAACTGCTAGTACCAACTGTACTAGTACTAATAATCGAGCAAACCTACTCGCTTGTTCATTTGACGTCGCCGTCACCTTGAACCTGCTGCATGTCTAACCTGTATTCATATGTGAATGTCGACCGCCCTGCTCCCAAATGTTTGGCTACCTCACAGGAGATTCGTGACCGTGGGTCTGCGTTCGTGGGCAGCGTGTATCGCGCTAGCACACCTGAAGAAGCTAAAGCTGCCATCTCCCATCACCGAAACGTCGTTCACGCCGGGAAGAAAGCCTACTGAGATATCTGCCTGGAGATGCATGGTGCTGAAAAATGGCAAGTCAGGGCTCGGGGGTCCTGATGACTTCGAGGTTAAAACGGGATATGATGACGATGGGGAACAATGGGCTGGGAGCAAAGTGTCGAGGGTCATGCAACATGAGGGTGTACTTGATGCTGTTGTTATCGTTAGTCGATGGTGAGTTTCAGCTGTGTCTATTCTATGGAGGACAGTTAGGGGGAATCAAGTTGTACGTTTACTGATCGTTCACTCACAGGTTCGGCGGAACCCTTCTAGGACCAGCTCGATTCACTCACATCGAGACCTGCGCCAGTGAAGTGTGTCGTACATTCAAACGAGTCGAAGAAATGGAAGAATGCATTTCAACGCTTACAAGGCTCGACGATATGTTGGCAAGCCTGCGGCAAGAGTTAAACGACCTGACTCAAAATGCTGAATTGGCGACGAGCGGAAGCACCTCGGCCCGAACTGCCTCAGACGAGCTCGATAATGCAAAAGAAAGGAGAAGCAGACAGCCCGATTACACAGTCGTGCAGAGGGATCTAGACATTACGAAAGTGAGAAGACTTGTTGGTGCCAGGGAAAGTGCCGTCAAAAGTGTCAAGTCTCTGTTATCGAAAAAGAGAATAATGTTGGCGAGTACTGAAGCTGAAGGGGTAGCACAATAATGCGCAACAGGGTCTCGGAGTCAAAATAATGCTCCCATATAATACGAGTGGTAGTAATCTGGATGCAGAACAAAGGTAATTGTGTACCAGAAAATGCATACAGAAAATCAAAGAGGGTGTACTAGAGAGGGGATCGAAGTATAATCCGCTGAAAGTTTTGAGTGAAGCTGGGAACGCAGGGAAACATGAGACGACGTAGTGAGGTGCGTCAAAATTGACAGGGACGGCACAAGCTTTGAAACCGAGGTCGTCAGGCATGTGTTGAGTTTTAAAAATGAATCATGCTGGTGTGAAAGCAAAATATCTTTGATGTTACCTATAAACACGTGGAGATGGTTAATTTGAGGTATATGAGAGCCAACTGAGAGTCACTGATAATCAAGTGAGAATTAAGGAGCGACGATGCAATCCCAGTCTAATACAGTGCAAGAATCAGACAAGTTGATCGATTCTCAAAGTCAGGCTGCACGAAGGAAGGACCGTATGCTTCGATCAATCCGCCTGATAGGGGAGACTGGCAAGTCGCCAATTTCGCGCAATTTTGCAGACGCCATTTGTTGCAAAATGGCTTGTGTCCCTCGTGGCCACCACGTGCTTGCCAAGGCGAGGAAATCTTTTGGTTGACATGAAAACGGGCATAGAAGCTTCAGGGTGAGCGCACTGCACACGACCTTGTTGCCCTTGAACAGACCTGAATCATAGAACAAATTTCAGTTCATTGACAAATTGTCCGAATTTTTGGGATAAACAGAGGCGCCCTCAGCATTGAGAGTCAACCGGTCAACAGCCATGACCATTCGTAGAACAAAGACACGCTAAATGAACATGAGAAAAGACTGCGTGAAAAAAGAACAGGAAGCAGATGTACCTCCGTTGTTGAGATCCGAGAACCAACAGCTACGGCACAGGAAACGCTTAATTGAATTCTCGGTTTCCGTTCCTCACTACAGCAGCCTGCAGTTCCGACCCCGCGGTGCAATGAGTCCATATGTTATCATCAAGATATCATGGTAAATGTAACCCTGTGAGATAAGCCGTAAGCGTCAAATTGGTGTAAAGAAATTGGCAACAATAGAATCAGTGGTGCAATGTTTGGCTATATGCTCTGCCGTTCGTCAAAGCTCATAGCTACGACTGGGGCGGCAAGCGGAATCATCATGAAAAAGTTTTGGTATGATACCCACCTGTGCAACGATATTCCTCAGTTCTACACTTGTCCATGAGGCCTGAGAGAACTTCGGAGAAAGATCCAACGGAAATCCAATATTGATCCGGCACCCAAATAGAACAACTCATGTAGAGCGTACTAATGACGTTCGCATTTACCAACGCCAGTGCGTGCTATGCAAAAGATATACAACCGATGGAGGACGGCGAAAAAGTGTATTTAGATGACCCCGTCCTCTCAAAGTCGAGACTAGAGCATGTGTAGATGTTGTCCTACATAAAAAAAATTGGAGTAGGAGATACAGCCGTAACCTTAGATAATCCTATTTCTTTATTTTACTTGTTGCATTGAGTGGCTGTGCAATCCGACCTTGGAATGTTTGCTCTGAAAGCTGGGCGACAGACTAGCCACCATGCATTTCAGCGGAGAGCGTATGCGACCGTTGATGCTGTCAAAGAAGGCAAACACGTAGCTACAGTGACTCCTCCGTGGTCAAGGCGATTCGAACTTCACGACGAGGATGAGAAAGACACTGTCGGCCCCGCCCGGCGTACAGTTTGTATCCGCATGTCCAGAACGCTCGCAGGCGGGATGGTTGACGCGTTTGCTGTTGTTCGTGGGGTGGAGCGCAAATTTGGGCGGATACGTGAATACCGGTTTATACGGGTATGTGCAGTAGAGTGGTTTTCACAATTTATTTGCTCAAGCATCATTAGGATGGAGAAGTGAACTCCGAGTACCAGATGTTGTGTTGGGCTGCATTTCAGTCTGAAGACTCAATGAGCCTTATTCCAGAGAAGGGTATCATCATGAATGTCCCGGCTGCAACGCAAGATCCTACTATTCCTGAAGGGGGCCCGGGGCTTGAACACCTTCAAGGTCTATTTGACGTGAAGGATGTAAATTCTTCCAGTCCCCCAACATACTCTGCCGAAGGCTCTTCAACACAGCCGAGATTGATCGAACTCAATGTTCAGCGAGCTGGTGTGTATGCTCTTACTCTTTCTCGTCTTGCAACAACGCTGTGTGCTCACGACGTGGACAGCAAGTGACTTACGTTTCAACTGGAGACAACACTCCATTAAACATCACGAAGGGTAAAAAGATTGCAATAGGACACAGCTTCTATGAGTGGGGAGGCTTCTATCCTCTGAAGCCTCTTTATACGTCATCCCCCTTCACTTCGCCATCCGAAGAACCGCCGCCCACTCCAGACCACGAGCAAATGCGCATTGCGCTGAACAAGTGGAGTCAAATCCTTGAAGCGACCCGACCCTTCGTTTGCACAGATGAAGGCTGCAGCCACGGAAGTGCAAGCAGATATTCAAACAGACGTGTCAGCGGATTCAGAATCACCTAGTGATTCATCGACATCAACGATGTTGTCTCAGAGGAGTCGAAGGAGGACTAGACGCGAGGTGGAATCCTGGGTACCACTATCGGCGCCACAACCAACAAAACCGGCTCTGCCACCTCCTGACGCCATCACTCTCAAAAAGCGCACAATGCCCAAGACTTTGCAGCCTTCAACGCCTAAGATTTCGCGCAAAGAACGTTTGCTCGAACAGGCTCGGATCCAAGCTCGCGAACGGGTCCTACAGCAGGTTGCGCTACGTGCCAGAGAAACCGAATCTGCTGACCTCGAAAATCCAAATCCGGAGACACTAAGGGAGAGTGTCGAGGCCTTTATGAAGGATTCTAAAGTTGATGTAGAATTGCCAGGCGATGCGACGGATGGCTTTGAGTCTGAAGTCATACTAAAGGCAAGGGACAAACCAATGAGCGAGAGCCAGGCCTCCCCCGCGAAGGAAAAGTTGTGGAACTTGGTTGGGAAGTGGTTCTGATCGACACTTGGCAATACAGAGCTTTTGTGTTGTCAAATCGTAGCGGCGGCTGAGCTGCCAGTCTGACTCCCTTGGCCAGTCAATTGCTTTATTTGATTCCTTCTCCTGATGGCTTGTACACAACGTTCCACGATTTGTGCAATACATATCTCTACTCGTTCCTGGTACCCGACCGGCATTCAGAGTCATGTTCAGCACCCTTACAGCAACCTAGACTCCAGCTTCTCCCAAGCCCCTTCAGACATACACGGAAACGGCCTTCTGGTCAACGCGATCCAGCCTGTCCTGTTCATGTAAAATCTCCTTGGCTTTAGTCCGCCTGACGCCTTTTGTGTTTGCAAGCCATCTAGGTCGCCCCAAGTTACAGGTAGTATCTCATACGTTTGACCGGCCCATTCCACATTTCCTATTTACGTGCACTCTGTCAGTCACTGCTCCATGTCTTTCTTGACGCGTGCAGAGGATTGGTGACATCCAAGGCGCTGGGTTATCCGCATGGCACAAGGCGTATGAGCAAACCGGACAGGATCAACATTTAATGTGGCTACACCGTGTCCGAAAGAACCGCGCTCGGCCGAGGGGCAAAGCACTCTCGATAGCGATAGAGATAAACCCTACTCGATAACAGTTTTTTTTTTGAGCGTGCAGAACGAAATAAGCTGCGATAAACTGCCATCCGCGGAAGGCAGATTTGGCAACTCAAGCCCAATGCGTTCGGAATTGCGAGGGTCCGCTGTTACCACGCACAGAAAGTGGTTGCCGTGACAAATATCGCAGTGATACATTGGGTATTATGTAATACATTGAAGAAATCATAGAAAACTGGGTATGAGGGTATTTCATGTTAATATTTTGGGTGAATAGTCAACAAGTGCGCTTCGCAAAAACAGCGGCATGGTTGCGAGAGATTTGGGGAAACAACGAACAAAAAAAGCGACGGCGACTTACAACAGACAATATGACTGCAATACATAATGCAACGGAATGATCACGAGGACCCGATCCTTGTCAGAAAAGGGAAATCAATGTTTCACTGGCAGGCGCACTCATCAGGTGCCTGGGCGTTTGTCCCCCACTTTCGTGAAGTCGGTGACTTGTTCTTGCCCATTACTGAACGGCGGCAGCCGGCAGTTCGTGTAGCTCCGTTCCGGTTTGTCACTTCCCCACAACTCATCCCGCACGTCTTTTTTAAGAGCTTTCTGATCAAACTCGAGTTCAGACGGCGGACCGTTTCCCGCATCTCTGCCATTGAACATAAGTATCGAGAATTGTAGAAAGAATATCAAGGATGGCTACCATACTCTCTGCGCGTACGGGTTCCGTTCGGCGACTAGGATATCTTTATAGGACGCCGTTTACACACAACGGGAGTCGCGCAGGTTAGTGGTTCAAGAATATTTTTTTGGATTGTGGTTGGGAACTCATATCGGCCCGGTAGCATCAGGATATGTGAAATATAATCATGAAGTAAGCCCAATTCGCAGTCAGTAATGACCAGGTCATCTTAGACTACTGTTTGTCAGGATCCGTTGAACTTGGAATCTCTACTGACGGAAGAGGAAATTGCCATACGGTATGTCTTAGCTGTTGCATCTTCGGCGGACGTCAAGCTTATACTGACACAGTGATACTGCTCGGGAGTACTGCCAGGCAAGTCCGCCTTATCTACATTCAGAACGCCGTGTGATGATCGGTATGTTAGGAGAATCTCGCTCCCCGTGTGCTGGAAGGCTGGCGGACGGAAAGTAAGGCGTGCTGTTTGTCCCCTATTCTTTACCTCATCATGGCGTGCAGAATTCAATCATGATATTCTCCCTGAAATGGGTAAACTGGGATTGCTTGGACCGACGATTCAAGGCTATGGCTGCGCTGGAACGAGCAATGTAGCTTATGGCCTCATTGCTAGAGAAATTGAGCGGTTTGTACCGCGGCTTCGTTTCATCGTTAACTTACTCATGCACATGCTAGCGTCGATTCTGGCTACCGGTCGACAGCATCAGTCCAATCATCGCTTGTTATGCACCCTATCAACGAGTTTGGTACTGAAGCGCAAAAGGAGAGGTATATCCCTCGGTTAGGTAGGACTTCTAACTGTGATTAAGAACTGGCGCTTATACTATACAGCCAAGGGAGAAATCGTTGGCTGTTTTGTATGAAATCACAGTACATGAGATTTTGAATTCACAGTAACAATGTAAACAGGGACTGACTGAAGCGAATCATGGTTCCGACCCAGCTGGCATGGAGACAACTGCTGAAGAAATTGATGGTGGCTTTGTTCTTAATGGAAGCAAGACTTGGATATCAAATGCACCTGTCGCGTAGGTTCCGTTGTTCAAGTTCCATGATTTTCACTGATTTGCTGGCGAAACAGTGACATTTTTGTCGTCTGGGCTCGCTGCAAATGGGATAGCAAGGTCCGAGGATTCGTTCTCGAGAAGGCAAGCTCCGCGTTTCTTGTTCTACTCATCTGTTTCACTCCCACACAACTGGCAGGGTTTGAAAGGTTTGGAAGCACCACCCATCAAGAACAAGATTGCACTTCGGGCGTCGTTAACCGGTTCGATCTTCATGGACTCTGTTAGAGTAGGCCATGATGCCTTGCTCCCCCACGGACAAGGCCTTAGCGCACCTTTCTCCTGTCTGAATAGTGCCCGGTATGGTATTTCATGGGGTGTAATGGGGGCTCTCGAGGATTGTATCCAAAAAACTCTCACGTATGCACTTGAGCGCAAGCAGTTTAAGCGACCGCTGGCATCTTTCCAACTCGTCCAGAAGAAACTTGTAGACGCACAAACTGAAGCAGCTCTTGGCTTGCAGGCCAGTCTTCAGGTTGGCAGACTGAAGGACGCTGGCAAGCTGGCCCCCGAAATGGTCAGTATGGTAAAGCGTAATAATTGTGGAAAGGCCCTCCAGCACTCCCGAGTCGTTTTGGATATTCTTGGAGGAAATGCATCATCGGATGAGTATGTCTATGGTATTATGCGATCGTCATGCATGTGCTAAGGCGATGTTTAAAGGTACCATGTTGGTAGACATGTTGCAAATTTACAAGTTGTGAATACTTACGAAGGTACGTGCCTTGCTCGTCGCCACTCGGGGCAATCGCTGACGTGTTCGCCTTCCAGGGACATACGTTCGTCTTCAACACCATATTTTCCACGATCTCCTGAGCTGACAACCCAATCCCTCTTTTCATTCAGGATATCCACGGTCTCATCCTCGGAAAGGCAATGACTAGCATTCAAGCTTTTGCTAATTAGTTCCATCGATGCATTCCTTGTGAAAAATACATGTTCCTATTTTCTTATCTGTCGGAACATCATCACCAAGTCGATCTTTACATGGCTTGAAATTTTAACGAAAGACTGCATGGTATCTACCTTAGAAACATCCATCAGATGGATGAGCCTATCATTGACAATTTACCAATCATAGACTATGTAGTATGCAAGCCAAAGTTTGGCCTTGCGTACTGTGGTGGATTCAAAGCGTCGCGGATCGACCTTTCCATTTTTTTGACACTCGCAGTTGTTAGTGCACTTAATTTCACCTGTCGCCGCATCGGCGGGGTCAACCCGAGCGTCAGGCGGGAAGTCATCTATCTCACGCCGCTTCAGTTCCGTTCATCCGCACAGCTTAGGTCTCACATTCCGGCGAAAATGTGGGACGACGATCATACCGCACTCGCTCATGCCTTCCAAACAAACGAGGACGACGCCAACTTGGTGGGATTAAAGCTGACGACAGACTAGTGATACGGTCGTTGGCATCACACTAGCACCACACTGGCCCCGCCTGTTCTCACTCGTAAACGACTTGGGTCCTGGCGTTCAGATTCATAGTTATATTTCCTTACGGAGCTCCAGGACGCATTTTAATTTTTTTTTCTCTCAGCGCACACAAATTTATGTAATTGCACTTTAATTTTGTCATGGAGACATAAGGCTGAAAAGGCAACTGTATTCCAAGCGGTGGGGAATAGGAAAGGATGATCTACATAAGCGACAGTGGGAAATCAGAACAATCACATACTTATCGGGGACTTGTCAGGAGTGCGAAGATTATGAAAGAACGAAAGAGTCTAAATCACTCGGGAATGGATCAAGGGCCGTGGGGCGCGTGGCCAGTTCGAACTCCGGTGGATCGGGTGTTATTAACGGCTGTACGCGAAAGTTTGAAACAATGTGTGCCTTCTGACCAAACCTCACGTGGTTGAGTTTCTCTGCAGATTGTGCTGGTTCGTCTCGAGTAGTACTAGTACCGCCGCGGCCATTCCCGGAGCGACGGTCCGAACGGTGAATGCTGTGAAGGTTCAAGCGGCAGGCTTTCTATGCACGTTTGCCACGTTCACGGCATGGGCATCGAACTTTGATGAAATTTGCAACTGTGAAAATAGCAGGAAGGACTGCACCTGATGTTCCTGGAGTTTACCAAGAATGCCGGTGCCCAATAGCGATACAACTAAGGTCGTTCTGATGTGCGAGGGTGCTAGATTTACTGCGGACGTGATATGGGTGCGGATGTGCGAGCCCTTTGACAGGTGGCTGCACGAGAGCGCACGGGTAGTGCACATGTTGGCCGGTGTTTATAGGGGTACTGGACATAACGGAGGAGGTCCTGTCTGATCAACGCGTCAATCTCACCTGATGGCATTCAGACATGGTCAGTACAACCTCCCGGTGGCTAGCCCCTCACTTTTCGTCCAGATACAGTCAGTCATACGAGGAAAAGCCCATCGTGGGCTTTTCCTCGGAGGACCGCATCGGGACAACAGGTGACTTTCTTCTTCGTTCTGGACCAGGACCGTAAGGGTTACGCACCGCGGATAGCGGCTTTGAACAAGCAGCGCCCTCCCACAGGCATGACGGGCTCATGTTTAGAGAGCCTATTTGTTTCTCGACTGCTTTCAAATTCGCGCCAGATTCCTCCGGACATATTATATGTTGATTGTAAAACGTGTCCTACCGGTCAAGAAGTTAGCTATAGTATCTGTTAGTCGTGCATCAAGACTGATTAACTTTCGCTTGTCTGGTTCACGTTCGAACCACGAGACTTGAGAGCACCGCACGCGTCATATATACGGAAGCCTATTCGTTTACACGTTCGAGATCCTGGACTGAACCGCCCAGCGAACTGACCAAATCAAACCGCAGCAGAATTTTCGAAGCCTCAGCCTCAGACCATATATCTACCAGTGCCAAGTGGCTTCTTTTCCTCCGTAATGTAATGGCTGTTGCTGGGGAACATGTCGTTAATGACCATCCGAAACAGACAATCGAAGGTCAACGACTGTACCTTTCTACATCATGCGAGTGAAATATTCAAACTGCTGACTCGCAAGCAAAACAAATCTGGCTCCTCCGTCGTTCAAGTTTGAACGACCGACGAATTATGATGCTTCGAAGAGACAGTAACTCGGCTCCGCCAAGGTTTCCAATCAACTGGCACAGTTGAATAGGGTTGAACGTGTTGGGTATATTGGCACCCGGATCCGCTTTTGGCGCTGCATTGCAACCATCGCATCGCGAAGGGAAAGAGGGGCGCTTGTATTCTGTAATGTGGTTGTGGGGAGTTAGTTGTATCTGTGATTAATGTTTCTAATGCTCACTACAGGTCTTTCGCTCTTACAAGACTTTTAACAACAAAGCTTCGGGGTCTAAGATCTGGAATATTATTGTTTAGCTAGGAACACCAGAAGGTCACCATTTGAATGATTTTTTGAGGCTGAGCGTTAACGTTTGATCACTCCAGGCCTAAATGGAGGATTTCCTTTTTTGACAGTGCCCGAGCTTGCCCGAGTCGGAAAACTCAAATCTACGATTAAGCCGGTAGGGCGCAGGAAAACTCCTTCCAATTGTCATTTTCACATCTCTTCGCATTCGCACAGATTTGCGCGAAGTGAAACATTAATTGTGTCCGTTGCGTGCAGCTGATTGTAACAATCTTTGCAGATGCCTTTCAAGCGACCACTGAGCTCACATCCGAGTGATGACTCCGAATCCATTTCTTCTCACAATGGATCTTCCAAACGACCCAGTTCGCCATGGAATATCGAGAAGGACAAAGCCGTTCTGGTGTACATCTTACGGGCCAAAATCCATCCAGAAATGATGTCTGAGCTTGCCATGCTAGTCGAGAACTATAAAATTGAGTGTGTTAACAAGAGTCATCAAGACCCAAGCGTCATCAGCGAACCCAACCCAATTGAACTCACTGGCGATGTTGAGAAGGCGGACGTCATTGTCACCGCGACTGTCATGAGGCAACGACTGGAAAGGCACATTAACTGGAGAATTGCGGTATGCGGTCGCACTTTGTCATTTGCACAGAGTACTTGTTCCATACCATTCACAGAAAATGAAGGCCATCGTAACACCACAATGGCTTCAAGATTCTGTAAAGTCCGGTCGGCTCCTTCCATACGGCAGTTATGTTGCGATTCGTGACTTGGAAGACGAAACTTCGCGAAATCAAGACACCTCATCTGGAAGTTCATTCTACTCTCGCTCTGGGGCAGAGAGGGAAAGTTCTTGGCAAACAGAACAAGATGAACTCATAGATGCTACTGAAGTGGAGTTATTGTTGCACAATGCGAAATACAGCTGCCTACGACCGTCGCCACTTGTCTGTCCCAATCAAAGTCTGGTCAAAGAAATTGATATCATTCGACGTGGCAGGAACATTGAAGGAGAAGAAAGAAGTATGCTCAGCTACTCAAGGGCTATTTCTGTCAGTTCAACCTATTTCCATGGTGTTGTATTATATTCTGAACCCACCGTGCCCAGGTCATCAAGGGTCCGTAACTGCAACCCCGTTCAATGTATAACGAGCTGGATGCAACACGCAGCTTACCCCGCATGTCATAACGGAGCACAATATCCAAGATCTCCGCAAGCTACCGTTCTTGGGAGAGAAGATCCTCTCAATGGTACTGTCGGCATCCTCACCGTTCACTTTTCATTATTCACACATGTTAGATTGAGGAATTTCTAAAGACGGGCCGGATAACCGAAGCGCGTCCGTGCTTTCCCCTCATTCTATCACTTGGCGCTGATGCAGATGTAGAGAAAATGTTAGCAGATCCGCGGTTTCAGTCACTTTCTGCTTTCACCACAATACATGGCATCGGACCCCACACTGCTCGCCGTCTTTACGACCTTGGTCTCCGCACGCTTGAGGAACTTGAACGATATTATGAAGTTAAACCAGGCGTGTCTGACGAGGAGACGATGTCGCTCCTTGATGCTGCAGCAAGCGCAAATACAGAGGCTGCGGTGGAACAGTCGATTAATATCGGGCTGGCTCTACGACACGACTTGAGTCAGACGTGAGCATTTTTTTGATTCGTCCCTTCGGACGGAGACATCGTGCTACTCTAAGTATGCATCTCACGGACGGGAATTCATTGACATTTGTGCCTTTATAGCATTCCACGTGAAGAAGTAGAAGAAATCAATCGGACCATCATGCGAGAACTCAGCCACATCCAGAAAGGATGCAAAAGCGTGATCGCTGGAGGGTGTGTTTACTTTGTTTTCCCAAGCCAGTAGTCGATATTAATCGTGTTGCTCTTCCATGGGCGTGTCATTTTAGTTACCGCCGAGGAAAGCCACAAAGTAACGATGTTGACATAGTCATCACCCATACAGATTGGAACTTAGGGTCTCAGAAAGTGAAGGGTCTATGTAAAAAGCTTGTGCAACGACTGCATGAACAAGGTCAGAGATCTGCAATGGAGATACTAGGTGGTCATACCAACCAATTACAGGTTTTGTCACGCATGTCATGCGTATGCCTCTAGCATGGCCGCAATGGTTGTCGGATTTGACTATTATATAGATCTTTCGGGATTTCACAAACACAACGCGTTGCGCACTCATCACTGGGACTCCTTAGAGAAGGCTCTAACTGTGTTCGTATGGCGTCATGATTCATCGCGACGGAGAGTTCACCGACGTGTGGATCTGATTTTTGCTGCACCGGAAGTATTTTGGACTGCAGTAGTCGGATGGTAAGCACTAGACCTGAATACTTTAGCAAGTGATACAAGCGCCAATCTTAGGACTGGGTCGACAATGTTCGAAAGAGACTTACGGTTATGGGCGAAGCAACAAAAGCAAGTATTCACGCTTCTCCGCGTGGGTCCTGGTTGACGTATATTATCAGGGGGATGAAATTTGACAGCTCTGGAATGTGAGTCTAGTCCAAAACAATGGACTTGGCGTTTGGACCGATTCCATTGCCCTATAGATCACGACGTCATGATTCCAAATTGTACCATCCCAGAACGGAACGTGATGTATTCAAAGTACTTGGACTAGTTTACATTCACCCAACGCTGAGGAACGCGGATGCATGATCCGGCTGACCGTCTTCAATTTTCCCACTTGCTTGCTCTACAATTCTTTGTATCGGGGTTATATTTCGACGCCATTTTCCAGCATTCTCCGTATGCTTTATGGTTGCTTCCGTGGTCATGCAATATATGTAATTTCGCCTGAATGATATTCCAAATGACAGTCTCCGATTTGAGCTTGGCAAGATCAAGTGCGCTAAATTCTAGTACCAATATCATATCACATGCGGTCTTGTAATTGTAACACTGATCATTATCCCCCAGGCTCGCACACATTCACCATTCAAGTCGACACCCCAGATTCGCTGCACAGAAATCGGAGAGGCCCGTAGGTTCTTCCAGTTCTCCCATACTTTCAATTTAATCAGCTCTTCGAATTGGTGAAAACCTTCCTGTGTCTTCGCTTCCATCGCTTTGCCTCACGACCGGCCTAATTCGCTTAGTGCTTCTGATCACTATCTGTACAGTTACGCTGAGCTCCGTTTCACACCACAGGTTCATAGATTGGATATTTTAGTTGGACGAAATAAGTGGGAAGCCTCGAATTTCTTGCGCACAGGATTAGATGACACCATGATGCTGTGTGTGTGGGCAGTGGGCCTCTCAGACTTACTTGGCTGCTTGGCTACTACGGACCCTACACGGACTTAGCAGATATCAGGCCAAGCGATGCTATTTTTTGCTCATTGCGTACTGATCAACTCGATCTGCAAGACCTACAAGCGAGCACGTTTACTGGCCTGTGATTATCCTAAATGAGTGCGAGCCTACGCGAGCGCTCAAATTGAGTTTCCAGAAAGAAGGTTACCAGCTACTAGGACTGTGGGTAATGCATTAATTATTGAAGTTCCTATTTGATGGGGGGGGATTCAGATAGAAGTTTTCACCTGTTTTCACGTCTGCTTTCATTTTTTTTTCGTGTCAATTTTGTGCGGAGTTTTCGTTGTCAAAGTTTGGAATACCTCCTCTAAGTCGCGTGGTATCTATATTTGTTACATGGGTCGAGCTGCCAGGGCCGTCTATGGCGACATGTTGAAATCACCTCCAGTAACAGAAACTGTTAAGTATTCTCTGTTATTTGAGCCAAGCTTGAAACATTGAGAACCAATTTGCTCACTGACTGCTCCAAACCCCGACGTGTCAAGAGCCGAAAAACCTCACACATGCACCCGTTTGTCTTTTTGTCTTGGTGAAAGCAGCTGAAAACTTCCATTGAACTGGTTGAGTTTACGAATTTGAAGGGAATTTGATCATATCTGTATTTTGTCCTCACAACCGATCGCTACCTGTAACCTGGACTCGTGAAGTTGTTCTAATATTGTTCCATTCGACGTCGGTATCGGCGGTCACAGCCATACATAGTATATATATGGTATGTAATGCAGTAACTCAAGGAGCGATTTACGTCCAGAAGCTTGGACAGCTCTCCACCAATCGCAGCCGCATTATCGCATCACGACTGCCGGAAGTCGCGCGGCCAAGGCTCAACTGCATGTTGAATTCGCCAAAAGGTTTTTGCAAAAGTTTCTGGCTTGGTGACATGTACATATGTCGTTGGTCTCGAGACCAGATTTTCGTATCCATTAATAAGGTCACCGTTGCAGAGTTTGTATGCCACTCTATGTATTAGGATCTCTGGAGTCGCTGGTGTGAACTGTGTGAAGGAACACCAGTTGATACAAGCGGGCGCTATAATCCAGTGCGAGCTACTATGTCATATCCAGACCAGCTCATAGTGATTATGATACCTCCTTTGCGGCAAAAAATGATCGGCACGACTGTGACCAAATCTGGAAGATTGGAGAAGCTCCTGGTCCCAAGAAGTTGGAAAACGTAGTCTGCATCCATTGCTGCTGGACTGCGAGGAACTCTAATGTCTTCATTTGTTATTGAAAAACAATCTCTCCGCATCCATATCGCCCGTTCAGAACATGAGGTTCCGATTTTCTTGCGAACACGGACTGTTTTAGTAATTTGTGGGGGATCGGTCACGACAGCCTTGGGGAGGGGGAATGAAGACATGCACTGTTGTCAAAACCAATGATGGGATGAATGAATGGCACAATGTAGCTTAACCTTATTTTCAAGCAGGCGCATCGATAAGGCGACAAGGCGGGCTTGACTTCCAAAACCAGCCATCGAGGCGCATCGATAAGGGTTCTACCAGTACTCCCTGTATAACAGCGGCTGTAGGCGACAAGATATCAAATAGTAAGGTACGCGCTTCCATGGAAGACGCGGATGCGATATGATTTACCACTTGCCTGTACATACTCTGCAGGGACCTGTAACAGCCTGTAACTTCTTTGAAATCATGATGGAGTTCCGAGGGGGTTAGGGAAGTTCCCGTCCTTTTGGAATCTCACCTGATGGAAAATGCAGGACAAGTGGCTCAAACTACTACTACTAACTCCGTACCTGTGAACACTGGACGCAGGATTCCCAGTTTTCCCTCACAAGCGTAGCGGTCTTAGTGTTTGACCCTCGGAGCCGCCCTGATCTCGGTGACTATCCTCCTGTTTGTCTCTGTTTAATACAAAATACAAAATTTCTTTTTTTACTCAATTTTGCAGATCGAACATTGCTAACCGCCGTGCGTTCCAGTCAGGCAAGAAGACAGCAGATCTTTTGCTCATGTTATGCTCGCGTGGGATCCCCCATGACGGTTCTCGTAATTTAATAAAAGGACAGTTCCCAAGCCTCTGATCGGGAGCGTCGTGGAGGAAACGAGTCTTCTGTCAACTTTCGTTTCTCTCGAAACCTTTTTAGACCCGACAGTCGGACGGAGGCAATGTGAGTGTGGTCCCTAGCGGTGCATGATCTTGACCCCCCCGTCTTCATCCGCGAACCGAGACTTGCCGACTTTCAGGTTTGTCCTGTCCCGTATACAAGGGTCAAAGAACGGCGGCGATAATCGCGTGTACAGAAACGGACTTAGCTACTAGATCTATGTCCTGAATTGAACATCAACGCAAGTACATGTGAGAGCCGACATTTGCAAATCAAGATGAGTACTTGATTGGAGTTGATTGGTCGGGTAATTGAAAGGTCCTGACGGTCGTACTACTTACCTATGAGCGCGATATAAATCCGGGTGATACAAAAAGTTGGCCCAGTTTCTGTTGCATTGTCACCTCTATAATATCACAATATTTGGTTCACCAGCCCTCATCTCATGCCCCGCCATTCAATTTCTACGCATATGTCTCAAATAACTGATAGCGACGTAGCTTTGATCACCCCCATCTCGCCGTCGAATGCACCTTGGGACCAGTGTCCCTCATCATACCCTGGAAATGCAATGAACACTATTGGGTGGAGTTATTACCCTTTACCACCGTCCCCGCCTACCTCTGTCGGCTCAAACATCACCGACTCTCCTGGACCTATATCCAATACAACTCCTGACTCTATGCGACAGAAGGAGCAACAATTGTGCTTGCCGACGCACCAGGTGTTTGACTTCCCTGAGGTGCCGAATTTATCGTCACCTTCGCCATCCGTCTCTCCTCCACTCTCAAAGTCCTCTCAGCCATCTATTTCCCTTGACACTCACATGCACACGGAAGGGCTATCTTCCCTCCCTGTCGCAGGCCCTTCGAAGAGACCGCGAACTGGCGGAGAGCGTATCACCACAAAAGACTTTGTACCGCCTGATGTATCGGGGCTGAGCAAACGTGAAGCACGTCTGGTTAAGAACCGTGCCGCTGCTTTCCTCAGTCGGCAGCGGAAGCGGGAAGAATTCGAGGCTATGGAGATGTAAGTTCCTAAATATTCTTGGGTACATGATAGGGTGCTAAATGATACCCGCTTCGCTGATATAGCCGCGTCAAGGAGCTGGAGGAAGATAATGTGCGGCTTCAAACTGCTGCCAAAAGAGGACACGCCTATGATGAATTGCTCTTGGAGGTCGAACAATTGCGCAGTCGCCTTTCTGCATCTGAAAAAAGGGGGCGCGAGCTGAAGGCCGAACTTTCACGAAGGTCAACCAGTGATGTCCACGTGAAGACAGAAAATTACGATCAAGCTTTGACTCCGGTCTCACCATCTGCCTCGCTGCCGATGCACTCCCACCAGAGGTCCGGAGCAAGTCTCGGCCTGATGGTAGGCAAGCTTGTCTTTTGAAATCAGAATTATGAAACCAATGACCCAACAGCAGGTTCTCCTATGTACGCTACCGTCCCTTCTTTTGACGTCCCCTAGATCGCTTCCCACCACATACTTTATTCCCCTGACGGATCCCTCGATTCTACACCCCTCGTGCAACTTCGACTACAGCTCCATCATCCCAAGCGATTTTGAATGGGCACCGCATCCTGACGGGGGAGCAGTGATGAACCTTGGTTTTGGCGATGTCGGAAAGCTTTCTTCGAGCGCTGGTTCCTCGTCCCCTCGCAAAGTTGAGATCCACGCTGAAGCCATCAAAGCTCTTGGGGGATTCGAAATTTCCTTTGATGCTAGTCCATCCAACGACGGAAAAATTCAGGTTCGGATCCACCCTTCCCAATCACACCATATCAACCGGGATCCCCAACGTGCACCTCCAGCCTCAATGCCCATGTGGTTCGAGTCAGCACCAAACAACTACGGCCCAGCCTTTTCAGCTGCTTTGACATTTACTGCATCTTCGACACCGGGATCTTCCTTCGTGCCGTTAACTAGCGATTTTGACTTGGATCCTTTTTTGGGAGGAGTCCACGACTCAGGATTGCCATATGGCAGCAGTGGACCGGCGTTTGGCCACCATCCATCGGATGCCACATTTGAACATATACCAGGGTTTATGAATGGCACTCGCAGCGACTTCTCTAAACACCGTCCGCGAGTTACCATGAGAAACCTGCCAGCTGTCGGGATGGAAGGAGAGTGGGAGGTTCCAGCCTGCTGATTGTTACCGCAGTTGGTCGATGACAACTATTACTTAAGTACTTTCATTTACTCTCATTCAGCTGCTCGAAGTTACCTGGATAAACCGCATTGGAATTTATATCACTAGTACCTACTTTAATGGTTTGAGCTGGCCTTGAAGCAATTGCCCGCATTATTCTTTCACAAACATACTGGATATATAGTTTTTACGTATGCTTAGCAGATATGGAGGAATGCGCACTCGGCGCGTGAATCTCGAGGTGGCAGAGCCCCGCCTGTTTTCTTCCATTTGCAGACATTGCGCAGATCATCATCCTCACCACCGAAATAAAAGTATACACGTCAGGAAATAGTCCAGTGCCACCACGTTACAGCGAGGAAGCTATACTTGTGGGGGATTTAGCGCCCACTGGACAGGAACGGTAGTAGCATTTTTCTCCTCTTGTCCGTGACCCCTTCCCGGCGATCGCACCGGTTTGGCCCTTGACTAGCATAGATTTGGCTTCAAGCAGAGTATCGACTAGCGTAGACTAGTGGCGACTCATTTCATTGACAGCAGTAGCGGTGTTCATTTAGCTAGTAATTTTACTCACGCTTAAGGTTTCTTTATACATGTCTAATTGGTTGATAACCTTGTCGTATCCGTTCCCAATGTTGACTGGGTAGCGCGGACATTGTTGCTTTCTGAACTACCACTCTCCCTGTCATTGCCCTTATCTTTCTCCATGCACGGTCCGTCGTCTGGATATAGGTTGTTCTGCTCTATGTAGTCGATGACGGCCGCTGGGAGGAGATACTGTACCGAAAGACCCCTGCGAAAGAATAGCCGTACCTTCGTCGAGGAAACGTCGTTCTGGACCAGCTGAGCGATAGGGTAGATATTGTTCCGCCAACGCGCCAAGTTGTCAGTCGCTTGATCCAGTGCGGCCCCTGTGCGCTCAATGACAAACGTTCCATGGCGTCCAAGAATATTATCGAGCTAGAAATCAGTACGTCAGCCCGCCGCACATGTGATTTTTGAATAGATACCCACATCATCGTGAGACCAAACGCCCGGCTCAGACATGGTGCTAATCAAGTCTGAACCAGCAAGGAGCATGATCTGAACATCGCGGTGTTCACCATCTCGAGTGGACACGCCACCAACAACCGTGTTAATTTCATAATCAAAGTGATCAAGTACAACAGCTGTACGTTGATAACTCTGCAACGCTTCCCAAGAGTCGACCATTAGCCATGACGACTCCTGCTCTGTGGCGAGCGTGCACATTTTAACCCTGTTTCATGCAGAATATATTAGTATTGAAATGTTAGATAGTCACACAATCCAAGACTTCGAAGTTTCAAGTTGGGGGATAAAACTTTAGCCTTTCCGAAATCTCGGAACACCGGAGATACAAATATATAAATCTGTATCAGGGCGCCTTCGTAGAGAAGTGTGCCTTCTTGGGCTTTAGGTCCGCTGTGAGACCTCGTGAGACTCACGGTTATGGTCCACAGAAACGAACGCGATCATCTGATCCGGCCCGACTACTTGAACTGGAGCACCCCTTCAGGGAAAAATACAGTCCTTCTAAGTAGGATAGACCACAGCTGTGGTGCCTCGACATATATTATGGGAAGAAACAATAGCAGTGTACTTACCGATCATGTGCACTGACTAAACCCGCTTTCTTGTACCCGTCGCTGACCGGGCTGAGATATCCACCGACAATCTCAAAATTGGTATTCTGCCGAATGAAATCCTTCGCAATCTCAAACATCCGGAGGTGGTGGTATGTGATAGGATTAAAGGAGCCGCATGCTACCAAGACGATCGGTTGCTTGGTGGAGGTATGTAGAGTGCGACGGAGTCGATGAGAGGCCAAAGCATAGTTTGAAGGATTCTTCAAGGCGGTCGTCTTGTGCGCAGATATTTCTGCGGCCATGGTGGTGCTAGAAGGAGTGTAGATTCTGTGGAAATGATAATGAGACCTGTCATACGTGCCGAAAGCAACACTCCCCCTTTCTGCCCCAGTGAAAACGGACTAGCACGATCTCCGCCTTAATGGTTATCACAGGCAACTTCTGAGAGCTCGGTGACATTGCTGTTACAAGACATATCATATGCTCATAAACACTCAGAAGATACGCGCATGATTATATGATCCCTGTAAGTGCCTAAAGTGCTCCACCTGTGCCGAATCCGAAGACAGTACAAGTAACGAAACGTTCAAGAAAAGTTTGAATAAATCTATTACATAATCCAGCAATCGGTGAAAATATATAACGTCACGTGATCACTAGGACAGCAACCGAGGATTCAGGAAACCATGACATCCAACTCGGAGTCTCGAACACCCCGACTGCTCCCGCCATTTATCCATCACCCTAACCTTCAGCTTCAACCATTGTAACATTGTCAGGGCCAACAAATTTGGACCAAGTCATGACCCTGGACCTGTAATTACTCGTTGCTTGTTCAACCACAGCTTCCTTGCATCTTACATCACTCGAAGCTAGACCCGGGTGCAGAAAATCAAAACAGCAAGGTGATTAGTCAGCAGCGCCGAACCATAGTAAGCATGTTCTGCCCCGGGGCCCGACGTAGCTGGTCATATCTGCTAACGACGCGATTTCCGTGGGGAGTCGTGGTGGCTTTTACATATAGGCCAACTTACATCCCAACCTTCCTTCGTAATCAATGTTACGAGTTCAACTTTTCATGTTTATTACCGTTTAGTACCCTGGTACTCATTGATCCGAGTCATAGCTTTAGTCCCCAAGGGCACCTGGCAAAAGTTACAGCATAATCATGAGGCTCAACGACATTGGCACCGTCAATATCCGAAGCATTGTCTAGGGTAATTGACCCGGGCGTCCCTCAAGCTCAAGGTGAAACATTGACGAGAATCATGGAGGATCCTTGGACTGCTATCGGAAATATGGTGAGACTACTTCCTCGCCCACACCATCTCGCCCTTCACCCAGGTGCTTAACACGTTACCTTGGTGGTCAAGTACCACCAAGTCCGCGTCTGCACCCGCGCGCAGCGTACCCTTCTTGTTCTCAATGTTAAGGCACCTAGAAAATTGTATTAAGGCAAGGCGTGCGGGATCAATTTTTTGCTTACCTTGCAGGATTGTAAGTTGCACAGACGATAGCTTGACCGATGGAGCAGCCCGTGTAGCGCACGAAGTTCCGTACGCATTTGTCGAGGGTGACCACGCTGACGTTCAGCCATTAATATGGAAAACAGGTATGGAGTGTAAACAAACCTTCCGGCAAGGGTGGTGGTGCCCTCCACGTAAAGCTTATCGCCCTCCTTGTAAAATCGACGGCCATCGCGCCAGTCGTGAACACCATCCTTGAGGTGTGGGTCTAGAATCTTCATGGCTGTGGGAACGTCAGTAAAGCAACTCCGCAAAACAATGGCGCATACCATCGGTAATCAATATGCACCCATCTGGATGAGCACTGTACGCCAGCTGCCGAAGATATCAAATACAATCCAGATGCACATCAACAATAAGAACCCACTCTCACGGAGTTGGGATGAGAATGAATCCCATCCACGATAATCCCGTAGAATGGTCGATCGAATAGTATAGTCGTCAAATCTTTCTTTGGCTCACTTTCGTTCGGTTGCCTACTCCCCAGGGGAATGGCGGTGATAGCGGCAGAGTCCGGGCTCGACATCGACTTGCCTGTGGGAAGGAGAGATTTCCTGTAAGCACGTTCCGCAAGGAGCATGGGTGTCTGAGGGGGTGTCTTAATCTCATCAAATGCTTCCGATATGTGATCGATTAATGGGTCCTTGGTGATTGGAAGCGAAGACATTGAGGCATTGAGGGCACTGATGATAGCGGAAGGGAACGGCAAAAAAGCTGAAGAAGACGGGGATAGATAAGGAGAAGCTCCAAGTAAACCAATGATAGACGGATCGCGATGGTGAAGCTGTGGCATTGCGTTGAAGAGATGTGTGATGCATCTCGCACCATTCCGTACTGCTGCAGTTGCAATATCCGTCGTAGCCATGCTATCTTCGTTAGGCGTAACTTAGCTCGTCAATTTTAACAAGATCATACCTGTGTCCAATACTGAAACAGATTCCACGCTTGCTGGCTTCGTTAATAGCCTCCATAACGCCCTCGACCTCAGGCGCAGCTGTTATGATGCGCACACCCACAGTGTTGTGGAGGGTAGATTCGCCTGACATGAGCCAGCCTTCCGCTTCTGCTAGGTTCTCTGGACTGTAAATAAACTCAAAAGTCTTGAAACCTTCTGAGGCAGGTATGATTAACGCGGGCGAATGGGCGCCTCGTTTGGACATCTGTAGGAACGGCCCCTCGGCATGCCACCCGAGGAGGTGTGCTGCGCGTGGAGGTGACCATGGACGAAGCAGGTTAAGAAGTTTGGGGTAAAACGCCTTTTCTTGAGTCTGTCATGGTACACATATGTTATTGCGAACGAAACACCCAAGGACTGGAAGCTTACGATGATCGTGGGGACCAAGCTGAGAATCGACAAATAAATAAGGTGCTATGAAGGAGTGGGTGGTAGATACATTGACAACGTACGAAGTGACACCCGTCTCAACAATTCTCTCTGCGACTAACTTCAACCCATCTCGATAAGTTTGGTCGTCGCCTTCGTAGACAGAGAAGTCAAAACCAAAGCCTCCATTGATCTGAGTGTCAATAAAGCCTGGACTGTTCAAAATAATTTAGTTTGTTACTTGGCAGGACTCGAAAATACGTAACAGGGGGCGTCGGTTAAACAAGTTCTAGGCCCGTACTGTGTCTGCCCGACTCTGCCGAGTTCAGGACACTCACCTCAAGATGTTTCCCCCAAGATCAATAATGGTATTCGGACGCTCCTTGCGCAGGAAAAAGGTTCGCTGGACACGAATAATTGCTAAATCTGACCCAAACACACGTCTATAGGTGACCCACCTGCGCATCTAGTATGACACCACGCCGCTCATCAATCCACAAATCCTTTTCAATTAAACCACCGTCTTCCTGCGGGAGGAAGCAATTTGTGAAGCAGATAAGGTCATTCGATGTTGTCGCTGCCATAGCAGATGACTGTAATTGTGCAAGAGGCTGGGATAAGCACGAAGTACTAACGGCTAGAAGTACTGACAGCTACACTACTGGACGGACCAGATCGCCGATGGTCCATACCATATCATGTGGACTACAATCTTTAGCGCGCATGTAAGAGCACGTTTGAACTCGTGAGTTCCATTTAGTTTCTAAGCGTGGCATCCTTGACTTGGAGAGATTATTCTGATAGGTCACTATCTTTACAACAAAGGAAACCTTGGAATAACTGGCAGCGCCCAGACATTCAGCGACCTCTTATGCAACCAGCACAAGATCATTGTCGAATCTATAGCCAATGACCCAGAGAATACCAGCGCACCAACGAATATGTCCGAGATAATGTTCGTCTGCTACTTGAGATGCTTGACACTTTGTAAGACTCACAGTTTCTTTGTAGTCCGGGCTCCTCGGAAATGGGTCTCGTGGGATATCGAGTTTGATGCATCTGATGGCGGCCCGGTAGGATGGTCTCTGGGTGGAGGATGTTCCAAATCGTACCTGATACCGGTGTGTACTAGGTTTGAATGTTACTTATGTTCCTGACATTCGGGATGTGGCGACCTGCGCCACCTGAGAATATTAATGGAGAGCACCGGACGACGTCAAAGCTCTAGAACCGTCAGTGAAACTCGTCATATTTGACCTGAAGCTGTGCGTTGCAATGAAGAGAGTTCCATCTTTACTTCTTATCTCAAGGAAACAACCTCGTCCTATCTGTGTGAACCTCTTGTTGATGGCGGAATCATTGATCGCATTCTGGGCACTATAACCACAGCATAAAGTACATTTGGAGAAGGCAAAATCATCGGGCATCACGACATTTGAAGAAGGTACAATATTGGAGCACGGCGTTCAAACAACACACCTAATCTTCCGTCACCTGCATCGCTTAGGCATCGAACTCTTTGCCAACGTTTACATGTTCGTTGTCGTCCGCAAAGTCTTCATCGGAGGAGAACTCGGTCGCCTGGCATTTCTTGCGCTAGCTGTTTGTTATGGAGATCATTGCTGGCCTTGTGTTTCCCCTTGGAATCCCCCATGCAGTTGTTAGCGGTGATAGAGGCATTGAGGGAGGAGTTTGATTTCTTTAAGCATTACCTGACAGCCGTCCATTGGATGCCTCGGCAGGCAGCTTTGCGGTGTACTGGAGCCAGTGCAGTAGACCACAAAGGGGGAGCGGTCGGACTCTGCAACCTGTTGTCATAATGGGTATCCTCATAATGAAATTAGGGGATCATTATGTTGTCTCAACAGCGCTGAGGATGCAGCAGCAGGCCATGAGCTGCAGCAAACTGACGAAAGGACACTGCAATGAATATAAGCTTCAGATTCAAAGTGTGACCGTCGAAAAGACCATCCATGCCGACCGACAAGACACACCATGGAACACGACCGGGGGATTGAGACGATCACACCCGGGCCAAAGAAAATAGATCGGGTCACCCCGTGCCGATGTACGTAAGCTTATTCCCACGAACGTTCTTTGACTCTAAGCATGACAAAACCTCCCACTAATCTCGTGGGGAGTCGGGACGTCCTGAGTCACCTCCTGAATCTGGATATATGTTGAAATTCTGCTTCACTAGCTATGAACGGTCGAATGAAACTGGCCATCCATTTTCTTCGTGAGTGGAGCTCCGTGACAAACCGGATGTGGTGACTCCTCTTTACTTGCTTACCAGTCCCCTCCGTCATCGGGAAACCGCAACTTCCGGACACCACAAGGTCCTATAAGGACTGATCCACTTTATAGAGAAGTTCCACGATAAGCTCGCCAGCATGCCGATCCCATTTGACAACGCAAAATTTTCCTCAGCTCCGGCTCTAGAAAGCCTCCCAAACGAAGTACTTTTGCAGATCATCTCCGAAGTCGTTCTTTCTTCTACGTGGCCTGACCACAAACCACCTATTGCTGGCACCATCAAAACGGACTCGAAGGGACTCAAAAGAACAGAGATACCAAGCGGCATCCACGCTGTGACTCTGACCTCCCGTCACCTTCATGACCTCGCGAACACTGTGCTGTATCGCACTGTAGTTCTCGATAGAGAGAAGGATGTCTTACTGTTTCGAAGAACTGTCGGATGAAGCTCAAAAGGCGAGCAGGCCTGGAAGAACGGGAAAGGTGGCCATTACTTTCGCCTTCCTGCAAAATGTTGTGAAGCGTCCTTGCAATCACACATGCATCGATGTACACTGATCTCGCAGTGTTCACGTTGCGAAAGCTAGGCTCGAAAGTGTCCGACAGCGACATTGCCACCATCATTACTGCATGCTCTGGAGCACACATCGATAACCATACCTTCTCAGTGGGCACACGTCCTGCGGGACATTGAGAAAATTGCAGAGGATTCAGAGGCAGGAAGGTGCACCTGAAAACCTCAGCGTTACCGAGCTTCTGCTCGGTTCTTATGTCGACTTTCGCCAAAACACGTTGCACGATTCCTCCTAATTGCTCAATGGCGGCCCTCGGCACCTTCCACACCCATACATTCCCTCCCGGCGACTCCGAGTTACCACACGTCCTTCAACCCCACATTCCGCTCTGCAATATGACACCACCAGCGCTTTGGGTGATTTATCACCAGCTACTATATTCCACCACGTCACCCACCTTCACATCGCGGAACCAGCTCATGCATGGTATTCGCCGCTGCACACTTCTAGAGGTTTTCCCGACATTAACGCACATCGCACTTCCCCGTCGCGCGCACGCAAACACAGAGAACGATGAACTCTTCATTGGGGACGTAAAAGCTATTTTACTGGAGCCAAGGATACGGATGGTTATCATCAGTATTTTCCCGCAGACCCTGGTCGGAGCGGATCAGGATCAAGCTGTCAATCGTGATGGAGGCGGGTCACAAGACGTCAAGGACAGCGCCATTTGGCTCGCTGCGGCAAGAACTGAGAAAGGGGGATGGACGTCTGTTTGTTCTCAATGGACACTCGGGTAGTTGGAGAAAAGAATGGCAGGGACCAGCAGTCGTAGCGAGCCCCAGAGGTCCCGGAAATTGGTGGAGGAAAGTTATCAGTACATAGATGCGGTCAGTGCAAGTTTGCGAGACTCTGTTAATAATTTTTACCCGGTACGAAGATAGAGTAAAGCATGTAATGCCACATATAGACAGGTCTGGAAAGATCAATAATTCCACAGCAACGCTACTTGGAGAGAACCTAGTTGCACTGCCCAAGGTACCCGACATAGCAAGCGAAGGAACGCCTGGAGGCAATAGGCAATGCGCGTGTGTGGGCCAAGAATGCGAGTCATCGTGCTTGCCAAGCCGACACAAGGAATTTACCGTGTGCAATGAGCTGACACGAGAAGCAGAACCACCGGCTGAGCCATCCTGTGTGAAAAATATATATACATCATAGTACGCGCACGCCGCGCACCATGGTCCATGACTAGTCGACTGCCGGACAGACTGAGATAACACGTGACAAGAACTTCTGAAGCAAACGACGAACAAAATTATCGGGAAACTCTTGAAATATTAAAAGCTAATCAAACCTGTTTTGTGGACAGTCCTTCCCTCTCAAAAACTCTGTCGCCGGCTGCGGTATCTGGACGAAGCTCTTCAAGGCAGACCAGGCTGATAGCCGCATGTATGCGACTCTTCGTGGCCAGATGCATGTGACTATCTCTTCAAGTTGTCGCTCTCGTCTTTTTCGGCCTCGAAGCGTGCTGCATAAGCGGTGCCAAATTGTAGGTGAGGCCTAGTAAGGCTGCGTACCAGTAGGATCTGAACCAGCATATATAGACCATGCCTCGTGGGTTACTGTCCGCGGTCAGCTGCGATCACATATTTATGTAGTTTGGAGCTTGATCTCCAAAAAATCTATGGCACCGTGGCATTCGGGGGACCGCTAGCTCCACATGTTTCCAAGAAGCACATTTTTACATGCCGCTGCCAAGTTCACATTACGTTGACATGTTGCAGTAATCTCGTCTGCCAAGAGCAAAATGTTTGGATTCATTCTGATTGCACGCTAACCACAAACGCCACTCTCAGGCTTTCAGGCTACATATTGAGGGGTTTCCCCGGAGTCCCCCTCTGACTGTGCAATATGACAAACAAACAGTGCTAGTGAACGGTGAATGACAAAATTTAAAACGCTTAACATTCTGAGAAGACAGCTTATATCTTCTCGATTACATCACCCTTGGTCCAAGCACATCGGAGCCGTTTTACATAAATGGACCCCGTTTCAAGTTGCCACCATGAATAGGAACAGCGCTGGCAATTCTTTTGTCGGTGCCTCGGAATCGGATCAAATGTGACCTACACGGTATAGCTTTCCCCAAGGGTCGCTCTTGGCGCTGTAACGTTTTATATACAACACGGCCCAAGTTAGATGTCATTCCTGTGACTATCCTTAACCCAACATAATTCGTGTCCTCACGACTGCACTGAGCACTATAATGACCTCACGACGATTCCATACGACTGGAGGTGAGGTCTTTCATTGGCTTCGCCCGAATTGAGGTACTCAAAATATGATCATGGACGAGCAGAATTAGTTCAAGCAAGCAACATTGAATTACCAACTCGCACAGAAGCGCCCGGTGTGTTCAAGCAACTGGGGCTTGGCGGACACGTAGAGGAAGACGAACGCGACTTTAATGTCATTTTTCCTCCCAGAAAACGTATATCACAGTGCCTCGAATGAAAGATCTCTGCTGACTTTCCGTACAGGCACGCAGAAGGACCAAGACAAAGAAGACGAAAAGGCTCGGAAGCGGGCAATGACAAACCTCGTGAACTCGTGGCAGGAGCGACTGCAGCTCATCAGTGTAATTGTGAGGTCATGGCTTGCCTGCTGACCGACATTCATCTGATGAACAATCTCCTTGGGCATTGCACAGACGACATTCTTTGCATCTATAGAAGCAGGGATGTTGGTGCCAGTGAATACTGATCCGAATGCAGTCAACGCCTTGTCAGGTCTCCTCAAAGCTGCGAATGCAGGATTTTTGGGTGCATTGATCATGCACGTTTACGCAGGTAAGTTGGGTTATCACCGGGGTATAGTCAATGACTTATTCGTGCGCAACACGTTAATTGCGCAGCTGTCCTATCATTCCTTGCAGCCTTCCTTTTGATCCGATACAAACTGAAAGAAGCCTCAAACGAAGAGTTATTCGCAGAAGGCAGAGCCAAAGGATTTCAGATCACAGCATCTCCAGTGAATGGTTCATTCCAGGTCCAAGACATCGAGAGAGATGCTCAAGACAATGACGCCCAGAAATTTGACCCGGAGAACTCGGGCACATTAGATAACCACACGGATACCAAATGTGACCCCCCAGCGCTGCGGCGGATGGGATCGCAACCTGCGGAACCTCCTATATTTGTTAGGGACCCACACCTGGAGCAGGTTGGCTTTTGGAGTCCTACGATTTCATCGCATCTTCTGAGCCGCGTGCACACCCTGTGCATTCTCTTCGCTGGGTTTGGGTTTATACTCGCAATCATGGGTATCATGGCATATGCGTGGGCGCTGCAATCAAAGGAGGTTAGCATTTTTGTGACCGTGTGCTTCGGGGGCGCTGTTCTTGCGATGGGGGTGTTTTTTCTACCTGATCCCTAGACGTTGAGCATGACTCGTCGTTATTCATTTCATTTCTTGAACTCTCAAAAACTTATACCTCTATACATCTCCCTAATCCTCATTGTCTTCTTGGACACATACTATCACAATAAGGTTTTTCAAATAAGGAACATTGTTCAGCGACCGATTCATATACATGTAAGAATGTTACTAGTACTTATCATTCACCTTGGACGCTGTCCCTGACTCCATGAAATGGGAGGGTTCTTGAACTTCTGTCAGCGCCAAACGTATTGCTGATGTGTGAAATGATTTCCTTTTTCTGAGAACCTCCCTTGCCATTGGTTGATCGTCACGTGTCACGCCAAGCTGGGATTCTCGTTGCATTTATGTAAGCCAAGTCTTGTTACTCTCCCTCGCCGTCGCTTTTTTGCTCGTTGTTTCCTTTCCTCAGATCTCCCGCAATCGCCGTTTTGCGAAGCGCACTTGATGATTAGTTGACCGTCCGCACCATGATGCATGATGTTGCACACGAAATACCCTCATACCCAGTTTTTTATGGTCCCTTAATGCATGTATTACTGCGATATTTTTGCCACGGCAGCTACTTTCTGTGCGTAATAGCAGCGGACCCTTGCAATTCACACCTTGAGCTGCCAAATCTACCTTCCTCCCGCCGTATCTCTGTCGGGAGTGCCACTTCTGACGTTCTGGTACGCCTGGGACAGGATAACATCTCATTTTCACGCGCTCGCTTCGAGATGGCGTCATGCATGCACTGTATTGTGTTCCGGCACCAACCAAGCGCAGTTCCGTCGGACATACATTCGTCTCTTATAATGCTGATCCTGTCTGGTTTGCTCATACACCTTCGTGTCATGCCTCCCACTCTCCGCCCAGTGCCTTAGTTGCCTCAAGAAAGACGTGGAGGTGATTGATAACTGATATTATGAACAGAATGTGGGATGGGCCGGTCAAATGTATGAAGATACTACCGTAGAGATATTTGTGTTGCACAGATCGTGGAACAAGCCTCCAGGGGAAGGAATGAATAAATTTAAACAATTAACCCGGTCAGGCCTAGGGACTGGCGGCGTTTACTACATACGCGATACCGGTACTGCATGATGCAACTCGGCCGATAACACGGATCTTGATCCCGAAGGGCATATTAATGTCCCTGTCTTGAACTCCGAAACATTTTACAGACGGTTGTCAAAGTTTTCGAGTCGAGTCTGGATCCGTAGCTAGGCGCTCAACGAGTCACGGTAGACACCGTCTGCTCGACTCCTTTATTATACGTTGGTTTTCACTCCAAAGTTCTTGCAGAACACTGATTGCATTTAGCCTCGTGCTAATCTCCATCAAATCTGTATCGTGACATAACATCTTTGCCCATCCTGGGACGCAGCATCAGGAAGCGCATGCTCAAGTGATAAAATGATTCAGAATCGCACCCAGCACGAGAAGAACACTCTCTGCATCAGGTTGACTGAATCTGTCGTCTTTCTGCGCACTTCCAATCCAACTGGTCGGGACTACAACCAGGGCAATGCAGCGCCTGGGATTGTTCGAGGATTGCTCACCCTGAACATCGTGAAGCCCACTCGCATCTCCAGCATTGAGATCGAATTGCAGGGGAAAGCCACCACTTCGTCGTTTGAAGGTGCGTGTGCTTCGATTTCGTAGAAACTTGTAATGATCCTTCATGTCCACATAGGGGTTGGTGCGCGTCGCATAGAGGTGACAGAGCAACACAAGGTGTTTACTGCATCTACCGTCTTCTTCCAAGCGGCGTCGTCGCCCTCTGCCCGACGTACTGCCTCAGTTGGCCCTGGTCTTCCAGACCGTGACTACGACTATGACCATGCCCATGATGAAGTCCATCACCCCGGAGAGCATGGTTCCGTTCCATCTCCACAACACGCGCCTCATCCAAATGGCCTTCCGAGTCCAGTATTCTACACCAGGAGCGCTAGCGTGGATCCGCGCCAACTTTCATCTTCAACGAATGGGCGTTCTTTCAGTGATAACACTATTCTGCAACGCGACAGTCATATACCTCACCACCAAGACACTATCCACCTTCCTCCTATCCCCCCTTATAGCCCACCCCTGGACTCCTCTTCGTTTATTGCAGATTATCGTCCCTCGCCCTCACACTCGCACTCGGGCTCGATTTCTCAATCTTCTGGTCACCCCAAACCAGATGACAGTCCAGCCCAGACGCTCGAAGACCTTCGACGAGCGTTCATGAACAATATAGAAGCAGGCCAACCGAGTATGTCATTTTCTAACTGCTTTTGATTGCTCATATCTATACACCTTACAGGTCTAGGCCATCGTGGCTCATTCCATGCGCACACTGTTGGTTCTTCTGCGTCAAGCATATACTCACACCGCGATATTTCCCTCTCCCGTCGACCAAGTATTGAAGACATCTCTGAAAACGAGCAGTTGTCTGGACAGATATCCCGATTCAGTTCCCGCACGCGTACATCTCCTGTAGAGTCGCAGAGTCCAACGCAGAGTCCAAGCGCCGTCTCAAATGCTGCAGCAGTACACGAGGATCGCGGAAGAAAGCATTCCCGGTTTTCGTTATACACTGTTGCCAATGTGATCGACACGATGGTTGAGCGTGTGAGGTCGCGTTCTCCGCGTGCTGAATCACAAAGGAGAAGCAAGAGTATAAATCATGACGGCGAACGAGGGAGGACGCTGGACAGGGGAATGGGGAAGTTACCGGAGCAGCCCTCACATGAAAATGATAAACACAAGCATCATTCTACTTTGGGAAAGGTAGGAGAACTCTTAGGGCTGGAGGATGAACATAAAGAAGTGGGGGAGGGCTGGAAGGAATTCAAGAAAGGTGGGTTTTGATATGTATCGCTTCGTGCGGAAGCGTGCTTACCCTTGCTCTAAGGAACATATACCTATCCCATCTCATTTACCATACCAAATAACTCGCCTCCCACTATCGAATGCGATTACGGAACCATGATTTGGAGACTGAAGGCTGAAGTCCACCGACCCGGTGCATTCACACCAAAGCTCACTGCACAACGTGATGTCCTTGTAGTTGCAGCACCTTGTGAAGAGGATACCGAGGACTCGGAAAACATCATCATTGAACGCCAGTGGGAGTCACAGCTGCAGTATTTGATAGCAATATCGGGACGCAGATTTCCCACTGGCGGCACCATACCCATTGATCTCACGATCGTCCCTTTCACGAAAGCCAAGGTACATCGAATATCTGTCCATATCGACGGTGAGTAGCTGCAGTTGCGCTTGCCTGTTATGGAACCTGAATTGTGCAGAACGAATCGAGTACCACACACCAACCAGGCGGACCGTGCGCTCACAGCCTACACAGCGAATAACTTTGCTTTCACTCGAAAACGAGGTTGACGGCGAGAGCCACCCGTTACTCCCTCTCATCTCCGACGACCCAGAGGCATTCCAAAAGTCACCTCTTTACCAACTCCTGAACGCTCATGACGACGAGAACGAGATGGCCATGGCTGTCATGGGTCCAGGACCATGGTCATTCCACCACGAAGTGCAGCTTCCTCAACACTGCTCCCTCATTCATTTCTCCAATCGGAACAAAAAGAGCAATGTCACTGTCCATCACACACTCAAGATTGTCATTCGCGTCGAGCGTGGCGATGACGAGGCGACCGACCCGCAGACAAAGAAGACGAAGGTTATTTGACATCCAAATCCAAACGCCTGTGCGCATCTTATCTGTAAGCTCTTTGCATATATTCCATTTCAACGCACCTTTTTGAACAAGTCGTGTTTCCAGTGTCACTGCACCCCAGCATGGACATCTCTACCCAGATACTACGAGGTACTAGAACGCGACTTTGACAGCAAACGTGTATCCTGTCCATGCGACCTCCGGGCCTCGCGCAACTCACACTGCGGTCCGAACGATAGCGAACCGCACACGCCCGTCTCATTGAACCGCGTAGTCTCGATCGACTCCACCGTGTCGTCTGCAGAGAATCACTCGCCGGCGGGGCACAACGGGACGCTCGTGCAAACACTTGTGGGGCGGAGCACACAGTATGAACGGCTAATGTCGGGAATGGAGAGCGAGGTGGGCGAGGCGCCCCCGGCGTATGAGAGTATCGGTAATGCGTTTCGGTCCCAGAGGGGGCGTTTTCATCATGCCTGAGGGTTTCAAGTTTTATTAATGCGGAATTTATTATTTAATGTTGGATTCTGGTGATCGTTTGATCAGTAGTTGGTACATAATTGGCTTTGTTAGAAGTAGTGTTACTTGGAAATGTGCTGAAGCGCTCAGCGCTGAACTTGAAGTTGTGTGTCATCTCTTGACAACGGCATTCACCGCGTGTCCCTCTCTTTTAAATTCTTGTCTCGAGTCTTACAAATGCATCTTAATGATCACACATTACATTCCCTGGGCCCTTCCCAAGTGAAAGTCTCCACCAGGTCCTACCACCGTTGTTGGCCGGGGATTAAGTACCGGTGGTCTTAGCACCAATTCGTTGTGTTCAAGTTGGGTACTGAGGACTTGTCGACGACTGGAGCAAACAGGACTGGTCAGTGCTACGATAATAGGTGAAGTCATAGCACTGCAATCGCCCTGTCCAGGAACGAGCACTCGTACAACACTCTTGCTCATTCAATTACAGCACGAAATGAAGGGACTCAGTAATTCATCCTGTTTGACATGTGAGCTTGAGGTTTTGCCTCGCTTGCTGTTTAGCTCTGATCAACTTGTTCAGACTCATCCCGCAGACTCCTGTTCCGTCCAGCATTATTATTGTCCTGGCCCTTGGGTTGCCGCAGGATCAGCTGTTGTTCAGCTCACATGTTTGACGCAACAGCAACCGGAGAATCTTGACAATGGTAAGCCTGCTTAAACCCATAAGGCGGCCGCGGGCCCGCGTTCGGTGCATCCAAACACATGGTACAGAGCGATATCTCGTTTAGAATAGGAAGTGCCACACTCCGCCCTCTTTACCATCATGTGAGGTGCCATTGATCCCGCCAACCTCACTTTCACAGCACAGCCTGGAAAATGATCCACTTGTAGCTGGGTCCAGCATCATGTTGTCGGGGGCATCGTGATCAATCAACGCTAAACATATGGCTGATGGATATTCTTAGGCATCATGGCACATATGGATCCTTCATCGAGTAGCGACTGCCCGCATGGTTGTCTTGTTATCTCTTTCTGGAATTCTACGGGTTTCGAGCACCGTCTGCCCCCGATCGATGCTATAAATCACCGACAGGCTTTCTCGGTGGATGCGCTCGAGATCATCAGTATGCGCCTCCTCCCATCCTTTGTGGCCCTTGCCCTTGGACTGTTGGCTTCTGCCGACCCGATCTTGTCGCCTTACCGCGTTCATGAGAGACGTGGGCACGTCCCCGCTGGATGGTCATACGACCGAAAGCATGACAATGCGGCTATCATGCCTCTGCGGTTTGCTTTGAAGCAGAGCAACATTGACGCGATTGGTGACTACTTAACGGAAGTCTCTCACCCAGCGTCTGCGAAATATGGCAAACATTGGACTGCCGGAGAAGTTTTCAGGAAGTTTTCGCCTAGCGTTGAAAGTATTGGAACCGTCCTTGCCTGGCTCGAAGAGAACGGTTTTGATTCCTCCCGTGCCAAGCTTACTCGTAACAGAGGTTGGATCGAAGTCCAAGCCACTGTAGAGGAGGCTGAGCGTCTCCTGCAGACCGAGTACCATGTGTACGGTCACAAAACTGGCCAAGAGCATGTTGGTGAGTAATTTTCTCGATCTTATTATTTTGTGAACTTTACCGGTTATGGCAGCGTGCGATTCATACCACTTGCCTGAGCATGTCCAGTCTCATGTTGACTTCGTGACTCCTACTGTACATTTCGACGCCAAAATCTCGAAGCGCTCTGGCTCCCCCGCCGACGGGACCGCGCGCTCTATTGGACAGCCAGGACAGGGCACTTACCCCAAGACCACTGGAGAAATCCAGACTCTCCTGACTGAACTGGAAGATTGCGATCAACAAATAACCCCAGTTTGTTTGAGGGCTCTGTATGGGTTGGTTTACGAGCCGCTGGCAGCCGACAAGAACAGCTATGGAATCGGTAAGTTATGCAATATGATATTGGGTGCACGAGTTGACTTGGCAAATAGTGGAGTACACCCCACAGGCCTACCTGCAACCTGACCTGGATATGTTCCAAAGCAATTTCTCCGAAGACCTTGTCGGAGTTGCGCCCAAGATGATATCAATAGATGGAGGTCTGTCAGAATCACAGCTCTTTGAGTTCTGACAGTTACCCTTTCGCTAGGCTATGCACAAACCGAATACACCGGCTTTGACTACAACGGTGAATCCGATCTTGACCTTGAGTACTCGATGAACCTCGTCACCGCTGCGCAGCCAATCACCTTATATCAGGCTGGCGATATGGTAGAGGGTGAGTGCTTTCACGTAGCATTAGGACATTGCTGAAATTATTTGAAGGTGCCTCTTTCAACAACTTCCTTGACGCAATCGATGGCACGTACTGCACCTTTGAGGGTGGAGATGATCCAACTCAAGACGCCATTTACCCTGACCCATACGGCGGAGGCTACGAGGGCCCTGAAGATTGCGGCACTGCAGCCCCTACTAATGTTATCTCGACATCTTATGCGTACGACGAAGCTGAACTGACGCCCTTCTATACTGCCCGTCAATGCGCGGAGTATGCCAAACTTGGCTTGATGGGTGTTACTGTCCTCTACAGCTCTGGTGACTATGGAGTTGCTGGAAACGATGGCTACTGTCTGACGGCTGACGGTGAGTTTTCTCAGCATGCTTGTGGCGAAACGTCAATATTCTTCATAGGAAGTTTTTCCCCGGACGGCACGATCTTCAACCCCAGTTTCCCAGGAACTTGCCCCTACATCACATCTGTTGGCGCTACTCAGGTCAACCCTGGTTCGACGGTCTTTGAGCCGGAAGGGGCCTGTGAACAAGTCATCTATTCTGGAGGTGGCTTCAGCAACTACTTTGCGATGCCTGATTACCAGAAGACAGCGGTCGAGTACTATCTGACAAATTATTACCCTCAGTATCCCCCCGATATCTGGAACGCCTCAGGAACGGTGTGTGCTACTCAAGTAGAATTTGTAAATGACAGCATCTAATCTTGATCTCCTATCGCAGTCCCGTGGCTTCCCTGACATTGCTGCTAACGGAGCCGTAAGTTCTCGTCGTTGAAGATCTACCAGCCAATGCTAATAGTATACAGAACTACGTTGTAGCTATTGATGGTGCATTCAGTTTGGTTTATGGAACGTCCTGCTCTTCCCCAGTCAGTGGATCCGTCTTGACGATGGTCAACGATGCCCGCCTGGCAGTTGGAAAGAGCCCGATAGGATTTATCAATCCAACTGTGAGTGTCTGCCTCAAATCACGATTACTTTTTCTCACTAACTGTTGTAATGAAGATCTACTCGTCTGACTTTGCTGGCGTTTTCAATGATATCACCATGGGCGGAAATCAAGGATGCGGCACTGCTGGATACACTGCTGTTCCTGGCTGGGACCCAGTCACTGGACTGGGGACCCCCAACTTCCCGAAGCTTGTTGCGAAGTGGTTACTTCTTCCGTAGACTTTGAACTCGACATTTGGGAATAAAGTTAATGTTCGTGGTGTAAATTATAAGTCAGTGCTAAACTGGATGATACCATGTAGACGTTGTTATTATCAAGATTCTGGACCTCTCATTAGCGCCTTGGACTGCAATACGGATGTAAAATGTTACTGCTGAATACTAGCATTTGCCTGACATTCCACCAATGCAGCCACAGCCCTGCCACGCTTTACTGTAGCTTGTCAAAGACGCGCAACGAGGTATTACTCTTCATGCAAACCCAATTACAGAGCCACGCAGGTCATTGGCTGTTGCAAACCCAGCGGCAGCAGCGAGGTTATCTCCGACCACGACCAGTTTCCCATCTCCCAAGACCTCTGCCGTGTTTGGTTCTTTTTGGTTACAATCATTTGTTCTCGCAGAGCCCCTTTTTCCCGTCATGCATGCCTCAGTAGGCCACTCCTGCATGATGTCTTGAGCTTTCCGTTATGGGATGTTCTAGAGTTTTGCGTTGACCTCTGTCGACAACTCTGTCCGGTGCCAAGGTCTTGCTGTGGCAATCGAAAGTAAATATTTTTTGGTTCCGCCTCGGCATCGACATAAAACAGGAGCGCACGCAAACTACACACCAGAACGATATGGCTTGGTCTGCCACTTTCAATTCAAGTCATCCTTAGTCGCATTGGAAGAGACAACGACCGAAGGAGTGTCCGTCGATGGGGCTTCAGCGAGGTTGGGAGGTTACATAACTTTCCTGACTGTCAGACTCACTCACAGTGTCTTTAGCTTGCGTTCTGGCCTCCAACCCCATTAACATTTTTCGTTCGATGGTGAATCTCGACAGGTTTGGTCGGTCTGTTGAGAATCTAGGTTGGCACGTACGCACCTCGGGGATATATCTTACGTTTCTGAGACGACCCCTGCGGGGCATGAAGGTGAAGTCCTTTTCATAGACAGACTATCACAAAAAAGGAGGTTTTGGCACAATGACTGGGCCTAGGTTGAGATGGACCTCCCGAGGATCTATACACTGCAAAAATGTTGTCAGCGGGTTTCAAACCAACTCCAAGAGGAACAGATTTTGAACCTGTTGTGGTGACCACTTGACTAAGACCACTTAGATGAACCTCTGAGGAAACCGTCAAGGCGTGTTCCAATGGGAAAAAAAACCTATGCGTCGGCAGGTTTCGAACTAACTGGTGACCAGCCCCTCTACCTCTATCGACGGCTTGCCTCATAGAGGGGCTGGTCACCAGTCTAGTTTCGAACCTGCACAGTCCAAAAGATATAGATGTTATGGTAATCACTTGGCGAAGACCAGTAGGTGGTATTCACCAAGTTATTACCACAACATCATAGATTACCTACGAGGAAACCTGTTCATGAGTGAATGTCAAGGCGAACTCTGATACGGGAAAAAAACCTCGGCATCAGCAGGTTTCGATCCTGCGGACCAAGGGGACAGATTTAGATTCTGTAACCGCTTGCCCAAGACTAGTTAAGGTGTACCTCGAGGAAACCTCATGAGTCAATGTCCAGGTATGAGAAACTATCACCCTTACCACTTGGCTAGTGCTGCCTTGTCGCCGTGGGAAAGGGGAAGTGGCTAGTCATTACCCACACACACCCACCTTGTTACCCGGGCCGTTGTGTTGAAGGCGACTGGTTACGCGTTACGAGTCTACCACTTGGCTAAGACTAGTCAATATGGACTTCTACGAGTCGATGCATTGACTCACATATAGTAGTCATTTGCCAACACAAAATGAAATAAGGCAAGAAGTCAAACCAACGAACTTTCAACTTCCGTCGGACAATCAACCGTATTCCAGTACTATGGGACGTTATAGCAGGACGTCACACACCCGAGAACTTCGTGGTATCTGACCGGACATTGTAATCCAAACAACGCTATACATCCCGTTTTATTTTTGATGATTGTTTTGCAAATGGCTGTAATTCAATGGACACGAAGAATAAGCGAGTCAGGGGCTGGCGCCGGCGCCGTTGCGACTCGTTTGATAAATTTGTATTGAAAGTGCTATAGTAATAGCAGGGCCACTCGGTAGTCAGTGTCAGTTCTGGCTGGAATGAGAACAATACGACGCCAATGCCAACGCCGCGGGTCGAGCGTCGAGCTGGCAATAATATATTGTGTGACTGCGATTTTGAACGCGCATCTCCGAAATTTGCCCCTTACTTTGGGCCAACAATAAATTGGAAAAGGACTCGGCGGCAAAAATCCGTGTGTAAGTGAGGCTGCCTTCGATGAGAAGAAAGCCGTCTTATAGCCTCGACCAACAACAGGGTTGAGGCGAGAGGAGGCATGAGTTACGTGGTTTTAGTGAAAGCTAGCTTTCGGTGATATGGAAAACTTTTTCACTAACTATCCAATGAACCTCGCCCCTTCCATCCCTTTCCTGATGGAATCAAGGACTTCGATATTTGCCTTTCGCTGCTCTTCTATTGGCCCATCCAGTGCATCCTCCCACCACCTTTCGTCTCCAGGCACATCGCGCCAGCCTCCTTTCAGAAATTTTGCAAATGCGGGCATGCTGCCTGATGGAGCGACGCGTAATGCTTGGGCTTTCTTCCAGTGAGGGGGAGGGTTCGTCGACGAGAACGGCGCGGCTAGCAGCAGTACTGGGAGGTTTCGAGAAACCTTCACATGGGAGAATAACGCCAGGAGGCACTGTAATGCGGCCGTGCTTGAAGCAAATATGTGAGATCGCCACACAGTGAAGTACGGCACCGTCGGACTCAAGCATTCTTGACTGTGCAGCAGCCAGGCCTTCCATTGCCTTTGCTGTCTTTTCAGCTTGAAGGTTGGAATCTGCTTCAGTTACACTGCCGGGGGTCGCAGGGGTGGTCAAGTCTTCCGCAGGCGTGCTCAGCAAAATCCGAGGAAAGTCATTTGATGTTGTCGGTGTCTTTGATAGTCCGGCACTATCGTTATTAGTCCCCAGTTGCTGACCTGATTCGTCTACATGTAGTTTATAGGTGGTATCACTATGTCTGTTCTTTGGGAAAGAGACGTAGCGAGCAATAAGGTACATCTTGTCCATATTAGATGGTTTCTTGTGTGTATACTATAAGCACCAAGAGCTCACCCATTTATGGTCCCATGCCCCGATGGAGAGTCTTATCTCGTAGCTCCTCAGGAACGGTATTTCTCGAATGAAATGAAAGTGAGTAGCTACGTGTGGAATGAATATTGATCGAGAAATGTGTAGAATGAAGTTGACGCACACCCCAGAGCCATCCACCCACCACTCCTTGCGAACGAAGGGATGGCCTTCAGAACCAGTTTCAAGCGAGCTATATCGAGGACCTGAACAAAGAAGGTTGTCATTATTGCGTTATTTGGATGGCCGCAAACACTGAGCTCTTACCTTCGCGTAACTTGAATTGCTGAGGTGTCCGTTGTAATCGGCGTCGTCCACACCTAAAGTCGGGTGAATTTACATATCATGAGACTTAGATTGAAACGTACTTGTCCAGCCATGTTGAACGGCCACGAGCTCGAAGGGGTTTGCGCCAATTGGGCATAAACCTTCGCCCCAGTCGGCAAGGATCCTTGTCCTGACCTCTTTGGGCCTGAACAGGATGCGAAGTCGTAGGAGGTAGTACTGGAGACGGAGTCGCAGGACTGGCAGGAATACGCGAACTCAAGGAAGCCATTGCGTTTGGTCGACATTACTGGTAAAAATGAATGCGTACTCACTGTGCCAGGCAAATGGTAGAGACCGAAAATTAATCAATAGCAAGACGAAGAAGATATATTTGGAGGCCGACAGCACTAACGTCGTCGACTGGCTGCGCGGTAACTTCTGCAAGTTAAAAAATGGTATTGGTGGTATCCTGGCCAGAAGGCGCAAACTGTCGCGAGACTGCTGGCCCAACATCGTGTCCCCGAGTTCAATGCCAAAAGGTGAGTTGAAGTAGTAGGGATTGGATAACGCGTTCAACGGGACTGGCAGTTATCAATATTTCAAGCTGGGATGATGGCTAGGAGTCAGGACTAGAAGGACCAACTCAACTCCAGGCTTGCGTATTGCATGTGATACTTTTCAGAGGATACTAGTCAGATAGTAGTGATAATAACAAAGTTGATGAAACCAGTGCACGCTGCACGTGCAGCGTTGAACACGTCTCCGACGGTATTTTATCTTCCAGCTTGAAGCCGTCGCTTCAGATTCGGCAACCTGACCCACGTTACTGGGTGAGAAACTTGTTCTAACTTTTTCCACACAAGTACATCAACCGGCGCACGATGTTAACCTCGGCATGCAAAGTCTGCGGTTTAAAATTTTCTTCACCAGCGTTCTCAACCAGGCATAATGCCCGCTGGACTTCAATATTCCGCGCGAATGACGGTCAGGAAACCTGTAATTGGCAACTCTCAGCTTTGGAATCACGCAAAATCGATAGGCAACTAGTACTGCCTGGCAGTTCGGATCATGCTTCGGGTGCGCATGAACCCTCCATTGCCAAAGAAACACTGGGAAAATGGCGAGTCCCCGACTCCCGCGTTAGTGGGTAAGGGCTTTGTCGAACACAAACGTATTCCCATGTGTCAGTTCGTGTGCAAACTTGAAGCTGTGCCCATTCTCCCCGGCTTTCTCCCCAACCTTGTCTCCTTAAGCACGCCCTCGAAGCACACCCCTTTACTCTCGTGGTCAGTACCATCTGTCGGTGGTGCGCTGGTTGCAAACACTTGTATGTCTGTGTGTACGCTCGCTAGCGATTTGTTATGATACTTACTGTTAATTTACTCTTCTTCAGTTGATAGCCTACTTTTTCAGTGTATGAGACCTTTACATTCCTTTGTTCAGACCATCAAATAGCTGGATTCTATGTTGGTACATCGCTGTGCAATGTTATTTATGTAACTCGAACTCTGATCATCCCGGTCACGCGTGTGGTACCAATTTGGGCTCAGAACGAGCTGCTGCCAGACTTGGCAGATCGGCATCAGCGAGGGACGGCTAGCAAAATGTAGTAAGACGTCTGGCTTCATTTGCGTGTCAGCGAGGTGGGTCTTTTTTTCGTTTGCAGGATTATGCTATTGAAGGCGCAATTCAGATCAGGCTTATTTTGAACGATTCGAGTCCTGTCAACCTGTTCTGCCTCGTCATCAATCCCCAGAGCTTTTCCCAATCTGTGGAAAATCTATTCCGTATTCTGTAATTCTTTCTGGACCGGTCCTGTGAGCGCCATTCCTCTGCTCGTCGAGGACTGTGATAACTTCCAGGTAGGCCCTATTTCATACCATTTCCAGCCATCTGCTGAATCGTCGCCCACTGCAGGGGTCGAAAATGATGCACGATACACCCACTCGCATGCTTTCCCGACCTTCTTCCGCGAGGAGTTTCTCAAGGCTTCTACACTAAACTTTAGCTTTCTTTCGGGCGCAGACCCGAATTATCCTGACATCGTCAATGTGTTGATGGCACATAAATATTTGAAAATGATTTCTCGATGAGAATAATGTTCGACACATTGTGCTTGAAAAGCCTCCATCAGCCCTCGGATATTACCTGCCCAATATCAAGTCCATCCCGATGGTCTACGTTGGAAAGTAACCTATCTCGGGGACTTACCTGTGATGTTTGTCTCCTGCAAAACTCTACATATGGTTTCTTAATGGAACATTGTAGAAAAACAACTTGTATTATACATCTGCAGCGCCACTGAGGTATGCTGTTCTCTTTGACAGGCGACGCGCATATAACCAACTAATTCCCCGCAGACCCAAAGGCGGTCGGGAGGACATTGCTGACCATTTGAACTGGCGGAAATGTTCTCGATTGGGACAACTGGGAGGCATGGTCCCCCTACCTTTTCCAGCGACGGAGGCAACATTCACCGATCTGTGCTGCAACTTCTCGACTGGTTTGCCAAATAAGGTGAGGATCATGTTGACGCTTTGATCGCACGAACCGGAAGCAATATGTGATTCTACGTACAGTTTTTTCGAGGTGAAACATAACTCGAAGGTCACTGGATCAAGACCTGGCAGCATTTGATGCATGGTGTGACTCGCCATCGCTACAGGAACCTCTGATCTCCGTGTAATAGCTTGCTCAATCATATGGCATGCATCCAACCTCATTCATGCCATGGGATCAGTATCTACACACCTGCTCATCCTATGCCAACATCTTTTCCATCCATATTCCGGCATATTAAACCAACATTGATGTAGGTTTGTGGAACAAACTACAAGGACGCGAAGGAATGATGGTGTGCTTATGAGCCTGGAGAGCGATGACATGGAAGTGCTTGCTAGTGCATTGTGGGAGATCGTCAATGGGTACGGAAATGATAAAGGGAAGACTAAAAAATATCATCCTATTCAGAGACAGTAGTTCGCAGCAACCCGAGTGGCTTCATCGTCCTGCGGGCCGAAAAGCTAACAACCAAAGTGAAAAACGCAAAGCGAAATCTAGGCTGGGAATCGAAAGATGTCAAGCATGGGAGCATCCGAGCGTAACGAGTCCTGGCAGGAGTTGTCGGAGTCGGGGACTCGATGCGCAAGCACCATTTATAATAGATATTTCGGGATCGGAAGTCAAAGCTTTTTTTGTGCGTCTTGCGGCCTGATTCGAAGGAAACGTGGGGTGATGCAATCCCGTTATTTTCCACTTGTCAAAAAGAAGAGGGATACCTACGGATGTCAAAGAATATGAGATCTTGCGCTTGAAGCACATGGTAAGCCCTCTTACTGGCGTGTATGTGCTAGCACCGAGAATAACGTCCCAGCCATTAGGATTGGGCACTCCCAGCTACTAGGGTAAATATGAAATAAGAGAATCTTTCGAAAGAATCCGCGTAGATATTGACAAAGGGACCGGAGGTAGCTCGGAGACTTAGAATCTGCAGCTCCATCATCTACAGGCACAGGTAAATGTTCTAGAAGAGTGAATTCTACTCCATTCATGAGAATAGTGGACACAACTTGGTGCCGACTCACAGTCGAAGTGAGAGTGTTTGTGTGGCTGTGCAGCAGTTTCTTGCACGGCCCAAATTCAGATGCAGCACACTTTGAAGGAAGTTCTGCTTATGTCGGGTCAACTTCTGGGAACCTTTCCTTTTTCCTGTACAGGCTCTCTCATGCTTCATTCCCAAGCAACTTATGGGCGACTTGAGAATTATTGAAAGGTGCTCGCTGAACAGTTGGTAATTCAACCAACAATCATACGCTTCACAACCAACTCGTCCTTGTCCAAGAAATAGGTTGATTTATGATAGGGAAATCAGAGACCTAACTAAAAGCAGAGACCTGTCTGGTGGGACCTCCCCTAGACTGTGGACAGTATAATCCAAGAGTGTCTCATCCGACCATGCGTTTCTCGGGGAAACAGCTCGCAGTGTGGGAGCACTTGAGAGGGTGTCTCATCGAGGAGACTCTGTTTCGTGTGCTTACAGTCTAATCCTGGCACAAACCATGCTGCTGCTGTTCTCGAGAAAGATATAAAGGATATGGCTGGTGATTGATTTTGTTGTCAGGTTCTGGTCATCTCGGTCGACATGCGCTGCTCATTGACCACATTTTTCACCCTCAGCCTCGCAGTAGTCGCCTTGGCGGGGCCTACTCTCAGCCCATATAATGTGCACGAGAAACGCAACGCCATTCCTATTGGATGGTCTCACACTCGAAGGCATGAGAGTGCAGCAATCCTTCCTCTACGCTTTGCTCTGAAACAGAGTAACATGGAGTTCATCGATGAATATCTTTACGATGTCTCTCACCCGGAGTCAGCTAACTACGGCAAACACTGGACTGCAGGAGAGATTTCCCGAAAATTCTCACCCTCAGGGGAATCCATTTCCACCGTCAAAGATTGGCTTGTTGAGAATGGGCTAGCGAGCGAGCGTGTCCGCGTAAGTTCCACCAAGGGTTGGATTAACGTCGATGTTACGGTCGAAGAAGCGGAACGGCTCATGAACACCGAATATCATGTTTACACTCATGTTTCCGGACAGGAACACGTCGGTTAGTATCTCCGTAGAGGTCACTATTGCAGCGCTCACGCACCACTTTCTAGCTTGCGAAGCTTATCATCTCCCTGAGCACATTAGCACTCATGTCGACTTTGTCCTACCCTCCGTCAACTTCGACGTGAAACTCAAGCGTCGATCTGGTAGTCAGGAACCTGCTGGCGGGATTGGTCAACCTGGTGTAGGAATCACCCCGAAGACCACTGGCTCTGTCTCACAGGCAGTGACTGAGCTTGAGCAGTGTGACGAGTACATCACTCCTATCTGCTTGAGGGCTCTATATGAACTTGTATACGAGCCTGTCGCTACTGATAAGAACAGCTTCGGCGTCGGTATGCTTTCCATTCCATTGGCCACCTTGTGAGCTAATTCATCACCTAGTGGAATACACTCCTCAGGCGTACTTGCAAACCGACCTGCAAATGTTCGCCATGAACTTCTCCACCGATCTCATCGGAAAGGAGCCAGTCATGGTCTCCATTGATGGAGGTGATTACTTTAAGCGTTCTTCTTTGATCAAACCATAAAGGCGTGCTGCAGGGTATGCACAGACCGAGTACCAAGGTTTCGATTACAACGGCGAGTCGGACCTCGATCTCCAATATGGAATGTCACTGGTCACTGGAAAGCAAAATGTCACTCTTTACCAGACTGGTGACATGGTCGAAGGTAGGATGAGAACAGTAGAAAACGCCGTAAATATCTCGCTGACCTCATTGGCAGGGGCTTCTTTCAACAACTTCCTCGACGCCATTGATGGGTCATACTGCACGTTCGAGGGCGGTGACAATTACACTGTGGATTCCCAATATCCTGACCCATACGGAGGGGGTTATGAGGGTAAGTCCCCGTCTTTGCTGGATCGTATATACAATAAACTTGCTGTGATAGGGCCTGAGGACTGTGGCACTGCTACGCCCGCCTACGTTATATCAACATCATACGGATACAATGAGGCTGATCTCACTCCGTTCTATACTGCGCGCCAGTGTGCAGAGTATGCGAAGCTTGGCTTGATGGGTATTACCATCCTGTACAGCTCTGGAGACTATGGCGTTGCTGGTAATGATGACGTTTGCTTGAACCCTAATGGTATGCCTTGAGTTGAATTTTCACTTCTATCTTCTCACACGACAACAGGCACTCAGTCCACGACCGGTAAGATATTCAATCCCACTTTCCCTGGTACCTGCCCCTACGTCACATCTGTCGGCGCTACCATGGTGAAGCCAAATGCAACCGTCTTCCAGGCTCAACCCGAAATGGCTTGCATGGACGTTATCTACTCTGGTGGAGGTTTCAGTAACTACTTCGCGATGCCCTCATACCAGAAGACCGCTGTCGATTACTATCTGGAGACTTATCCTCCCGACTACCCATCAACTATCTGGAACTCGACTGGCATGGTGAGTGTCAGAGTGAATGTGATATGTTCAATTGAATAAAGCCAACTATCAGTCTCGTGCTTTGCCTGACATTTCTGCCAACGGAGCTGTGAGTGTCTGTCACAAATTGCATGGATACGTGGGGTTTGACGTCTATTATTTCCTGTCAGAACTACGTTGTCGCTATCGACGGTGAATTTGAGCTTGTATACGGAACTTCCTGTTCTTCACCAGTCAGTGGTGCCATCTTTACGATGATCAACGATGCCCGTCTCGCTCTAGGCAAGAGCACGATTGGGTTCATTAACCCTACGGTATGTTCCTACCCTTTTGCCCTGTCTTAGTTGTTAATTTATGATGTTAGATCTACTCTACTGATTTCGCGGGTGCTTTCAATGATATCACTGAAGGGTCAAACCCGGGCTGTGGTACTGAAGGTTACAACGCAACCGCTGGATGGGATCCAGTTACCGGTCTTGGTACTCCTAACTTCCCTAAGTTGCTCGAAAAGTGGCTAGCTCTTCCATAGAATAAGAGCTACGTGACGGACCACTCATATTGTAGATGAATCTGGGCTAAAGCAAATTTCTGTAATATGCATAGGGTACCGAAATATGAACAATGCTATGCTACATACACAGCACTGTCTTGTTTCCATGGATATGGAGGACTCTATCTCGAGAACTCGGAAATAAATACCCGCGATGATCAAGTGATGATCGCTATTTGGTATCATTCGGTATTTCTTTGGTATGTGCATTCTCTAAGTACTCACACTATGACCAAACACTACCTACTTTCGCTTCCGTGCTCACAAATGGAGGCACTGAATCGCGCATGGAATGAACAGTGGCTTCGCGAGACCCGCTCGTGCTAGACTGCAAGATGCACCGAGCACGAACACAGCTTATCTTGGAACGCATCTTCTCTGTGTCTTCCACTGGTCAGCTAGCCAAAAAGCTGCATTGTAAGTAGCTTGATCACTGTCACACGGTACAGCATAACCTCATGATTTGTGCGGGGATTTCCAGCGGCCTTGGGAAATTAGGGAGTATTTCATTGGTCGGTAATTAATTGCGACTGATCTTGAAGCTTGAAGCTTTGAGATTTGAAGCTTAGTGCCATAGCGCCCGAGAGGACTGATAAGTACAAAGTTTGCGCTATTACTGCTTCTTCCGATCATAAATGCTTCACATGGAACTTTTAGTGTAAATCCATCTTCATAGCACTGATACATACGTTTTGTGAAAGACACCTTTGTTGGAACCGATCCAAGGCGTGGGTGAGAGTTGCCCTTACCACACTCAGTGATGGTGACCATTGAATTTGTGTCTGAGGTCTGGGTCGCGGTCCCTGGATGAAGCTGAAGCTTGATTGAGACCTCATATCAAGGCTCGCGAGAAAGTCATACGTGTCCTTCAGGGAAGGATGAGCACTGAGTTCCGTGTCCGACGGCACTGCTGATCGTCGCCGCATCATTGAACCGATGATGATCAAGGAAGTTGCAACCCAAAAGTATAGATCATAACCAGTTGGGTATTAGGAATGTAGTAAAACCAGGCTCCAATCGAGGTCCTTTCCTGCGAACTACTAATCATGATGCTCAAATGATGGGCTTCCTGAAACCTCTCAGGAGTTTTACTGGTTTCAAGGTGACAAGCGTGACGTTCTTTGTGTACTACGCCTATCGGTTCTCACGAGGTCAAATAAAGCCACACAAAGTAATTTGGGAGAGGCAGAAAGGGTTCCTGCCACTGGTTAAGAGTTCCGACTGAGCCCTTTCTTTCTTGCGGCGCGTTCCCCTAAATCTACACTTCACGCGCGTTGACGGCCTTTAACGATGTCTACTTGGACGCCGCAGCCTGCAGGTCTACAGGAGATCCTGCAGACTATACGCGACTCAACTGATACGCAAGGCAATGTACAGCGAGCAATCACTCATGTTTGGATTTTCCTTGCGATGATCTGCAGCGTGTTAACATTCGCTTAAATAGAAATTGAACACCTTTACACGTGTACCAGATTATATTGCATATCTGGCATACATCTTAACTGCTCTCCCCCAAGAGGAAGACCAAATCCGCACGATAGCTGGGTATCTATTGAAGAACAACGCGCGTCTGCTCCTTAACGTATCTCCGGAGGTGGCCGAATATGCAAAGTCGGCTGTTCTTCAAGCTTTCATCAGCTCTCCTCCTTTGATAAGGAATGCTGCCGGTCATGATATTGTTGCATTCCTTGGTGCTCTTGAGCCTAGAAATTGGCCAGATTGCTTGCAGCAATTGGTGAACATGCTAGATTCGCCTGATCCAGCTCTCCAGGAGGTGAGTGTCCGCGTGATGATATTCCGAGGCTGGAACATGGGATCGTGTCGGAGCAAGTGTCTCCCCATGAAGTTCGAGCCGCTTGATAATCGGGCAAAGCCCATGCGAGTGCAGCTCTGGCTCTTCGGCAGCTCTCCTCCATCGAATGTCGCATTTAATTGGACGTGACTTTATGCTGAGCCCGAACAGTCCCAAAGCACGCGACATTTATATCCCATAATTATCTGTGTCACTATTCGATTGCGAATGCTGAAAATTACCACGCAGGCTGCTTTCAGCGTTTTCGAGAAAGCTTGCGAGGACTTTCCTCGCAAAATGGATGTTGAGATTAACGGAACACGTCCTCTGGATTACATGATCCCCAAGTTCCTCGTGCTATCGGAGCACCCAATGCCGAAAATGCGGTCACATGCCGTTGCCTGTCTTTCATATTTCGTGCCAATCAATTCTCAATCCCTTTTTGTCCACATCGATGCATTCATCGCCTGCCTGTTCAAGCGCGCATCTGACGAGGATCCATCTGTTCGAAGGCACGTCTGCCAGGCTCTTGTATTACTTCTTGCAGCCCGCCCCGAGAAGTTAATGCCGGAAATGTCGAATGTCGCAGAGTACATGTTATACTCGACCAAAGATAAGAATGAAAGTGTGGCCCTCGAAGCCTGCGAGTTCTGGCTCACTTTCGCCGAGGATCCTGACCTCGCAGCGTTCCTCCATCCTCTCCTAGGACGAGTTGCTCCAGTACTGCTCGATTGCATGATTTACGGAGAAGATGATCTTCTCTGGCTTGATGGCGACACAGAAGATACCAACGTCCCTGACAAGGAAACCGACATTAAGCCACGGCATTACGGGGGTAAAACACACGGTCTGGATCGGGATCAAACAGAAGCTAATGGACAGGAGCGGAAGCGGGGGGCGTATGGCGAGGAGACATTGGACGATGAGGATGAGGACGACTACGACCTTGATGACGATGATTTTGCTGATGAGATGTCTACGGAGTGGAACTTGAGGAAATGCGCTGCTGCTGCGCTGGATGTGCTGGCTGTGAGGTTTGGGCCCGAGTTACTGAACGTGCTTCTTGGTCCCTTGAAGAATAAACTCTGGAGTGCTGAGTGGTTAGAGAGGGAAAGTGGCATATTGGCATTAGGCGCAATGGCAGAAGGTGCTGGTGGTGCTTTCTTATGCGATGATCGTATATTGATTTTATTCCCAAAGGCTGCATTGACGCGATCGAGCCTCATTTGACAACCCTCGTCCCGTATCTGATCAACACACTTAATGACCCTAAGGTATACTTTGCCCCCTTACTGTGTGGGACGATTGACGAATAAGTGTATAGCCCCTTGTTCGATCAATTGCCTGCTGGACATTGGGTCGGTATGCAAGCTGGTGTACTCAACCTATATCGGAGCAACATAAGAATTCGTACTTTGTCCCGACAATGGAAGGCGTGCGTATTTTCTACTTTGCATGTGATTGTGATGACTTAAAAGTCACCAGCTCTTGCGAATGGTCCTGGACGACAACAAACGTGTACAAGAAGCAGGATGTAGTGCGTTCGCAACGTTAGAGGAAGATGCCGGGCCCGAGCTTGTACCCTATTTGGAACCTGTCCTCCGGAATCTGGTGTTTGCGTTCGATAAATATCAGCACAAGAATACCCTTATACTGTATGATGCTGTTGGCACATTGGCGGACGCTGTCGGCAGAGCATTGCAGAATCCCGCATATGTGGAAATCTTGATGCCTCCTTTGACGTCTCGATGGGCCAAATTGTCAGACGATGACGATGATTTGATTCCACTTCTTGAGGTATGACCCTGATTGATTTGTTGGTACTTTGAGTTCTCATGCTTTGGTATCCCAGTGCATTGCGTCCGTCACAATTGCCATGGGACCGGCATTTTCCCCTTACGCGCTACCGGTCTTCCAGCGCTGCGTGAACATCATCCACCAGTCTCTGCTCCAGTATCAAGCATACCAGCAGAACCCCGACCTTGATGAGCCTGACAAATCCTTCCTTGTGGTGTCACTGGATCTCCTATCGGGCCTTGCCCAGGGCATGGGCATGCATCTAGAGGCTCTCATTGGACAGACAAGTCCTAACCTTCTTCAGCTACTGACGGTGTGTCTCAAGCACCCACAGGCACCTGTCCGTCAGAGTGCCTATGCTCTCGTTGGAGACCTTGCGATGGGCTGCTTCCAGCTCCTACGTCCTCATCTGCCTGCCGTCATGGCGGAGCTTATCGAACAACTTGACCCTGAGCCTAAGGTCGAGTTCATCAGTGCATGCAATAACGCAGCTTGGTCTGTCGGGGAAGTAGCATTGCGCTATGGGCGTGGTGAGTAGACTTACCCATTCTCAATATTGAGTCATTAAACACGCCGTTTCCTAGACGACCCGGAGTTCCAGCAGTGGGTTAATCCTCTCATCGCACGTCTCATTCCTATCTTGCTGCATCCGAAGGCTCCACGCAGCCTTCACGAGAACGCTGCTGTGTCCATTGGGAGGATTGGGCTGATGCATCCCAATGTTGTCGCTCCCCATTTGCCCGAGTTTGCACAAGCATGGTGCTTAGCATTGTATGAGATTCGTGATAATGAAGAGAAAGACTCTGCGTTCCGCGGTCTATGCACTCTTGTGCAGACCAACCCAGCGGGCATTGCTAAGGTTTGTCGAAGTTCCTACTCTGAGTGTGCGATAATACTGATTTTTTTCTAAAAAAAACGCAGAGCCTTCTCTGGTTCTGCAATGCCATCATCAGGTGGCATCAACCCTCCGCAGAGCTGAATTCGATGTTCCAACAACTTTTGTCTGGTTTCAAGCATCACGATGAGGCAGGTTGGGCCGCACAGGTTTCGAGCTTCCCTCCTGTAATCCAGGAGCGCCTCGCTACGCGATATGGTGTATAGTTTACCATACCTTGTGACCTAGTATCACCAAAATGACCCGACATCTCATTGTATTTCGGCATCCTTTTGTTCCTTGTGTCCTATCTCTGTTGTTCTGGGATCTTCTAGTAGCAGTAGTATTTCTTTTCATCACCAATCTGCGTGTGCGTCTCTGTAGTTACATAAATACCTACGTCCTCTCGCTCAGTCTGCCTCTTGTATATCTTTTACGTAGCATTAGTCGTAGTAGTAGTAGTCGTAGTAGTAGTATTCAGCTCTTCTTCTCTGTCACATCGGCATTACATTTTAGTAGATAGTAGTATGTAGTAGATACATATCCCGTACAACACTGAGCTCAACTGACATCAATACGATACAATCCTGATGGGATCGAAATTCGGTCCCTAAGACCTGGAAACCCATTTCCCGGTGATTTCATTGAATCAAGTCAGAATGTACACGAGCTCGACATAATCTCTCAGAACCGCCTCCGGCTCTCATAACCCAAGCCCCCAAATGCCGAACCACGATAACCCCTCCTCTTATTAAGCGCGTAGGTTTTATACCCATACGTAGCACCCACACAGACGCCCATAAAGAGCACCAATTTGAAGATGAAGCCGAGCCATGAGCCGCCTTGCGACTCGGTTCCAGGCCTACGCGAGAACGTACCCTTCTTGCTGCCGCCGCCAAACTTGTTGCGCTGCGAATCAGAGGCCGACAGAACTGCGGACCACGTCGTCACGGAAATGACACTAAGGAGTGTGTTAGCGGGAGGCACTTGTTAGAGAACGCAATACGCACTCATGCGAATCGAATACTTCGCCTGTCATTGCGGAGATGCCGATGTATGGAGCGGAGGGAAGACTTATGTCAGTAATGCGGAAACAGTCAGACCAGCTATCCCCTGGGTGTTTGTCAGTGTTAATTCTCCGATCAAAAGATTTGTGCGCACAGGCTCGATAGTGGACCTTTACCTATCTTACAATTGCGTGAGAAAGAGTTATGGCAGTGCAAACATCCAGACGCACATCAAGATAGGTATCTTTCACGTAGGTGATCTTGAGCTTCGTGATCACGTTCGTACGACGGAAATTGGCTGAACACGAGCCTAGGCTGTTGGCCTCACCATCATGCGCTAGGTCGTAGGGCGTCTGGCCATCCCCCAACATTGCAATGACGCGGGGAAAGCCATAGGGATGCCGGGAGTTTGCATAACTGTATCATAGGTGAGAAGAGTAACATTAAAGATAATGGTTCAGTGACTCACGTGTCCAGAAAGATACCGAGCCCTTCGAAGTTATCTGGGAGAGAAATAATATCAAATCAAGGTGACCATAGTAAGACTAGGACTAACCTTTACTGCCGAAGACAGGGCCTGGTTCAGCTCGATCCTTTGTGAGCCAGATAGCCATTCCGTCTCCGTACAAGTGCGTTGATTCGCCGGTGATCTAACAACCCGTTTGGACACGCTAAAAATCAGAATATTGCCGCTTACTTTAAATTCTACCTCCATAATGAAATTGGAAGCAGTCAGTGGCATGCGTGACCAGAGCCATCCCTAATGTAAAATGTGAATTAAAGAGAGGCTCGGGCAACGTGTCTAGCGCACCATTTGAGATGGGCGAGCGCGCGCAAGACGAATGTGTTTGTTGGTGTTCTATGTGACATTAGAATACAAGAGGTCGCTTTCGAAAACTGACTGGACTCACAATGTATGCATCTGCACCGAAATCCCACCAACTGAAAACCACGTAGGTGTGAGACTGCATTTTGGGGGCATAACATCTTTGTCTCACCGATTTTGTAGGTCTTGATCAATGTATGGAGGAAATATCGAATGTGTGCGAAGCTGTATAGTCTTGGGTGGATGAAAACAATGAGATATTCTGGCTTTGCCCACTGACGGAGAAGTGAAGCAAGCCCGAAACAAAGTTGTTCCTGCTCACACGTCAGAAACGTTACGACTCACTCGGTCAATCGTTTTGTTGTTCACTGTCGTGTCCGCTTTACCGAGAACGCATGGGAGACTTGCAAAAAGTACATATGCAAGATAGCACACGGAAAAGTAGCGTATCATTGTGAACCGTGAGCTGGAGAAAGAAGTGGGGGTCTCGGAGTCGCGTGTTGTGTGTGCGGGATGCTTGCCGCAACCCGAGCTGGTTGTACAGTGTATACTCGGAAAGGTGCCGAGATGCCGTGGTCGTGGTGCCGCTATGCTTCAAAGTCCGCCGAAAATGAAAATATGTACAAGCAACATGTAACGCAGGAAAGAAATTTAAGAAGGTTTTAAGTACTAGTAGAACGACGATTCAGATGCATTAAAATTTTGGATCATGAGATGGGCACAGAAGGCTCTGTCCCTGAGTCAATTGTACAAGTATATCCACACCTCCACGACTATTTGCGCGCTCTAGTCGACATTTTGTCTTACACACAGATCAACGGCCAAAGACTGTAGTCACGGTAAGTATCAGTGAATTGATGGATCCTTGATATTCAATGTCCGTGGGTGGGATCGTGTTTCCCGCGCGAGAAATATAGCATGATTTATTTAATTCTGAGCGATCGCTGATCTTACCGAATATTAGTTTTATACAGCGAGTCCTCGAGCTTTACATACACTGAATTAACACAGATGCTAAAGTACTTCGGAAAAAATGGCCACATTCTCATAAAACCCATCGAAACTGGAAGGAGCAAGAAAAGCTCAGGGGACTGGCAATCTAATAGGGCCTGGCAGATTACATAGAGACGGGGTACTGTAAGTGGCAGCTACTCTAAGACGTTATCGACATACAGAAAGTTGATAAGTACCATAAGAAAAGTATCCATCAAGAAGACGACCTCTCCGACATAACCTCCTCTAGCTTGTATCTTCTTAAGGTCTCGTGGAATTTGACATACCCATCGAAAAACGCAACATAGGCATCATATGCCTCAGGACGACGTGGTCTCAGGAATTCGAGGACATTGTGATATGCTTGCACAGTTTTCTCGATCAGTTCACGGAGAGCGTCCTGTTTGGTGAGAGCACTAGAGGCTGCCATGAGCGACAAATAGTTTACGGAGTCGCCTTCGATCTCCTCTTTGTAGTATGACAATATATCACTGAATCATGGCAGGTTAGAAAGATTAACAGAAAATCATCAATGTACTTACTTTGTGTGGTTTATGACTATGGATAGATCCGGCATACATTGAACGTATTCCCGAAGTGGGAGTGTGGAAGGGAAAATGAAGTATCCGTACGCATCCGACAAGCCTGATAGCATCCTAGAATACAAAGGGTACGAGGGAGCCTGCGGTGAGATCTATTCACACAAAGGGTTAAAGATCGAAGTTGCCTTTATTGGAGAAATACCATACCGGCATATCTTGGGTCTCATTGTCAAGTAAAATGGAAGATATGAAGTTGAGCGCGGACGTGACAATCAAATTTGACACCGGTGCAGAATAATGGCAAGCGACCTCCCGCAAGAGCCCATCGAACGTATTCAGAACTGGATGCTCCTGCGACTGGCAATTCGCGAACCGCTCGTTGAAACGGTACACATGCGCTAAATCTTTCATGTCGTCGATGCAAGTGGCCACGGCGGTGAAGAGGCAGATCCACATCTTGGTTGCACGGTCCGGGAGGTGGCCGTAAGCGTTGGACATTATGGCCACGCCAACGGCCATGTATGGGAGGATGGCATCCATCGGATAGCCGCGGTTGATGGCCTCCTGACAGCATTCTGAGTACCACATTTCGTCCAGTGTGGTATTCTTATATTGCAAGCCGCAACGCTGATAAAATCCGGAGATGGACTGGCGGATGCTTGCTAGAACCTATGTTTGACATTGGGATCAGGACATGGACTCCAGCGTATCAAAACACAAGCACGTACTTCGCCGTCGAGGGTGGATGTGGACAGGTTGTTCATTGTCATTGTGAAACTTGTAGAGAGAGGATTGGCGAGAGAATGGCTGCAATGGAATGCATGTACCCTGTACTTATACTCTAGGACGAACGTCAAATTATTGACGAATAGGAATTCTTGTAAGCTATGCGGGCCGTCCCGTCACGCGAGACTCATCACACGACCGGGGAGTGATCGATCGTTGTACGTATACGTTGATCACTGTCAATCATAACGTGTAGGCAGTGTGTAGGCTCTCGTTAGACCGGGGACTCCGCGCTTGAGCTTGAGGCTCCGATTGCCGACAATATTAATATAATCTCTTCGGAGGCAGTAACCGGATCAGATGCTACCAGGCCCGGGCTGCAAATGAATCAAGCAGACCTGGTCCTTTCGAAGCGGCAACGTTGGGGGCTTGGAATAGGTGAGTATGCAAATAATTGTGTCTCTATCTCCAGTCTCACTTGAGGAGGGCGTAATTCTTCAGGGATTGCTTGGCTATGGTGCTATCAGAGATCAAAAGACTGCGCTCCGAGTCCGTCGACCAAGGGGAATGTGACTGCCCGAACAGTGGAAGTGAGGTCAGGAGACCGCGGTCGTCACGATGCTATCTGACGCCCAAGGTTGTTGTCCTGTTTATGGTCCCGGTTCTGGACGATAACGAGTCGGGTCTACATGATACCGGTGACCCTTGAAAAAGAAGAAGCGACTGCATTCTTTCATTTACGTAAGGTTAGACTACGGGAGAGTACACTGCTCACCCCAGGTGCCAACATGATATCAGGCATACACTTGGCACAGTCAAACAAGGCTAACACACGTACCAAACATCATCGCAATTTCTCACTCGAGACTTCCGAACACCAGAGATCTGTAAGATGCGTGTAAAAATCATGCATCTAGTAAGTAAAGCCGAGGAGTCCATGCAACTGGGTTCCCGTGAATGAAGTTCGCATTGACAAATGTCACGAACCGGCGCTCATTCGTCAAGCTAACCGCACCCTACCCCAACTTGAAAGGCCTCACAGGACTGTTCATGTGCATGAGTCTCCGTTCACAATTCGCTTCCCTCAATCGAATCAATAAAACCTAACACCCACACTAAATCCACACTGCCCAAACATAGAAAAATCGGTCCACTACTTCATCGTAGAATGTCCGCACTACCTGAGAGAGACACCCCCTCCATTGCGCACTAGGACGCGGAGCCTCATCCATACCCCACCTCATCACCGACTCCGAAGCTGTCCCCCTTCTAGTCCGCTATGTCAACGCCACCCGTCGCTTCGAGACCACATTCGCATTATCTACAAAGAAAGAACTGACTCGCATCAGCAGAAACGCGGCCATCAACATAATAATATCCATACGTCAGGATATCAAATATAATCCTCACATAACCACGCTGTGATCCACCCCTAATATAATCTCGCTTACACGGAATCTCGACCATCACGAGGATACAAGCAGAATAAAAGAACAGACGCGCCAACTCACTGACCAAATCTCCCCAACACCACATGTTCCATTAGATCCTGTAACACTCCGCAGAAGCGGACTGATGGGGGTAAGCCTCATATTAGGATATTCGCGATTCCAGAAATCAGAAGGGACACCCAGGGCCCCATAGATTAGACAGTATTGTCTTACATAGGGTTTCATCCTCAATGGACACAAATTGGAATCAAAAATAGTTCACAATGAGAATTGCGAGTATGACGGACCATATGACACACTCAGTGATCTGCTAGTTAGTGTTCGTTTGAGGGAAATATCCCAGCCCGGATACCAGAATACCTACCCTGGTAGAACCCGCATAGTCGGGTACAGCGGGCGCGGGTCGGCTGGATGCCAGCACCCGGGCGTAGCCTACTATAGTACGGACTTCGGCAACCTTTCACAGCGGTCCAGCATGTGCTGTTGTTAAGCAAGTTTGAAGGCTTCCTTGTCAAGTTGTATGGTTCATCATAAACCACAAGCTCCGCATTGTCCCCAGTGTCGACGACGCTGTGGTACACGCTGTTTATAACGATAATAGTGGCAGTCAGAGACTCAGAGTCAAACGACGTGCCAGTGATTCTAAGATTCAAACTTTCGAATCGTGTGAGAATCGCTGCCGACTCTGAACACCCCAATCCAATCCCCGTGTTAAACTAGTAGTACTACGAATGGCAGAAAGTGCATGGATGAATCGACATTGCCAGTACGCCAAATATCGAAGCCAATAATCAGGAATTCTTCCGCGAGAGTTGCGTATGGTGCAGTAGTGTCAGTACGCTGACCATCCTTGGACAGTTTGATTCACGCTCTCCACGCTGCCCCCGCTACCACCACTCGTCACCCCGAAGGGTGAGCATGATGAATGATATATTTTCTCGTTCCTCTGCTCCCCGGGGCCATACACCTTATTCCCCTTGTAGACGTCTTCAAGTTTGCGACACGAGGCACATATGTAAGTTTTCCTAACCTTTCGATATCCATATCGTGATGTTGATATTGTCTCGTAGCACACTACTAATGCCTACAGTGGAAAAGGCATAAGTTGGCGGAGCTACCGCGTCCACTTCGCCAGCAAGCCTACACTGGTTGTTGCCTCAAGCGGCAGCACGCCACCAGCATGGACATCCAATGTGATCGACAGAGCAACCCCAGCAATGCTGCAGACCAGAAGTGCCAGTGCAGCTACTAGTAACAAGACCCCCTTCTCCGTTGAACATGTTCCAGACATCGGCTGCGGTGGTTTCCGCGTCTCTCACGCATTGGACCCACAAGTTCGTCTGCTTCCAGCTCCCGCTAGGCTTTCTGTCCTTTCCAAACTTTAGTAGGTATCACCACATGTGCTGAGTATTTGAAGACACGCAACTCGATGTTGCTCTCGATAAACGACTGCCATTGTACTATGATACACAGCATTCAGATCATAGAGAAAAAATATTGTCGGCAGGTTTCGAACCTGTGCCATCCAGGAGGAACAGATTTTGAGTCTGTTAACAACTTCACCATAAGTCTTACGGTTGACGTTCAAAGGCCTCTCCATGAGCTGCCCAAGGTGCGATCACAGAGAAAAACTATTGCGAGCAGGTTTCGAACCTGCACCATGCAGGAGGAACAGATTTCGAACCTGTTAACACCCTGGCCATGAGTCTTATGCATAGGCTGACATTCAAAGACCTCTCCACGAGCTCATACCCGCTTGCATGGAGAAAAACAATTGCCGGCGGGTTTCGAACCTGCACGATCCAGGAAGGACAGATTTCAAATCTATCAACCACTTGGCTAGGACTAGTTAAGGTAAATCGTTGAGTTCAAGCTAAACATGCCAAGCGGGGAAGGCTGGCCTGACGATGTGGCTGGTTGTGCAGGCGAGAACGACTGTAGCTAACCGTAGTGTCGTGATCTGCGAATCAGTCCCACATGTACCAACTCGCGCAGCCGTACAAAGTGCGCGAACATGGGAAAAATCTGATGTTAGTGGTGGTCTTCAATGAGAATACATGTAACAGTACTTAGTGTCCTATCATCGCTTGATGACGGCCCGTATCGATGACTGTTTGTATGCATAAGCTCACACGTATATGGGCCAGCCCACATGTGAAGGTGCACGTCCGTATGATGGCCATGCTTGCGCGTGACAACCTGTAGACGGAATGTACTTGTAGTAAACCCCTCGAAACTGGAGGGAGCAAGAAAAGCTCAAGAGACTAGCAATCTAATAGCGCCCGGGAGATTATATAGAGACGGGGTACTGCAAGTGGTAAACGTGATAACTAACGCTCTACTTCAAGATGTGACCGACATACGAAAGTTGAGAAATACCATAAGAAAGGTATCCGTCAAGAAGACCACCTCCCCGACATAACCTCCTCCAACTTGTACCTTCTTGAGGTAGCATGGAATTTGACATACCCATCGAAAAACGCGACATAGGCGTCATATGCCTCAGGACGCGGTCTCAGGAATTCGAGGGTATTGTGATGTGCTTGCACGGTTTTCTCGATGAGTTCACGGAGAGCGTCCTGTTTGGTGAGAGCACGAGAGGCTGCCATGAGCGACAGGTAGTTTGCGGAGTCGCCTTCGATCTCCTCTTTGTAGTATGACAAAATATCACTGAATCGTGACAGGTTAGAAAGGTTAACTGAAAATCGTTTGATGTACTTACTTTGTGTGGTTTAAGATTATAGCTAGATCCGGCATACATTGAACGTATTCCCGAAGTGGGAGTGTGGAAGGGAAAATGCTGAATCCGTACACATCCGGAAAGCCTGATAGCAGCCTAGAATACTCGGGATATGAGGGAGTCTGCAACGAGATCTGCTCACGCAAAGGGTTAAAGATCGAAGCTGCCTTTATTGGGGAGATACCATACCGGCATATCTTGGGTCTCATTGTCAAGTAAAATGGAAGATATGAAGTTGAGCAAGGACGTGACGATCAAATTTGACACCGGTGCAGAATGATGACAAGCGATCTCCCGCAGGAGTCCATCAAGCGCATTTAGAACTGGGTGCTCCTGCGGCTGGCAATTCGCGAACTGCTCGTTGAAACGGTACACATGCACTAGATATTCAGCCCTGATCATCGTGTCGTCGATGCAGGCGCATACGGTAGTCAAGAGGCAGATCCACATCTTAGTTGCACGGTCCGGGAGGTGGTCGAAGGCGTTGGACATCAGAGCTACGCCAATGGCCATGTATGGGAGGATGGCATCCATCGGATAGCCGCGGTTGATGGCCTCCTTGCAGCATTCGGAGTACCACGTTTCGTCAATTGTGAAGTTTTTATATTGCAAGCCACATCGCTGAAAAAATTCGGCAATGGACTGGCGGATGCTTGCTAGAACCTATATTCGACATTAAAATCGGGACATGGAGGCGTATCAAAACACACAAGCACGTACTTCGCCATCGAGGGTGGATGTGGACAAGTTGTCACTCATTGCTATTGTGAAAACTTGCAGAGAGAATATTGGCGAGAGAATGGCCGCAATGAGTTGCCTGTATCCTGTACTTATACTCTAGGACGGACAAACGAGACCTATGCAGGGCCGTCCCGGCCCGCGAGACTACATAATACGATCCACGTTCAACGTTGATTCAACGTTAATCTCGTGTAGATCGGTGCAATTATTTCGTGTCCGATTGCCGACAGCGTTATACTTAATCCCTTCGGAGGCAATAACGAGATCAGAGCTATTAGATAGGCTGCTCATGAATCGAGCAGACGTGGTCCTTTTGAAGCGGCAACGTTGGGGGCTATGAGTACGCAGAAAATCGTGTCTCTATCTCCAATGTCACTTGGACAGAGCGTAATTTTTAGGGACTGCTGGGCCGCGGTGCTATCAGAGATCAAAAGAATGTACGCGGTCTGTCTCCGTCGACCAAGGGGAATGTAACTGCCGAAATAGTAGAAGTGATATCAGGATGCCTGCAGGTCATTACGATATGTAGCGGGGAAAACTCAATAGTCGTGCCAACCGGGTTCGGCAGACAACCAGAGAAGTGCGCCGATAACTTGCTGATGACCAATTCAACGTGACTGAAAGACACGCCCTAAAACAATACCATTCTTCGTCCAATAAGTTTGAATACTTGCCGGACGTTGATTCATTGACAGCTCACTAAGGAATGGCTGAGTATGAATTGTATGATAGCTTTGGGAAGAGCACCCGATCGGTATCTTGAAGTTTTAAGAGTAAGATAAAACTTTTTGACGATTGACAAAAATACATCCAGCGGTATTTGTCTCGGGGTACTGACAGACAGGCTTTCGTAGTAGAAATCACTCAATAAGCGCAGAGACTCACCTGATAACCACAGCACCTATCCTTGAAAAAGGAGGTGCGACTGTATTCTTTCAGTCAAGGTTTGACTACGGGAAAACTAGTGCTCATCCTGGGTGCCAACGTCGTGTCCTGTCAGTCAAGCAAGACTAAACACGTACCACCATCATCGCAATCTCCCAATCAAGACTTCCGAATGCAAGAAATTCGTGTCCACAAGCATCTAGTAAGTAAAGCCGAGGAGGGCCGGGCAAGTCCATGCACCCAGGGCCCCGTGAATGAAGTTCGCGTTGAGAATCGCCAGTATGACGGACCACCCTACAAGCAGCACATACTGGACTGCAGTGTGTGACTTCACTGCATATGAACGTCGCAGGATGTTCGTGGTCTTGTCGGAGGGTACCGTGTCCCTGATTCGCTGTTCAACGTTCAACCGTAGCGAACTTGCGGAGGTTACTGTTTGAAGCAAGTTTGAAGGCTTCCTTGTCAAGTTGTATGGTTCACCATAAACCGCAAGCTCCGCATTGTCCCCAGTGTCAACGATGTAGTACATGCAAGTACTGTTTATGACGATAGTAGTACTGAGTGGGGGGATTAGCCTCCAGGGGCTTCTTTCCCTTTTCTAGTCCTTATCGTATCTTGACACCTTCCACACTATACTATGTTGTCTCTACCGGTGTCGTTGTCACCGGGAGCATCTTTCCGTCTCGGACAAGTTTAGCCCACTTGATGTTTTCTCTACCTCAGCGTTGCTTTCACGTCCCACTGAGACCTTGTGCTAGCTCTTTACTGAGAAATGGCAATGGATGCTCGGCCGATCTGTACTGACGCCTATTCAGCCGAGGCACGTGACATGCTTAGGCCATTATTACATGTCATCATCATCATCATCATGATTCATTAGCCAGTGACTCAAATATCTCGTTTGCTATCCATTGCAAAATTCTATGGTCTCCGAAGCATGCATGTGCATGAATGTCCAAGAGCGGTTCGTAATAGGCAAAGCTCTGATTAATGACATGTCGGACTCTGATAGACCAAAATATGCCAACTCATGCTGGAAGCTCGAACTTCTGGCCGTGGAGGACTCTGGGAATGATATCATAGGTAAGCATACATTTGGCGCAGGAATTGCGTATAAGACCCACTTTGTAAAGTAGACGTAGAAGAAGTCGAGGTAAAGCCCGGTTTGCACCAGTCCAGCTGTGACAGCTATGGGATCTATCAAGTCCTCCGTAAAGTATCTGGAGGGCAAAATCGTTCGGTCACGAACAAAATCTATTAGATGCGTGCGTACCTATATATCCAGTTGGGAAGGTACAGAGCACGATAAAGACCCAGAGCAGCCAGGTAGTGCGTTGTAATTGTCTCCGCCTCGCCAGTACGCTGCAACATGAACAACTGGGGGAAAATGGCGACAGATTCAAGATATATGGAGAATGTCCAGAGGATTTCGGTCGGCTCGAACGCGTAGTTGAATATCAGCGATAGAAAGAAGGATGGCCCAAGGAGGTATTCAATTTTGAACGTGTCAATGGAGGGGTCATGCGTTGGACTGTCAAAACCAAGGTCAATATTCATACAAAAGGCGGACACTAGCGAGTACGCACCGGAAACGGTACTTCATGAGGTAGAGGATGTAACAACTACTGCTAATGAAGAATAACTTCATCACCAAGTTGTAAACAGATACCCAGCGGAATAGCAGGTCGACGTAGCGTGTCACGAACACGAGGGCGTAGAGAGCCTGTGTCTTGAAGGAAATACCTAGTAGACATGTCACGTCTGAGCAAGGACAAATAAGTTAATCCAAAGCAAACCCACCCCTGCATGACCTGGTCTTCTGAATCTTTTGAATAAGGATGAATATAGAGGCCAAGTGGGCCAAATCCCCTACACCCACGACCCGTTAGCTTTCCAGACAACTTTCACAACGCGAATGCGAACCAAACAACCGAAAAATATTCATGTTTTGACGTGTCCACTTCTCCTATATCCTCCAACAACGTGCTGCAGTTCTCCAAATGATGGTCCTGAAATTTGAGCGTCGTGGAGATAGTGCAGGAGATCAACGTTTGCCGACGTGTTCAAACAGTTGCTTGCACGAGGTAAAAGATTCGCACGCTAGGTTTCTCCTTCAGTCCAGCGCTACACAGGGTGTCCCGCCAAGTACCTTTATTTCATGCTGGACGACAGCTTATAGGCTTATAACCTCGTATTATTGACGACAAGAGTTTCTCTGGCTAGCACCTCGGGTCCACATAGATAGGCAAGTGGTCATATCCCTCTCTTGTTTGCGACGATGTCCTAGTAAAAGGGTCGACCTTGACCGTAATGCGCCCTGTCCTTGGTTCTTGAGCCCAAAAAGTGTCTGTTTCCCATTGCCTTGCCCAAACTTACCGCATTGCATTGTAAGGCCAGACCAACATTCTGTGGCTCTCATTGGCTGGCGAGACTGAAAGACCCACAGCTCGCTAGCAAAGGCAGAGCCGTCACTTCGCAGTCATTTGTATCTTTTGCAGTCCTAGATGATTGCAAAGTTGCAGATGGATTGTGGCGTTTTAGCCGAGCCCTGGCAGCAGAGATTTTGTCTGTCATGGGTGGTCTCTAGATGTGGATTTCTATTAAACGCGAAATCTACCCGTCTTTGCACGGGTACGCACATTATAAAGTACCCAAACTCGAGATATATGTTTGGGTGTGTGGTTATGTGCGAACAAACTGCAGGCACGAGTTCCAGCGGACATGGGGCGCGCGTACAGTCAAGGGCATGAGATCATTCTGGCTGCTTGCAGCCCTGAGCTTCCTTATTTTCATTGATATCCATCCTTACAGTTTGACTGATGAAACTACAGTATCTCTAGATCATCAATTCATGTCCGCAGCGATCTTACGCATCGTCGGCTGGTCGTACCTCCAGATTTTGCAACAAAACAAGCGCTTCGTGTAATTCATCAGACATCTTCTAGTATCTTTCACCGGTCTCCGCCTGATCCGCGAACACCTGCTTACGCACTACACTACCGACTTACTTTCGCAGCAGTTGTCCTTTGTTATCTTATCTATAACTTCTTGGATGCTTCCGGAAGCATCACAAACAACTTTTACGAGCTACTCGGCGTATATCCGAACTCCAGTGATGCTACCCTGAAGACGGCATTTCGCGGATTCGCAAGGAAATACCACCCAGATCGAGTAGGTCCGTCAGGAGAAGCATTGTTCATCGAGGTAAGAGATGCTTTCGAAGCCTTGAAGGACCCGGTGGTCAGGTTTGCATACGACAGGTGAGGGGTCTTGTGAGCGGCACGGCTTGGTTATCTCACCTCTACATTTCAGATTCGGACCTGATGTTCTGAAGTGGAAAGAGTGTACAACAATGCGCGAGTATCTCCGACGCGGGCTACTGAGCTCATCATTGTACCATGTCATGACTGGTGCTGGTCTCATTCTTTTCTCAGCTATCGGAAAGCCCAGTCCAATAGCAGCAGTGAGTACTCTGGATACTTGCTGTGTTGCCCATTTTGACCAACTTCCTTGTGCCTGTTTCAAGTGGCGTTATCTTCTTTTTCTTTCCCTTTTTGCATCAGAGCTCTATCTCCTTCTTGCCCCCTCGCCTTCCACGTTACCGCCGAGCCCATTTGTTGATGCAGCAACCTCGCATGCCATGATCCTCGATGTTATATTTCCTAAACGGACTGTATACCAACATGTTCTTCTCCTCCATCAGGTCTTCTTTTTCCTTTCAGTTGCATTGTCCCGTGTGGCCCCAGTCCTGTTTCCCTCGCTGATGCGGGGAGATCCTATCATGGATCAGCAGATCGTGCGTGCGATGGCCGAGAGACTTGGTGCGCTGGCAAAGACAACAGAACGGGAGTGTAAGTGGACCATTACCTTTCCTTGGCATATTTATTAAGTTCTGGTATACACCAATATTTCTTCTGACTCTAGTTTCGATTATGTTGGATACGGAATTGCTCGCAATCCATGAAACACCTATGGTCACTTCTGAGTTGAGCACGCTACCTCAGCCGCGCGAGATCCTCAAGAGTGACATCATGCATACTTTGACCATGGAGATGGAAGATGTTGTTGTGGAGAATAAGCTAAAGTCGGAAGTCGGGCCTGTGAAGACTGCATGGGACATCGCTGTTCAAGGTCGGCGATTACGAGAAATAGCGGATAAACTGCCATCGCAATCACCAGAAACAGGTCAAGTGAAGATATACAACCGCGCTCGATCTTTATCAGTTTTAACGCTTTAAGTATTTTGAACCTGCAAAAAAAATGTGATCGATCAAAGATTATGTTTGGGAACCTCATGGCAGAGATCCTATGTAGATCCGCAAGCACCTGAATGCAGGTAAAGTGTGACCCTGGGTGACCTGGAAAATGAGGGTTCTGATGCCCCTACATACCATGAGGCCAGCACATGACTTGCCTGCAAGCAAAACATGCACAATGAAGGTGTTCTGATTCGCCTGCATGCAAAAGCATGCAAAGTGACTCTTGAGTTGGTCAGTTGACTGCATTGATCCTTGATTATCAGGAAGATATTATAAAGAAGTGTCTTGGAGTGAGACTCTTTCATGATGAGTCAGATTTGCCCCCGACGTCACGGCATCGTTATCCATATGGTAGATTTTGAAAAGAAAGGTTGAAGAAAATTGCGTCATTTTTAGTGTTTAAATACGGACCTACGGGTTGGATTTACCTAAGGATCTGCAAAGAGTGGCTCACACTGCTACTTATACAAAGGTCGCCGCACTCCATTCAAATTACATGAAATCTCTTTTGTTTCCTCCCCCTTCCATTGAAACGACATGGAGGGAGATTCTAAACACGCTGAGACATCAGCAGCAGGCGCCAAACGCCAACGACTGACCCCAGACGCTAGAAAACTCCTAAAAGGTGAGTCATCCTCCATCCATTCACACACCGCGAAACGGCTCGCCCAGTTGTGCCTCTGCTGAGACACGGTGGCATGTCAGACCAGTGCTAGAGGCGCGCTGACCCTTTCCATACAGATTTTGCCGAACATGTTTCAATGCACCCGGATACACACCAAAGACAACACTTACTCGACCAGGTGCGACGCTTGCACGGGTGTGGACAGGTCGATGCCAAACATATAACCACGTGGTTTCAACGCTACCGTGCTAGTGTAAGGAAGAAATCAATGCAAGATGACGACAATATCCGTGCGTGTTTTTTCTCCCGAACACGCGCATATATGGACCTTTGATTTACGCCATGATATTGCCGAACAGTATTTACGAATTTCACATCGGAGCAACTCGATATACTGAGGCCGTTGCTGCGAAACAATCCGTTCCCCAAGGCAGAAATGGTTGGCATCTGGTCAGTGTGTATCAAGGCAGAACCCGAGCAAGTAGGCAAGTGGGTCTTATACCATCAAGCAAAGGCCGCGCCGCTGCGAGGGAGTTCGGAGCAATCCATGAGTGTATCACCCACCGCACCACCCACCGCACCACTTCCTCATCTTCCCACACCTGCAAGGTCACTATCACCTATTCATACTCGCGGCATGTCATTGCCATTGATTGCAACAAAGGAGGAGCCTTCCCCGTCAAGTCCCTTATGGCCAACGCGCACAGCACCTGTGTCCCACACAAGCTTGCCACAGCATGCGACGGTGGGTGCAGACGTGCTTGATGAACTGAATCTGCCATTCATGCGAAAGCCTTCTTCTGACGGACCTAGACCCGTGAGTATTGCTTGCACCAGCCGCACATTCTGTAACTGAACGTGTTTTAGCCGCGTGATGTTCCTGCAAGGACACTATCTCCAGCAAAGCAATTGGCAAAAGACATCAATCATGGCATGGCATCACATCGTCCAAGTTCATCACGCAAGCCCTCTACACATGCAGAGTTCAATGCCATGTTCAAGCCGTACGAAAAGATGATGACGCAATTTATTCACAATGTTGAGAGTGGAAAGTTGCAATATTTGGGTTGGGAGCCTAGTGAGTTGGTCATTACCGACTTGTTCGAATCGCTGAAATAATATTAATCAGGTTTGCGCAAAGCAACATGAGACTGTACCACCTTCGATTAAACCCCTTGTATCATTATTTCTGCAGTCATCACATTCTTTGTGCAATCATTTCGTTGTCCTTGTCATTATGTCGATGTGACATACTTAGTAGCATATAAATCCTTTTCGGTAGATATAGGTTCAGCACACCAATACCGTATTGATAGTGTAATAATGAAGGTGATGCGGTCTAGGTCTCGCTCAAGGCCGCCCTGATGATGTGTAGGAGTGTCATTGGCGAAAACGCGACCTTTGGGAGTTATAACCAAGGGTATATATCCTCTAATGCTCGCTTTTCTCCTTGGTTGCGACAGCCCAAATCTCCTGCACTGAAGACCAATACCTCTCTGGCTCGGCCTGGAGGTGCGCTACGTGTGCACTCTCTTCAAATAGCTCGCAACGCACATCCATTCCGCGCTCCTTCGCAGTCTCAGCATGTTGTGTGACCTCTTGCCACGAAATCAATTTATCCGTGCGCGAAAAAAGGTAGAGGCGGGGTGTGTGGAGGCCCATCCATGGCAAGATGCGCGGATTCCACATTTCGGTTTGGAGGTTTTCTAGCATAATCATTTGCTTACCGAACAGCAAAGAGAGTCCGAAGCGGATGGAATATATCGTGTGTACGATTGCGAGCACGATGCGTCTGGCGATTGGGTTCCGGATGACAGTTCTAACAGCGAGTTTGATTGATTTTAGGTCACCCGCTGCTGGGCACGAGTCAAGGATCAATGCGCTCGCAGATGACCCTAGAACTGATGTGGAACCATATTTCCGCCGTAGCATGTGTCCAAGAAGTGTCATTTGCAGGGAACCTCCTGGTGTTGCCGTACAAGGTTTAGCTTTTTTCCAAGTTCAACCGGGGAGAGCCCACCATTGGAAAACACATGTGTAAGTATTCGCGCGGGTCCGTTGGGCAGAAGAAGAAGATGGCAAGCAATGCAGCGCTTCTAAGGCATCGATGACAGGCTTGAGCCTCCGTGACTTTCGATTATGGGGCCACAAGACAACAGTAAGCAATTACTATGAGATGCTCACCCTAGCACTGCTTGTAGTCCAGAGCAAGTCGCGATTGCACTGAACGACGATCTGAGACGCTTTGGGGTATAATTTGGCATATGCATTGGTATAATTCCGCAATTGCCTGGGATATGCTCCCACTGTGGACAATACTCATTAAACATGGACTACAAGAGCGCAGACTTGGGAATTTACGCCATCCGAATATCAAAATGACGCTACAGAATTCCCATCAGCTATCTTGCTAAACAACAGATACTGACTCACTTTGGAGATTTAGTATCCTGACATTGTTCGTGGATATCCCGAAGATATATCCCAGTGCCAATCGTACGGAACCCTTCCAGAGGACGAACTGTCGACAGACTTCGTACTGGTAGCAAAACGAAAAGGAAAAAAACACGGGTGTTTGGATGAGTCTGTTAGACACTAACAACTGATATTACTTACCAGTTGCGATCCTAGGAACAATCATCCTGGGACCGGGAGACGGCGTTCGAGACCTAACAGAACTCGATCTGCCAGGAAAATGACCATATCTGGGAGCACAACGATTCCGAAACATGTAGTGCGTGTCGGGACTGAGGCACAACTCAGAACAACCTCAATACTGAAAGAAGAAAAAACATTGGTTGAGTACGGATACAACTTGTAGGATATATAGCACGATTATGAGACATACTGCGAGTATGCCACTAACTTGGCGTCACGGGTGTACTAGTACCCACAAGTACGGTACCGGTAGGGCGGGTGTATAAATTTGCTACACGGTACTGTCCAAGTCAGTGTGGTATAAGTACTGCGCGTAGGTCGCCTAGTAGGTACAAATATTACCTTGTACTGCTAGTACTACATGAGGTGGTTGTGCGATCCCACTTTTTGACCCCGTGAGAATTAGCAAATAACGGCAATGGCGCCAGCCCCGAGTCGCTTGCTTATTCCTGGCATGTTTTGTGTCCATCGAACTAGTCTTTTTATTTCATTTTGCGTTAGCAAATGACCGCTAATTTTATGTGATTATACTGTCAATGCATGATGTTCTTCGACTTATACTACAGACGTCTATCTCGACCAGTCTTAGCCCAGTGGCAGACGTAATAGCTGTACAGGACAGAAATCTCTTGCAGGTTCGAAACCTGCCCAATAAGCTTTTTCCTTTTATCACACCTTGAACACTCACTCATGGATGGATCCTTCAAGGTCTATTTTAAGTAGTCATAGCGAAGTGGCACCAGAACGGACTAGAAATCGGGGTGGTGCGGATTCAAAACCTGCCGACAAGCGTTTTATCACACCTTGACATTCAATTCACTCATGGACAGTTCCCCGGAAGTTCTGCTCAACTTATGAAGATACTGGCCAAAGCGATTACAACAGAATCGAAGTCTGTTTCGCTTGGACTGCGCAGGTTCAAAACCTGCCGGCAACAAGTTTTTCTCTCTCTCGGAACACCCATCGACATGCTTTCATCATGAGATGGTTTCATCGGAGATTCATCTAACTGGTCTTAGGTAAGTGGTTACCTCAACAGAATCAAAATCTGTTTCTTTGGGATCGTGCAGGTTCGAAACTTGCCTATCAACAGGTTTTTTATATCGAAACACACCGCTCATGGATGGTTTCCTCGGAGGTTCATCTCAACTTCGTCCTAGCTGCAAAGTGGTTGACCTGACAGAATCAAATCTGTCTCTTGGACTGCCAGTGCAGGTTCGAGATCTGCTGATGACTGGGTTTCTTTTGCTATTGGAACATGGCTTGAAGATTCGCTCATGAATGGTTTCCTTGGGGGTCCATCTTAACTGGTTTTATAGCCAGGTAATTTCCACAACAGAATCAAAATATATCAAACCTGCTTACAACAAGGGGTTTTTTCCCGATCAGAACACACTTCGACATTGACTAGTCGACTCATGGATAGTTGCCTCGGATGTTCATCTTAACCGGTCTAAGCCAAGTGGCTACTGCGACAGAATCGAAATCTGTTTCTCTTCGAATGTGCAGGTTCGAAACCTGCTGAATGACAGATCTTTTTTTGTTGGAAGACGCTTCGACATTGACACATGGATGGTTTCCTCAGAGGTCCATCCAACTGGTCTTAGCCAAGTGGTTACCACGACAGAGTCAAAATCTGTTTCTCTTGGAGTTGGTTCGAAACCTACTGACAATATTTTTGCGGTACATAGATCCTCGGAGGTCCGTCTTAACTAGGCCTGGTCATTGCGCTGAAACCTCTTTTTTATGTGATAGTCTGTCCATGAAAGGCAATTCACCTTCATGCCCTACAATGGCTTCGATTTTTCCTCCGTCATTCGTTAGTAAAAACTAGCGTCTGTCTGCTCCGCTGCGCCTCGAGAGCTAGATGAAAATCTTCACAGTCGCCTGGCGCAGCTATCAAGCGACGGTGCACCTATCCTGGACAATCTTGTTCAGGAATCGGCGCTCAAAGCTACTACAGTATTTGTGCGAAGGTTAGTCATGCTATGAAACACGCAGCGCTTCCTTGGCTCATCTTTTACAGCTTCCCGGAGATCGCTCCGTCTTTTGCCATCCATCTCCGCCGCTTCGTTACTTCTTCTCTTTTTATATTTGAATTTGCATTCAACACCGAGAAGTGTGCATCCCACCTCTGACAGCGGCTGCCAAGTGCCTTGCGCTTTGCAAAGTTTGCATCAAGGTATTTCTTTCCTCGCCCGGGTTTTTTTAATACACCTCAAGCCCAGCTGTCGCCTGGCGACGACTCTATCATCAACATGTACTCTCTCCTCAATTACGTCGCTGTGACCTCCAAAGAAATAACCGTATCATCCTCTTCAACTTCTTTCCAATCCCCTCTACGCCTCCTCGATCACCTCTCCCAATGATAATGTGACCTTTCAAAGCAACGAAACAGGGTTACACGGTCGCTCAGACGAAGAGAAACGGCTCATCGGGATCACGACTATCTCTGTTGTTACGTGCCTTACACCCGAGTTCCATACTGCGGGCCAAGAGGAAGTCACAAAACTTACAATCTCAATGTTGTTGCAGCGCTTACGGATTTTGGAGCCGACTCTCGAAGCTGTGATTGCGTATAACCTTGTGGATCTTGCAGTCGTAGCTCCCGAAGAGTCGTCTATAGACGTTGTGCGTGTGTTTTTGCTTATCAATTAATTGCGCTACGAACCTGGAGGACCCGAGATTCCCTAATAACATGGCATTTTGAGATTTATAAGTCGATGGTGTGCATGTTGATGGATAGCAGGTGTTGGCCACCCAGACGAGGCTTGCACGGGAACTAGACCAAAGACCAGATTTGTATGACGTATACCTGGTTGAGCTGCTCACTCTCTTCGGAGACAAAGGCGTTGCTATCCAGAACGTGGCTACGTCTGCCCGACACGTCAAGGTAAGTTTGCTCACACATTGCAAAATTGTGCTGAATGTTCGATTCAAACAGAAGAGATGATCGAGCAGCTGGCCTCTTTGTTGTTACCGATCAAAGTGCTTCTTACCCATCCAGACTACTCTCTACACCTGGCCACTTCGCAAGAGCTTATGGGCCTCTTCTGAAACATGTAATTCCTCTGCGTCCTCTTCCACTTTACATCTGGTGAGGAGAAGGGCGCAATGACGTAGCTCATACCTGTGCTGGCAAAAATCGCAACAAAGACGCCAACTCTGGTGCTCGAGAATGCTCATGATGCAGTGAGCGAAATCGAGTATAGCACTATAACCCGGCATGAATATGCGTATTCTGTCAGTGCTGCATTGTTTGGAAAGGGAAGAAAGTTTTCCAGTTAAGTATCACCCATAACTTGTGGGCGTTCGAGAAGTAGTTCTAGGGACCGGAAGAGTCCGAAGGAGGTCTAATACTTCGTCTCGTCATTGCAATCCTTATTTTTCAGAGTGACTCACTGCTTTGGTATTAATGTGTGTAGTTTGTGTTTTCCGTCTCTACGACGCATGTGACTATCACTGATTACAACTCGGTGATTCATACAGGGAGGTGTGATAGGCTCGAAATTCCTCAGTATTCACAAGACTTGAGTTAAATAGTTCCTTGCATGGCGGTCCCTGCTCACTATCCGAGGAGTTCCGGTTAGAATGTTGGCGCGAGTGTAAAGGTCGACTGTGGCCTTCTACACACACGTTAGAGATAGGCATGTAGACCGCGTGACCCAGGGGAAGGGGGGCATCAGTAAACCGGTGAGACTCAGATATTAGTCGATGTTGTAGTATTTTGTAAGCCCAGTGCTTCTTTCCTGTATATTACGATACAAAGTAATATATATAACAATCTAAAGGTACAAAACCTGGGAATATCTGAATCTCACCGGTTTACTGATGCGCCCGAGCTCGTCGTTACACTTGTATGTGTCAGATGCGAGGCTGAGCTTCCCTGGTTTACTGTTTGCATGTTTCTGGAACGGCAGTACTTGTTGACACACCGAACACCGGACGTACTGGGGTGCTCTTGATGGTGTCAACTTTAGTTTCATGAAAGTCCTGCAGTTAGTAGTTGCTACGAATGACAGCTTTGGTACATGTAATAGTCGTACCAGATCAAGCTCTGAGCTGATTATCGAATGCAGTGTAGTCAGTGTCGCAAGATGAACTTGAACAGGGTTGACAGAACGTGTGCACGACAGTGGCCGTCGTTCAGGAGATCGTTGAACAATAGAAGTTGTTGTATTGTGATTTTTGTTTGCGACTTGTTTGGTAAGAACAATGCAATCTGGTTATGGCCTCGAGAGCGCTCGGCGCTCGCTGACATTTCAAGTTTGTAAGATTTGATTGACCACGGTGTTCTCATCATTTTTTCTTTCAGTCCCTCTGTGCTATAGTCTGTCCTCGGTCTCCTCTTTCTGTACTCTATTACTCTGGCGCATGATCAAGCGAATGGCTGATAAGATTGGCCAACTTAGCCAGTCTCAGAAGCAGTCTAGTCAACCAGGACTTGCGAACTTGCCTTACACTTCAATGTCTCATTCGATATCTGTTGCTGCAGACTATCATCGCGGCTCGATATCGACGCAGCGAACGTCTTCCAGCGAATGGACCCAGCAAGAAAACAATCTCGAAGTCGAGACATTTCCACTACCACGCGTATCGAGGCCAAAAGCATCTTACCGGCTCACCGACTTCATAATACAACGGACCCTTGGGACGGGCTCCTTTGGCAGAGTACATTTAGGTATGTCCTTTGGAGTTATTCATTACGCCATCATCTCATTTAGCTTCTCAGTCAGGAGCAAACACAATCTCCGCTTTTACGCCATCAAAGTGTTGAACAAAGACAAGATTGTTCGGACGAAACAGGTCGAGCATACCAACAACGAGAAGATGATGCTTGAAGCAGTTCAACACCCCTTCATCGTCAATCTTTGGGGCGCGTTTCAGGACGCATCCAACTTATTCATGGTAATGGACTTCGTACCTGGGGGCGAACTTTTCACCCTGCTACGACGCTCGAACGTGAGTCTTTTCTAATTTTTTCAAAAAAAAAGTTCCAACACCTTCCTGGAAGCGCTTCCCGGATCCCGTAGCCAAGTTTTACGCCGCAGAGGTCGCACTTGCTTTGAATTACCTGCATTCCCTCGACATTATATATCGTGACCTCAAGCCGGAGAATATCCTTCTCAACCATGACGGTCACATTAAAATAGCAGACTTTGGATTCTCAAAGCACTGTTTATCCGTGACGTGGACATTATGCGGCACGCCTGATTACCTTGCACCCGAAGTGAGCGCCTGGTGGTCATCTTCCAACTTTCAAGTCTGACTTCAAATCAACTCAACAGATCATAGGACAGCAACGGTACAACAAAAGTGTTGACTGGTACGCCCTAGGCGTGTTGATCTTTGAGATGCTCTCCGGACTTCCTCCTTATCACCAACCCGATCATAACCCCGTTGTACTTTACGAAAAGATCACTCGTGGTCCGGCCTTCATTCGCTGGCCATCATTCCATCAAAATGCTACAGACATCATCCAAAAATTGATGGAGGGGGAGCCCTCCAAACGATATGGAAACTTGCGGCATGGCGCAGGTGACGTCTTTGCACATCCATGGTTCCGTGAAGTCGACTGGGACAAGTTACGGAATAGAGAGATCACTGCTCCTTACCTGCCTAAAATTGCAGGAGATGGAGATGCGAGCGCGTAAGTTTCGTTCGTTATCTAATCTCAAGCTTCGCGGCTCAATCTGGTGTAGCTTTGAACAATACCCCGAGGAGAATGCTGCCTCACTGTACGGACTTCCAGCTCAAGACGCATGGGGACAGGATTTCCCTAATTTCGAGTATACCAGCCATTAAATGGGACTTTGATTCTTTTCAGTTATCACTACATTATTCTTTTTTGGAACGTTGACACCATTCATTACCTGCATTTGTTGTTGTAATACCCAGACACGTCGACACCCCCTGCGCACTGTACATTGTATACTAGTCATGGCAGGTTTTACCCCTCTTGTTTGTTTCTTCCTTCAATCCAAGTATTAGTAACATCATCCCGGGTGTGATTTTTGGTGTTGCAATCGCCGCACGAACGTGATTACAGCGTCCTTAGATGCCCGCATTCCTATTTGTTCGGAACAAATATCAACATCATGTCGAAAAATGGGCTGCCGTTTCCCCGGAACCTCGAACGACCAGCTAGTTCAGAATCTAGTCTCATAATTTTTCATCAGTGGGGCCCCATTCTTTTCCACTGGCCCAGAGGTCCAAGAAGCTCGTCAAACCGTTAAGAATTTGAGGAGATCGACTTGCACGGGCGCTAAGGCTGGGTGCTACCGCGGTGTATTCGTTTATGGCTGCGAAACATGCCCACAAAACACTCAAAATGGTCAGGGACATCGAAGAAGAGCGAGAAAGGTGTCAAGAGTGGCTTGAGGAACGGGAAAAGAGAGGGTCGTGGTAGACGGAACGGGGTAACCAAGGGTGCGCAGTTGGTGTCGCAGGAGGATGTTGCTGTTGAAAGGACAACAATGCTACTGGAAAGACAGGCTGAGTTGGATCAGATTATGGACGCACATGATACGATGGTGAGTTTGTTTATGTCACCAGGGAAGTTCATTGTTTCATATTCGGACTAGGTGCGGGAGGTTTTTCACTTGGAGAAGTTTGTGACTCTCATTGAATATGACCCATCTGTAAGCACTTATGAGCTCGCACTTTTTTTTGGCACTTATTGGTTCCCAGATTGCAAAGAAGGACAATTCGATTGTGTTTCAGGAGGTGCGTGAGGAGGAAGGACACGAAGATTATGACACTTACGGAACGACTCAACTTGTCTTCACAGTATAAGTCAGACTATGACCTGCTTGAAAAAGCCTCTACATCGGCAGGTCCATCGCGTGCTACAAGGAGGGCTCATATCGAGCGCGTTCAAAATCTTACTGCACCACTTTTACCTTCCACGGCTTCTCGAGTGCACACCGAGCCGGAATTACCCCTCTCCGCTAAATCAAAGGGGAAACAAAAGGCGGTTGATTCCGTCAATGGTACTGCGCCCATTGAGTCAGTTACGCCGAATAAGCCTGGGAAAAGCAAACCTATATCTCAGCCTCCGAAACTTCGAGCTCTGGCTCCGATTTTGCCTGTGGATGGTGAGGCTTCTGTCTCCATGGGACCTGTACGTGGCAAGAAGAGGAATATCACTGCTGCTTCCCCCACGGGTTCACCCGCTGTTCCACCTTCTGCCAAAAAAAAAGCGGAAATTCCAGGATGGACTCGCATCGGAAGTGGCGGAGATTCCTAATGTCTTAGGGTACAAGTCGACTGGGCCAGATGATGTGGCGTTGGATCTCTCCCAGATTTCTGCTCGTCGCAAGTCTTTGGTGAGTGTTGATTACTTCTTTGCAGTTTCCTCGCTCAAACATCTTTCAGCGACATCCTCCAGCTATGATACGAGAACCACCAACACTTTTCCAACTTCCCAGTGAAGTTGAACCGCCACAATCACAATTTAATATCAGACGCGTCAAGCTCATAGTGCGACCACCACCTCCATTGTACTCTAATCCCCGCCAGCAACCTCCTCGACCTCGGTTCCATTCCTCGCTCTCCGGCTTTTTGAACTCATATGTCTCCATCAATGACTCAGACCTACGTGAGGATGATCTAAATCTTATGGTCCAGAAGAAGGTTGCACTGCTGGATAAGATGGAAAGCTTCCGGCAACAGGGTCGGCTCATTGTTGACAACGCGACCTTTCAATGAGATGTCCAAAACAAGGGGTGGCGTAGGTTTCCACGAACCAAAGCAATGTCGCGACACTTGGGATGTGATCTTAGAAGCCATCACTCAACGCTCCCGACGGGAGCAGGTGAAAGGTCGAGTTATCGCTGCACAGATATCGACCCGAATTAAGGCGTATTGGGATCAACGGGCACAACGGGAGGACAAGGCAAAAATGCACTGAAGAGAGAAGACTTCGTGCGTTGGCGAAGGCAACTGTCAAAGTAGTCACTAGTGAATGGAAAAAGGCTGTCTTCGTACGCACCATATTCTTGTTTGGGGGATGTTGCTTTAATTTTAATTTTCTTCTACATAGCACATTCGGGAACAGCATCGACTACGCGCAGAGGCTGAGGAAAGGCGCCGTGGTCATGAGCATCTGGATGCTATCCTCGATCGGTCTGGTCATATATTGGAAACTCAGCAAGCAGAACTCGCCAGAGGTGATATGTCTCGCAGCAGATCGAGCAGTGTTTCTGGTCACTTCCTGGAACCAGGATTCGACTCTGAAGGTTCGGAAAATTCGGAGTCTGAAGTGGATGAGGGAGATGTAGACGGTGTGGAGCAACAATTTTCGTCGCAGGCGAGTGACCGAGATACAGAGAATGCTGAGGAAGAAGAGGAAGAAGAAAGCACTAAGTATGAAGAAGAGGAGGATGAGGAGGACGGGACCAGTGCGTCGGCATTACTGGGGCCATCACTCCCTCGGTTTGAAGTTGATGATACTTCGAGCGCCACCTCCCAAGCTGGTGCCAATCTACTGGATGCTGAGATGAATGATGAAGAAGAGTCGGAGGCTATTTTGTCTGTTGTGGCCATGGAGTCACCTTCGCCTATCCCTTTCAGTCTACCGATGTCTCGGGAGACTCCTACCGACTCTGACTCCGTTTTGCACGAGCACACGACCGAAGACTACAGGTCTCCCCATTTCGAGAGTTTCAACGACGCGCCTTCACCAGCCAGCACTGTTGCTGGTCATGAAGAGGAACCTATATCGAATTTTGATGGCAGTAAGGGGATGAAGATGACAGTTACTGAATCTACTTCGGACACTTTGGCTTCAGGTGCTGACGACGTTGATATGGGTCAAGCCACTGAAGTCGAGACCAAAGACGATTATGCGGACTTCCCAGCGGTTTGAAACACCATCTTCTCGCCCCCCATCCTCTACCTTTGGTATGGAAGTCGATGAGTCTGAGTTACTTGACGAAGCAGAGGACATTCATCAACAAGAAGACAACATACCAGACTATCTCAAACCGTACGCCGTTGCGCCGGTCCATTGGGACACTGAATACAAGGTGAAAGTTCCCGTACTATTACGGGGTGTCCTCCGTCCATACCAGCAGTCCGGTTTGGAATGGCTTGCAAGCCTCCATGTCAACAATCTAAACGGCATACTTGCTGATGAAATGGGATTGGGGTATGCTTCTGGGTTTCTTATTTAACCCGTTAGCTCACTCTACTCAATAGGAAAACTATACAGACAATATCACTCCTTGCTCATCTAGCTTGTGACCGTGGAATATGGGGTCCGCATCTTATTGTACGTGATTCACGTCATGCTCTTTGCGTATACCAACCAGCCATCTAGATTGTCCCGACAAGTGTCCTCCTAAACTGGGAAATGGAATTCAAGAAGTTTCTGCCTGGGTTCAAAACTCTGAGTTACCACGGATCCACGAAACGCCGCAAGGAGCTCCGCCAAGGGTGGTACAATAAGCACCACTTTAATGTCTGCATAACATCATACACGCTCGCCAGTCGCGATGCTCACATATTCAAGCGCAAAGCTTGGTATTACATGATACTGGATGAAGCTCATATGATCAAAAATTTCAAGTCCCAACGATGGAATATTCTCTTAATGTTCCGCTCCTTTCGGCGTCTTCTCCTGACTGGTACCCCGCTACAAAACAATCTAACTGAGTTGTGGGCACTTTTGCAATTCCTGATGTCCGGTACCAACTTCGCCAACCTCAAAGAGTTTGGCGAATGGTTTTCAAGTATGCATGCTCGCGTTTTTGGGTGTAATCGATCATTGCTTAATTCTGATACATAGATCCCTTGGAGAAAGCGATTGAGATGGGCACCTTGTTGGATGACGAAAATATGCAACGCGTGACCAAACTCCACACAGTTCTCCGTCCCTATCTACTCCGCCGTCTCAAACGTGACGTTGAGAAAGAGCTCCCCAGCAAGTACGAGCACCTCGTTCTGTGCCCCTTATCCAAGCGGCAGCGGTTTCTCTACGACGAGTTCATGGAACGTGCGCATACCAGAGACGCCTTACAATCTGGCGTGTACCAGAAGATTGCAAATATTCTCATGCAGCTCCGCAAAGTCTGTAATCATCCAGATCTTTTTGAAGTCCGTCCGATCGTGACATCTTTCGCTATGACGCGTTCCGTCGCCGCAGATTTCGAGATCAAGGAACTACTAGTTCGACGAGAGCTTCTTCGGGCGAGTGATGAAGACAGTATTAATCTTGATGTTCTTGGCCTGCGGTTTATCGATCAGCAAAACGTACCCCTACTTTCTGCTCTAGAGACGCGGCGCCTTGATGCGACGCATCGGCTCCCACTCATCTCAGAAATGCCTGAGGAGCCACCACCAAAGGACACTCGTACCATTCAAGGATATCGTACTTACTATGCATACCAACAGCGGGTTGCACAAATAGCTCGCTGGGCACAAATCGGTTATCTCAATAGCCTGCGCTGTGCCGGGTTACCGGTCTACAGTCAAGAGCTGTTGACTATTGCTAAGCAGTGTCATCGACCTATTCTTCCCCTTTCCGCATTGGATATCGGTCATCGTTTCATGGACACGGCTCTGCCCCTTCATTCGGCGGTCAAGACTTACGCAGACCGGACTAAAGAGCTACAGCCTGTGGTCGAAAGGTTCGCTTTCGTCACTCCAGCTGCAGTTGCTTTGGACCTACCTCGTTTCGCCCTGGCAGGATGCGAGCACGTTATATCTCGTCAGTCATCTGACTTCGATAGCGTCCTGCATCATGCGAGCGTCAAGCTGCAAATAGCATTCCCAGATCCATCCCTTCTACAATATGATTGTGGTAAACTGCAAGAACTCAGTCGCCTTCTCCGACAGAGAAAGTTAGAAGGACACCGTGTTCTCATCTTCACACAGATGACAAGGATCTTGGATATCCTGGAAATTTTCCTCAACTTTCATGGCTATCTCTATCTTCGCCTTGATGGAGCCACCAAAATCGAAGACAGGCAATATATCACTGAGCGGTTCAATGCAGACTCTAGGATTTTTTGCTTCATTTCTTCCTCTCGGTCGGGTGGAGTGGGTATCAAGTAAGTATTCGTAGATTTCCTTGTCTGTTGATTGCTAACCACTTCGATAGTCTTACTGGAGCAGACACCGTCATCTTCTATGATAGCGACTTCAACCCCCAAATGGACAAACAGTGCGAGGATCGGTAAGATACTTCCTCAATGCGTACATCGTTTATAAATGATCAAACTTTTTCTCAGTGCTCATCGTATCGGTCAGATAAGAGACGTCCACATCTACCGATTTATCTCTGCACATACGGTTGAAGAAGCCATGTTGTTGAAAGCTAATCAGAAGCGCTCTTTGGACGATCTTGTCATCCAAAAAGGCGAATTTGACTGGCGATCCCTGTTTGATGACCAAGGAGCTCTATCGAAGGCGCTAGTTGAATTTGAGGACAAGGAAGATGTGCATGCTGCCACTGTAGCCGCAAGAGAAGAAGACGTCATGGAAGGCGCTGATCAAGCTGACTTTGGTGCTGAGGGAGAAATTAATGCCCCCCTAAACGACGGAAGGTTAACAAATAATGCGGAGGAAGGTCAGCCTACTGGTAAGGAAATGTTGGATGTTTCAGAGATGGACCAAGTTGCAGAGGAAGAGGACGAAGGAGGGGCTGTATCGGATTACATGATTAACTTTGTCCGGATGGATTACGACTTCTTCAGAGATTGGCGGCTATGATGGCAACCTCGTATTCTGTAGATACTTGTGTTGTTTGTACTGTTGCTTCTTCCCATTGCTATTTATCAAATTATATATGTCGGTACTTATCGAAAAGTACAAGTACTGTTGATGAGCGCTTGATTGTGTAGTGGCTGGAACTTAGGTTGAAAGCTTGATCGGGAGTTGCACATTTTACATAACACCAAACCACAATATTTACCACCTGCTTCCACGCTTTCGAACTTTATCGTTGCAGTCCACAGGTTGGGCAAGATGATGATAACAGACGTCCTACACCGCACTTTCGTCAGTGGACTGGCTGCACTAAGTGTGTATGGACTGTTCATGGGCTATGCCGTGCACCGCGAAACACTAGCCAAAGGGAGAGGTGAGATGATGTATACCACCAATTTCGTCCAAAGTTTTTGACGTGATTTATGCAGAGGTGAGAAAACCATAGCATTGGTTAATTAGCATATGAGGGCAACTCATGTCGACTATCGTAGTACATGGCATTAAAAGAAGCTGAAGCAAAGCGGCGCGAGCAAACAACTGCAAGTTTCCACGTTTTATACACCGTCTTATCCTTTTCTGACACTGCACTCAGGCTGAGGAAGAGGCGAAGGAACTTGCGTTAGCAGAGGCTGCCCAGGCTGTTTTCCGCAAAGGGTCGTGACAGGACTGATGACCTTCTGCTGCATCTTTGGTTCAAGGTTAATCATGCTGTTTCATGCAACTGCACACCATAGCTGATGCCGTAGTTCATCAACGTTCATCTTGGGCTCGTTTCACGTAACGTTCCTGTAACTGCCAGTACGATTTGCAACAAGCTATCCATGCCCATCATTTAATTGCCTCGTGGAACGATCGACAAGGTCATTTTCCTGCTTTAATCGCTCAAGCAGAGACTATGACTGAACTCGACTTGTATAACAGCTGAGCCGAAGATGTGCCAGCTGAAGAAGTGCGGACATTTTCCTTCAATATATGCTTCACTACCTTCCACGATTTCGATTGATTATGTCAGAGGATGAGAAGGGTCGTTGAGAGTAGTTGGCATTTAATGATGAAGGGCGCTTTCAAAGCATGATCGATCAATCAATCAGCTCCTGCGATGAATGCCTACAACTGCAAGTATATGCTAGGGATTAATCAAGGCGGTGTGCAAGAACAATCCATCGAAACTCGATGCTACCGTCCAGCACGCTGATCTTTCGATGAAGACCTAGTAATAGTATCGGATAGAGGGGGATCCATGCATAACGATGATCATCCCTCTCCTCCCAGTGATTTGGTTTGATTTATATAATTTTCTTGAACCACCACATATTCATCGGATTTTCCCGGATACGCCTTACTAAGTAAGGGAGGCCAATTAGAGTCTTAAACCAAAATCTTTATCGATAAAGAGCCGTTGCCATCCTCTCCTCATGATGTGCTCAGACCAGGACGTACATACACCATGGCAGATTCTGCTACTCCAGCACAGATCGGATTATCGGCCTCACGTGGGGCAGCCCAGGGCATGGGGTCATGGCCCTACGGTTCGCAGAGGCTGGGTTCGACACCCGTCATCCCAGATTTCAAATCACAACGCACAAACCTCGACAGAGTCGCGGAGGAGGTGAGAGCGAAGGGAAGGTGGTGTATGGATGTTGTCATAATAGTCTGATCGCTGGTGTAGATGGTAACAAACGCTGGACAAATATTCATGAAAGCCATGATTGACTGCAGTGAGCCAACGCCGTTTCCGATCTCACCCGAATAGTTCCCTCACTGATTTTGATATGGTCTTCAATCCCAATGTGCACAGGACGTTTCTGTTTGCGTGCTGTAGCGCAGGCGATGACAAAACGAGGTTGTGGCGGGAGGATCATCAGTATGCACGCTCATCTGCCTTCTTGCATTTAGGTAATAATATGGCGATTGTAGACGCATCGCCTGCAGCAGGGAAGAATGGGTTTACATCGAACGGCCTGTACTTCGAAAGCTACTATTCTATCGCGCACACAAGCACTCGGTCAATGTCCTACTGCTTCATTGCATCTTAAAATGGGCGCAGTAACTCGGATCACATGACATCACTGCCAACGTCGGGCCAGTTGACACGGGTCTCTGTACGTTCATGTTATCTGCCCTGCTACTCATCCTACCTCCAACCATATTTTTAAAGAAATGCACACTGATACTGACATGCACGTGTGCGATCTAAAGTTCCACTAACCAATGGGCAAAACAGGTTGGGGCGACTGATAGCAAGATATTGATCCGAAGTGTATGTCTCGGTCTCTCTTTCGATGAGGCTCCCGGCGCCTAACATTACGGATGTGGTGTCGTTCCTCGCAGGCAGACAATTGCCAATGGATGAATTAATCTCCTATTCTTATGGCTGAGAGAAGTATAATTCACCTTCAATTTCTCTGCAGAAACAGAGGTGCGACAGCATGTACGAAAAAGCATGGCCATCCGTGCCAGATCAATGCAGTAATGAGATGATAGAGAGATAATGTATATCTGTCTGTCTTCTCATTACAACGGTGCGAAATGTTCAACTCAACCGCAACGATCTGAAGTCGGCCGCAATCCTTCTCGGCGATGTTTCATTGCAGCGAGTTCGATTCCTCAATGAAGGTGCGGTGTTTCTCGTCAAGGTTCCTAGCCCTAATGTATTCTCCTTTGGGACATCCCACGTCGGACAGAATTAACCTGGTATTATCAAGGTCAAACAAACTAGTGTTCACGTCTGGTCATTTTGGCGTCTGAACTCATACGTACAATAATGCATTGCAGCCCCTTGATCAAAAAACTCGGTATGGCCGATCACGGCGATTATCATGCAATATTGCTCCTGTACTGGGCGAGAAAAATGCTTGATTTGATCACGACTCATGGTGGCCTGGCTCCCAACTTAGTTTAGTGCGGGAGATGCAATGCACCGTGAAAACGATGGGTAGTGCCAGTCACTGCCCTACAACGTCCTTATGAACCTACTGGTCCTGGACGATGGCGTCAAAGAGGCCATCCACCTCTATCCCTCTCTTTCAGTAATGGTACGTTCTCCCTCCTCCCATATAGGCAACTCACTTTATGCATGGCGCACCACGCAGAATGTCCGCCGCGGCGATCCCGGAGGGCGCCTATGCAAACCTCTATCCTCGCTGCGAGGGATGTGGGGTGCTGATGTGAATGAGTAGCGTCCTGAGCGGTGGCTTTCATACCTTATTGCTGCTCCATCGCAAGCACAAGATGCGAACTGTTCATTGGATGGGGAAGATGCTGCATCCACGTCGAGATCTGCTGTTCTGTGCGTCAAGGATAGTGCGCGGTTTCCTAGTGTGCTCCAACTTGTAAGTACTTGCAGCGCTTTTCCCACCGAAGTTCATATGCTTAGATGGATAGTAGCCATTCCTGCATGCCAGTTTTTCAATCCTTCGCATGTCATACCCGGAATCAAGTATGTCCACGTGTTAAAACTGATGCTCCTGACCAGAACGAGTTCTCGCAACGCTCGTACTTTGCACTTCTCGCTCTCAACGGAACGGAATGCACAAGGTCATGCGAAGGAAATTCAGCGGAAGCTACGGGCATTTCATATTAACGCCACAGGTGCCGCTGGATTTGCGGTTGGTGAAAAAGGATTATTTTATTTGGTAGACTGTTGCGTGGTATTCGGTGGTAGTCCTGCACGCCTACTAGCAGAGTGGGATGGCATGGTTTTACACAGTAGAACTATAGCTGGGCGTACGACAAGATGTATGATAGAAAAAGAAGGAAAGAGTTGCTAGAGGAAAAGTTGTTCATGATTTTACGGGGATTTCCACCCGATGATCCGGATGAGCTGTAGTTTCAGCCACAATGGATCGTTGACTACACCAGATATCTAAAACCAACAGGGTCCTGAAGGTCGTTGATATCCTTTGCATTCTGCTCGTTTCTCTCAATTTGCTCGTTCAATCGCTTCAAATGCAAATGCATGACACCAAGCATGGCCGTCGACACCCCAAGTGCTGCGAAGCTGATGGCGTAGGAATAACGATATGTCGGGCCCCAGTTGAGAGGCCACATGTACCTATGAGAATTTGTAAATAATCAGCGAGAGCGGGAGATCGGTGGCACTAACGATCCGACGATGTTCCCTGTCGCAGACATTCCACTAATCATAGCGATAGCAACAGCTCGCTTCGCAGGTTCTCTGGCAAAAGTGTTGTTTACCCATGCCCAGAGAACGATTTGTCCTGCGGCGATTTGAGCCATGAGAAACCTGCGCGTGTCTGAGTACACAAGGCATCACTCTATTGGGCGATGATACTGCTTACAGGGAAACATAGCGCGCAATCATGTTCATCGTACAGATGGATATAGTGAATCCAAGGGCAGCGAATGCATTTGATGCAAAAATGTATATGTAACGCTTTTTCGTATTGTCAGAGTACCTGATCGTCCATGAGATGCGATTCGAGATGGAAAAAAATAGTTTACTGACCTTGCAAAAGAAAAGGCAGCAATCGCGGCAAGCACCCATGGAGGAGTGGCGAGCAGCAAAGTCACCGTCGTATTATATCGCAAAGTCGCGACGATCGTCGGGAAGTAAATGACGAATGACATCGCCATAGAATCGATAATGAGTGCGACTGAAAACCACCATACCTTCCAGTCGGACACAGCATTCCGCAGTCCTTGCATGGTCGTCCGTTTGTCATGGTCCATTCTTCCATAGCCATCGTCTGCAAGGCGAGCGATAGCCAACGATCTTTCCTCCGGAGTGAGCCATTTGGTGTTGTGAGGGAAATTAGGGAGTATAAATATTGCACAAATCGCGACTACGACGGTGATGCCGCCGTCGATGTAAAATAACCACCTGCAGGTATGTTAGCTTCAGCGAACGACAGAGACAAACGTTTCTCGCCTCCATGCGGATTGACCAAGTTTTCCCTGCATCCCCGTAAGTATACCAGATGCAAACAGGGATCCGAACCCAGCGCTGAGCAGGGCTCCACAAGCAATGAGAGTCGTTCTCACAGCGAGCTCATCTCGCTTGTACCATCCTGATAAAAGAAATATGGTGCCAGGGAAAAAGGGTGCTTCGGAAAAGCCAAGAAGTAGACGGGCGAAAAGAACCTCGGTATAACTTGGGTCGAACTATCAGACCCACGATGACGAAAAATGAGAATGTGTACTTCTGTGTGCCCCCTGGGTACGGTTAGCATTCATGATCTGAGAGTGGCCGGTGTCGACAAACCTGTTAATGTTGATACTACACCCCATATCATCATACTACAAGGAAGCAGGATAGCAGGTTTCTCTAACCAGTGCAGAAACATATTCCTGAAAGAAAGAAGGTCACAATAAACTTTCCCTCGACGAAGGATGCAACTCACGCTGGCACTTGCATGACAATGAATCCCACATAGATGATAGACAAGACCGTCGCGTATTGATTCCCCTGCAGGTGCAGGTCTTTCTCAAAACCTCCCAACCGTGCGCTACTGTGGACGACATGAAACATCATATAAACGTGTATGAAGACACGTAACACACCTAGCATTTGCTCTGTCGATCTAACCAGCGGTAAGCACCAAGTAATAAAGAGCTCAGACTCACATAGTTCAGGGCATACAAAAGCAAGATCACGGACATACGTAGATCGAGCTTCCTTACCAATCTCCTCTCGAGATCATCACGGGAATGGCTGGGTAAACTAGAGAAGATATGGACCGTTTCTGATTTCGCATCGCTGAGAGCAGACATGGTACAAAAACAAAACACAGCGGGAAGGGTTGACAAGGCTTTTATTTGTGACGTGCAGGTGAGAAACAAAGACTGATGATGGTGCAGAGCTGACGTGGATCGTCTTGCACGGTCATCGATTAAATATTGACTGGTACCCAATAGGATACTCGGGCCGCCTTGGAAAGATTGATGCTATGTTTCGCATCTAGTGTAAGCAATGATCGTGCGCGTGGCATACACTTATGGTAGTGTCGTTGGAGCTTGGCAGAACCCGGGAACTTCGCCAACTGGTCTGGCAAAACTGGTCGTCTCCGGCCCACGGCAGAACTCAGGTGCAAAGGGGGTGGCGGCACCTGGCAGAACTCCAGACTCGCGGAGATATAACTTTGCTATGATAACACAGATGGGTTTGAGTTCAATAGAGCGCGAAAACCGACTGTCGACTCTGATGGTGCTGGTGGCTAAGCTTCCAAAGTCTTTTAAGTTTTTGATGTCTCTAGTAATGCACGTGACCGAGTTAAACGCTCCATGTAGATTCGGTACCAAGACGATAACGCCCCTGGCGTATATCCGCGACTCTATGTGCTTGCGATTGTGTGTCGCGAGCAAGGCATGATGCTTAAGTAATTAAGTAATTGCCTAGTAGCGAATTGACGTAAGTACGTCACGACCAAGATGAGGGCCGAGGCACTTATTTGCAGTGCGCAAACCTTGATTTCGGGCACCGGATCAATGAACGGTGGCTTACAACTTCGGAAGGCACAACTGCAACAGTCTTTTTCTTCATTTCATCCTCTTCCTCTTCCTCTTCGTATCAAGAAAGCGCCTCAAGACGCTGATCCCCACTCATTTTTGATTGTCGCTCGTTTGAACATTCTTGGCCTGCCTTTTAGCTCAGGCCCTTCCATTAAGGCATTTGTCTTATATTATACTTAGTCTTTAAATTCGCTGTTGGCGTAAGCAGGAGACCCATGGCGGTTTCAATGCGCTGCAAATGTCGCCACAGCGAACGACTACTCGTACCATCTCTAGCCTTCGCCGCTCTCGCAAGCAACCTGCTACAAGGAGCTATGGCACAGAGCACGTACTCTACAGCTACTCAGCAACTTCAACGTCTCCAAGATCCTAATGTCATTGTCACCAACACAAACGGGACTGTCGTAGTTTACAGCCCACTCACCGGGAATGAAATTCCTCAAGGACTCGCAACCGATGGCAGCGGTAGTGGATTCTCGTTGCCTGCTGTTTTGTGGATTGCGTTCTCTTTCACGGTTGGCGTTCCGCTCATGCTGGCCGGCTTTCGGGGCAGGCGTTTCACCACCGGTGCGGCCATAGGCCTATCTGTGGCTGTCACATGTGGGTAGTGACTAACAATTCATGCGTATGGAAATTTGCCTAACCCGTATATATAGCGTGGTCTGTTTTTGTTAATACATTGGACAATGTCGGTATTTCGGACATTACCTTGACAGCTCTAGTCATTGTACTATTTTGTTTGGGCTTTCTCTTCGGGCTTTTAGAAGTGGGTCGTATGGTAGGGCTCCTCCAGTTAGGCATACAGGGTGGCCTCGCCATCGGGATACGGATAGTATTACTACGTAGCCTTCTATTGGTACCCGACCCTGCTGCGTTCTTCGTCAATTGGCTACTCGTTGCAATCTGTGGTCTCGCGAGTGCAGTACTTGTCATTTGGAAACAGCGAGCTGGACTGGTGAGCGTTGATTTCGTCCTTTATGGCATCCCTGTATCCTGACTGAATCAAATAGCTTCTAGGATCGGCGTCTGTCGGTACTTTTTTTTGCGCCCTGGGCATCGACTTGGCTGTTAATCAGCAATCTGGCATGAGCCGGGGCCTCAGATATTTGATTGACAGAAACCGTTATCACGTCGTGGTGTGTACTCACCTTGAATTGTTCAAAAGCAACCACAATTTAATCAGATTGCAGGATACAACAAGTAATGGGTACTTTCCGCCCACGAGCACATTGGTTATAATTGCACTCTCCATTGCATTGACGTATGTCACCAGTTTCCTATATCTTGTATTGTAAGCCTCACATATTGACACGGGACATAAACAGACCTGCATTTGCATACGCCCAACATAAGCTGTTTAAGGGTCCTTTCTGCCCAGTTCACGATGACGATATCGAGTCCCTTCACGCATCAAACGAGTCCCCAGTCGATGAAGAACCTAAACTGTCAGGCGAGGAAGCACTGCGAACTAGTCCGCCGCCTGTGTCGGCTTTGTCAAATTTGATGCCTTTGCTTAAAGATCGTCACTTGACGCCTGCTGCCACGGAGAAAGCACGAGCGACCGAAGGCAATGCATTCGCGGACGACAGTTAACGTTCATCATAGCGCATATACCCTCGGGTCTTGGGACTTTATACCACAACGATTACCTAAATACCTTACTAGTCGCATTTCATTTCATCGCCTCTCTAGTTGTTGTGGTTCTCCATCGGATACCTTGGCACGCATTATACATCTGCTTCACACCCGGATCCACAATAGATTCCCGTTTGCTTCAAAGGGACTATCATCTCACTCATCTGATTCGGCAGCTTATTGGTTGGTTGGCTGTCGGCTTGAACTGCTATTGACATCGACGTGTCGCCCGAGATTTTGACTAGTGTGTATGCGCATGTACCATTGTCCAAATGCAAAGCGTCGAGCGGATAAAGAGCGGGGCAAGTGGCGGGCACATCGACGATCCAACAAGGATCATAAGTACTTGGTCGGTGCTAACGCGGGAAGGTCCGGAAATGGTAGGCACAAATCAAATATTCACATGTTAAATCCGCCAGTCTTACATGTTTCATCGGCCGTATGTGAGGGTGACAACTCATTTTATTTTACTCAGCTTTTCATCCGCTGGTATCGAATACCCTACCTAACCCTCCAGACGCCCAGATCCCCTAGAATTATGTCAAGGAATGGGGACAAGAAGGCGGTAGGCTTCGCTACACATATCACAGCTGGAGGGATCGCTGGCGCGATGGAGGCGGTAAGTGTGCATATTCAATGTCGTGAACTCCATATAACGATCAAGGGTCTCAGATCTGCTGCCAACCGCTCGACACCATAAAGGTGCGGATGCAACTCTCCAAATCCGGGATGGCCCCTGGAGTATGTCACAAGCAATGTTGTGCGGCATTCGTCAACTAACTCCCCGCCAGACAAAGCCACGAGGGTTTGTGGCGACAGGTCTTATGATTGTTAGACGCGAGACGCCTTTAGCATTATACAAGGGCCTCGGCGCTGTCCTTTCCGGAATAGTCCCCAAGATGGCCATTCGATTTGCCAGCTTTGAGACTTACAAGGAATTGTTAGCGGATAAGTCGACAGGAAACACCAGGGTGGGGAATATCTTCATCGGTAATCTATTCAAGGTTATTGCATGATGGAAACTGACTTCTCGGCTTAGCTGGGCTCGCCGCAGGGACGACCGAGGCGGTCGCGGTCGTGTGTCCAATGGAAGTGGTGAAGATCCGTCTGCAGGCGCAACAACACTCGCTTGCTGATCCGCTGGAAGCTCCAAGATATCGCAATGCGGGTCATGCAGTCTACACGATCATACGTGAAGAGGGTTTCTCGGCCCTTTATAGAGGTGTCTCGCTCACTGCATTACGACAAGCTACTAATCAAGGTTAGTTCAATAAGTTCCGTCATTGATACGAGGCTTATGAATAACGTGATCGTAGGCGCGAACTTCACTGCGTATCAGGAAATTAAGAAATTGGCACACACATACCAGCCGGATTTGAAGGACTTACCCTCATACCAACACATGATCATTGGACTTATATCAGGTGCCATGGGACCCTTCTCGAACGCCCCGATAGATACGATTAAAACTCGTAAGTGCATCCTACAGGGATCGGCCACATCCAAGTAATCCATGACACCAATAGGATTGCAAAAGGCCACGTATGAACCAGGAACCACAGCGTTTCAGAGGATTGCAGCGATCGCAAATGATATGTGGAAACAGGAAGGTGTACGGTCGTTCTACAAAGGGATTACGCCGAGGGTTTTGCGAGTGGCTCCTGGACAGGCGATTGTGTTCGCTGTGTATGAAAAAGTGAGAGGGATTATCGAGACGATGAACGTTTCACCGTCGCAAGATCGGTACTCGGAGTGATTTAAGAAGAGCCAGTACATCTAGGGGGAAAGTCTTAAGGGCTGTACATTGTGTTTTGGCTAGTAAATGAAGGGTGTGTGAGTTCTGACTTCGTTTGTGGTGAGTAGACGCTGGGAACGGCTCTAATCGGCCCGACTCATATTCGGGTCATCGGGCGAAGTCCGATTGACGTGATCGGTGACTTACACACCCACTTGAGACCAAACATTTGAGCTGCAGGCAAGCCTTTATAACGTAGACGGAACGAGTATCATCCTACAACCGGTCTGACTAGGGGAGACTAGAGGCGAGCCGACAGTGATGGCTACTCCAACGAAGGTGCTAATGCTGCATGGGCAAGTACCAGCTTAACGAGTTCACGAATCACCAGCAGCAGTAGCATGCGTGGATGACTGATTTACTTCCTCAGACACTCGCAGAATGCTAGTATATTCAGTAAACGCGTAAGTGTCTTCGTATCTTGGTACCCTACAATCTTACAGGCTGATTCATCATAGCTTGGGGCCTTGAGGAAATCGATGGGAAAAGGCATTGAAATGGGTATGCTTGGAATCTATGCAACCATGCCGATGTACAGCTTAACAGACGGACATAGTATTCGTGGACGGACCCATTGTCTTACTTCCTGTTGACTTCGACGGCACCGCTTCATTGGCAGCTCTCGGAGCCTCAGAGGCGAACACGACATCCTCTGATCCTTCGACTACGCCCCGAGCTTGGTGGAAATCTAACCCGGAGAGAACAATCGCCCACGGGTTAGAAGAGTCTATACTCCTTTTGAAAGATATTCTTCAACGTGATCGATATGATGTGAGTATGCCTGGTGCACATCACACATCGAGCTAAGATGAATTGGTCGTAGGGTGTGTTTGGCTTCAGGTATTCCTTCGCTGGTCCTCTTTAATGCCGTTTGGCTTATTGGTGAAACCAAAGTCAAGGAGCAGCTATGGCTGCTCTGCTTGCCGCTCTCGTGTGTATATTTGCGATGTAACGGACCAGTTGACTCTTAAGGTTTCATCCTTCAGCTAGAGCGGCCTCACTCATACCCTCCCTTTCTCATCGACGGAGAGGCTCCTCACCCACCTTTGTGCGTAACGTCCCACCAGAGAGATACAAGTACTCAGCCTTGACTTAGCAAATTCTGTGTAGCCGTCTCAGGCTTTAAGGCACCCGGGTCACTCAGTGCAGAAACTTTTGGGACATCGTATTCTACACCCACCCTGCACGTTCTCGGGAGAACTGATGTCATTGTCGTTGAGGAGCGCTCGAAGGGTCTGCTTGATCTCTCACAGAACAAGAGATTGGAGGAGCATGATGGCGGTCAGCCGATTCCGCCATGCGCTGTGATTCGTTTCTGACACCCTATATAGGACACTTCGTGCCCTCGAAGGCCAAATGGAGGGAGTTCTTCCGCAATTACTTGGCTGATCCTCTTGGAGTGATTCCTTCCCCAGAACCGAGAACTGTTCTTCAGCCTGCCCCCGGCGATTGATACGATACCTCGAACTGTAATAGAGCTACGTGATAGAAATGCTATACTTCACACAGGCGCAAATACGTGGCTTTCGAGAGTAGGTGAGGACATGACAAAGTCAATAAGACGGTGGATGAGCTCTGTCAGTGAATCATCTCACCATACGACTTCGCTCTTTCAAAGTTTAAAATTCTGAAATGGATTCCGGACAGAGTCATTCGTTTCTTAAATTGTTTCGTTGCCAAGGTCTACGCCGTATAGAAGACTATATTGTGAACTTCGGACTGAGCACCAGTTATCTCGATTACAACCTTCAAGTTGGCGCTAGCTAAATTCATTCGGGGGTGCAGCCACGATTTGATCTACTCAAGCAACGACTCGACGATTAGCACCAACTATGGTAATCGATGTTCGGTCATGTTTAAGGTTCCCACCTTCAGATCCTTATCGGAGTGGAGTCCAAGAGGGGATCGGCCCAGAGTTAGAACAAAAACTTGCCGCGCCTCAACTCTCAGCACTAGATTGTCCGCTAGTATTTGCACTCTAGCCAGTACCGGTGTCTGCGGACTAGCTAACTGTAGTACATGGTTGTATTACTCAGAGTGAAAAATGTGTACAGCATTAATATTCCTAACGATGACATCAATGTCTAACCATCACTACCAGGAAGCCAATACTTGTCAAAATATAACCACAGCGGTGTACAAGATCCTATGCCCTTAGATGGATGCGTGACGCTGATTTGAGAGCACGAACTTGTCCGGCTTTCCATATTGAACTTCTTCAGTCCTTTTCACTCTTCGAGAGCTGCAAATTCAGCAGTAATGTCATGTCAGGCGAGACGCTCTCTGGACCAGCATGAAGGTTATCTGCATCGCGAGGCTCGGTCAAGAGCGGACTCGGGTGCCCATGATCAACTCCCAGTTGGCTGTGTTCCCCGACAATGTGGATGAAGATGGATACTGGCTTACATTTCAATTAATGCCATCATGTAGACAAAACACAAATCTACATTACCATATGTACATGAAAGAAAATACACTGCCATTGAATACTTTGTCCGAAATTGGTGACCTAGTGTGATGATGTACATATATATAGAATGAGGGTGATACACTAACGTACAAGAACATGTTCATCGCTGACAATTCCCAGAAGTCCACTAAAATGCATGCACCCAAACGTAGGAATGTCCCACTAGGATATGGGTGGGTGGGGTTTGAGGGCGTGAGCGTTGCGCGTAGATTTGCGCGAGAAAAGGGCGCCACACTGGTTGCAGAGGTATTTCACCTGCAAGTGCACCTCCTGGACATGCCGAACAACGCTCTCCCGTTTCATGGGGGCTCTTCCGCAGTCACCCCATGCGCAAGATATGACCGAATTCGCCGGTCCGTTCACCCCGTGCATCCACAAATGTTGTGAAAGATCCGATACACTGATATATTCGCCACATGGTATTCCCAAGCCACTGTCCCACAAACAGATGGTGTGGTTAGAAAAGTCGGCGGCTACGGCGGGATCATTGTATGGATCCTATGAAATACCACACCGTGGTCAGTTGTTAGACAAAGAACTAGTATGATGATCGGCTAAGACTGACGGGTAAGATGGCAGACATGTGATCTCGTGGCAAGAGAGAGAATGGACAATGGTTAACGAGAAAATTTTGTTGGTGACTACCGGTGCTTGTGATTGCTTACTTTATAGTCCGAACGGTATCTGGTGGAGGCTAGAGCGTATTTGAACTAGCAATGTAACGAAAAGCCAATCTGGCCACATCTCTTGGTTAAGGGTGATCCACCTGCCAATATCGAAGTAGAAGTCAAAGACCCCGTCAACTGAATTGAATTCATCTTATATCCGATGCCAGATGTTGGCCTGGTGATATTAATTAAAGACGTGAAAAGGTCGCAGAACAACGTACCGTGCTCTCCGATAGGTGCAGCTTATCAAAACTCTAGTTCACATATTTTTCCGAGGGTGTCAACGACAGTTGCAGCTGGTAAGGCTAAGCAAGAAACTTCGATTAAGCGCCATACTAGCAGATTTTAACAAGGATGACTATGTGATACTGTCCCCACGCAGTTTAAGTCGGAGAACCAAGCCTTATGGGTCCTTCTGGATCCAAGTATCGCGGGAGGGCGAACAGCGGAACGAACGGGGCAATGCTACCAGTGCGGCGGTCTCAATTCGCTATACCAAGTTGGATGTTTATGGCATCACATTACAAGAAATTAACCATCTTTCCGTAATGGTCAATGGAGGTTCGTTTGCGTGTGCAAATGGTTACTGGTGACAGGTCCCCGACAAGCACTTGTATACAGCGTGTGTTGTATGGCCAGATCGGTGGGAAGGTGCCCTACTGAGCCTGTATCAGTGGAACGCACAATGACTCGTATTTTTTTGCGCATGTGGAAGGAGAAATTTACGGTATCCTGTGGTGTTTTGAGCTCATTCACGGCGAGTTTTTTCCTGCAAGTGGATGTGGTAATTTGATCGCATGGTAGAACATGCCAGTGGAGCGGTGGGCACGCATCGTATTACATCTGCAGGAAGGGCATCATACCCGTAAATACACCGAAATTATCAGAGGTAAAGTTTGGGACTCACGGTTTGAAGACAATAAGACTTTCGAGCGCTTTGGTCGTGATCCGATGGTGTAGGATGGTCACCGGCTGTCATACGACTTATCAGTTATCGTAATTCATAGAACGGTCAGCTTCGCAATGGCGGCTCCGTCCGATGATCCGGGTCCGTCCACTTCGTTGAGCTCACTCTACAATTCGGAAAATTCCTTGTAGAACATTTAAAAATGCACGGCAAAAATAGGAAACCTCTAGTCGCTGATCCACCAGAGCGTGTCCCAAACAACACTTTGAGTTTGTGACGGTGGTGGGTCAAGGGCTTTGGCAACTCATAGATCCAGACCAATTGTGAAACTTAAATTTGCGGATGTAAAGAGGAGATTTCCTGCCTGGGTCAAAGAATTTTAAGAGGGTCTTTAAGTCGATCAAATAGTTGATGGGATGAAACTTCATTTGAGGGATGCATTCAAGATATCGGCTGTCATACACGTGTATTAATATTCCGGTGGAGTGGAAGGGATGGATACTTACTAATAAGAAGACCTACTTAGTCCCGCCTTTGGCAAAAAAAAAAGGAAGCATCCCATCATATGTGCTTCCCAACCATAGACGCTAGGCAGAAGATCAAGAAGATGTAAGAAAAATTGAGCGTCAAAAAGACCTTACGACGTTGACGTGCCATCATATGCTTCTGTGAACCCAGGTAAGACCGGAGATGGACTGTATGAGAGACAGTGGGAATGAGAACACTAGATGTGCACGCATGTCAGCCATAGTCTATCATGGAGATTATGGAGGGACTTTCACACCATTTTGGTCCTTGCTGTGTTGCCCGAGAAGTCACGCAGACTCGGATAATCGATTAGGAGAGCTTTTTTTCGAGGTCGAATATTTGACGATCTATAAGGATAACGCCCAGATGCTGAACGTGAAACTTAGTCTGACAGCTGCGGCTATCAAGCGGGCATTGGAGGGTGCTGTCTCATGGTAAATCTGTGATGTTAAGCAGCAAGTGTTGCAGGACCCTGTTCAACCATAAAGACGACAAAAAAGTTCAGTTAATCCGCACATTATTTGCGCGTTCTGCGGTTTGCCCCATGCTCCGTCTTCGTCCGTCAAAAGCTCCCGCAATGATTCTTTTGCTAACGATATGCGCGTGGTTGCATCAATCCGCAGGCTGCTAGCCCATTAATATTCCTGAGTTTTCAAAGTAATGCGCACGAGTTTATGTGATGTGGCACAGCAACGCGATTAACACAGATCTCACGGATAATAACACGTTGTGAAAAAGTATCTCACCTCCCAGCCCTATCCCTCTCTATTCCCCTCATATATCTGCTGTTGGCCGGGCTCTAGCGTCTGATGGAGGACGCGGAATTACCACAAGATTGATCTGATGGAATAGCATTCGATTGGCAGTCCAAGTAGTACCCGCATCGGATCCGAGAAAGAATATAGTCGAGTAGCGAAGCCACTAATAAACCTAGTGATTTATCGCGCCCATGTGAGCAGGTGTGTCACAACCCTGTCCAAGGGATCAGATTGTGAAGGTTGGTGAAAACGTTGTTACAAGCTTCAGTTACATAACGTTGGGCCCACAAAACGTAATGCATTATTCTCGGTAGCGATGCAACGTGAAACAGTCTTGACCAAATGGGGTAAGTTTCCATGTTGTGCCCCGGCTCCTTCCTGGACAGTGATCAGCGCCTTATCACCCATTTTTACTTCCAAAGCCCAGAGTCATGGGCCACAAGGACGGCACATCGCTAGCCTTCAGCGAGCTGCGAAAGGAATCGCAAGATATATACAACCGAATTCACTCTATAGCAGAGGACGCTGCTTTCGTAGACCAAGTCTATCGGTCTTACCCCAGACTTCCCCTCATCCGTGAGTAACACCGTGATCATCGATCACCGTCATCGCCTCACGCGTCCATCAGCTAACATGCGATGTGGAGCATGGTACACAGACCCTAACACTGTAAGTCTACTCTCGATACATGTTGCAGCTCACGAATCTCGAGCTCATTCTACCCAGGCATCAAATGAACACGCATATTACAAGTCCACCGATGGACACACTGGAAACTGGAGCTTCAATCTTCGAAGGCCAAATTTACACGTATTACCTTTGATCTGTGCGCACGCTGGGTTCGTGCGCCACTTACATCAACGATATCAAACTGTATAACGTGTGGGCCCTAGACTACTCTTGGTGGATTCTACGAGAGCAGGCAAACGTATGCCAGACGCGCTCTCTAAAACCGTTCCAATCTGGTGTGCTGTCATAAATAGAGCCGTCCTTAAAACTGCTCAGAACATGAACGTGGATGCGGATGCTTGGAATACGAAGTTGTATACCCCACCTGGCGTGGTCAGCGCGCAAGAGCATGATCAAATGGAGCAGAAGTTGGATGGATGGGCGGATGATCTTGCTGTCAGTATTATCCTCTTCTCTGTCTCAAGCATCCTGAAATTGATTGCGATACGTAGGCTTCCTTTTATGTACTTCCCAAAGTGCAATACCCCCTCCGCCCAATCTGGATAACGCCCAGCACCACCATATTCCCAAAATTCCCTGATACCGATGCTGAACGGCGATTCTACCCTATAATCTGCATATCCGCTTCGAAGCAGGTTTTGGACGGCATGGAGAGACGCATCACAGGTTTTGCGTATATCCAGGGATCTGGGGATGACCATGAGCTGTGGAGTATGGTGCGTATCTTACCTTGAGCTCGGCCGTCGATACTGACACGACTTACGTGACAGGGCCTCACCCCCACTCAATTCTGGAAGCATAAACAGACCCTCCTCGATGCAAACCGAAACGAACTACCCACCCTCGTTCAAGCTCTCACATCCTACCCAGAAATACACAATCTGTGCGCACCAACTCGGACGCGTCATTCCATCCCACACCCATTCACCACGTCCACGGTAAACTCTCAATATGCACCACTCACTGATATCCCCTCCTCTCTCGATGACGAGTTTGCGGTGCGATCTATCTAACCAGCAACGATCAGGCACCACCCGCTCTCAAAGACCATCCACGCGTCCTATACATCCAAACGCCTCAAGGCAAAAAAGGCCAGCATCACTTCCTACACTCCTGTCCTCCCACAAGCCATGCCCTTCATCTCTCTCCACCTCCAGAATACGCGCCGCGTCTGCATAGCATGCGAAACACGCACCGACACGAGTATCGGCGTCGCCCTAGCAACTCTCACAAAGTTCTTTGACGATGCAGGGGAATTTTGCGATGAGTACGAGTACGAGTATGAACGGGAGGGTACCCTTTGTACGTCGTACCAACTATCTCCAAACAAATTGTTGATTGACGATGGACATGCATTTAAATAAATAAAGCCAAAGACGACATCAAAACCCGCTTGCACTGGATAATAACGAGTTGTCCACAAGCCAACCCTTCGCGCACCACTCTCAAACGCGTCAACGAATTCCTCCTCTCACCTCCCGAATTCCTCCTCTCGCCCCAAAAATTGCTTTACCCCTCCGGCGCGCCAACCTCACCTCATGAACGCAAAACAACTTCGATTCCAGAAACAGTACTAGTATAAACAACAATTCGAGACTGAGCATGCACACCAGCATGGTACGTCGAAGGCACGAGATAAGACTTCCAGGGGTTATACTCCTCTTGGAATATCAACGCCCGAAAGCGCGTCGGAGTAAGGCCCTGAGGAAGTGATGTATCGTTGGAGGTTTGAGGGGAAGTGGGAGATGGTAGATACGCCTGAGGCTCGGGTGAGGAGCTGGAGATCGGCGCTGTGGGAACGTGAGAGTCCCTAACAAATCCCAAGATTCATTCTAGGGAGATAATTAAAATTGACTGACGAAGACAGCATGTACCACCCCACGGACAGTCTTGACATGCATCCCCGCACTCTCTTGCGGTGTCACCTTGATCTCAAACCGAGAGGGACTCCACTTTGAGCGTGAATTTCCCCGTCTGGTTCGGTTCATAAGCTGATAAATACAACTGTGTGGTCGCCAGCTTCGCGAGATGAGAAAAATCAAAGCCGCATTTCCCTCGAAATAAAAACAAAACAAAACAGAAGGTTAACGTACGAGAGCATGCCATATATACCAGAATGGGCCGCCACCTCTTTTTGACTCGGATCTGATATACGCTTGCTTCGCGACCATACTATTCCCGCGACGCACACTTCTGCCGCATAATGGGGGAGAGTCAGCAGGATCATGGAGGGCAAGAGAACTGGAATCAGTGAGAACCTTGAAAGATTTTGTGCTGGGTGGAATCGGGGAAGACTTTGCATAGGAATTGGCAACTCGATTGACCTGTAATCACGCAGCAGCAGACTGAACAAGATCATAACATTGAAGGAACAATTGCCTTCCCTTATGTACATGATACGATGAGATACGTACAAGGGAAAAGACCGCTGCAAGCCACACCATTCGAAGAAGCCTCGCTTAATTACAGGAGGATTTTGAAAAAATCAAAGAAGATATATATACCCAAAGAAACCCTGCATGGAACATTTATATGCAAAGAATCATGATTAAAGCACCTGCACTGATGATCTATTGGATAGTAAACATGTTCATGAGTATAAATAAGATGACCATTGAAGGTTGTTAAACAAACCACAGCTGAGCCAACAATCATTTGCACTCCCCAATGAAGAGGTCGAACGATCGTTGCGGTTTCACCATTTGGCTCCTTTGGGGGTTTGTTATTCTGCTCCTTTGGGGGTGCACCATCTGGATATTCCGAGTGCAAGTGGGTGTAGGTGTATGATAGGGGCCGGGGGTGGAACCTCACTGGAAGCCTTGTCAACCATTCCAAGACTCGGAAATGCATCAGCAGGATGCTAGTACGTAACATTATCTTCTTTTGTATATCGATAGTAGTGGGTGTGCTACATGAAAGGTCAGTTCATCCCAAAAGTTGGCGGGTAGTATAATATATCTCGCACTTTGTGTTCGCCTTGGTAGCAAAAGGATGAAATTCCATATCGAACTTGAATAAAAATTTGGTAGTGCAGTTTCAAGGTTACAAGCGAGCGCAGATATACAGCGATATGGAAAACGGGAGTCACGGTCAGCTTTGTTATAGGGGTATGGCACTCGGGACATGATGGCTGTGACAAAGACCCCACGCGTCCAGAAAAGGGTGGTGCCGCCGACAAATTGGGCGCTTCTTTTCTTTTTAGGCACCTTCCACACCATGCATGTCCTCTCTACTGACATCGTTGTCACCGGTAGCATGTTGCCTTCTCGTACATCTTAATATTAATCTTCGATCCTTAATGAAGTCCTCGTTGTCGTTATACCTCAACGTTGTTCTTGACGTCAGCTGAGGAGTGTATGGCCCTGCTGCTCGTTACGCGTACTTAGTCTCGCCAACACGCACATTAGACTTTGCTCTAGTAGCCTTCACAGTACTCGCTCCAAAATTCCCTCGATTCGTCGAACTTTGTGAGAGCTGCTCCTAGGGCTTTGCCGACTGTTTCTGTCGTAGTCTCGCATTGACAGTGGACCCTCGTCGCTGTTACCTCATGTTACAGACATCACGCAACCCGACTCTGTAAGCATAACAAGTTGATGTATCACAAGGAGCTATGGATGCTTGCAATTATTGCATTACAATTTCAATACATTCCTAGTAGGTGATACATCAATACCGCAGCTACAGGCGAACTCGGAGGCGAAGAACTCTGCTTTACTGACCCTTCATGTTTTCGCAGAGTGGAACAGCCCTGTCATCATCGGAAGGGATCTTCGGAGCTCGTGCATTCAATATGGCATCATATCTCAACAACTCGTTGCTAAACATATCATGATTGAAGGGTGTACAAGCGATGCACGGTCTGCGTGCATTTCATGGTAAACGTCACCAAGAAGATGAACCGATCGCTAGTAAATAAATAAAAGCTAAAGACGACATCAAAATCTACCTGCGCTGGATCGTCCACAAGCCAACCCACTTTCAAATGAATTTCTCCTCACCCCCAACCCACCTCACGAACGTAAAACAACCTCAATCCCCGAAACACTACTATAAACTACAATCCGAAACGGAGCATGCACACCAGCATGGTACGTCGAAGGCACGAGATAATACTTCCCAGGGGTTATACTTCTCTTGGGAATATCAACGCCTGAAAGCGCGTCGGAGTAAGGCCCCGAAGAAGCTATGCATCGTTGGAGGTTTGAGGGAAAGAGGGAGAGGTTGGTGGATACGCCTGGGGCGCGTGTGAGGAGTTGGAGACGGGCGCTGTTGAAATGCGAGTGGGGCATTGGTACTTTTGATATTTGGGAGGAGTGGGAGACGTACCCGAATTCAGAATCGCATGAGATGGTTACTTCGTACATTGGATTGCGGTGATATTGATTTTGACTGGGTCCGCCTACAGCAGTCGTCGAGTCCCTAGCAAATCCCAAGATTCGTTTCAAGGAAAATTAAAATTGACTGATGAAGACTGGACGTACCATTCCCCACGGACGGTCTTGACATACATCCCGGCACCCTCCTGCGGTATCGTCTTTATCTCAAACCGAGAAGGACTCTCCACCTTGAGCGTGAATTTTCCCGTCTGGTCCGGTTCGTAAGCTGATAATATGACTGTGTAGTCGCCAGCTTCAGACGCAAAAAAATAAGCCGCCTTTCCCTCGGGGGTGAAACAGAAAGTCGACATACGAGCCAGATGAGCAGTAATCCGCGCATGCCCATACGTATAAGGCCCAGAATGAGCCACCACCTCTTTTTGACTTAGTTCTGATATACGCTCGCCTTGCGACCACACTGCTGTGACGTTTAGCGAGATATCCCTAGTGCTCTGTGCGGTGAGTATGACTGGTGTTTTGTTGCGCTTATCGCTTGTGCTTGTGCTCGGCCGTTTGTCGATACTAGTGCTCGTGGTATTATGCACTCGTAGGTGATACTGCGGATTCACCATATACGTCGGATGCGTGCAATTCCCACCAGCCGTTTTATGACTCAACACGCCTTCGATCTGGCATCATCAGCGGTGAAGGAAGAAAAGAACAAATTTGATGGGTACCTTCTGCATATACCTCGCAGGGGGAACCCTCGTATCCCAAGACACCGCCACATCCGACGAACAAGCAAACGCAGTGACCGTGAACCTGACTTGGTCAAATTGACCATCGTAGCAGGCTAATAAGGAGAGCGAGCCTGAGGTGTGGGTTTGGAATTGGGAGGTTTTGATGCGCGAGAGTAAGTGTGTGCTGTTTGTGTAGTTGCTCTGTTCGTTGGGTTTGTCAGTATTGCGGATGGGAGGAGAGAGGGGGGGCCGCCGCAGTTAGGGAACGAAAGGAAGAAACGCACCTTGAGCGCAACATGTTCTGGATCGCCTAAAACCATGTCATCCTCTTGAACGTTAAGCGCGATGTATTCGTTTGTGTGGCGGGTGTCGCGCAGGTGGCGTGTTAAGAGGATCCATATTTCTGCTTCCTTTCCGTTTGTGTTGTTGTTGTCGGTTTCAGTTGTGTTTGTATTGGGTCCCGATGGGTCTTTTTGATGCGCAGGGTCATTGGTTTTTTGATAGTTTAGTCGGAGGTGGTGAGTAGCAGCTATATGCAACGCGCGTTAACGCTGTACCACGTGAGTTGCGAGCAGACGTACCTCGTGGTAGATCTTCCGCGTTTTCAAGCTGCCATGATCTGTGGATTTGTTGGGGTATGGCACGCACGTAGGATGTGAAGACGCACCCATGAAACGTGATACTACTCCCGAACAAACTTGGATTCCAACTGATATACAACCCCTCGAACGTTGCGCATATATCTTCCCAGCGTATATCGAGTACCCCTATTTCATCCGTTACAACTACGGGTAGAAGGGTAGGGCGGACTTACTAGGACAGCTCCCACTACCACCACACTCGCACTCCGAATCACATATCCTCGAATCAAGAAGTGTGACCCAGCGCTCATCGTTCATTTCTTTTATATCTGCACAAGTCGATCTTGGACTCTAATTATGGGAGGGGGGGTACCCACCCGTGACAGCATAATCATGAGAAGGAAGAAGCTTGACGTTGTGTATATTATAATGAAGCGCTGTTTTATCGTTTGTTCCGACTGTCATCATACAGTCCCCTATGGCAAGTGTGAGTATTATGGTGAAGTGGATGGGAGGGGTGTACCTCGGGAGAATCCAGTGATGATGCGAGACCATGTGCGTTCGCGTTCAAAGGATGCGCTTTTGGTGGTCAGTTAGGATTGGATTGGAGGTGGATGGGAGTACCTTTGGAGATCGATATATTCTGGGATCCAGCCTGTGAGGACGCTATGGGGCGTGAGTTGCGTATGGTAGTTTGTGGGGGGACTTACTGGAGGTCTATGGCAGAGTTTCTTTGGGGAGTCCGAGTCAGTACTGTACGGAGCGGGAAGTGACTTACGAGCCGAGAAAATCGTATCCGCCCATGAGTTTCATGTACTGTTGCACGTGAGCAAGTTATGATGGAGAGGAAGGAAAAGGCACGAACTGCTTTTTCGACGAATGAAGGCCAGAGCTGATTCTTGGCGCCGGTTGATATTCCAACGAGTTTGTTGTTTGAGTCGAAAGGGAGACGGTCGTCGATGACTGTTTGAAGTTAGCGCATGCTGTGATACGGTGTTAGTACGAACCTATCTATAGCAGACTTTAGAGGATGTATAGGTGAGTGGAGAAAGACTCACGCGGCGGAAATCACCATTGACGAGGACCTTTAATTCGTATCTTCCGTCATTGGAAGAAGACAAGGAAGAGAGGAGTAACTGGGGAAAGTTAGCGAGTGAGAGGTGAGATGGTGAGACATACGTTTGATTTGAAGCGGAGGTTGTGTTGGATGCATACTGCAATGGAAGCGCATACTGAGCAGTCGTTTACGATGTTCTGGATGATGTCGGATGGGAGGAGTGAGAGGGATGATGATGCGCAGTTTGGGCGCTTCCAGGTAGATGAAGGGGATACGGAACCGAGGGATGGTTGACCATCTGGATCATTGAATGGACCTGTGTAAGAAACGGATGGGGATGATGTTACCAGAGGGATGTGATTATCGTTTATGATGGAAGACTTTTTGAGAATTGAAAGTTCTAATTGAAGATTAGATTAGTGGCGGTTAAAGGTTTGATTACTTGCGATGTGAAAAGTGGTCAATTGATAAGGGATTAAGATTTTTGTGCTGTTTTATCTTTTCAGCACGATCTACCGCCTTGGCAGCGTTGTTCCGGTACTTTGGATCGGCAGTACGGCTAATGTGTAGAAATGCATCTGCTGCTTGCAGATAAAGCTTGAAAGCGTTGTTCCAGTCACTTTCTAGTTCAAACCTTGATGCTCTAGTATAAATGCTCTTGGAAAGTCAGTCCATCAGTTGAAACCTAGCTTGTAGCAGATCTCTCTTACCTCTGCTTCGGCGATGGACATGTCGATTGCCAAGACAAGTTGATCATCCAATTCATAATCGGTGTGTGTACAAACAAACAATAACAATCTTATATTGAGGGGCATCACCAGACAGTACACCGCCAACTGCCGAAAACCTCTCACACAGGTCTAAAAGTGGTACGGGGATCACGTGCACCCAGAGCTCGCCGCTCACTGCAGCACCACTGCCAGAGTACACATCGAGCGGGGCTCTGGATCACCGATTACTACTTAGGGCACACGCCATCCCAGAACTGTTCCACGGACTCAAGTTCCCGGGCTCCACAAATCTCGGACTTTCTGGTTGTGTTTCCAAGTTCAATGTTGAATTCTAGATTGATTATTCGCTGAGTCTGGGGCTTGGCCACTAGATTCATCCTAAACCATCCGTCGTGAAGTTCTGTCATCCAGGCGCGACCAATCTACCAAACCCATAAAACGGACTTTCTGGCTGTGTTTTCAAGTTCAATGTTGAATTCTAGATTGATTATTCGCTGAGTCTGGGGCTTGGCCACTAGATTCATCCTAAACCATCCGTCGTAAAGTTCTGCCATCCAGGCGCGACCAATCTACCAAACCCATAAAACTTGCAAGTTTTACCCACAACAATATTTTCAGGATATAAAAGCAAGCTCTGTCTACCTCTGAAAGAGCAGTTCAGAGTCACCTTTGAAAAGCTCGTATCACTTTGCATACATCATGCATTTCTCTTTCCTCCTCATCGTTACTGCTTTGGCAGCATGCATGTCTGTCACTGCATGCAGTCACCAATACACGTCCTGCGCTCGTGACAGTGACTGCTGCAAAGGCTTCAAGTGTAATTTGAAGGCGGTGAGTTGCTTTGCATCCAGGATTCAACCCCGTTGCTCACCCCTTGCACCTTGTAATGTCAATAGCCGAGCGGCCATGGCAAATTCTGCGATACTTAGACTGCTTACCGATGGGCTTGCAGCCTGTCCATGAGCACATCTGGGCAGTGAGTCGTGCTTCTGCTTTCACATTGGTGCTGTGACTAATTGCATAATACGTAGTTCGTTTCTGTGCAGTGTATGCAAAGTTTGATAAACATGTACTGTCTAACATAGGGCTTCGCCCCAACGGTCAATAAACAAGGATTCCAAAAAAAAAAAAAAAAGTTTGATGAGATTTTGATAAGATTTTATTAAGTTGTAACCAACGCATTGATTATCGTAAGTAGGCGTCGGGGACTGGCGCGGCCGAGTATCATTACGATTTCATTATATAGGATATAGGATTCATCCGTCTGTAGTCTTTGCCAGACTTATGGAAGATGCATTGGCAATTAGCTAGTCACTCCTACACGATAAAGAGCTGTCTACTTGAAGTATTTTCCTCGCAGGCACACCAGTGACCAGCTAATGCCAAATGCGACCGAAGTTCGGTTTCTCGCGGTGTTCTCGCCGCCATAGAATAGCCACACAGTGCCCAGCTTCCTGCCTTTCACATGTCTGCATGGCGTAAACCCTTCGAATAGCGCCGTAATTGGCTGAGTATCCATGGAATGAATCATACTCCTCCACCTTCATTCCTCGCTACCTATTCGATCTTGTAGCACCTTGCTGTTATCTTTGGTGAGTTATCTGGAAAGGTGACATCTCTATCTATAACCAGGACTTCGCAAGCCATGAAAGAGTCTTACCTATGCAATCCTATCACTCGTGTTGTGTTTTATGTTTGAATTCTAGATTGATTATCCGCTGAGTCTGGAGCTTCACTAGGTTCATCCTAAACCATCCGTCGGAAAGTTCTGCCAGGCGCAACCAATCTGCCCAATCAATAGAACCTGCAAGTTTATCCCGAACAATATAAAAGCAAGCCCTATCTACCTCTCAGAGAGTAGTTCAGAGTCCCTTGCGAAGCTTGTATCACCTCGTATAAATCATGCGTTTGCCCTTCGTCCTCATCGTCACTGCTTTGATAGCATGTATGTCTGTCACTGCATGCCACCACGGAGGCAAGAAATGCGACAAGGACAGTGAATGCTGCAAGAACTTTAGCTGTCGTCCGGACGGTGATAAGAAAGTGAGTATGAGTAGTTTGCTTTGCATACATGATTCAATCCCATTGCTCACCTTGCACCTTGTAATGTAAATAGGATCACAAAACCTGCCAGGGGTAGACTGCTTACCGATGGGCTGGTAGCCTGTCCATGAGCACATCTGGACTGTGAGTCGTGCTTCTGCTTTCGCATTGGTGTTGTGTCTGATGATACAATAGAAATAGTTCGTTGCTGACTCGGTCAATGTGGTTGTTCCTGCGGTCTGGACGATTTCCCCTGTTTCATGAGCAATATAGGCGCCTATGAATTGATTTGAATACTCGATTTTGACTATGTAACTTGGAGAGATGTGAGGAGCGATCATTCAGGGCTTGATCAATCGTTCATTTCCGAAGTCTGCATTATATGCATAGTGGCTGAGGCGTGAATTGACCACTGCAAATGGGCCACTACCACACATTATCATTGACGCAGTTGACGCGTGTGTTGTTCATCATTCGACACTAAATGCTTCTTATAGAGTAGTTGCGCGGGCTTAACACTTGAACACCGCAAGAGATCGACATGCATGTGTCATTATCTGTCATACGAGCTTGATCATCCGTCATTTACTTGGGAAAAACTATGACTGCCCTGCACGTCCTTCATGGCCGATCACTGAAATATGATCGCCATAGATCCGAGCCTGTACAATCAAATATCGGGCTCCCTGTGGGGCTTGTTTATTCCCATGTGCGATTTCTCTTTCAGCTTGTGGATGATGTCATGTATCCAATAGTTATTAATCACGGACCGCGGACCAGGATGTATCTGGCAGTGCGATCACATCAAATGCACGATGCAATGGATATGGTTGAAGATAGATAGTTGGAGGGGGCGGTCTGGAGAATTGGCAAGCAAGTTGAGCATGGGTAGGAGGAAGGTCTGGAAAGTGCGTTGAGGGTGTATTGGGACAAGCACTGTCACTGAGCATTGGCGGAGAGACGTGCTGGATGGTGTGCCTGTGTTTATGGATAGGATGCGAACGTTGAGGAAGATGACGTTCCCGATTAAAAAAAATAGTACGATAATGAGGAGACAACACAAAGCGCGGTTGCGTGCCCTGTTACACTGGCATTTGCGCTTGTGAACGTGAAGAGGTGGCCAATCGGCGAGCTCTTCTGGCATACGCATGCGAAAGTAGAAACACGACTCAGTGGACGCTCGAATGGCGCTCGACTACGTACTTCACGTTCCAAGTGCATCGACTGGGATGAGCTGCCCATCCATCTGAACCAGTCGATGGACTTGGGCAAATATACTTTCTAGCATTCTTCAAGTTGGACAAATTAGATTGGCGGTATACGGAGTCCTACTGCCCGTTATGGATGTGTGACGCAGCTGACGCTTAATTTGATGAGCGCGTGCGTCCGGCTCAAGTTTCCACACGGAATTCAATATTTAACAGCCGATCTCATCTAGCTATAGCGATGTGCTTCAGAATAGCATCGGAGAAAATGAAACATGTTCCTTCACCTTCATTCCGTCGCTACTCGTTCAGTTTTGTGGCACCTTCGAGTTGCTATCTGGAAAGGTATTCATCGAACCAAGACTTCGCAGATTGACCACGAAAGAGCCTTGCCTACGCAATTCCCGTCACTCATATTGTGATTTTTTTAGGTTCAACAATGATATGTTTGATTTCTAGATTGATCATCCGCCGATTCTGTGGCGCGCCACTAGATTCATCCATCATGAAGTTCTGCCATCCAGGCGCAACCAATCTGCCAAATAAATAGAACTTGAAAGCAATACTTTCAAGATATAAAAGCAAGCCCTGTCTACCTCTGAGAGAGCAGCTCAGAGTCACCTTTGAAAAGCTCGTATCACTTATAAATCATGCATTTCTCCTTCCTCGTCGTCGTCGTCACTACTTTGGCAGCATGTATGTCTGTCGAGGTTGCTGCATGCCAGAACCGATTCCAGAAATGCAAATTGGACACTGATTGCTGCGGTCAGCTTCACTGTCAATTGGAGCAAGTGAGTATGAATAGCATACATGATTCAACCACGTTGCTCACTTTGCACCTTGCAATGTAATAGGGTGGCAAAATCTGCCAAATTCACGAGCCTGGCAGTGAGTAGACTGCTTACCCGGGTTGATGGGCTGTCCATGAGCACATCTGGACAGTGAGTCGTGTTTCTACTTTCGCATTGGTACCTTTGCTGATGGTGCAATATGTAGCTCGTTGCTGACTCGGTCAACGTGGACCTGGTTGTTCCTGGAGTCTGTACAATTTTCCGTGTTTCATGAACAACAGAGGTGCCTGTGAATTAATTTGAATACTCAAGTACTCAATATTGACTAACTTGAAGAGACGTGAGGAGCGATGTCAATGTCCAGATTTGTGCTGCGTCATTCAGAGCTCGAGTGTTCATTGCCGAAGGCTGCATAACGGCTGGGGCGGGAATTAATATTGACCACTGCTAATAGGCGCGTCAAAGGACATTTTCGGTGTCCATTCAACATCGTTGCCAGGACTCACCGCTATCATTGACGCAGCTGGTACCATCGTGTGTTGTTCATCACTCGACACTAAATACTTTTTATATCTAGCCCGTTGATTCACGTATTTTTAAGCGCCTCAGGATTTGCCGAAGAATTCAGAGTTGATGCACAGACCCCACTTATGTCGACTCGCCAAGTCGATTCTCGGCTCAACAGTAAGGTAAGACCCGCTGGTGCATGCGTGATTCAAGTAGTTTTCTAGTTCGAATTTTGATGCTCTAGCATAAATGTTCTTTGATAAGTTGGTTGATGAGATGAAGCTACATAGCCAATTGTAGCAGACGTTGATCATCCTAATTTAGCAAGTCATGTACAAATAAAGAACAATAGTGTTATTGTCATTGACGACTTTATTGTGCTAGGAATATTTGAGTGCTACGATGAACTCTAGTGTTAACGTTCTTCACGCTACCGACGATGGCTTCAAAGTTCCGTGAAGACTTTGATATTGAAAAATCAACGCCGGCTCGAGATCGATTCACGAAATTATTGTTCGACTTGCGTATGCCAGAAGAGCTCGCTGAATGGCCACCTCTTCACGTTCACAAGCGCAAATGTAACAGGGCACGCAACCGCACTTTGTGTTGTCTCCTCATTATCGTGCTACTGTTTTTAATCGGGAATGTCATCTTCCTCAACGTTCGCATCCTATCCATAAACACAGCCACACCTTCCAGCACGTCCGATCTCTCCGCCAATGCTCAACAGTGCTTGTCCCAATACACCCTCAACGCACCTTCCAGCCCTTCCTCCTACCCATGCTCAACTTGCTTGCCAATCCTCCAGACCGCCCCCTCCAACTATCTATCTTCAAATACACAGAACGCACAACAAATCCTCAACGCTATCCAGTTCTGTGGTCTACGCGCCATATTCGACACTACTAACTCACAAGGTCAAGCATCCCTCGGTTGGGTGAACGACGTCAGATTCTGTGCTTGGAACGGCGTTACATGCGATGGTTCCGGTAGAGTCGCAAATCTGTCAGTTCATTCCATGAAAATCGCCTACTGCCACTCATCTACATACAGACAATTGACGTTCCCTGGAGTACCAGCAACATTACCAAATGAGCTCGGTGCGCTCACCGGCCTCGAGTCTTTCCAAGTCATCGGTGGTAACAGCATACCAGGTATGTCCCTGCATCCTATCATTAACGAAATCTCACATTCGTAGCTGGGGCGCTCCCTTCCTCATTCGCCAACCTCACTATCCTCTCCAATCTCCATATCGAAGCAACTTCCATAACACAACTCCCAGATAATATCTTCTCCTCCCTCACAGCAATCACAACACTCACCCTCATCCGCAACCCCACAATGGGTTCTTCCCTCCCCTCCTCCCTCACCCAACTCCCACTCCAGAACCTGTAAGTCCCCTCCGTTCCTGACTAATCATATCTAACCATCCTCCAGGGTAATCAACTCCCAATCCCTCACCAACCCCCTCCCAAGTCTCTCATCCAGCCCCGCCCTCCAAGCGTCCCTCAAACTCCTCGACTTATCATCCACCTCCCTCACAGGCCCCATTCCAAACACCATCTCATCCATCTCATCACTCACACAACTCTTACTGTCAAACAACAACCTCCAACCGCCCTTCCCGACAACCTTTCCACCGTCATTACAGATCCTCAACCTCCAGAATAATACGGCCCTCACTGGGACAGTTCCAAACTCGCTTTGCAATAGCACGCTTCTTACGAGTTGTGAGTTGGGGAGTACAGGGTTGAGTGGAGGCTGTGGCTTGTGTCAGCTCTCTTGATCGTCGCACCGTTTTCTTGCTTGCTTTGTTTAGTTTTGAACCTTGCTTTTACGTCCCACTCATGATATCACTTCCACCACTCGTTAAAGATGGATGGATGGACATTTCACTCGCATACCTACATTTCTGACTTCTGTATCTTTACTGCATACTTAGAATAATTCCACTTCATGATTCGTATCTGAGATAGTATTACACCGCGGGCGGAGTCTTCCAGCAACTACTTGGGCAGACACTTAAAGGTGTATAAGTTTGTCCAGACCCATGCTTCCCTAAGACCCACTTCGCAACACCAAACGGCTAAACGAGCACTACGACGAATTCCGAGATAAAAAAAATAATCTCCTGTTCCCTGCAAAACACCAGATAACCATCAACTCCCATGCTACACACCAATATATGCACGCGCTCCTGGAAAGCGATCGAGGTCATACCAGTTGCTACGTCCGAGTCGGCCATGAGCTTAGTGTAATACTCTCGAACGCCAAGGATCAGACGTGGTCGTAGTACGTACATCCGCACGACCGAGAAAATCTGAAGAAACCCAAGGCAAATCTTGGTTACCGGGAAATGTTGGTCCTATAGAAATGATAAATGATGAACTGACGTTAGTGAGAGGTCGGCATACGTACCGCTGAGTTCGTCGGAGAGAAATAAGCGATGGACTGGAAGCAAGAGACGATAAAAAAGCTAGCAACATAACATGATCCAATCCCTCAGCGAACAAAGGGATCATATTCACAATATGAGGTCACCCCGTAAAGTAAAGCATGTGAGTTTTCATCAACACTGTGAAAAAGTTGAATGATGTCGCAGTTCACGGAAGTGCTTTATAGCGATCTGCAGTGCGAGACACAGCACAAGGATCTCCCACACAGTGGCGGGCATCCAAGTAATAGAAGCCAGAAGTATGGCATCTTCCGCATAGCCAACCGAGCACTAATAGGTGCCGGAGAGAATGAACACCTCTGGTATTCATCTATGAGCCCCGCACACGATTTTTCGTCCACATTTGAGCGTAACTTACCCCCTGAAGTATTAATTGCCGATCACTGTGTCGAAGATGTTGACAGCCAGGAAGATGAAGACGAGAAATATCAAGATCTTTCTGGATTGATGCATGGCATGCAACCTAGTGATCATGACGACTTATGAGATGTTTCAGTAAGTCACTGAGATCCTGTAACCGAAAATACCGCACAGCATTGGAAATATCAAGATACTCGTCCAATTCAGTACGACATACAGGATCCAGCCTGACAAATTCAGTTAGTAATGGTTCGGGTGCACTCCAGACAAACTCACATCTGTGGCAGTTGTTATAGTGAACGAGGAGATTGTTCAGAAATCACACTCACCCCTACATGGCACCGCGGTTGGTTGGTGAGGTATTCGGCATAGGTGCAGAAAACTCACTTCATCTGTCACTAGGATCATCGGAACACCACCTGTATACCAGTCAGAAGCAAAGACAGTGAATGAGAGAAAACTTACTCAGTATATTCGTGCTGATTGTAAGATATGGTCCATTAGCACAACGACAATACTGAGCCTTCCAAACATACACAGCATATAATATCCCAACATAGCGCACCTAGGATATTTGCAAAAGTAAGCACGGGTTTAATTGCTAACCACGCCCATGATGTAAGCTACACACATTCAAATACAGCACGGTCATAAGGGACCAACGTTGCCTCTGCCGCAAATCAATGTTATTCTTCTGATGTGGAACTCTGCTCACCCAGACCAGTTCAATCTATAAAACCATTCTTAGCGAGATGACTTCTTCAGTCACCATCGATATACCTCTTGTCCGAATGTAAGCGCTGTAAATACATGTAGGATATCAGAAGTTCTTGAATAGCGCCACACTCACCTCAATCATACACCACTCCAACAGAGGCGGCAACTATGAAACGCAGTCAAAATTAGACCAAGGCATTGGCAGCGTCATCTCCACGAACCTACAAAATAGCAGAAATTTTGATATGAATTAATGGCTGGCCACCATGTAGGATCATCTGAGACTGTGGTCATGCTGTTAGAGAATGGGTGAGGCGACATATGACCATAGCATTCGCACTATATATTTGAACTCAATCCAGGCACTCGACATGGACTCGGATGTTGGTCGTGAAGCAGTGCAAGGGTTGAATACTTTGAACACCGCAAGAGATCGAAGAACTTTGACAAGTATGCGTACTGTACCTTTTGCGTCACGGCGTACATCGAACTTTTCGCATCATAAGATGCAAAAAACGGCGAACGCAGTCTGTGCGGAATCTTCAGTTTGCAACGTGCGACGGTGACAGGCATCAGTTTGCACAGCCAGAGACAAGAGTCTTAGTTGATGCACGGTGGTGACAGGCCCATCAGTTTGCATTCGGAAACATCCTGGTTGATAATTCGTGATTGATATCTGGTGAAGATACAACGTCATCTCTAGATCAAGACAGCACGCAGAGGATATGGAAACAGTAGAATCAGGAGCGCTGTAGGACCACATGAAACCTGACTTCAAATTGTACAGGCTGACTTCATAAAACCTGATCGACGGAATTCAGCAGCGTCTGTATCCCAGGGCTCTCGATTGTATAGCTCGCCCCGGCCACACAGCTGCCAAAGCACAGATGAAAATGCCACAAAGTCACTAATAGTCGACTCACCTCCGGGCTGCAAATGCACACCACTCAACGTTCAATGTTTAATCTCATATGCATATGCTGTTTCCCGCCCAAATCCTCGCTCCAGGAACCGGTCGTCTCGAGTACAGTTGCGTATCCCACTTCGGAGTCCCATCCTAACAACATTCATCAATTACACGATGGATTTAGCATAGCGCGTGTTTTCATAAAAGTGCCACTGAGTGATAACCATCATATGATTGCCCTTGTGTCTGTGATCCTACAGCCCAATGACCGAGGTGGCACTGGATGCTAGAAGATAGCGGTAGATGGAAACGGAATTAATGATGTGGAAGCAAGAGGGACGTTGCACACAGCATTCGCATACCGCGACGTACTTTTCTGTCATGCCTATGGCACTGCATAAAAGTTGAATATACTAGTAATGATATTAGAGTCAACGATATCCGACGTGACGGTCACGTGGTACTTATGCGGAGTCTTCAAGCAGTTGGGACAACAAACCAAATGGGGCTGCACCCAAGCTGCACCTCTTGTTTCAGCACCACTATCGACGTTGCGTCTCTTTTCCTTTCTTTCCCCTCTGAAGAATTCAATTTCACTCTACTCAATAACCAACATCACTCAGCCTCGAGTACTTCAACACTGGTGCCTCGCCTTTGAACCTTGCTCAACGCGCGACCGAATTTTTATTCTGAATCGCCTCGATTGCGCTCGTCGCTATGTTGATGGTGCTTGGCATTGAATGAGCCGCACAACCGGATGCCGTTACGTGGTACCTGCCAGACATGAAAATGGTGAGATGCTTAGTAGATGAGTTTGCCCTTTTGTTCATGTTCGCGCAGGTGCTCTTAATATATGTTCACGCGGATGAGTGGATGCTTTTCGTGCAAAGGCATACGGTAATCCTCATTAGCACGAATGTCAAGCTGCACTCGTATGTTTGTCATGATCAGTGCTCTTCACCCTCACCCTCCCTCTTCATCGCCTTCCTGGGCCTTGACGACTTGCGAACCTGGATCCTGTCGCTAGCCACTGGTGCCGTGCGACTCGAGAACGGGAATGAAATTTGAACTATACAACTTTTACTCTTATAACCCAGGAGCGTAGCGTGTCTGGTTCCTAAGAGCTGAGTTTGGGTTTGGGTTCGGGTATTGAGGTTCACTGTAGCTCCGATCGACGCGTCATAATATCTGCAGTTGACTGGGTCCAAAGATGTGCTCGTGCTCGTGCAGATAGCCGTCATGCAACCTCGAGTCCCCGCCTCCCTGGATGAGACGAGACTGATGCGTCTGAGCAGTCCGTCTCGTGAGAGTAGAGTGCTAGTTTAGGTGTGGTATGGGTATCCGTTGTCTTATCCAAGGTCTGTCATTAGACTCTTTCTCGATGATATCAGGAATTACATATACATCTCTTAGGGTAGATTTAGGGTTGTTGCCCCATCTCAATTTTCAACCTCCTTCACGTGCCCCGTGCCCGCCTCCACCCATCACTTTTGTCTGTGTACATCCCACAGAAGTTGACTGAATGTCTAGTTCTGCGTGGCAGAACCAAACCGATTTTTTCTCGGCATCAACTTTTGTTTTATTCCGTGCATTGCATTGTCCTCGTCATCTTTATGCTCTTGTAGATTCTACTCCGTCGGGAGCGAGATGTGCATATACACTACCATGTGGGAGTTGTGAGGAGTTGACTTGTTGCATCTGGGCCCTTGCGAGGAACGTTAGCCGCGGTCGTGGTCATGAATTCATGATCGTCAGGTAAAAACGCGATATCATATCCGAGTCGTATGAACCTGCTATGAATGCACGACGCAGTTAAAATCGTGGTGTTAGCGCAGTTTCTTGGAGCACGTGAGTGGCCAGCAGCGCTTTCCGTTTCTGCCTCCCTTGTTCATGACTGGGAGCATTATCAGCATAGGGTGACACCTACGCACCATTGTCTATTGTCAATTGATTTCCGGTTTCTCAAAGATGGATGGATGACTCGCTGCAGTACTGGTGTGTGCTTTCCTCTAACTTAGGTGACCGTATTCATATATTTCTGAGCGTGTTGCTATCAAGCTATGGTACTGTTAGCTTTATGCGTTGGGTGACCAGCATAACCATAACTGGTACGTGCTCGTATTGATGATGGAACATGGATGCTCGTCCACGGGTGGTTCATATAGACGGGCCTGCACTGATCTTCATGTGGATGGGAGCGATGGTTGATTAATCTCCTATGCTCGTCCTCATGTGGATGTGTGCAATGATACCCGATCCTGCATGTTCACGTGGATGCCCGTCATATCCCTGCCAAGTACCATTCCACTTCGAGAAAAGACTTCTACCAGCCGGAACGCACTACTGAGATCGAGTGCGTGAACCTCAGCATCGGGGAGAGATCTCTGCTCATAGTTCGCCAAAAGCTATATATACTTACTTACATAAATAAGTACCACGACAAGACCTGGAATAAATAAAAACAAATTCTCCTGCTCCCTGCACATTGCCCGCTCATTGCAAATCAATCATGTCGAGCATCTCCTGTACTACACACTACTGCTGGTTGACACGTGGACGCGCTCCTCAAAAGCAATCGAAGTCATAGCGGTTGCTGTATCAGAGTTCGCCACGAGCTCAGCGTGATATTCTCGAACACCGAGGATCAGGCGTGGTCCCAGCACAAACAACTGCACAAGCTCAAATATCTGACCAAGACCAGAATAAATCTGAGTGTCCAGGGAATTCATGTCCTATAGAAATCATGAATCTTGGTTGTATGTAGAGGTCGGTCACAGATCGACATACCGCTGAGAGCGTTGGAGAGAACAAAGCGATCTGGAAGCAAGAGATGATCAAATAACTAGCACGTGCAAAACTTCAGCAGAACAAGAGAAGCACATTCACATTATGAGCTCACCTTGCAAAGTAACTCACGTGAGTTTTAATTAACACCGCGAAACAGTCTCCGATAATACCACCTGATGAGTGTAGTCGCAGTTCACGGAAGTGCTTTACAGCAATCCAAATCGCGAGGCACAGTGCAAGGACCTCCCATACAATGCCAAGTATCCCAGTCATGGGAACCAAAAATGTGAAATCTCCCGCGTAGCCAATTATGCAATGATGGGTGCCAGAGAGAACAAATTCCTCTGGTATTTATCAATTTATCAATGAGCCTGAGGCACTTGAGTTTCTCATACATAATCAAAGCTTACCCCCTGTGATCTGCATCGTCAATATTGCGCCCATCACTGCATTGGCGATGCTGATGGCCAGAAAGGTGACAATGAGAAATATCAGCACCTGTCTGGATTGCTGATACATGGCATGTAACCGAGCGATCATGATGACTTGCATGTTGTTTCAGTCAAGTCAATATCACGGAGTCGGCGTATAGCTCACCGCCCAGTGCTACCTCTACAACGTCACCCGTCCAATCATATACGTCGTATATGACAAGGCCTGACAAATCCAGCAACAATAGTTATCAGCTTCGGAAGATCACAGGTTCGAAACAAACTCACAACTGTGGGAGTCGTTATGCTGGATCAACGAGTTGTTTGAGAATCTCACTCACCCCTGCATGGCAGTTCAGTTGTTTGGACGAGAATGGAAGGCATCAGTGTAGAATACTCACTGTATCTGTCATCGAAATTGTTGGAACACTGACTGTATGCCGCCCATCATAAGAAAGAAACAGAATCTATGCGAGGATACATACTCAGTGTGTACATCCTGATTGTGAGAGATGGGTAATGAGCGCAACATCAATGGCTTCAACTTCCAGACGTACACAGCATATCCTATTCCAGCATAGCGCACCTAGGATATTTTGAAGTCAGCAAAATATGCACTCGCTAAGTGTGGATGCTGACAGACAAGGTACATACACTGAGATAGAGAAAGGTCATCAAGGACCAGCGTTGCCTCTGCCGCGAACAAGTTGTATTTTTACGTCGTTCGTTGATGTAGGAGTCCACTCACCCAGATCAATTCAACCTATAACACAATTCTGAGTGAGTTGGCTGTCCCAGTAATGGATCGACGTACTTCTTGTCCAAACGTAAGCGCTGAGAATGCCATCAGGATATCAGTGGTCATTTCATACTTAGTCTTGCTCACCCCAATCGTACATTATCCCGGCAGAGGCAGCGACTGTAAAACCGCAGCCGAGGTTAATCGAGTCATCAACGTCGTCATGTGGCTGACTCTCCACGAACCTACAAAATAGCTGGCAATAATGCTCGTATTGATGATTGGCCACCAAATGGGATCATTCGAGACTACAGTCATACTGTTAGAGGATGGGAGTGAGCGAGCGGGGGAACTTGGCGGACGTATAACGATCGCATTCGTGCTTGATATACCACGATCCAGCACTTACATTGCCGAAGTGGTATGTGAGCGATGATATCGGATTGATCGAATCAAGTGTTTCAGCCTGAATTCCAGTAGAAAAACAATGTGCATCCAGGGATACCCATGTGATCAAGGTAAAAATTGTCGTTGAGATGGCAAAGCAGTGACTCGCAAAGAATGTTTGAACACCGCAGATGATTTCTGGCCGCCATGCGATCTCCGAAGTATTCTTGCTACAATGTCTAGTGTGGGATGCAACGTTCGGTCTCGACATATTAATAACACCATGTGGTTCATTGACCCATCACAGGTTTGAACGGCATTCAAGTCGACCTCGTGACAGACGTTGCCTATTATTATTGATTAAGTACAACACGAGCAGAATCCACAACCATCTGATTCATGTACACGCTGATTAGTATAAATGAGACTAGAAGGACATACATGCGTTGTATTCAATTCCCTGTCATAAAACATGATCAATGTGTGTAGCGACGAGGGCAGTCGTGCAAAGAAAGTGGGAAATCGTACAAAGAAGGGTGGAAAGGCACGGTCGTACAAAAGAGGAAGGGGTTGTTGTACAAAGAAAGAATGATCAAATGATCTGAACAGGAACGGAGGCAGTAGGAACAAATGCAATGATGAATGGGTGGTGATCGTACACACTCTGAACGCGAAGTTAACGAATGTGTGATGGCTCTAGTTTGGTGCTTCATATGTAAGCAATGACAGGATCGGGTGGATGCACTGGTGAATAGATAGATGAAGGTTGTAGACGAGCTTGAGGAGAGAATGACCGGTTGGGAGAGGGAGAATCAGAGAGAAAGAGTCTGCCGTTCATTATAGGAAGAATTTCCTCCATCCGTAAAAAGATTCTGTCCCAGGGAGATACAGCGATCGATATTGATGAAATCAAGAAACCGAAAACTAGGGAATGTGAACTGCGCGTTTCATGGGACGAGCGAGAGTAGCAAGTAACCGGTCAAAGAGGAGAACGAAGGAGCGTGCAAGCGTGCATTATCACGCATGATGTCGAACAAACGAGCGAGTTTGTGGGCGTCCTAAGAAATACGGAATGAGATATAGAGGGTCAGCATATACAAGGTGCCAGTGAGAAACATTCAAGATATACCTGTGACGATTGGCAAACGAAAAACATATTTTTATAACACTGGTCAGGAGTAAAGGCATGTGTGGGGATGAGATAGGCGCACGAAAGTGGAGTGGAGGCGAACAGGCCAAACAGCAACAAAACTCGGAAACAAACTTTGGAGTACTGAAACCGTCAGTTTTCAAAAAGACGACAGGAAGAGAAGATTTGAAAATGTGAGACGTAACTGCACATGTTATGAGAAGGAGTCTGTAGAGTAGAAGAAAAGAAAAAACCTGTTGAAAGACACGGTCTGATCATTGACTGAAATGAAGGAATAAGTGGGGCACTAGCCTATATACGGTGTGCTCGCCTGATTTCAAATTATCAGCAGCATGCCAAGAAGGTTGGTTGAAAAAGACTCGGATGAGAAGGTAGCGCTTCCAAGGTCCGCGCATTTTCGGTCAATCACTTCACGAAAATAAGATTCATCGCATGCTGCAGCCGTTCCTTGTACAATAAAGCTGAGTATCCTTTATTAGATTCAAGCTAGCTGTGGCCAGAAGGAAACCTTGGCCCCACGTCGAGTCTGTGCTTCTTCCTTGGATCATCAATGAACGTTGACCTCTACTAGTAGTCACTCGTTTCGATCTCGTACCGCTCCATACCATGGGACTTTGGTGCAAGAAGGGGTCACAAGTCAATCAGTTCCCGTTGCTTTTCGGGTCTCCTTACAAGACTCAGCCTCAGGTACGTTGCTCATACTTTTTCATCCCATTGACTCGTCACCTCACTCGCAATCTCAGTCTACCCAACACTTCACCTCCTAATGCCTATATCATTTCCGCTGCAATCCTGACAAGTCCCAATACCTGCAGCTCAGCGCGTTCCTATATATACCAACACCAACATCTTTCCAAAGTAGTACTCCGATAGGCCCCCGGAAGCTCCCTATGATGTTCGGCCGTCAAGACCCTCCAAAATGGCCCTCAAATAGGCACGGTTCTGAGCGTCGAATAGGCAAAACCGGACAAGGGTTGTCACGTGTCACGGAAATATCACAGCGGTAGTGTGACAAGGGCGTTCTATGGTATTTGGCGGGTAAATTCACTATCTAAAGATGCAGCGAGCTAACAAAACTACGTTCTCAACACGCGCCCGCCAGGAATTTTTAACTTTAGCAACTTCTGCAGAACTGCAACAGAAGTAAGTGCATTCCAATGCTTCTCTGCATCGAGAGACAACTTGCATACTCCGCCACAGTCGCCTACAAAGTGAGAAGGGCAACCACCACATAGGGGTATCATCCAGCTTGGTCGTTGTAGTGCATCGTCGAGGGGAAGGTTTCCACACTGAGTTTCATTGAGCTTAAGTCATACTTGTTTTTCGACACTCACAGCCGCTTGGACATGTTCGATTGTAGATCCTTCAGCTCGAGTAGGTGTCGCCTCGCCAGTTGCAAGAGCTTGCCCCGAAAGCATTGAGTATGGGACTAGGCAGTTTGTGACCAGGATTGTAATATTGAGTACTGAGTAATGGGAAGAGATCGCAGTAATGAACTTCGATGTTCTGCACAGAACGGACTTCACGATGTAGATTCTCGTCGAGCAATATTTATGTAAAATTCAATAAATAAGCCTAGAGATAATTGGCGCAGATTGGTGCTCACTAGTCACTGATCATACAGATTCACATGTTGAAAAAGCAGATCGGCTGAAGGCCTAGAATAGGCAAAAATCGGACAGACATCAGTGTATTTGGAGCACCGGAGCGGCTCCCCAAGGCGCCAAATAGGCAAAAAACGGACAAGGAAAACGCAAAATCTGGGCCTCAAATAGGCAAATTTTCGGCTGAACATCATAGGGAGCTTCCGGGGGCCTACTCCGATACTCGGGACCTGCTCCATAAGCACAGCCGTCTGCACAAATACGAATTCAGTCGGACCGTCTGCGCCCACACATTTCTCGCTATTCACCCTCGTTATCCCAATTCGAATGCGGTTGATGGTAATCCACATCAGGAAAAAACAAGCTGATTACATAGTACTATATAGTCAGAGTAAGTAAGCGCGTTGTGTGCGATTCCTGCGGGTTTGCGTTGTTCGATTCGGTATTGCTACTATGTATGACTTATGCGTCATCAGACTCGCTCTTATACTGGGAATCTCGATCACAGCTCTTCCATTCTCTTGTGCTAGACTCGTGCCACTTCGCATGCCCTGGCTTGTTCTGGTGAAGTGTTGGTCGTGGCCATGAACTACTGAACGTCAGGTACACCAAGATCACATCGAATTTGGTGAAGCTGTGAATAGGAGCTGGGATTAAGTATGGTGTTACTCCCAACATATTACATGTGAGTTACCAGCATCCCTTCTCCAGTTCATCGAAACTAGAACGCACACAGGAAAAATGACGACGTTCCTTCTGCGGCAGTTGCTGTTACATCCCCTTCCCCTATCATCTCGCGCAGAACTGGTACAGACGGTCGCGACGCTGCGGCCTAGCGTCTTCTTTACTTATTGCCAGTGAACAAGACGTCCACCTCCTTGTGTTTGTGATTTTCCTGTAGCAATTGTCGTACATTTCTGAGTTGTTGATCGTGTGGATTTACTGTATAGAACAATATCTTCCGTGTAGTGATTCATTATGTCGCGAAGTACAATCCAGTGATACTGGTACTGGTGACGCTGCACCTCTTGCTTAGTACAACCACTCATTCTAATGCATGATGGTTCACCGTGCTCGTTATACCCGCCGCGCACCTCACACTTTGTTCGCATTTCTTTTTCATACCCCTCGAATCAAGCAGGGTCCGAGTGCCAGGTGTCCTCGTATGTCCTAGAGCGGCGGGTATTAGTATCGTCACGGTAGAACTATTTTTTCAGTTCGAAGTAATTCCGCTGGTATTAGAACTGGCAAACATGGCTGAACCATGCTCTGCCAGTGTTATGCGTTATAATTATAACTGGTTCAAGATAAACATAACGACAGTCTGGCGCCCATCATAGTAGATTGTTCTAATTTTGCTTCATCCCCAATTAACCAACTTGAGTTCTCCTGTTATCGCGGACTCAGAGTCGTGTTTACATAACATCGTTTAACACTTCTTCGCAACACTGCACGTCCACCAAAATTGGAACGACAATTTGGTTTGTGAAGGAAACACTGGCCATGGGTTGTGCAATGTGCTTCTCACATGGGGCATCTGAGCGACTTACAGCGCATCATGTTCAATGAGCTTTCTGTGGGAAGGCAACCCCAGTCAGAGAACGTCTTGTATAAGTACTTACAGGCGAAACTTTTCCCATCGATCCGAAGTCCACATAAATTTATGCGCCTCCCACAAGCTTTGACGATACCACTGAAAAGAACCGTCTGCCCCTGGCTGCTCACGGGAACAAACACATGCTAGATAGTAGACGCTATCATCAGAGCCTAATACGGGTGCGCAGTTATCAATCAAACCACTCCTGACATAGACATTAATGCGGACGCTTGGAATACGACACCTTACGCCCCCCCTGGTATTGTCAGCGCATAAGAGTGTGATCAGGTCGAGCAGGATCTTGCTGTCAGTCTGATTCCCCTGAGCATCTATCCGATTTGTAGGCCTATTTTTAGATACTCCTCAAACTGAAATAGGCCTTCCGCCTAATCTGGACAAGTATCATCGTTGTTCCCGATACTGTTTTGAACGGAGATTTTACCCTACTGTCTACATTCTATCCGCTTTGAAGCAGGTATTGAATGGCAAGCGGAGATGCCGCGTCACAGACATTGCATGTATCCAGAGATGTGGTGCGTGTCTGCGTCGAGCTCGATCTTGTCTAATGTCTTGTGACACGGGTACCTTATAGGACTTAGGGATTCACCCCGCTCAGCGGCTCAACCCTCCACGCAAACAAAGACAAACTCACAAACCTCGTTCAAATTGTTATATCATCCGTAAATAACCTCCACCGACTCAAACGCGCCATTATGTCCGCGGTCGACCCTCAATATGCACCACTCACGACCTCCGCTCTACCAACCAACCACTTGGTTTGTGGTCATCTATGTAACCAGCGCCGATCATGCACCACTCGCTTTTAAAGACTTCCCACACATCCTAGCGCATCCTGAGCATTTAAAATGCCCCAAAGGCTAAGAAAGGCCTGGACAACTTTTTATACTACAGAAAATACCCCGCATCTGTATATTATGAGTATCAGCCAGCTCTCACTGCCTAATGGGGGAATTTGGCGATGAGGACCGTGACAAGAGTGAGTGCCAGTGTGTCCTCGGTACGCTGCTCCGACTAAGTATTTCAAAAGATATGTCCATTGACGCGCCCTTAATAAAGCCAAAGAACGTCATCAACACTCCTTTGAACTAGATCGTGACGAGCTATCAAGAAGCCAGCAGAAGTACGCCTCCCTGTATGATAAGTCGAAGTCGCGAAATAATACTTCCTGGAACTTGTACTTAACTTGGGAATATTCACACCTGGAAGCGTGTCGGATTAAGACCTCGAGGATGCCAGGTAAAAATTACTGATCCACATTACCCAATACCGTTGTGCCAGGTTCTGCCGTCACTTTCATTCATCCTCATGTAAGACTGTTCTATTGTAACACTGTCGGCTGACAGCGCCTTCTGCATGCACATGATCATTGCTTACACTGAATGCGAAGCCTAGTATCGATTTGTTCAAGGTACCCCATTAGGTGCCATTCAATATTTAATCAATGACCGTACCAGACGCCCCACATTGGCTCCCCGCTCCAGTGGTTTCCGCGCCATTATCAACTTTGTTCCTCACCTGCACGCCACAAAGAAGAAACTTGTCAACTCTTCCAGCTGTGCTTTTGTTTTTCAACGATGACTGCTCTCAGCGATGTAAAATCGGAAGCGGCTGATGCCTCCTGTGATTTACCCAGTCATTCTCGTGATGATCTCGAGAAGAGATTGGTGAGGAAGATCGATCTACGTATGTCCGTGATCGTGCTTTTGTATGCCCTGAGCAATGTGAGTCTGAGCTCTTTATTACTTGGTGCTTACCGCTGGTTAGATCGACAGAGCGAATATTTAGTACGCGTCTTCATAGTCGTTTTAAATGATATTTCATGTCGTCCACAGTACTGCACGGTTGGCAGGTTTTGAGCAAGACCTGCACCTGGAGGGGAATCAATATGCGACGGTCTTGTCTATCATCAATGTGGGATCCATTGTCATGCAAGTGCCAGCGTAAGTTGCTTCCTTCGTCGAGGGAAAGTTTATTGTGACCTTCTTGCTTTCAGGAATATGTTTCTGCACTGGTTAGAGAGACCTGCTACCCTGATTCCTTGCAGTATGGTAATGTGGGGTGTAATATCAGTATTAACAGGTTTGTCGACACCGGCCACTCATGACCATGAATGCTAACCGTATCCAGGGATCGCACAGAAGTACGCATTCTCATTTTCCATCATTGTGGGGTCTGATAGTTCAACCAAAGTTATAACGAGGTTCTTATCGCCCGTTTACTCCTCGGTTTTGCCGAAGCACCCTTCTTCCCTGGTACCATATTTCTTATATCAGGATGGTACAAGCGAGACGAGCTCGCTATGAGAGCGACTATAGTTACTTGTGGAAGCGTGTTCAGCAGTGGGCTCGGAACCCTGTTTGCATCTGGTATACTTACAGGCATGCAAGGAGTACTTGGTCAAGCCTCATGGAGGCGAGAAACGTTCGCCTCTGTCATTCGCTGAAGCTGACATATCTGCAGGTGGTTGTTTTACATTGAAGGCGGCATCACCGTCATAGTCGCGATTTGTGCAATATTTATACTCCCTAATTTCCCTCACAACACCAAATGGCTCACTCCGGAGGAAAGATCATTGGCTATCGCTCGCCTTGCAGACGAGGGCTATGGAAGGATGGACGGGCCTGGGAGACAGACGACCATGGAAGGACTGCGGAATGCTTTGTCCGACTGGAAGGTATGGTGGTTTACAATCACACTCATTATCGATCATATCGCACGGTCATACACCATGTACTTCCCGACGCTCGTCGCGACTATGGGATATGATATGACGGTGACTTTGCTGCTCACTACTCCCCCATCGGTGCTCGGCATAATTGGCGCTTTTGCTTTTTCAAGGTCGGTAAAATGATTTTTTTTTCTATCTCGAATCGCGTCTCATGGACGATCAGGCTCTCTGATCGTACGCACAAGCGTTACAAATACATTCTTGCATCGAATGTATTCGGTGCCCTTGGATTCACTGTATCCATCTGTACGATGAGCATTGTTGCGCGCTATGCTTCCATGTAAGTACTGTCATCGCCCAACAGAGTGATGCCTTGTGTACTCATATACGTGCAGGTTTCTGATGGCTCTAAGCAACGCCGGACAAATGGTGCTCTGGGCATGGATAAAAAATACTTTTTCCAGAGAACCTGCAAAGCGAGCTGTTGCTATCGCTATGATTAGTGGAGTGTCCGCGGTGGGGAGCATCGCCGGATCGTCAGTACCACCGATCTCTCGCTCTCACTGATTATTTACAGTTTCTCATAGGTACATCTGGCCTCTCAACTGGGGCCCAACATATCGTTATTCCTACACCATCTGCTTCGTAGCACTTGGGGTAACAACGGCCATGCTTGGTGTGGTGCATCTGCATTTGAAGCGGGTGAATAAGCAGATTGAAAGAAATGAGCAAAATGCACAGGATATCAACGACCTTCAGGACCCTGTTGGTTTTAGATATCTGGTGTAGTCAACTATCTATGCGACTCTCGCACCAAGTACTTATAGGCGAAACTACTGCTCAATCCGCTGATGATCGGCGTAAGACTAGGCTTACGGCGCACTTATGATTTTATATCTTTGCCAGTATCTTTTCATCGTAGGCGTGCGAACACGTCACATGTTTTTCCTTTCATTGAAATCGGGTGGAAATCCTCGCAAGACAATGTAACTTTGTACCGCTTTGCTATAAATTACAAAATTTACGTGGTCAACTGTTCTGTGGCGATTCTTTCATACACCTTGTCGTGCATTCGGCTGTTCATCGTATAGCTCTGCTGCATAAAACCATACCATCCCGTTCTGTTAGCAGGCGCGCAGGTATCACCGCGGAATACAACAGCCTACCAAATAAAATCATCCTCCTTCACCAGTCGCACATTCAGCGGCACCTGTGGCGTCACGCCATCCCCAGCGGGTGGTTTCACCACAGGAATATGAAATGCCTGCAGCTTCCATTGAATCTCCTTCACGTAGCCTTGTGCGTTCCGCTCCGTCGGGAGCGAGAAGTGCAAACGCATAACGAGCGTTGCGATAACTTGTTCTGGCCAGGAGTGTTATTTTAAACATCTACACACGAAGGTATGGACATACTTAATTCCATTTCAGCGAATTTGAACCCGCTGTAAAAATAGGAACCAATTGGCGGGGGTATGACATGTGAGGAATTAAAAAACTGACATGCAGGAGCGGCTACCACCGAGGAACGTCATCCTATGCGCATTTAAGCATATGAAATTTGCTGGGGAAAGCGCTGTGAGTACTCACATGTTGGAGTACACACCAGGAAACCGTGCACTATCCTTGACGCCCAGAACAGGCGCAGATCTCGACGTGGACGTAGCATCTTCCCCATCCATTGGACAATTCGCCTCTTGTGTCTCCGAGGAAGCAGTAAGAGAGGATGAAAGCCACCGCTCAGGACGCCACTCATTCGCGTCAGCACCCCACATCTCTCGGTGGCGATTCGCAGCGAGGATGGAGATGATTGTATGAACGCCCTCCGGGATCGCGACGGTGGACGTGTATCCACCAGACCGGGAACGTGTGGGGAATTGTAAAGGGAGGGTGGTTGCTTTGGACGTTCTGTGGTGCGCCATGTATAGTTAGTTTTCTACATAGGAGGGGAGGGGGAACGTACACTCGCATCATGAGTGGAAGAGAGGGATAGAGACGGAGGGTCTCTTTGACGACGCCGTCGAGGAACGGTAAGTTCATAAGGACATCGTAGGGCAGTTCTGCGGATGACATGTCACCGTCTTCTTCAATTATCTTTGTGGCATTGCGGATTTCGCTCCTTAGTCTCGCTTGAGCGCCAGAGTGTTGGGCAAGTAAGTAGATGCAGCGGGCAAGCACAGAGGTGGTCGTGTCGAGGCCGGCAAATACCATGACGCTGCAACAATATGGATCGATGTTTTTAACGCGCGGAAAAACGTAGAGACCTACTTCATTTGTCCCAACAACTCCTCATCCGTAAGCCGTTCCGTGTTGGACGACACGACATTGGCCTTTACTGTGAATTATACTTGAGAGAGGATGTTCTCGATTACCCAGGGAACTCACGCATGATATCCATCATCGACGTCATCGAATCACTGTCTCTGCACGCAGTATCAACAGGGTCCGGCGTTTCTTTGGCTTCCATGGCCGTCTTTTTCTCCAAAAACGCCTTTCGACTAGCGCTATCCATAGTTTCTACGGTGCGTCGCATCTCCCGCACGTCTGCCATAAACTGCGTTGGGAGCCAGGGCACCGTGACCACATCGAGCATTTTTCTTCGCCCAATACGGGGAGCAGTATTGCATGACGATCACTGCTAACGGCCGTACCTTCATGAGTTTTCCGATCAAGGGGCTGCAATGCATTATTGTACATATAAGTTCAGACGCTAATCTGACGAGACGCACCCGATCTTCCGCAATGCTTCCGGGTACGGGTCATTTTCTGCTGCTGAAAGGGTGTCGGAGGGGTACCCAAGGATACCTTGGCAGACGCCGTCAAGAGCGCAGCGGGATATCCATGGGAGGATGTCGATCTCTTTGTGAGCTGCGCGTTGAAAGGTCAATGGAGATTATGTGCAGAGCGCGAGATCGTGGTACATACAACCGTCAGCGGGAAGTTTGGATACGAGGGTAGATGTGAGTCTGTCTGAGATGGGGTGTAGTATGGAGAGGAGTCGTCGCATGTTTGACGTTGAGAAGACGGGGTTGAGAAGTTTGCGTTGCCGGCGATGTTGTTCTCCTGGTGAAACAGTGTTAAAAGAAGAACAGATTTTGAAGAGATATACCTCACCGACGGTGGATATCAAGCCTTCACCGAAAAGAAGTTTATTGAACCTTTATAGTACCGAGTCAATTCAGTATGAGAAAGTAAGAGGATACTGACATGACGAAGAAGCTGGGCTCTTCAAAGATGTGCTGGTCTTTGACGACCATGTGATACAATGCGCGTGGGTCAGACACATATACAGTTTCCTGAATGACGCAAGTGCGTGGAAGGTGATGTGCACTGGTTATGAATGGACGACTCACGCCGAGCGGCCCATGGAGCCTCACCGCCCCGCCATATTTCTCTGCAATATGCACGCAATAGTCAACACCACCTTCAAAGAGGGACGAGACATTGCCTATGTACATGTCAGACGGTCAGACAGGGTAGTCGAATGACAATAAGGACTGATTTTAGAACGTACCTGTCAGCCAATTCCCCCTGTTCGGTCCATCGAGGTCGATTCCATGGGGTCGTCGTAACAGGAACACAAGGGCCTTGCAGATAGCGAAAGAGAACGAACTGAGTACGCAGACTTGGATCAGAGACATGGGAAGTTGAGAGGTTAGATGACTGTTAGTGAAGCCTCAGCGAATGCCGACTGAGTTTGCGTGTCCGCCTTAGTGCTGCGGCAGGCCGCAGTTCAACAGTAACGTAGTACTTACGTAGTGATGATTGGTTGTGCATCATGTGGGCTGTACATTCGAAATCTCGGTCTCGCAGAACCGTGACCGAGGTATAACCGGCTCGGTGGCGTCCACCGCGTCTAAATACTCTGCGTCATGTTGTGTTGCTCTATAATTTGCAATCGGCCAGGAATATTAACACGGAGTTACCCGAATTCGAGATTTTCGCCAGACACTGGCTGGTCCTGTCAATGGACTCTGGACTCTGGAGTAGGAAAAACAGCGACTCTGGTGGCCCGTAGCCATCAACGCTATGGCGCATCTTTAGCCTCAATACTGCAGTCTGCAGCATCGATGACCCCCAATTCACGGCTTTTGCGGATCGCATTGGAGAAGACCGCTCCGGGAATCTCGCATTCATAACAGCGACCACAAACTTCGACGACAGCATGGACTTCACGAAGACCCTGAAACCTGTCTTGATTGTGCATTCCCCTTCCCTCTCAATGATGTCCATGTCGATGAATTCAACGACAAAATGCTAGACAAATTGCCGGACCATTTTCGTAAGTACCGCAACTAATATCAATCACACATTCCACTCACGAAGCAATGTCGAATCTTATTTCAGTCCAGACAGCCTGAAAGAAGCTGAGCAGACTCCATTGAACGCACCAGAACATACTCCGACTACCTTGCAATGTTAACCCATCATGGAGTACGTAAATTATCGGTAGAAATAGGATTAGGGTACCGCACGGGTAACACCGAGGGTCGGAAAGTTGACACCGCACCCGCACCCGCACCCGCCAACACCGTACCCTTCACGGGTACGGGTACACACCGACCCGTCAATGTCGCGGTTTATGGAAAACACCGCGGTGTCTCTGAACACCGCGGGTACATTACCAAGAAGAGTGTATTAAGTATTAACAACAATGAAATAAAATAGTACTACTTTTCCTTGTCATTCTCCTCTGCTTCGACTTCATTTCGCTTCCGTTTTTGAGTCCTGACAGCGGCTAAAAGGTCCTCCATCACCAGAAGATCACTTCTGCCCCACGCTCCGAGGCAGAGAAAGGCACGAATTGTTGATGGTGCGAGTCGGTTGCGAGTAAAATGAAGGAGCTGCCGGCCCTGCGAGAAGACACGTTCAACCGCAGTTGATGTTGCTGAGCAAGATAATAAGTATTGATTGATTGAAAGAGGATTCGAAGGAGACATACCTGGGACAGAGAGATAGTCGAGTGCCATCCGATGCAGCATTGGATAAGCACGGCAGTTGTTTTGCCACCATGCGAGTGGGTCCTTGGTTTTCACAGTTGGTAATCGAAGAAACTCATCCAACTCGCTACTAGTAGTACGAGACATGGAACCAAGTGAGTAGTCACCAAAGTCATCCTCGTTCTGTATAGTTGTCAGTGTCAGTGCAAAATTAAATGTTGCATACGGACTGTGTCTGCTTCAATGTCATCAGTAATCTCGGCAGATTTCTCGTATTTATCAATAAACTCTTCGTGCTAGAATGATTCACGGGGGTACAAAAGACATGACAGAAATCAGTATAGCATTCACTTGTGATCCTCAAGCTCTCAGAGGAAGGAAAAACAGAGAATCAAACACGGTGTTCAATGGCTGTCGCGCGCCTGGTTCCCGATTTGGTATATTATACCCGCCCAAACACCGTCAACCCGCGGTGAATGGCCACGGTATGCTCAAGGGTACGACTATCCTACTCCGTACCCGTACCCTCCAAACCCGTCAGCATAGAACCGCGGTGTTACCCGTACCCGTGCGTTTCCCTAAATAGGATTGGTCAGAAACGTTTGTGCGCACGTCACGCTGCATCGTCGCCTCCTCAAAGTCTAACTCAATACATCCGAAAGCCACTGCATCCCCTGCATTCCGTCTGCGTCAAGGACAGTAAATCGGAAACAGTTCCCTCTGCGACCCGCATATGCAACTTCATGTAATGGATGTCAAGGTCTGACGCTAGCGCGACCCGTGCTCGATTTCCGGACTGATCCCTTCGCTTAATACGGTCAATTGGACATAGCGTTATCGAGAGTGAGAATGCGAAGAGTCTATTTGCAGAGACGATGCTAATATTTTATTTCCTGAGTTGCTGCTGTAAACACAGCGGTGACAATATATCGTCGAAGAGCTGACTGAAGGTATCCTTGTATTACATATCCACTTGCTGGATACGACCCTCCTAGCCTGAAATGACTGTTCTGAGGACATTCAAATTCCCAACTTGAATGAGTGCCACGTACTATGGGCGTTTGAGAACTCCCTCATAATTGCAAGGAGCTCGCAAAATCTGCGTCCAAGACACAAGCAACTCGGTAGCACCTGCTTTCATAGCCTAATGCCTTCAAGTTGTATTACCCCTTCCCTTGGGCCTTAGGCAGTCACACGGTGCTAGTGAGGCCTACTGAAGGCCACACTCCGAGGACCCCGAAAACAAGTGCTTCAGCGTGATGTGCCTTTGTTGCCATCACTAGCATGTGCCACGTGTTGACGAATTTCTCAGAAGCCGTTCAAGTGACTGATCTACATGGACTCTGCATAGTAGCCTTGGTCTCCGACGGTTCCCAGTCTCGAGCTTTCACATGACAGTCTAGGCTCACGGCGCCGAACCAGGAAGACAGCAAACAAACCTGCACATGACGTATCCTGAGTCGTACTACTGTACTTGGTTTTGATTATACGGAATAAGGTCAGATATGCCGTGGTGTCGAATCAAATTATGTGTGCTAATATGGTGCCGTCCGTAACCCCGGTATGCTAGAATAAGCCTGACCAGGGGCTAGAGTTTGCTTTTTGAAGCTATTTTAATTCAAACCCCATTCCTGGGTGGTGCGAGTCGCGGCACATCATTCATCAATGATGTTAGACTCAAGAGGGGCTGGTCACCTAGGTCGACATCGTCATCCCGTTCCTAAGATCACCTAATTGACATCATTCCAGAGGTATGGAATTTCATCACGCAGAAAAGGTGCCATGTATCTTCCAATAGGGTTGTGCCAGGTTCTGAGATTAATCTTGTTGCAAAGTTCCTGCTCCACTGAGTTCCGCTGCCACGCATCGCCAGGTAAAGTTGAAGTGAAGCAGCATCAATTTTCCCCCTCAATATTTAACCAAGTTGTCAGGTGATTCATGGCTGCGAGATTCCGACTCATACCATTCTTCTTACCCAGTGTTACAAAGAAGAGAGTTATCAACTCTTTCCGTTGTGGTTTTGTTTTCTGAACAATGACTACTCTCAGCGATGCAAAAGCGACTGAGTGCATGAACGATGATTTGTCTACTGGCGTACCAAGCCATTCCCGCGATGATCTCGAGAGGAAATTGCTGAGGAAGCTCGATTTACGTATGTCTATAATTATTGTTTTATATGCACTGAACTTTGTGAGTCTGAGCCATCGGCGAATTCTATCGGTGTGCAACTTCGTACTTACTGCATACCATGGGCAGGTCGATAGAGCGAATGCTAGGTAAGTCGCATGTCATCATACTCGCTTTATATAGTGTCTCATGTTGTCCACAGTAGTGCGCGGTTGGCAACTTTTGAGCAAGACTTGCACCTGCAGGGGAATCAATATGCTAGGATCTTGTCCATAGTATACGTGGGATACATCCTTATGCAAGTGCCAGCGTGAGTTGCATCAATCGCCGAGGGTTAGGTCAATGTAACTTCTCTCTTTCTTTCAGGAATATGGTTCTGCACTGGTTAGAGAAACCATCCATCCTGATTCCTGGTAGTATGGTCATCTGGGGCCTAGTATCGACATTAACAGGTTTGTCGACACTGGCCGTTCATGGATATGAATGCTGACGTGCCTAGGGATCACAAAGAAGTACGCATTCTCGTCTTGCATCATTGTAGCGTCTGATAGTCCGACCAAAGTTACACGGGTATTCTTCTAGCCCGTTTCTTTCTCGGCTTTGTAGAAGCCCCCTTTTACCCTGGCGTTCTTTATCTGATATCTGGATGGTACAAGCGAGATGAGCTCGCTGTAAGAACGACTCTCGTCACTTGTGGATCTGTTCTCGCCTCTGGGTTCGGAGCCGTGTTTGCATCAGGTATACTTACAGGCATGCAGGGAAAACTTGGACAGGCTGCATGGAGGCAAGAAACATTTGTCTATTTTACTCACTAAAGCTGAAATATCTGTAGATGGTTATTTTACATCGAGGGCGGTGCCACCATTCTAGTTGCAATTTGTGCATTTTCCATTCTTCCTGATTTCCCGCACAACACCAAATGGCTCACTCCGGAAGAAAGAGCACTCGCTATTTCTCGCCTTGCAGCAGATGGCACTGACGAGCTTGGGAAACGGACGACCATGCAAGGACTGCGGGATGCTGTATGTGACTGGAAGGTGTGGTGGTTTTCGGTCGCACTCACTATCCAGTTTGTGGCACTGTCATTCGTCATTTACTTCCCGACGATCGTTGCAACCCTTGGATATGATACAACGAACACTTTGCTGCTCTGCGCTCCTCCATGGGTATTCTCCACCATAGTTGCATTTGTTATCTCAAGGTCAGTGAACGGTCTCTATCTCGAATTATGTCTCATGAACCACCAGGTACTCTGATAAGGCGCAAAAACGTTACGTATTCCTTTTAGCCTCAAGTGCACTCGCTGGCGTTGGTTTCATCATATCCATCTGCACAATGAACACAGCTGCGCGCTATACTTCGGTGTAAGTAGAATCATTGCACATAAGGGGTTGCCTCTTGTACTCATAGACATACAGTTTCCTCATGGCTCAAATCTCCGCTGCATATATGGTGATCTGGGGATGGATCAACAATATTTTCGCCAGAGAACCTGCCAAGCGGGCTGTTGCAATCGCTTTGATTAATGGACTGTCGCAGACCGGGAATATCATCGGAGCGTTAGTGGCATCAATCTCTCACTCTCATTGATTATCTACAATTTGACACGTCTCATAGATACGTCTGGCCGATCAACTGGGGACCGACGTATCGTTATTCCTACGCCATCTGCCTCGCAGCACTTGGGGGGTCAACATCAATGTTTGGTGTGATGTATTTGCATTTGAAGCGGGTGAATGAACGGATTGAGAGGGATGAGCGGAATGCGAAGGATATAAACAACCTTCCAAACCCCGTTGGTTTTAGATATCTGGTGTAGTTGATAATTTCTGCGACTCTCGCGCACGCGGTGGTTCGGACATGGGGAATACTTTCATCGGCTAATGAGGTATTCTGACGCGAATGAATTTCAAGTTCCAGGCAATGATGTGCACATAGTTCATTAATGAAGTACTTTACGTACTAGCTAGTGTCTCAACCATGTCCGAATATTTTGTGATGCAAGTAAGGCACCGATGGCGCGCACCGGTGAGCGAGCATATAATATGGTGAGCAAGCGGCCTCGGTTCGACATTCAAAAGTCGATCAAAGTATAGGTAAAGAAGCTTCTGGGGTAAGTAGAGGTTTCTGGAATCGAACTTGGTCAGAAATAAGTTCAGCCAAGCCATTGATACTATCATTGATCCCAAGGAGCGAATATATGCATGATGCAGAGCAACACACTATGCAGAGGCGGTTATTCATGCTTTAATATTGTAGATATAGAACTTCTGTAAGAAAGAACGACGGTGTGATAAGCTGTAGGTTATGTCCAACACGACACACACGAGATCCTAATCCTAAACTTACCACTTAAAATCCTCCTCCCTCACCGACCGTACATTCAATGGCACCTGCGGCGTCACGCCATCACCAGCGGGGGGTCTGACAACCGGTATATGAAACACCCTGAGCTTCCACACTATTTCCTTCACGTACCCTAGAGTATCTGGCTCCGTTGGAAGCGCGACGTGCAGACGTAGTATCAGTGTCGCGAGGACTTGTTCTGGTGTAAAAGATGGGTCCATCGAGATCAATGCGATGAGTTCGCCGTCGGAGTAGCTCTAAGGCTTTGAAGAGAGTGATAAAGAAGGATCCGAGAATACATACTTGGGTCAGCGACATGTCAACTTGGTCTGGAGGAAAGACGACTCGGAAGGCGGTACTGTTGCTGTTGATATATCAAGCATAGCCATACTAGAGGGACTAAGTTCGATGAGTCAGCAGGTGAGGGGGAAGGCCATGGTAGCGAATAGGTTAGGTAGGATACATAGTTCCCGTCTCGGAGCGAGGGCCTGTTATTAATTAATAGGCTAATGATACACCCTTACTGGCACTGAAAGTCAATGAGTATCATGAGTTGCGACCGTGGGATGGATCATGTGCATGAACGATGTCCATTGTCAAGTTCGAGTCGGCCCTCGTACTAGTAGGTGCCCCGAAAACAAGATACATGCAAGGTGACGTTGCTCTATATATACCCCGGCAGGTTATCACAACTTCGGTCAAGGACAGTCACACAATGTAACACAAAGTCACATCCGCCGACAACAAGCTCAGCTCGGCATCCAGCATCTTGTAGTAGTACCTGCGGCGGTCCTTCAAGTTCGCTACATTTTGCCCATGCCATCCCACACTCTTCCACTTCCTCGGGGTTTGTCGTTCTCGTCACTTGTTGGATGAGAATTTCACTATCGACGGCGAGCCTCACTTGCTCCTCAGTTCAGCTTTAATTTTATTACCACATCCTAGTAAGTGACTTTTTTCTATCTACTTCCTATCTGCCTGTGCCTCGTCAGGTGCGCCATTCTGTGTGCTGAAGGTACTAATTGGTATCATTTGAGATTTGATGTACAATACACTTAAGTCTTCTTCGACTATTGCCGAAGGTAGCTGAATTGAAACTTGGCGACTCAGCAGAGTCAGCACCGCGCAGCCTACCACACCTTACGGTGGTACGGTCACTACAGTATGTACCAAGACCGAGTCCCTTTCTCGTTCCTAGTCCGAGCCCTCTTCATTCGTAAGATTCTCAAGTCCAATATCTTTGAATTCTAGATTGTTTATCCGCTGATTCTGAGGCCCCACTAGGTTATTCTTACCGTCGTGAAGTTCTGCCATCCAGGCGAAACTAATCTGCCAAATTAATTGAACTTCCGAGTTTTGCCCACAACCCTATTTTCGGGATATAGAGGCAAGCCCTGTCCACCTCAGAGTAGTTCGGAGTCCCCTTTGCAAAGCTCATATCACTTCGCATAAATCATGCATTTCTCCTTCGTCGTCGTCGTTACTACTGCTTTGGCAGCATGTATGTCTGCCACTGCATGCAGTGCCCAATACGAGAGCTGCGTGGACGCCAGTGATTGCTGCCCTGGCCTTGACTGCTATACGACGGATGTAAGTATGAGTAGTTTGCTTTGCATCCAGTATTCAGCCCATTGCTCACACCTTACACCTTGCAATACCAATAGCTTACCAAATACAAATTGTGCCATTATCCGAGTCAGACTGGTTAGTACGGATGGGCTGGCAGCCTGTCCATGAGTACATCTGGACAGTGAGTCATGTTTCTACTTTCGTATTGGTGCTGTGGCTGATGGTACAATACGTAGTTCGTTGTTGACTTGGTCAATGTAATTGTTCCCGGAGTCTGGACAATTTTCCCTGCTTCATGGGCAGTGGAGGCGCCTTTGAATCGATTTAAACATGCAATATCGACTAACTCCAAGAGACCTGAGGAGCGATTTCAATGTCCAGATTTGTGCTGCGTCATTCAGAGCTTGAGTGTTCATTGGTTATTGCTGAAGACTGCATTATGTGCATAGCGACTGTAGCGGTCCAACTGCTAATTGGCGCGTTAAAGGACATTTCCAATGTCCATTCAACATCGTTTCCTGGACTTCACCACTACCAACATCATCATTGACGCAGTTGATGCGTGTGTTACCAGGCTATTGACACCGCAAGGTGCAAGGGGGTTGAACGTTGAATCCTGGATGCGGCAAAGTAAACTACTCATAGTCACTTGCACCGCAGAACAATGGTGACTGCAGCAGTACTTCAACGTCCCTATCGCAGATCTTTAAGTTGGCTTTTAAGTTGCATTTAGCAACAGACACAGTACATGCTGCCAAAGCAATAACGATGACGATGAAGGGGAAATGCACCGTTTGTGCGAAGCGATACAAAGTTTGCAAAGGGGACTCTGAACTTCTGAGGTAGATAGAGCTTGCTTTATAATCTGAAAATAGTATTGTAGGCAAAACTTACAAATTCTATTGGTTTGGCAGATTGGTTGCGCCTGGATGGCAGAACTTTACAACGGATCATGTAGGATGAATCCATTGGAGCCCAAGAACCATAACCTGCGCGGATAATATATGCATTTGGGCCGCTGGGATTGACTCATCGTCGTCTACGTTACCCAAAAAGAATAAAAGCCCGAACGTCTTGTCTATGTCGTTGTTTAATGACCTCCCCTTCCGGTTGCACTTCTCCACTGTCTTTCATCTTGAACGACGTTGAGCCTCCGACTCCGAGCAATGTAGCCCAAGTGTCAACGGTCCCTGGACAATCGCCACATTAACGAAGGCCAGAATCCACCTCTGCACACCGATACCCTGATCTGGTCCACTCACATCTCTACTGACATCCGGAATGGTATACCAGATGAAATTGGACTGCGAGCTGGGCATGAAGGTCTACGCCAGTATGGTGAGTGGGGACGGTTTGAGGTTGTATAGTTTACTGTTCTTGTCCCAGATGTACATGACGAGCGCGGCCGATCCAGCATATACTACGGTGTCCCCCGAAAGAGAAAATATAATTTTCCGGATGCTAGGGTGAACATTCCACGCTGATGGCTGTGCCTCCGACGGCTTCGCCAGACCTCTAAGGAAGTCCAAGGTAGTCAGAAACGCCACGCATGCACTGGAAAGGAACAGAAGTCAATTTCGTGTCGTGGACCAGAGCGGCGGCCGCTGTCAAGTCCGAAGGTGAGGAACTGCACGTCAAGATTCTAGCTGTACGCAACACTAACGATGCGATAACAACCTGTAGAAAGAGTACGACGCCCAAAAAGAGAACAGGACGAGCCGTAGGATATAATGAGGAGAATAACCACTGATATCATTAAGCGGGGCACCATCATGGTTGTTCCATCCACGAGCTGCAGTCAGAAGGCGCAGATTGGCGTTGGAACGAAGTCCTGAGACTCTGAGGCTAGCGCAGAGCAATCATGATGAGATGCCGTGTACGAACTTCGTACACAGTATCTCATCATGATTGCTCCGTGATGGCGCAACGTCGTGACCTTTTCACGAACTCCTAATGGTAATTTAAATTTGCAGAACATCCATGACTATGTATCAACAACACAAATTGCTCACAGTATACATAGCGATATTTGGCAAGAGCAGAATGATATCCTTCTACAGTTCCCACGGCTACCGTAATTCACTGATGAATCGGTGCAAGTGAAATGGCAATAATGACTTTGCCTCAGCGAGGAGTGCAACTGCGAGAGTTTCCAAGAAGTTCATTGTGGATTCTCTCTTCCTGCTCCGTTGGCGCTGACGTTGTCAATACACTGAATTATCGTGTGTGCGCATTGCGGCATGAGTATTCTCAGTTTTTGCTTTGCGGGAGTCTCTCGGCAAGTCGGTCGGTTGCTCGTATTTCACTCTCCGCGACAAGAACAGCACACAAACCTTACTTCACAATTTATCCCAGTTTTATTTCACGCTCAAAAAAATAAACTGGCAAAATAAACTGTTATCGAGTGCCAGTACTTGTGTACTGGTGAGGTTATAATTAGAGACATAACTTTCAATCACACTGCTACCTTCAATCTACTCACTAGCGAAGCGCCCCCAACACGAGATCGGCGTTGCAAAGACTATTACCGATGACAGAATCAAGGGTAGATTTTGCGTTACTCTCGCTCTTCCCCGCAACACGTGCGCAGGTTGAGGAGTCATGGCGCCGGACGTGGCCACAATGGGGTGGTACTCTGAGTCTCACAGAGTACCTCGCGCGAGAGGTTGACATGGAATCCATGGATCACGCGAAGGATGGAAAACTGATCACCTGGTAAGCAACTCATTGTGCCGGGGCCCGGCAGGAAGAAGTTAATGGGAGAGGAAGGGTGCTGGCGCCACGGGATGACCCAACCACTCTTGATTTCATGTGTTCCTGTGAGGCGTAAGCGACGCGAGTACTCTCAACAAACGTGTGTTTCTCTGACGCGCGTCTACGGGGACAGATTCAGGCGCTCAGGTCTCGTTGCTTATCCCTCATCTTCTACTTCTGAGCCCAACTCAGTGCACGAAGTAACCTGTTACGCCATTGCCAGTGTCTTCACCCCACCCTCTAAGCGCGGGCGCGGCTATGCAAGCCATATGATGCGCCTCTTACATTGGGTCATTGCCTCGCGTGCTAATCTCCCCAAGTTCCCACAAGCATGGGGCGCACCGCCGGAACAGGTAACAGAAGCTAGTGAAGGACTGTTCTCTTGCCTGTACAGTGATGTCGGAGAAGACTTTTACCGCTCCGCAGGCCCTGGGGGTAAAGAGGGTGGATGGGAGACACGGGGAGCCGTTTCGACTATTTGTGACGTGGGTACAGAGGAAGGGGATGATGACGGATGGACGTGGTTGACGCAGGAGCAGCTGAACGGGCTTTGGGATCGTGATGCTGGGCGGATCAATAAAGAGCTGGCGAACATGTTGACAACCGACACCTCATATGAGGTGGAGCGCCCGGCAGCATTCGTGACGTACCTGCCAACAAACGGTGTCTGCGGGTTCCATATCCCACGTTCGACGTACGCTTCGGAAGTTTCCATGGCAGGTGGATTCTGGGGTATACAGTCTTTGAACGACCCAGACACATACGCAAGCTGGAGCGTGGACTTGAGACCTCCTCCGCCAACGCTAATCATTACGAGGCTCTGTGCCAGTGAAGAGACGTTCCCTGGGCTAATCGCGAAGATCACGCAAGTGGCTAGACGCAGCGGAATTGGGAAAGTAGAGGTGTGGAAATTGGGAAAAGGATTAAGGGACATTGCGGAGAGGATGGGTGGGCGGACGGTCATACGAAGCGAACATTTGCCACAGATAGTATGGTATGGACCTGGAGCGACAGGGAATATAGAGTGGGCGTATAACGAGAAGTGAGTCCGCCTCCTACAAAAAAAATTGTGTGCATTTGTACTGACAAGTTTGCCAACAGGTTCAGCTGGTGCTGATACGGGATTGGGTTGTAGTTGCAGATCAATCAGAGGTATCGCGCTGGCATGTCTAGAAAGCATTAGCTACGTGGATCCCGGGAATGACCCTGCAAGCGCATCCACTGTCACTTCAAGAGTATCGACGAAGGTATCTTCACCTTCCGCGATATTGATGAGGTGGACATGTATATCACCACTCTTCCGAACGATCACTGTTTTCAACTTCTGGGAACCTAGTTGGGCTCCGTCGCGTTCGTTCTCGATTGTATTCTCGAGTTCGGCATCGAGACTCGACAGCTCTTGTATGTTTTTTTTATTTGTCTGTTTCCTCCATGCGCGGGTAACAACGTAGAACAAATGTTTTCGTGACTCCTCAACATGTCTCGAAGCAAGTCGCCTGAATCAGAAAAGTATAAACTAACTAGTAATCCGTCATAGTACAGCATAGTACCTGCACCTCGGGATTCCAATTAATGACAGTTGCATGGCTACAAACATTGAAGCATCTGGTCAGCTGGTCAGTTTGTCATCAGTTTCGGAGGGCTCCACATCCACTCCCGGTCACCTTCCATCTCCAATAGCTTCTCGATCTCTCCGTCATCCATCCCATAACCCTCCTTCTCGTGTTGAGGGAAGCTACCATCTCTAACAGCACTAGCATATGCCTTAACACCTCGTTCGACTTCGCTCTTAACATCCCCAAACCGTCTCACAAATTTTGCTTTGTGCCCCGCCCATGTCCCCATTACGTCGTCCCACACAAGCACCTGCCCACTGCAACCCGGGCCTGCACCGATGCCAATAGTGGGCACCTTCAACCGCGACGTAATGTATGCAGCAAGAGAGGAAGGGATGGCCTCGAGAACAATGGAGAATGCTCCTGCCTCCTCTAAAGCGAGGGCCGAGTGCAAAATCGATCTACCAGACTGCGCAGTGCGCCCCTGGACCCGGTACCCGGAGAGCGCGGTGTGACGCTGTGGTAGCAACCCTACATGGGCCATTACGGGAATTCCGATACTCGTGAGTGCTTGCACACGTCCAGCGATCTCACTCCCTCCCTCTAGTTTCACGGCTTCCACGTTTCCCTCCTGGAGCATGCGGACGGCTGCTCGAACCGTGTCTTCTTTCCCGGCGTAAAAGCTTCCGAACGGCATGTCTGCGACAAGAAGTGGTGCGGATGTTCCCCGGGCGACGGCGCGGCAATGGTGAAGCATTTCATCAAGAGTGAGCGAAGTGGTGCTGGAATAGCCTAGGCAGACCTGCGCTAGGCTGTCACCGACAAGAGTGATATCAATTCCGTGCGTGGATGCAGCGCGCGCAGTGGGATAATCATATGCTGTGAGCACAGTGATCGGGGTGCGTTCTTGACGGAGGGCATGTAGAGAGGCGATAGTTACCTTTTTGCGGGCTGTTATGCATGATGAGAGATCGGTTTGGTGATTTGAAGTAAAAGATGACTCACGAGGCGGTTTCTGTGGGGAAGATTCACCAGGTGTGTTTGTGAGATGCTCATATTTTAATGGGCGGACGCTCATACACCGCTGGCCAAGGTTTTTGCAGCGGGAGATCGAGGCAGTTATACGAGTACGAGACGCAGAGAATAACATCTGTGCATGCATGATAAATGTCTGAGATGGTAAAATCAGGGGATCTGATATTGCAGCGTGTGCAATATAATGCTCGCACCTCGTATATGATTGATAAATGGGACCCAATAATTGCTGGAGTCTGCTGTGAACTAATATAGGATATCAGACCATCGTTTTGATTGATAATCCGTGTGCACACGAGCGTGAATTCCTAACGGATCTGCCCTGGTGCATGTCAAGGTTTTTAGAGACTGTGTCTTCCGTCACTTCCGGATCAATCAACCAGCAAGCCGGTTTGCGAATACTCATGAGTCATGAATAAAAAAGGAAACTCAATTCACGTGATATACCTCGCGCATTTGGCCTTCTCCTCATTGTCCTCGCGTTCCCACGCCCTTTGCTCCACAACATCGACAATGGCACCAAGAACGCGCAGACAACGAGCTCAGGCAGCTCATGAAAGCGAGGAGATAGCAGAGATTCAAGTCGAGAAAGAGTTGCTCAACTCTGATTCAGAGATAGAACAAGAGAATGACGAGAATATATTTGTCATGGGTGATAGGGATAATGAGTATGGAGCCGACGAAAACTCATTCAGTATTTCTATACCACCACCACTCCGTTCGCTGGCAAATGCGCCTCGCACGCCTTCTCATGAAGATGCGCTTCGCGACATCACCGATGAATTCTTTCATCCACCTTCACCGTCTCCGATTAAAGCAGTTCCCGCGTTTGCAAACCTCAAACCACCTCGACGGCCAAAGAAACCAAAAAGCCTCGCGTTCCCAGCTAACCCGCCTAACTGGCAGCCAACATCACCGCTCCCTCCCAGCTCGCCGCTCGCTTCTACTTCCACATATGGACCGCAGAACTACGCGTCAACATTGCATGCCAATGCCTACGAGTATGAAATGACTGCGTTTTATCGTCATACACAAGATATAGACCCTAGAAGTGGTGACTCAGACCCATTCGGTTTTTTAGCGGCCGAGAAGGTACTGAAAGAACGACGCGCTGCACGTCTACCGAGCGAGAAGCGCAAATACGTTCAATCTACTGTTTTACGCGTCACACCACATTCCACACGTACCAGAGGACAGCTTAATCGCGCTACACCTACTCCAACGCGCCCAGCCTCTTCCTCAGTCCCCATCCCGACAAACGATGAAGACATCGATGATCTCTATCTCGACGAACCAATCACGACATCTATTCCAGTCCCTGCGCCGATCCTGCGTCATTCATATATCCCAACGCCATCGTCTTCCCCTGCTTCCTTTCGCTCGGAGATAGTAGTCCCAGCCCTACTTAAACCTCGCTTGGACATTTTACGAGACCAACCAACACGCAGTCGCGACCCCCTCCGTACGCCGCGAAAACGTAAACGTGATATTGAAGCTGCCACTCCCGGCTCCAGCGATGTGGTATCCAGCCCATCACCTGTGAAGATTAGCGTGGCCGCTAGAGGACCCCAAACACCGTCAGATTGCCTGGAGTCAGCGGAGGAACACACTCCCGTTCCGAAACGTACTACACGTGCACAGGCGAAAGGGAAGGGCAAATCCAAGGATGACACACCTAAGCCTCGCAAACGTGTCCGCACTACTAAAGAAGTTGCTTCGCTGAGCCCCAGACAGGCATGCAAGGATTTGGAGAAGCTCTTGCCACGCAGAGCAACTAGGCGGAAGGCGGCTGCCATAGCAAAAATTGGGGCTAAAGGAAGGGTTAGGATGGCTGTGGATCCTGTGGGTGATAGTGACAGTGATGAGGAGCAGCTGAAGCGGAGGAAGCCTGCATCGAAGGCGCAGCCATCATCAAGTGCAAAGCCTGCCCCAAGAAGAAGTACTAAACCCGTGTCAAAGGGTGTCAAAAAGTCATCCTTGAAGCCTCGGAGTAAGGGCAAAGAGAAAGCGAAGCCCCTCAATGACTCGATGGAATTGTCAGATGATACCCGAGAGGTTCGCTATAGCTATGTTCATGAGGACTGCTTATCGCTGATGATTGTTTCTCTAACCTTTAGCGATACGAAGAGGAACGCCTGGCGCGCCTTGAGTACTTCCGCAAGCTAGATGGTTATCAAATAAAGAAGGAAAATGTATATGTAATTTGAAGTTTCTGGACAGGGTGTGGAATTTTACGTTTTGAGTCTTGCTTTTTTTTTTTTTTGCCCAACTGGCAAGCTTATCTTATTGTTTTCCGTCGTTGCTGTCTCGACGCTTTTGTATCGTATGTGTATATTGCTTCATTGGTACCAGACGTTCCAGCATGGGGCCCCAATGGCTCTAAGTACTTGAGAACCTTGGCCCGAATACTGTATTTTTCCGCGACTACTCATCACCATATTCACTCACCGACGTGCTATGGAAAATTTGCCAAATCGGATGAGATGCATGTTATAATGTGATATCGTCAATGATTATTTGGCCTTAAGATGTTTTTTTTTGCGACACGATTCCAGTTCTCCTGGTTAACAGCAAAGGCGCCTGCATAAACCGCCTCTAATTCATGCAACTTCTTGCCAGCGATGATGAGGCTGTGAAGTGGTTTCCCAAACATAGACTCTGGTTGGACTTGTAAATCCGAGAGAGTACCTGCGACGATACGTTGAGTACCGTCGTCATCATCTGTCGATCCTTCGCTGGAGGGTATGCTGCCCACACGCGATAGTGCAATAGCGAGTGTCGAATCGCCATCAAGGATGCCTTCCTTTCTAATGCTTTCGATCTCAAGAAGCTGGTTCACGGCAGTAGGAATGGACATATATCGTGGCGGCTCGTATATTTTTCTTCCTCTGCGTTTCAAAACAAATCAGAAACTAAAGGGGCCAAAAAGGTGAAGGACATGAGGCACCTTGCTAGATTCTCTTCGCTTTGTTCCTTTACTTTTATGTCAAGAAGTACCAGGGTATGCAGCCCGAACTTGGCATTCTCTGCGATGCGGTCGTAGAACGAGTCTGGTTTCCATGTATCTGTAAAGAAGACGAGAGATACTGTCTGCCCGAAATTGTAGAGCTGAAGCCCCGAGCATCCCGCTGCGTTGAGGATAGATGCATTATGGATGATTTGAGTAGGGATCTGCAGATCGCGAGCTCGTAGTAACAGATCCGTATGTGTCGTCGCGCTGCACAGGGCTAATAAGTCAATGCAGACAAGAAAAGGAAACCGGACGGCCTCACCCAAATGGATCACCAACGACGAGAAACGCAACGTTTTCGGTGGCCGCGTCGCGTAGGATCTCATCGCTCTCGAGTTCTACCATCTCGCGATCTGCAAGGATAAGTGATTTGCCATAGAATGCTTCCTTGCGCACATGTGAGCAGTGGGAGAAGAATGGTGTGATAATGGACTGACGAGGCGGTCCTTGTTCACCATCAGGATGGACGTGTAGGCCTCCAAGTAGACTCGAGAGCAAGATTTGACTGCTTCTAATCCACGGACTGTGATGTCCTTCTCATCGCAGAGTCCGAGACCAATCACGTAGAACATCTTAGAACGCTTTGCAATGACCAGTCTAGCAGCTCATAAGGCTAGCATCGATGATCGTCGTAGTGAATCGTGATAATTATATGTATGCGGGTTTCGGTGCGCCACCGAGGTGACGGGTGACGCCGCTCGAAAAGGCAACTGCGCGTCACGAAGCCACCCGCCGGTACACGCTTGGGTGACGCCATCGTCTCAGTGGAGTACATAGGCAGGGAGGATAACCAGCCTGCCGCTGCCTGCCGAATACACGCCGACCGACGAGGACGAGACACACTGGGGGGCACTTGCAAGGATCAGCCTTGATCAGCCTTGATGCCATGGAGGGGAACGAGACATATTGCAGGCTGCAGCTGCTCTTTGGTGCGTGTTTCCTCTACTCCTTCTTCCTTGGCGCATCTCGTTCAGCTGTCCTCTTAGTTTTCTTTATAGATCCATGCTACATATAGCCTCGTCACCGTGACTGAGTCCCTCGTTTCGCAGATGGACCTGACCTCCCGTTTTGCAGGCAGCTCTCCTCCCCATTTCAGAGACAACTCCTCCCTGCAGACAACATCCTCCCCAGATGACCTCCGAGGCCTCGCTGTGGTGTTCTCGAACTGAAAGTTGTCAGGATTCTCGTCTTCTTACACTGCCCAATTTCTGTGTGTAATTCCTCTCTCGCTGTGGTGTTCTCGAACTGATAGTTGTCAGTATTCTTGTTTTAACTGCACAATTTCCGTGTGCAGTTCATTCGCTGTGTGGTGTTCTCGAACTGAAAGTTGCCAGCAGTAAATTCTTCTCTTGCTGTGTGGTGTTCTCGAACCGAAAGTTGCCAGCATTCTCGTCTTCTTACTGGGTGTGGTGTTCTCGAACTGAAGGGCATTCCCGTCCCCTTCTGTGGTGTTCTCGAACTGGAAGTTGCCCGCACTCTCGTCTTCTTACTGGCTGTGGTGTCCCGTTCCCCTTCTGTGGTGTTCTCGAACTGGAAGTTGCCAGATTCTTGTCTTCTTACTGGCTGTTGTGTTCTCGAACTGAAGGTTGCCGCGGCCTGCCAGTGCTCTCATCATTTACCATCCTAGTTCTTTTGTTTTTGCTGAATCAAATAGATCTTTTCAAGAAAAACTGTGATACTACAATATGTGCTCATTACAGAGGTAGAGTACGAAAAAATTATGCCAATGAGACTCCGTTAAAATAGAGGAGATCGAGCTTGCGAGCAAAGAAGACTGTCAGCGAGAAATGAATCAAGGGTAATTGGCAGCCGCTGCAAGCACGTCCTTGGTGCCACTCCCACCCCCCTTCTGCAGATACTCACAGAATGTGCGAGGCTTTTTGAGGTCAGGGTGGGTCTCGTACTTCTCGCGCAGAAAACGGAGTGCCAGGTTGACGCTCCAGTTCGGCTTCCGTGCGAGTGTTTCCACCAGAACTGTGATTTTTTTCCGTCGGCAGTTTTCAGTTCGCAGAGTGCTGATGTTCCGTCTCCAGCGTGCCTGCCAGCGCTCGTCAAGGTCACGGACTGCGAGAAATCCATTCAACCCAGCAACATACTCATCCCAAACTTGCGTGATGCGGGTGACAGGTTGGAAGGTGTACAGGGGAAGGTAATCCCCCGACACCCACTCCCAGCTATGCTTCAGCAGCCGCTCAGCACCAAATCGGTCCACCAGAGAGGTCCATTGCTGCTGACGAGCATCGAGGTCTGCAGCAGTAGCAGCATCAGTGCTTGTAGCCACAGAAGTTGGTAGGGGAATGATGATGGGCGTGGCAGGAGAGGCAGGACGAGCTGTGGGGGGCAGGAAGAGCGAAAACGGACTAATCTGCGGGCCTGAAGATACACTTGATGCCACTGTGGTGGCTGATTCGAGGGGAGGAGCTGCAGGACTGAGTGGCACTGGGGGTACTACAGTGGCGGGTGGAGCACCTTTCGACCTATCAGTTTTTTTTTCCTGTGCGTGAAAAACTGCTGACTGTGACTCACCACGATGACGACGACGAGATCGACCAGACTCAGCTGCCATCTCCAGCCGTGAAACCTGTTCGCGAAGCAGTGCAAGCTCTTCTGCATTCTTTTGGTTGGCTTCTTCCTGTGCGAGGCGTGATGATGCGACGAATCCTTGCATGCTTCGGGCATACTGCTCAGGGAGGTGTTGCAGTGCCAACCGAGCCTCCTTGTCAACCCTGGCAAGCACGGCTGTCGAGTTTGCTGCAAATTCATGGAACATGTTACTTTGAAAGGGTGCGAACCCAAATATTGGGCATGTTGGGTCTTTGACAAACAGGACAGCAGCATCCTGTATAAGGACCCGACGGAGCCACACGAGGAGTCGCAGGAAGCCCTTCAAGGCAATATCCCGTCCTGCATGGCCGAGCATTGCCTCCCGCTGCTGCAGGGCAGAATTCTCCTGCTCGACCCATGGAAAAATCTGCGAGAGGAGCTCCACTGGAGGCTCTGGTTTCGAATCACAGGTGAGGGCAAGCTGTCAAACGGCGGACACCGGCTTACCAAGATGGTCCCGAGCTAGGAAGTACTGCTCGGGCTTCCTCGCATTGAACATGGCCGCACCAAGCAGCCCTTCGAGTGGGAGGGCACGGTCATAACAGTTGGCAAAGGCATCATTGACACTCCAGCAGCCAATGGCTTTCACATCATTGCCAGATGCCCCGTGTGCTCGTGCGGTCTTCGCTGTGAAGTGTCGGGTGGCATGCGTGGCCTTCGTCAGGCTGATATCATTCTTGCTGTGTATGAGCTTGACTCGGTCGTAGTGATCTGTGGGGGAGGTTCAATGATCCCGATTTTCATACCTAGAGCACGCAGAAAGAAACACCCACTGTCATACATCAGCAAACTAGCAAAACCTTGTACAGATTTGTACAGATTTGTACAAACAGCACAATCCTACAGCTAAGTGCCCTCTTTACAATATTGTCACAAAGGCTTACAATCCATACACAAAGGCACAATATTGACAGATTGGACAGACTAGACAGATTGGACAGACTAGACAATGTAGACAAACCGGACAGTGTAGACAAACCAGACATTGTAGGCAGATTGGACATTGTAGGCAGACTGGACATTGCAAGCAGACTAGATTATTGTAGACAGATCAAACATGTTGTGCAAACGACATTGTAACGGCGCAAAAAAATATACTAAATGATGATATTGATATCATCACTGCCCGCTGCACTGTCCCAGTCATTGCGAAGTTCACCCATCATCCCCTCCTCGGCCCATTCCTTCAGCATCTCTTCAAGCTCCGCGCGACGTTCGGGAATGGTCATCAATTTGTCGACAGACTTTTGCAGTAAGTTGAAGTCGGCCCTGCACGTATCAGCAGTAAGGTCAGGCACCTTGTCAGTACCACTGTCGCGGAAGCCGGTGAGAACACCCTTCGTCTGTAAAACATTGATCAGCGAGGAATATAAAATTGATTAAATCAAAGCCTACAACTGCGGCCACCAGAATAAGGCCATTGACAGGAATTCCGTCTTGAAATTCGTCAGTTACCTTGAGCGCTTTTTTACCGTTACCGTAGTAAAAACTGAGGCAGGCTTCCTTGAGAACCTGCGACACAAAATTGGTATATTTTCCCTGTAAACGTCAATAATGAATTGTCGCGCACCACGAGGTTGCCACTGACCTCAGAAGAGTCGGGAAGCCGAAGATATTCACCGGTCTTGAGGAGCTTAGCCGCTGCTGCACTGACGCGCTCCTTGTGCACTGAGTTGCCCTTCGAGAATATGCCGTATGATTGCTTCGCAATAGATATTACAATTTTCTTGAGTTCCGTGCTGAAAGGTGAACAGGTCGTCACAAAGCTGTTGAATCATCAGCGAAGTTCGTGTTTGGGCGCTGTACTTACTAGTCGCGACATCGGTACTTTATACTCTGGGAAATAACCTTCGCAAGGACATCAGATTGGAGCGACTTCTGACGGTGCAGGGCAACTTACCTTTGTCAAGCTTCACCTTCTTCGTGTGGTATGTCCATAATACAGCACCCAAAACCTCTTGTGCCAGTATTACCGCTTCCTGATGAACTGGAAGAGGATGCAATAAAATTGCCTGCAACCGCATTTCCAACTTTGCTGCCTGCAGGAAGGCCTGCCAAGATGCTGGATAGAAGCCGAGCTTCGAGGGGTTAGCTTGTTGGTTGGCGCACCGCGCACCGCCTCCAGATTTGCTGCGTTGAACAGGTGAGGGACTTCGAGAGTGAGATCGGCTTGAACTAGGAGCGGGAGAAGGTGTTCGATCTGGCTGAGCAGAATGCCTGGGCAGAGACTGTGACGAAGACCGTCCACGAGAGGAGGGCAGTTTGCTGGAAGAAACCATAGACTGAGTTGGAGAGCGCCGACGAGGAGACAGTTTGCGAAAGGAGGAAGGACGAGGGGACTTTGAACGAGAAACAGAGAAGTGTGCAGGTGGACGCCCCGGCCGCACACGGGTCGATGCAGTTTTTTCAGATGGTACTCTGTGAGGCGCGCGTCCAGGGGCCAAGCGCCCAGAAGAGGACGAAGTGCGTACTCGTTCGAGGGAGGGGCGACGAGATCCCTAATACAACGAATTAAAAACAACAAACCCAGGAGAGGAAGAAGTGCGTACTCGTTCGAGGGAGGGGCGACGAGATCCCTAATGCAACGAATTAAAAACAACAAACCCAAAGTCACAAGAACTTACAAGGCTGGGTGAATGCTGACGAGACCTCGAGCCAGTTTCACGTGGACGGGCGGACCCTTGTTTGCGAGAAGACTGAGGCGCATATCAGTAATCGTGCATAATTACCAAAATGGAACACATGCGCGTGCTAAATGAGTCGGGGAGGGAGCTTTGCGTCGTCCATTTTTCGTTTGATGGCGTTCAAGGACATCGAAAGTGTCTGTGGCTTCATGATGAGTATCATTGCCCGAGTCTCGGCTGTCAAAATCCCCCTGGTCGGGATCCATCTGAGTATCGCCATCTTCATCGCCTTCATTGTCTTCATCGCCGCATAAAGCCATGCGGTCGACTGAAGCCCTTGAACGGACAATAAGGAATTAAAATGTGAGGGAAAGATACAAGGTACGACTTACTCCCGCGTATCCCGCAACAAACTATCTTCATCTTCGCTGGGTCGATCATTGTGATCATGTTCATCGGCGTCATTCTCTAACTCGTCATTCTCTAACTCATCACGTTCATCCAAGTCCCACATTCTATCCTTCCTCGCCTCATCTTCTACGGATTCGCCTACGGCTTTCTTGGAGCTGCGACCGATGGGCTGAGTTGCCTCCCGAGGATCCTGTTTGTCAGTGGAAGATGACTTGAATCCAAACCTATCATCAGGGCCGGCCATGCGTAGAAACGGATTACGACGTTGAGTGTTTGATTGTGAGTCGTCGTCTTCAACAGGACGAGGCAGGAAATTCGTATCAGCCTAAAAGAATATTAGTTGAGCTACTTTGAAAAGAATCACTTACCTTTTTCTTCCCTTTCTTGAGCTGCTGCGAAGGTGCCATGGGATTGACTTCTGAGTCACTTATTTCGACAGCGCCTCTTCCCTTCCGTTGCCTTGCTGGGGCCATCAAGATCTCTCCAGCTTTTTTGAGCTGTGCTACATGACCACCAACACCTCGTGTGGACCGTTCGCTTCGCCGTCGAGAATCGTCAACGTCTTCGGGTGCCGTGCTGGCGACCTTCCTCGTCCTCGAATTGCGGGGACTCAAGGACCGCGAGGGAGAAGCACGCCTGGCTTTCTTCCTAGGAGGCATGGAGTGAACTTCAAGGACGAAGTTCAAAGTTGGACTATCCCGAAATATAACAGAGGAACTTACGTAAGCTAGGAACATTTTGTACATAGTGCTACATTCAATGAAGAATATGGAGGACGAAGCACAGGTGGAAGATGAAGGAAAAATACTACGGAAATACGGAATTTAGGTAGAGGTGTTTAAACGAAGAATAAACGAGATAATATGAGATATCGGACTCGGATGCAGTGCGTTCTACAGATGCTACACAACAAGGGAAGCCCCGAACCAGTCAATTAGCGTTTGACAGGTGCCGTCTTTGACCGACGAGACCGACGAACAGCGACGGAAATATCAGGAGGCAATGGAGCGATGGTTGATTCCGGCGCAGATGGAGGTGCAGGAGGACGCGATAGAGCGATGGTTGGTTCTGGTGTAGATAGAGGTGCTGGAAGTGCAGGAGGAGGTATCTGAGAAAGTTGCTGACTGATCATGCTTAAGCCCCGCGTTAGAATATCGCATATTGTATCGTGAGACAGGGCAGTTGACTGAGAACTTGCGAGAGAAATTGCGCAACGCCACTCTTCAAGGAGGGGGCGGCAGAGGATAAAGTACGGGGTGATTAAGGGTGGGTCAGCCAGACCATTGATGAATTCCCGCTTCCAAATACTGCTGGTCGCGAGACCATCTTGGGTCATGTTTTCATAGGAGACCGCCCACCTCCGAACGGCGTCCCGTCGCAAAGCTTCTGGACTGGGTTGGGGGGCCAGTACGCCCTTCGGTCCTAGATATATCACGGTAAACTCGAGCAGGATGTAAAAAAGCGACTCGAGATCGTCGCAGGGCATATGTTGGACCAAATGGCCATCTCCCATTAGGCGGAGAACGCGAAAAGATATGTAGGGTACAGTTCCCTGTAAACCATGAGGTTAACACAAGCAGAAATAAGTGCAACGTTGTAACTCACAGTACCGCGTGGACTCGGATCTGCTTTCCCATCATCATTGAGAAACTTTGCATGGTCAAAGTCAATAAAATAGCCTTTTCCTTGGTAAATAATAGCGTTATTAGGGCTGAGATCTCCGTGAAGGACACGTCGGCCCACCATTGCCTTGTGGGCTACAATGCATGGTGATTACAGAGGACTTCAGGTGATTGCAAAAAGGACTCACCAACAACAAGATCACGAAAAACCCCGATTAACTCGGGTACATCGTTGAAGTGAGTCAATGGCACCCCGCAGGGTGTCAAGAGAATACGCCGATGGATTTTTGTCTCGAATTTGAATGTCGAGCAATGACTACGAATGCGTGAAGTGGAGTCGGGCTTCCCATCATAAAGTACGTCCCAATATTTCTTGAGTTGAACAACGTTCGGGATGCCTTCGACCGCTTTGAGAAGTTGTATCTCGACGTCTTTGACATCCTCGTTGACCCAACAATCTTTGAGTGCGTACTCCTGATTAAACTGATCTCGAACGCGATAGCAGACGGTTCCGCGCTTGAACAGACCGCGGCTCTTCCATAGTATATCCATAATCCAGTATACATTCTCATCGTTGTCGTAAACCCAGCCTATTGCCCCAGGAAGCATGGCATCAAAGCCATTCGGTAAATCAGCGTGAGTTGGAATGGTGTTACAAGAGTTGCAGATATGGATTGTTGGATCAAAGCCGAGGGAAGAGCGATTTCCTAAAGTGACGGTATTCAACACGTCGACAAAACGTTCAGGGGATGTAACGATCGGGAGTGGTTTTGAGATCACCATGCCGGAGCGATCCATATAATGGGCACGAAGTTTGAACTTGGAGATACTAAAAAGTAGGATGAAACGACGCCATGGTTGCTCCCGCATCATCAGATAGCCCTTGGTAGCAACCCCCAAGAACAAAGGTATTTTGCGATCAACAGAGAGGTCAGATTGGGTAATCTCAACTCCTGTGAGGACATCTTTCCAGGACTTTTGCGAGAAGCCGAGCTTTCTGAGCCGGTAATCCAGGAGGACGAGATCAGGCTTCCGTGAATCGGTAGCGTCTGGCATGGAAGTGGTGGCGAACTCTGAAGACCAGTACCGGAGATCTGTTATTTCGGTGAAGGGCAAAATGTGCGAGCGCTGGATTCCCGAGCGTTGCGATGACGAGTGCTGTGATCCATCAACATTGCGCTCTTGGACTTGCTCCTTGAGCAGTTCGCGCATGTGATAGTATATCGCCCGGAAAAGACGCTCCCAATTCTTTTCCTCCGTTTCTCCTACAGGCTTAGCTCTTTTCGTTCCAGCCTTGACGAAATCCTGCTGCCCCAAGCTGCCCTCCGTCTCTAGCATGGAATCCCCTTCAAGTTCTATGTCTGTATCAGTCTGCGACTCAGTCTGAGCCGCCTGAAACCGGGTACGCCTAACTGCAACCTTGCGTTTACTTCGGAAAGCATTTTTGAGTCGCCATTCCTTGTCAAAAACGGGAGCCCCATGTATCTGAGTTTGGCTTCCCGGTACTTGTTTGATGTAAGTGATCCTCTTGATTTCCGATTTGTTGAGATTTGAAAGAGGAATGAGGAATTTAAGGATGGAGGTCTTAGGCTTCAGGTCCTCCTCCCACAGAACCCGGGGGTCTTGGTCTTGCAGGCCCAACTCACTCTTCATGAGTATATCCATTTCGTCCTTCGTGCGGCGTACGGGATGGATAGTGACGGTGCTGACAGCCGCTAGGAGATAGTTGGCAAAAGATGTTGACATGGGGGGCAATTCGTTGTCCTATTGTCCCTGGCGGCGTGGCGCTCTTGTTCTTTCAGTAAGTCGTGCAGAAATCAATCAATTTCATAATATTAAAATCGCGGGTAGTGCATTTACCCGGTTTGTACCGTAGCGTTCATTAGGATGCGACAAAAGCGTTTATTTTCAAAGTGTCTTTAACTAAGTGTCCGTTTGAAACAGTACATAGTAATGATATCCAAAGCTAGCTAGCTATCGGGGGTAGTAGCATTGTGAAGTGCATAATAAAAGTCCTTATCAAAATACTTGTTCAAAAAAAACTCTTGGGAATAATGTGTAGACGTAGCTGAAGTCAATCGTACATCCGCCGCATCCCCCAGACGAGGGATGATACTAATAAATGCACGGAGTTGGCGAAGAGGAATGATACTACAGATAGGGGTACCATCTGCATGCTTTGCACGCTTCAACACATGCATCCCAGTGGCAGGATCGCAGGGGCCAATGTTCAGACGCCGCACGTAACAAAGGTACTGATCTCGCCAAGCGATACGAGAACCTCGACGATGAATTGGTCGCATTATGAGGCATAATTCGCAGATAACGTGGCCTTTGGGAAGTGCGTTGATTATATACATTGACATATGATGAAAAAGGACTCACCTGATAGACCTGATTTAGGCCATTCATATGCGGTATCAACATTGACGAGGATGGCGTCCCGTCGACCTTTTGGCCACCCAGGGCCAGGAGGAGAGGCATGGATAGTTTGAGCCGGCAACACAATATCGGGATTATGGAAAGATTTGAGCTGGAGGCGAACCGTATTCCATAATTGAACGCGGTCAAATGGAAGGATTGGTGGACGATCGATAGACGGTCTCTGTCTTGGACCCCCCACCCCATGAACTATTCCTCTCTCTCGCGCGTCATGCTGTAAGAAGCTCGAAAGCGCAACATGCAGATCCGGTAAGTTGAAGTCAGTACTGACATCATCAAGTTTGACTCCCGAGCGAGATGGACTGAAGTTGAGGTGGATGGCAGTGTTTTCAGCAATAAACGTTCGATGAGGGATACTGGAATCGCATCTTGCAGTAGCCATTTGCCTGGCTTTGCGGAAATAATCGGTCGCAACACGAGTGTGGTTCATCTCCTCGAGCAGTGCCGTTCGCGGATCGTTCGTTTCCTGTTCATCTCCATCGTCCAGGTCGTCCTCTTCAAGAATGTCTTCGGCCCTAAAATTGGGATCATGGGATGCGGGATGGTTCTTGAGCGATGTGGCAATTGCGAAACGTCGCAACTTCTCCTCCCGATCAAGATGACGACAGATCTGTGGGTCATAATCATTGTTATTCGTTTGCCGTGCAGGTTCCTTGATTTCAGAAATGTGTGCATGCTCGGTAGCGTCTGCAGACCACTGTATGAGGGCGCCGACTTTGCGCGTGCTGGAAGTGATGCTCTGTAGGAGCTCAAGCTTAGGAATATACCAATTTTCAATAGGCCTCTTTGTCCCCATCCGTGCGCCTAAGGTCAAGATAACATCTTTGTGTTCGTGAAAAGTCGACAAAGATCGGTCGATACACGCCAAGAGATTGTCATCGGGTGCAGGACACTGCGCTAGGTAACGAAGATCCATGAGCGCACGGATCGCGATGACAAAACGACGAGGGGCTGCACCGGATATTAGGCCAACGATATAGCGCTGAATATCACGATGGCCCCTACCTGTAACTTGTTTCAGTTTAGATATTCCGCCAGAAAAGTGGCGATAACCAGTAGTCGGCTGTAATATCGAGAATCGAAAATCTAGTTCCTGAGCTCCAACGACCACGATACACCACTGAAGATCGTGGTCGTAAAATTCTTTGTGCCAGTGGTGCAATGATTCTGGCGTCAGAAAAATGGAGGGATCTGCAAGCGGCCAATCCATCCAGAATGGTGCATGGACGCCGTTCAGCCGCGAGTCAGCACAAGCCTCAAAATAAGCCTCCAGGTCATCAGGATTGACCGTAATACCAGCGAGCTGTCCAAGAGTGATGGAGCGCGTACGAGCAGGGTGCCGGAAATTATCCCCAAACTGCAAATACGAGGCCATGGTGAAAGGAGAGGTCTTTCCGCGCACACATGCAAGCATGGCCGCCTCTGGGGTATCAACAATGTATGCTGCGAGAGGGGTAAAGCAATGGCGGACGTTTCCTACCGGATCGGACATCATACTCCTGACTTCAGCAGCTTTCATCAATGGCTTCAGAAAGATCGAAAGGCATTCATGGACGAGACGGTCCTTCAAGCATGCCCCGCATTCGTTGATTGGGATGTAGATACTTTGGAATTGGAAGGAGAGCCGTGAGCAGGAAAGCCTTAGACGAGAGTTTGTGCGGGTACACATGCGGATATTGGCGAGGCCTAGAAGAAGAGGGTGGGCAACCCTGGCACCAGTCATGGTGGTGATGTTGGTTTTGTCAGATGAAAGAACGGTGCCGAGAACTGTAGCACCTCTGGGAAGTCGTGTCTGCAGGATATATGGTGAGATGACGCAAAATTCGGCAGAATTAGTACTTACTTGCATTTCCCAAGCGGAATCTCCTGTTAACCATTCCGAATATACACGCAAAAGCCGCTCTGCTGTTTTGTAAACGGCGAGAGGATGAAATCAAGCTTGTCGTGAAACAATGGATTGCTGAAAAGGCTCTCCAAGCATTCCACGGGGTCCCTCCAAAAGAGTCGGATTGGAGACTTGGTAGGATGGATGGAGGAGATAGTCTGGCATTTCCAACTTGGTCCGCTAGGGAGCATTTCAGCACGGCTTCGTAGTTCTTTGGCGTTTTTGAACGAAAGATGCAATCTTTGGATCTGAAAACAAGTTGCGGTTGATGTATCAATGCTCCCATCGTGAGGGTGCAAAGAATACGCACCATTGAAAGCTTCAAAAATTCATCTATTGCTGCCATGCTGAGGGACGAGCGCAGGAGATAATCGGCAATTTCCCACTCTTCTTGGATGCGAACGGATAGTAGAGGTTGTCTACCCTGCATTCTGCGTATTCATCGGCGTCAAATAAATCCAGGAAGGTCGAGCCGTCTTGGGAGTAACAGGCCCCCGCGCCATCATACTCTTCCTCCAGCGATTCCTCAAACATTCTGAATTCATCGTCGATGTTATCGTGCCAGTGATCCCCATCGTAAACTTCCGGGATGCTGTTGGTATCATCCCCTGCGCGACGCTGGGGAGGAACGACTTCGGTGAACTGCAAAATATCAACAATGTCACGCATATGACTATGACACGAGGATCGAGGCTGGCTCAGGTGTCGAGCGACGCTGCTCTCCTTCGTAAATGTTCTCCCACACTTTGGGCATGTTGGTGCTGACATTGAAGATATTAAAATATTCACACGATCTTTGTTGATCTCACCCACCTGTTATGATGTCTCATACTCGCACTGCAGCCTCTAATCCCCGAGCATTCCACAATACTACATCCCCTTCTCCAAGTATCAGAGGACATTCGCATGAGCCACGCAACCAAAGACCTCTTCACACCACGACTCCATCGGCGTTTTATTGGCCTGACTTTGGTGAAGCATTATCAATAAAGGAGGAGAAATTACCTACCGCGCTGCACCTTGTGAGCACCTTACTTGCTTTTACTTGCCAGGACTCACCTTATGCAGCAAGATGATTATACCCAATCGGACGGAGAACTCGAAGGCGATGAACACTCTGATCTTGCGCTTGAGGCTGCTAAAGCTGAACGAAAGGTGTACGAGGCTAAGAAGCACCTGGCCGACTGCATTTTGGCACACCAATCGGTGATTCTTGACATCTGGCGTCAGCGCGTCCAGGCCGCGAATTCTGATTTGTTGACGGCGGAGCTCAATGTTGGACGCCTCCATACAGAGCGGAAGAAAATAAGTATCTCAATGTCCATGACTCGGGGTCACTCAGATGGTACAACAGTGAGTGTTCGTCCTCAATTTTGTTATGTGTGACTTTTGAAAGTATGTCTACAGACAGTCGGTACCTCGTCCTCATACTAAACTCACGCATTTGCAGCCGGTGTTAATACTGGGCTCGCATTCACACCATCTTTCCTCGAGTTGGGCCCACTGAGTTAACATCAT